TATTGCTCTATGACCTGATTGACCCTCTCTGTCTGACCATCAGTTTGAGGATGGTAAGCCATGCTAAGTGAGTGCTTTACACCCATTTGTTCTGTGAATGCCTTCCATGCTCCTGATATGAACTGCCTGCCTTGGTCCAAGACCATGTGATCTGGGTATCTGAAGAGTCTAACCATGTGTCCGTATAGCAACACTGCAGTCTGTTTGGCCATGACTGTCTTATGGGTTGGAGCTAGTATGGCAAACTTGGTTAACCTGTTGACAATGACTAAGATAGAGTCATAGGTCTTGGAGTCATACTTCTTCAATGGTGGTAGTCCTTCGATGAAGTCGAGGGATATGGAGCCCCAGGGCCTGTCTGGTGTTGCTAGTGGCTGTAGCAAACCATATGGACGGTGACGAGGAGCTTTGTACCTAGCACATACAGGACAACTTGAACCGCCTTCGGACGTCAGTGAGCAGTGATACAACACACATGCTACAATGAGAGGCAACCTACTTGATTGTGACTATGCTGACTGAAACTAATATGTACTTATGCTTGAAGTATTAATTAGTTGATATGGTGTAGAGTGGATGAGGATCCACTCATCCACCTATGATGAGAAGGTATGCTTATATACATCCTTTGTAGTGTCGCCTGCAACACTGCTCCAGCTCTCTCTCTCCAGAGAGTACCCTCTTTGTCAAGTACTATACAGGGGTCCCTGTAGCACAGCTCCTGTCCTTCTTGAGCTGTGTGTCGACCTCCTCGACACAGCTCTTCCTCCTCATGACCCATACGCTGGTGTTAGTGACACAGCTCCCCTTCCTCCTAACCGGCGACTGTTCTCCTGACACTTATCTTGTGACGAGAAGGTATGGTTATATACATCTTCGCAGTGTCGCCAGCGACACTGCTCTGGCTCTCTCTCCAGAGAGTACCTTCTTCGCCGAGCACTGTACAGGGGTCCCTGACGAGGCGCCTCCTCCTCATCGAGCCCTGCTTGCTTATCGCTCCTTTCTGTCCTTCTTGAGCTGTGTGTCGACTCCTTCAACACTGCTCCTCCTCCTCATGACCTGCTTGCTGGTGTCCTTGACACAGCTCTTCTTCCTTTGGCTGGCGACAGTTCTCCAGGTCCTTATCTTGTGAACCCCTGAGTGGTAACCAGCTGCATGTTCCTGAGCTTGGTCCCCATCTTGGCAGAGCTTGGTCCTCCTCGTGTGTGAGCTTGGTCCTCCTCACATGTGAATTTGTTGTATGAACATCCTTGTCACTGATCTCCACAGAATCTGCCATATGATCATGCTTACTGCAGATTCTGGCGAGATTTGTGATATCAACTTTGCTCATGCAGATCTCGATGAGATCTGTCATAGAACTGTTCCTACTACAGATCTCAATGAATTCTGCTGCAGATCCCATGATCTGCCTGATTCCTCAATTCCTGCACTCCCTTCATATGAACTAATGGGTCTTCCTGCTTCCTGTGCATTCAGGCCCATGACATTACCCCCCTCTTAAGAGCCGAGCTCCATCGAGGCAAGTCCTGTGCCATGTCTGGACCAAACCACCACCTTCCTTGGCCATCTGATATCTTATCTAACAATGGCTCCTTCACCTTACCAGACCCGGTCTAAGACCACTGTGACAGCCCCTCCTCCTGAGGTGGCGACAACTTCCTCTCGATGTTGCTGGGTCATACTCCAGGTGCAACCTTGCAGGGACACTACTGCAGGAACCAATCCTCCTGCTCCCCCAGTCCTGGCCCGTGTGGCCGATCCTCTTGCCTCTCTGGTGGCTCGTTCGCCACTGGAGCCTCTTTTCTTGGGGATGGATGGCAATGATGTCACCCCCAGTCCCCTCCCTTCCCCCTTCTTGGCATGCACCATTTCCCCCCCCCATGGGGAATGATTATTCCCTGACCTCTCCTGACATCGATTTGTATGAGGTGGACAAAAGATGTTCCACAGTGGGGGTGATGACTCCGGAGCATCAAGCGGCATGGGAGGCTGAGCTGGCCTGCTCTCCTGCCCCTCCTCCTACTGCTGACGAGATCGTTGACACTATCTTGTTCGCCTCTCGTGCTGCTATTCCGGTCTTTCGTCCGGAAATCCAACCCCTGACGCCTCCTCCCCGTTGGGTGGATCGTCGCACGCCTCCTCCCCCCTGTCAGCGGTCGCGCGCCCAAAACCTGAGATCGGTAATAGAGTCTCGCCTATTACAGATCCTGTCGAGTTATGCAACAACACTTGTGGTATTGCAATTCTCAGCAAAATATGTAGTAGAGCCATCTCTATCACTTTTCTTGCTCAGAACTGCAGTAAGGGTTTTGCTATTGCAGGTTTCAACTGACCGCTGTGGACACTCCATCCAGAGGTAGCTCAGCATGATCAATAATGATATGAGTTGTACTAACACCAAGGCCTGGTGTGATTATGATTGCTTGGTGACATTGACATGAGTGTCCAGTGTGTCAACTATTGCTTGAGGTGATCCCCAGACCACAGTGGACTACTGCCTTTGGTTCTATCTTTATCTGGACTGCTGGTTTGCTAGGAACTGCCTTCGGACATCAGTGAGCAGTGATACAACACACATGCTACAATGAGAGGCAACCTACTTGATTGCAACTATGCTGACTGAAACTAATATGTACTTATGCTTGAAGTATTAATTAGTTGATATGGTGTAGAGTGGATGAGGATCCACTCATCCACCTATGATGAGAAGGTATGCTTATATACATCCTTTGTAGTGTCACCTGTGACACTGCTCTGGCTCTCTCTCTCCAGAGAGTACCCTCTTCATTGAGTACTATACAGGGGTCCCTGTAGCACCACTCCTGTCCTTCTTGAGCTGTGTGTTGACTCCTTTGACACTGCTCCTTCTCCTCATGACCTGCTTGCCAGTGTCCTTGACACAGCTCTTCTTCCTTCAACTGGCAACAGTTCTCCAGGTCTTTATCCTGTGACCCCTGAGTGGTAACCAGCTGCATGCTCCTGAGCTTGGTCCTCTTCTTGGCAATGCTTGGTCCCACTCCTCACATGTGAAGTTCATCACACTATCATCCTTGCCACTGATCTCTGTGGAATCTGCCACACAATCATGTCTACTACAGATCCTGGTGGAATTCATGATACCACCTTTGTTTGTACCAATCTCACTGAGATCTGTCATAGAGCCAATTCTACTGCAGATCTCAGTGAATTCTGCTGCAAATCCTACAGTCTGCCCAATCCTCTGATCCCTGCACTCCCTTCATATGAACTAATGGGTCTTCCTGCTTCCTGCACATTCAGGCCCATGACAACACTACTGGTCTCAGTGAACTCTGCCTTAGGCTCTCGCATAGCCCGATCCTTCGATTCCTGTGCTCCGCTTTATATGACTTCCGTCTTCTTGCTCCCTGCGCCTCTGGTCCCATGACACATATGAGCCCGGAAGTCTGGTGCTGCGACACCAAACTCAGCTCAAATTCACCTACTCAACACAAGTGAAGATAGCCCCTCGTTGGATAGGACCATTTGCTGTCCTCATGTGCCTCAAGAAGACATATCTCATCTGCAATCTGATGACAGGTCAGGACAAATGAACTCATCAAGATTGTCTCAAGCCATATTGGCTGCAGACAGAGCCTCACATATCATCTGCATAGTTAATTTGCTTAGTACTTTGTTCTGGTGATGGAGTCTCTGGGATGTAGCCTTGTTCTGTTCAGGGCTCTGTCACCAACCTCTATATGAGTTCCTTTTTGTCTGATAGGTTGCTTAGCTGAGTTTTGTGTCTCGATCACAGTTTACACATTCACTTGCCAAATAGAGCTTTCCTGGGCAAAAGGTCTCTCATTTTCGTCAAAGAAGGCTCAGTTGTGCATGCATGTACTCAGTTCATCACCACCATCTCCGCAAGCCCAACAATTATGCCACTCCGTTTCATTAGCAGCATCTAAGCCACTCTGTTTTCGTTCACATTAGTCCTTCAGCATCACGCTAGCAGCATTAGCAGTGATAGCGATAAGTCCATTGACAACGGGCAATGACGGAAAAGGAGATTTTGGACCAAACCTTTTTTTTTTTTTTTCTTTTTTCTTTTTTTCTTTTTTTCTTTTTTCTTTTTTTCTTTTTTCTTTTTTTCTTTTTTTCTTTTCATCCTGTGTGTATAGTTGCAATGCTAAGCAATACTAGACGTAAGAGCTTCGTTAGCGTAGTTGGATTATCGCATCCGTCTAATAGGAGATGCCTCAGAATGACTTGTCTGAGATTGTTACAACGGAAGGTCACTGGTTCGAGCCCAGTACGGAGCATTCTTTTTGGCGAGGCTCAAGGTGCGATAGGAATGAAAGGAGAGTGACTGCTGCTATTGCACCTGGATGCTATCCTTCAGCAGACTTGGAGAACAGCCGAGCGACAAGATAGACGATGTGGGAGAGTTCAACTCTGCGGCGTCAGGTGAAGCAAAGTTAATGTCAAAGCAAAGGTAGATCTCTCTATCTTTGTGGGTGCAGAAAGGGCTTTATGAAGTTCTCAAAACTCTGAGCAGCTTGTCATTCAAGTAGAGCTCGTCATTCAAGTAGAGCTCGTCATCCATGACGAGCGGGAGAGAGACTGAGTCAGACCCTGATGACTTTGCGTCTCTCAATTGTATCGTCTTGATTTCGCACTTGCCTCTCAACAACTCGGACCTCCTTCGTATCTCTGCCACCATCCGATCCTAGTGTCAAGCGTCCACCTTTGTTGCTCCCAAACAGCCGCGCTATCCACCATCCTGCCTTCCAGCTTCCCGTCTTAGACCCCATACATTGCTGCATTCTGTCTGCCGTCAAGCATCGCCACCAGAAGAGTCATCCTGATACCGAGTCCATCCCTTGTCTCCCTGGTCTCCCTGGTCTCCCTTGTCTCCCTTGCCACCCTTGCCACCCTCTTCCGGGCTCAATCCGACACCCCCATCACTCATCCATCTCATCCAGACTTGTGTGTGCAATCCTTCAGCCATCCAGTCCCTTGGGCTCCCCGCAACCATGGCCTTTGTCCAACACCAACCCCGGCAACAAAGCCGCGATCGACGAGATCACCCCTCCGCTACCCCTCACCACCACCGCCACCACCGCCAAGAACGAGAACCACCGCAAGACTGGAGCATCGTCTTCCCCGGTCGAGCACGTCAACCACCCACCTCTCCCACTGTCCAACTCACTTCCCCCACCACTCCCACCACCGATCAAACCGATGATACAGATCCACTCGCCCTCACCCTTCCCCCGCTCCACGACGGTACAGGGCGATTCCTCACCTCCCCGCTAAGTCCAGCTTCTACCGATGCTGCTCTCCACTTGAGCGGTGCTGATGACGACCAACTCTCTCAGCAGGCACGCCATTCTGAGCATCTCTTTCCCGAATCTGTGTTTAGTGGCACAGATTCGCAAATCGATGCAGATGAAGAGCTAGGTTTTGGCTCTGGTTCTGATTTCGACTTTGAAAGCGATGCTGTTGCTTCTTCGCATCCTAGTAGAAGCGAGGCTGGTAGAGGCGCTCCTAGGTCCGCCTCTCGTCGCAGACCCTCTAAGCCCAGTGATGTTAGTATTGGTAGCGATGACGATCATCTTGTGCATCCAGCACAGTCGCATAGTAGTATGCTGGCCAGCAAAGCTTGGTCGCTCTTGGGTCGAAGCTATGCTTTGGAGCGCCTGTTGGAAAGCCCTTCGCGATCAACACAGTTGTATTCCAGTGTCCGGTCTAGTCGACATCTCGGCCAGTCTAGACGGATGGCGAACGATCTTCCTCTTGCTTTCACTAGTCGCCCTGAGCGACAAGACAATCCTCACGCTGCTCCCCTGCATCGATCGAGTCTTAACGCTGACGAGGCAGATCTGGCAGCTAGCAACCTCGCTCAGAGTGCAGGTCTCTCCCATTTGCATCACAGCCACCTGCCCCGCCGACCCAAACGGAGACACAGACGTTCTGCAGCCGGCCGATCGAGCAAACGAAGCAACACTTCTCACAGTCTTTTGAGCATTGACTATGAATCTCCTCTACTCAACCCTCGTGCTGGAGCCGGAGCAACTCAAGCTAGGCTTGACACTGATGCAGCCCAAACTCGACATTCCTCAGCAACGCAAGCTTCGAGCATGGCACAAGAACATCCCTCCAAGACGACCCGCATGATGGGAACCATCCTGCGCAAGCTATTCCATCTTGAACCTGAGGTGCTCGATGCTTTTCTTCATGACGAGCACCACCACCATCAACAACAACAGCAGAGACAATCGCCTGGATTTGCGTTGGATTCCCCTGAAACTCCCATCGTCTCGGCTCCTCTGGGTGAGGGTATGATGCTAGACGGTCGTAGCGAGAACGAACGATACTCGGCCGCCTCCGCCACTGCCTCCGATACTGAGGTTGAACATCTTGCCACCCTTGACCCAGCCGCGTCTCCTCTCTTTTCCAATGCTAAACCAGTTTCAGGCGAACAAGTGGATTCTTCTTCACTCCTACGTCTCACCGAAGCTGCACTCCTCCAACGCACCCGTCCCAACGCTGCCTCGCCTGGCATGATGGAACCGACAACGATGGAAGCCTTGTCAGCGTTTATGAATACAATCGTCATGCCTGTGCCCATGCCGTTTAGGCTTCTAGGCGCTTTATTCGGCTGGTCCAACATCTGGCACTCAAGCTCTTCCCAGAAGGCAATCCAGCAAAGGCAAGAGGATGCGGAGAGAACAGAGAGGGAAGCGCAAGAAGAAAGGAAATATAGATACGAAAGACTGCTCAGTGCTCAACAGGCAAAAGCTTGGAGTAGGAGATATAGAGGTATTCTCTTTGCAAATGTCGACGATGAGCAACCCAGTCCAGATCTTCCCCAACTTTGGAGGGGTGAAGAACATCCTGCGATTGCAGGAGACCATAGATATCATTAGTTTCCATTGCAAACTGATACTGTATTGCTTTTGTCTTTGTACTAGCATTGCATGCAGTGCTCTATCCATTCTGAAGGTAGTAAGCGCTGCTTTTGAGATGGTCTTGTTTGATGCCCTGCAGATTGTGCGAAATCTTGCGGAAAGTGAGGTTTCAGTTGGGTAAGCAATACCCTTTTCCCCTTTCCCAGCCAGCTTAGCTTGGCTTTCACGTTGGATGGACCCTTGATCGATTGCCATGTGCTGTTGTTGTGGAAATGAATGAATGAAAGGCGGCCGAGGAACAGGCAACTGCCGAATGTTTTGCATTCTTCGATAGCTTGAGGCAGCCATCCATATTCACCTACGCACAGTCTGAGTAGGTAATGCCTTTGCAGCCCTTCCTCGAACCCATCCACTTCTCCACTCTCTCTCTCTCTCTCTCTCTCTCTCTCTCTTTCCACCATCGTCGATCGCATCTCCATCAAGTGTCGTTTGTCGAGATGAAGATTGCAGTCATAGGCGCCGGAGTCTCAGGACTATCCTCCACTTGGGCTCTCAACGAGTACTCATGCCATGAAGTGCACCTGTTCGAACCACTAGCATGGATTGGTGGGCATGCCAACACGGTTTCCTTTACTCCTCCTACTTGCGCCTCATCCTTATCCGCACCTTCAACTCCCGTAGACACTGGGTTTATCGTCTTCAACCAGGATACCTATCCGAACTTTCTTGCATTTCTCAAGCTTGCTGGGATTGCGATTCTCAACTCTGACATGTCGTTTTCTGTGAGCCGTTACTTGGGAGGTTATGGAGCGTTCGAGTGGGCAGGTGGTAGTGTCGGAGCTCTGTTTTGCCAGACGAGTAACCTTTTCAACCCAGCTCATTGGAGAATGGTATGGGATATAATCCGTTTCAACCAACAATCCCTTGATTACCTCCGCACTTGCCACCAAAGCGAGAAACAAGGCCGCGGTGGGAAAAGGGAGGAGAGTATCGGCGAATGGTTAGATCAACGCAACTACTCTCCCTCGTTCCGCAAAAACTACCTGATCCCAATGACAGCTTCCATCTGGTCAACCGCTCCAGAAACGGCGCTCTCCAGTTTCCCCGCTTTGACCCTCCTCCGTTTCATGCACAACCATCACTTACTCCAGATCCTAAACCGACCACAATGGTTGACCGTCAAAAACGCAAGTCACTCCTACGTCCAACGCATTATGTCTAAGCTTCCCCAAGCGAGGTTACATCAGGGTCGCCAGAAGGGGCAGGTGGTAGCGGCATGGGTAGATGCCAAGACGGCCAAGTGGACCATCAAAACTGCCGATCGTAAGCAACAGAAAGGATGGGATAGGGTCATCTTTGCATCTCATGCAGATCAAACCATGCAAATCTTGACCCAAGGATATGCACTCGGCAACGGCGGAGAGGGAGAAGCGCTGAAAGAGGCTGTAGGGCTTTTGGCGAACTTTGCTTTTAGCCAAAACAGTGCCGTCTTGCACAGTGATGTGAGGTTGATGCCAAAGAGAAGGCATGCTTGGTCAGCTTGGGATTTCTTAGCTGAAACTGTCACCTCTTCTGCTTCCACCGGTGCTGCAATCTGCAATGAGACTGCCAAAGAAGGAAGGAAACAAGTAGCAAACTCAAGCGACGTAGACCGTGTATCGCTCACTTACTACATGAACCTACTCCAGTCCCTACCCGAAAGCAAATTTGGCCCAATCCTAGTCACCCTAAACCCCACCACAGACCCCTGCTCCCCTTACACACCCCGACGAGAACTAGTGCTTAAACACCAAGCTTACACACACCCTATCTATACGCGACATTCCGTCGCTGCGCAGCGCCAACTCGGAAATTTGCAAGGCGTACAAGGTGCCTATTTCGCAGGTGCCTGGACCAACTATGGCTTCCACGAAGACGGTTTCAGCTCAGGTTTGAAAGCAGCAGAGCGCATAGAAGGCGTCTATCTGCCATTTGAGATCAGGGATGCTGAGAGGCACCTTCCCAGGCAGAAGCAGTGGCAATGTACCCTGGTGGAAAGCGTAGATGCCTTGGGAAGAGGTCCAGTGGTGAGGCGCCTGACAGCGGTCGTTTGCTGGCTGGTGGTGTATCTTTTGGCCGTGTTGCAGATGATACTGATGATCACAGGGGTTAGCAGGCATGTTTGGATGGGAGTGGGCAGGGTTAAAGGCTATTGGAGGCATTCTTTGCGTGGTCTTGATGGTGGGGAGACCAAGGAGATTAAAGCAAACTAGCCTCAATGGTTGGTATAGAGGATACTCGGATAGATTCATGCCGATCCAATGCAATCTTCATCTGGTCCGAGTAATGTGATGCCAAGTTAGTTTGCGATGAGAGTCTTGAGGAATTTCTTCACTTTCCCTCCGGCCCCATCCCTGTCTTCCTTGCTTGTGTGCTCTCTGTCCATCCTTCGCTCGATCCATCCCACAAACGGATCATTACATCGCTTCTCTTCAGGTCTAACCCAAATCAACCTATAATCACGATCCTTCTGATAATTAAACCAACTAACGCCGCTCATCCATCTCAACTCCCTCTTGACCTCTTTGCCCGTCACAACCTGCAACCACTTCAGTTTGGCCTCTATGCCTCGAGCCTCTCTGTGATCGTAGTGCAAACCTGTTTCGCCCAATATAAACGGCCTCCGCTCTGAGCAATATTTATTGTGCAGTATCCGCATTTTTTTAACAAAGTCTCCCGAATCGAGACAGCCTGGTGCGGGGCAATAGTAGTCGATGCCGACGTAGTCTACATATTCCAGACTCGGAAGATAGGTTTGGTATTCTTGCAGCGCATCGGTTGAGGTGGAGGCGATATTCGGGCACCAAAACATCTTTATCCTCTCCTTGTACGGCGAGGGTAGGGAGCGGCAAGCGAGAGCGACTTGGTCAAATGCAGTGCCATAATCCAACCCTGGATTGGAGGCGTCGGTGGGAGGAGGGTATAGGCCCGAGGAGATGTAGTAGTTCATTTCATGACCGAATCTCAACCTCACTTCCGAGATGGCGTACTCGGTGCAGGAGATCCGGCTGCGATCGATGAGTGTAGATATCGCCTGGGCGATTTCCCGAGCTTTGGTGTTGTTGGACGGGGTGTAGCCAGCCCATGATTGAAACGGCATAACGGAAGCTTCGTATATAAAAGGGACATGGGAAAGGGTGTAAGATGATTTAAGATCGTCGACGAGAGGTAGCAGTTGAGAACCGGTAAAGGTCTCGTTGGGGTATGTTTGGGCGTACCAGCCGACGGTGGTGATGATAGGGCAAGGGCGGGGGGTTGTAGGGGGCCAGGAGGTGGAAAGGGCGGTGTTGAGGTGTGAGAGGTAGGACTTTGTGCCTCCGGAGTCTCCTTCGTCTGGGTAGAAGCCGATGGATATGCCATTTACGCTTAAAACGCTCATCTTTGCGGTGGCGGTGGCGGTGGCGGTGGTGGTGGTGGTGAGAGCGATAGTTGCAGAGTGAGAGTCATCAAGGTGCCAAGTTGTGCAACCATGATGAGTTTGCAGGACAACGCAACAAGCTCAAGCTCGGCACGATTGCCTGCAGAGTTGCATTATCCGGGATCCGATATTTCTCCCCATTCCCCGATATCCATCCCATCGGGGATATCGCTTATCGAGATGAAAATTTTAAATTCGCGCGGTTGGCGGAAAGAAGAAAGCTGTGTTGAAATTTTTGCCAGTCAACAGCCTCGAACGCTTTCCCCTACCTCGACCATCTCCTCGTACCTCCAGGCTATACACTCGCAACAATGCCGACCGCGATCGTCTCCAACACCACCACTTCTCTCGACGGCACAGCGCTCCACGCCGCCTCAACCTCCAAATTCAAACCCACCTCCGTCGACGAAAGCCCAACTGCCTTCCAATTCGATCTTGGTCTTCTAACGTCGATCAACCCTAACCCGCTTCCCTCCTCCCCTCTTACCCCCGAAATCCTCTTATCCCGAACTCGCGATGGAGTTCAATCCCTCGTCAACCGAATCTTTACTCTCCCCATTACACGAGATCCCGAGAATGGCCCACTCGCTGTCTTGCCTCAATTCACTTCGAAGTTGCCTCGAGAAAAGAGCATGCCCAAACCCAAACCTCTTACCAAATGGGAGAAGTTCGCTAAACAGAAAGGCATTCAATCCAAGAAGAAAGACAAGATGATCTACGACGAGAACACCAACGAATGGCTTCCCCGATGGGGATACAAAGGTGCTAATAAAGATCTCGAAGATCAGTGGATCCACGAATTGAAGAATAATGCAAACACCGATATCGATCCCGCCAAAACTGCAAAGAAGGAACGCCTGGCGAAGAAGGAGAAAAATGAAAAGCAGAGGATGGGCAACCTTGCGAGAGCTGCAGCGGCTAGTTCTGCTTCTGCGGTGAAAGGTGGCAAGAGTGGCGGCTTGGGTGATGCAAATGCAAGTGCAAATGCAAATGCAAATGCAAATGCGGCTAAACTTGCTAGGGCTGCAGCTAGGGAGAAGAGGAAAGCAGAGTTAGAGGCCGATGTTCTCCGATCAAGGGCTAGCACAGCTAGTATGGGAAGGTTCGATAAAACGCTCAAAGGTGAGCAAAAGCAGAAGGGGATCAAGAGAAAGTTCGGTGCGAATGAGAAAGATACCAAGGTGGAGAGAGAGGCTAATTTGGCATTGTTGAATAAGCTGGGGACGAGTGCGATGAGGAAGAAGGCTGCAAACAGTGCTGGGCAAGGTGATGCGGATTTGGTCAACTCGAGAAAGGCAGTTCAGTTCGCTACTGGTGGACATGGAGTGACTAGTATGCGTGATGGTGGGAAGGGCAAGAGGGGTAGGAAGTGATCTTCTTCATCACTGCCGTTTGTGTAGTCTGTTTGTTTTACATTCGCTTTCATCAATCATATCATTTGCATCGAAACAGATAGAGAAACACACTTGGATGCTTGCGCTACATTCTCAACAGTTACAAGGCAGTGGGAAAGTAGGTCTCCCAAACTGCACCTCTAGCAACTCATCTCCAACAAATGCTGTTCAGCCATGATGTCCACTCTTGACAATCGCGCATTCGAGGCTAGAGTCGCACAATCACACACCACCATCTCCTTTACACTCTCCTGCATTGCATTCGGAGGCTAGGTTAGTCCCACAACTTGATCTCGGCATCCCAACCGGCAGTAACGACTTTACTGGATTCATGCGGCAACCAGGCACATGCAATCACCGCTTCCCTATGAGCTGCTCTCAATCTTTTCAACAACCTCGTTGTTTTCCAATCCCAAAAGCACACATCCCCTTGCCCGTCGCCGCTGCTCAGAAACCTGCCATCTGGACTGAAGGCGACTCCGCATGCAAAGCCTGCGACGTTGTGCCCTTTAAACACCTTGTTTCTGTTCTGTTTGAAGCCATCGCTGGCAAAGGTCAAGATCTGATTATCCATGCTTTGCCCCACCAACCACTTGCCACTCGGCGACAAGCCTACCGCTGGCATAGAATGCATGGTGGGATCAGCAATGTATTTGATCACCACGGGAATGTCGTAGTCCCAAACACGCATCGTTTTGTCGTCCGAAGTGGTTACGAAGCGACGGTTGTTATCGACGAACGTGATCGTGTTGATGGGTCCCAGGTGGGAGATGTATTCTTGGACCATGGTGTGAGTGTTGATGTCGTATTGGAGGATTTTTTTATCCGACGTTCCAGCGAGGAAGATGTGTTGTTTATCTTCGTCCGGGTGCCAGGTGAGGCAGTAGGGGGTTTTGTTGGACGTGAAGCTGTCGAGACATTGACCTGTTTCCGTGTCCCATAGTTTGATCTCTTTGTCGTATCCTGCCGAGAGGAATCGACGCCCGTCGTTGGAGAAGGCGATATCGCGTACAGCTTTGGAATGCCCCATGAATGTGCGGAGACAGTTGCCTTCGTGGTAGACATCCCACAGTTTGACGGTTGTATCGTGCGAACAAGATAACAGGAGATGTCCGGAACGAGGGAAGAGTTTGAGCGAGGAAATGCCTTTGGTGTGGCCGCGGAAAGTGTGTATGCATGATTTGGGGAGATAACATTCTTGTTCACCTGGTTCAGAGGAAAGGTTTACGTCGACATCGGTAGGGATGTGCATGTATGTGCGTCCTTGATAGTCGTAGAGACTTTTGCCGTGCAAGATGGATGTTTCGGTGATTTTGGTGGCTTCCTCTGCTGCTTTTCTCTCCTTTGCTGCAACTTGTTTCTCTCGCTCGCGGGCTTCAGCTTTTGCTTTGGCCGCTGCAATCTCTGCTTGACTGGGGCCAACACTCGCATCAGCCCCCAAAAGTTGTGTTGCAATGTCGGAACCCGCATCCCACTTTGCCCAAGGTCCAACATAGGCTCCTTCGCCTTCTACTACGCTTGGATCTCCTGCGTTCTGCGCATTCCTCTTCTTCTTCAACGCCTTTGTAGCAGGTCTGTAGGCAGCGTTGTTAGCGCGTATCTCAGCTGCAGAAGCTCCTCCCAGTAGTGCCGCTGCATTTTGGTCGCCCACAAACCCTCGGCTGCCCACGAGAGAAGGATCACGAGCATACCCATAGACGTGAAAAGTGCGTTGTTGATTACGAAAATCGAAATCAGACACTGCTGCGGATTCGATGTGACCGGTGAGAGTGTTTTGGGCTGCTCCAATAGTGCGTTGTGAGTTAGAAGCGAAAGGATTTTCAGGCCCGAGTTGAGGAGCGATCATATCGGAATACGGGATGTTGACGTGCATTGTGGTGTCGCCCGGTCGCATGAGCAGGGCTTCGGATGCAGAGGAGATGTCGATGACTTCTGGTGCCAGTGCTACCGCGGTGGAGGTAGAAGTGGATGGGGTAGCGATGAAAGAGGTGCTAGCTGCGGCTGCTTCTGGTGCGGTGGCCTTCTTTTTCCTTTTCGAAGGCGGGGATTGTGCTTGCGCCTGAGATTGTGTTTGAGTAGAAGTAGAGGACCCGCCCTTGAGGCTACCTAGTCCGAAAGCATCGGATGGGTCATAGTCCAAAGCTTCAACATCGACTTGCTTGACAGCCTGCTTAGAAGCTGACTGTTCAGCAATACCGCTATCGTCCGAACCGGAGCTGTATCCTGCGAGTGCGTCCATCGTTTCTCTAGCCTCTCTTTTCTTGAGAGTGTTGAAGATCTTTGATGGAAGTTTGGTTGAGGTGCAAGTAAAAGGGTCAGATTTTAAGATCCACATTTCGGTGTCAGGGTTCGCGAGTCGCGAGTTCCGAGTTCCGAGTTCCTAGTTGCAGTTCCGAGTTGCGAGTTCCGAAATTCGATCCTAAATTTTTGGACCCGAAGTTCTTCTATTTATTTTTTTTCCCCTTTTTTTGGGGGCTGCCTCCTCTTACTCCATCTTCCACCCATACCAACCCCAGCAGATACCATACCACACGAGGCTTCGAAGGCAAAGATGCCGTTCGACCCGCGCACAAAGTCTCGCAAAACCACCACACTCCCAGCAGCACTTCGCGATGAGTTGGGTTTACCAGCTCCTTCTGTCGGCAGGCGGAATTTTAAGCCTCATGATAGACGGTTTGATTCACGACAAGGAAAGGCACGGCTGAAGGTGATTGGAAGACCACAGAATGATGCGCCGCGCGGACCGATAAAGTCACTGCGAAACCAGGAGAAGGAACAGCAAGAAGAGGCGAGACAGCGTCATCAATCACAGCCTCAACAACAGAAGCCCAAGCCAAAGCCAAAGCCAAAGCCAAAGCCAAAGCAGCACAGCCAGGAGAAGCAGAAGAAGGATGCGGCTCCTTGCTCGGCTCCCAAAGCAGAGAGTTCAAAACGCAAGCACGAAGAAAGACCTTCAAAGGAGTTACAAGTCGTCAAAAAGCCAAAATCAACCCTATCCCAGCCGCCTCTCGAAGAGCCCAAGACAAAGCTCAACCCGTTCACTGGCGAGCTGGAGCTCGTTCAACCAGCAAAGAAAATGGCCTCGTCTGCAGGCAAGCCAACCGCGCTGGAGAAGATGCTTGCTCGTGCAGAAGCAGGGCCCTCTTCCAAGGGTAAAGCTAAGGCCAAGGATGGGTTGGGGGGACCGCTTAAGAAGAAGAGTCGAAGACAAATGACTCAACAGGAGAAAGAAGAGGAGGATGAGATTAGATGGTTAGAGTATAGTTTGGGGAAGAGTAGACAGGGAGAGGATGTGGTTAGGGATGACTTGGATGATTTTTTGGACGATTTGGATCGGTTTCAGGTTGGAATGTATGATCGGAGCGGTAGTGATAGTGAGGGGGAGGGGCAAGGAGAGGGGGAGAGTGATGATGATTCTGGGTTGGAAGAGGCTAGTGTCAGTGAAGAAGAAAGCACTGGAGAGAGTGATGAAGAGGAAAGTGAGGTGGAGGAGAGAGAGAGTGAAGAGGGGAGGGAAGAGGAGGAAGAGGAGGAAGAGGAAGAGGAGGAAGAGGAAGAGGAAGAGTTGTACGATTTCGATTCGAACGATGAAGCTGATTTTAGTAATTGGGACGCTGCGATGGCCACTACTGATGAAGAAGCCGAGCAAGAAGACCCCGAGGAGGAGGAGGAGGAGGAGGAGGAAGAAGAAGAAGAAGAAGAAAAAGAAGAGTCCGACGATGATTCTGAAGAGTTGGATTCGGAAGCAGAAGAAGCTCGAGCGCTGATCTCTGGGTCCGCTAGCACCACCGACGCAACCTCATCCTCGGCCCCGGCAGCTCCAGCAACAGCAACGAAATACATCCCACCAGCTCTCCGAGCCAAAATGCCCGCCTCCACCACCACCACTGCCACCTTTGGCGCAGGAGTGACGGACAGTGAAATGGATCCCCTAACAGCCCAGAAACTGCGCCGTCAAGTTCAAGGTCTCCTCAACCGTCTCGGCGACGCCAACATCGACACGATCCTAGCCGAATATGAATCTCTCTACCGCACCCATCCGCGCGCACACGTCACTTCTACCATCACCCAGTTGATTCTCGACACAATTACATCTCGCTCTAACCTCATCGATACTTTCGTCATCCTTCATGCCGCGCTTGTCGCTGCGTTGCATAAAGTTGTTGGGGTGGAGTTGGCTGCGTATTTCATCACTCGCTTGGTCGAGGATCTCACCAGACACTACGAAGAGCTGAAGAAGGATTCGAATAAAGCAGAGGGCGAAGAAGAGGAGGGAAGGGGCAAGGAATGTATGAATTTGACGGTATTACTCTGCGAGCTTTACAATCTGCACGTTGTGGCTTGCCCGCTGATCTACGACCTGATCAGGATGTTCCTCGGCACCTCAGAAGAGAGGAAGGTGGGGGAAGTGGATATCGAGTTGTTGCTCAAGACAATTCATTCTTGCGGCCATTCTCTTCGACACGACGACCCTACATCTTTGAAAGCGATCATTGGGCTGTCTCAAAGTCGAGTTGCATCCTCACCCACCTCATCCACTCTGTCAACCAGGACAAAATTCATGCTCGAGCGAATGAAGGATCTGCAATCCTCCAAAAAAGCTTCTGCCAACACCAACGATGCTTCCAACCCTAACAGTCCTTCCGGGCAACTCTTGACTAGGATGAAAAAGTATCTCTCAGGTCTATCCAAAAAGCGCACTGTCCGTTCGCACGAAGCACTCCGCATTGGGCTCAAAGATCTACAAGATGCGGATAAGAAAGGTAAATGGTGGATAGTTGGGGCTGCATGGACAGGGCAAAATGATCAAAACGATGCACAAGGATTGACAAAGTTGTTACCCATGAATGCTAGAGCAAATGCTATCCAGTCTTCCCCCTCCGCCTCTCTTAAGCAAGGGGAGCAAAGTGGAGAACAGCAAAGATTGTTAGCATTGGCCAGGGTGCAAGGGATGAATACGGATGCACGTCGAACTGTCTTCCTGACGCTGATCACCAGCGAAGATTACAAACAGGCTGCGGAAAACGTTCTCATGCTGAAACTGAACGATGTGCAACGACGGGAAATCATCCGTGTTCTAGTCCACTGTGTTGCTTCCGAAAGCGTCTACAACCCTTACTATACACTGATTGGACAGGAGATCTGTAGGAACGATCACGGGATGCGCATCACTCTTCAGTATTGTCTATGGGATTTTCTGAGAGAGATAGGACAAAAGGAGGTGGGAGGTGAAAAATTCGCTGCTGCTCTATCCACTCCAGAAGAGGAGGAACAAGGGAAAAACGTGCATCCGAGAAGAGTGGCCAACTTGGCTAGAGCCTATGCATGGTGGTTCAGCCATGACTGTTTGTCTTTGCAAGCTTTGAAGACGGTGGATTTTACGATGGTGATGCAAGAAAGGCCCTCTCAGTTTTTGGGCTTGTTGCTTGTTCATGTGGTGTTGAGTCTTCAGGCCAAGTCTCCAGCTAAGACGTTACATCTGCCGACGGTGACAGGCGCTTTGAAGGAGGGGAAGGTGGTTAAGTGGATGCAGAGTAACTTGATGGGCGGAAGTGTGGATTTGACCAGAGGGTTGTTGTTCTTTTTCAACACCAAACTCCATCCAAGAGCGCAGAAAGCATTGATTCTGGGAGAGGAAAAGGCAAGCAAAGCGGTAAGGGTAAAAATGAAACCTTTGCTCGAAACAGTCAAAGAAGGGCTAGGCGTCATGGTGAGGACGGTGCAGATGATCGTGCAGCAGCAGGATGGAGTTGCCGCCTCCACAGCAGAAGATGTTGTGATGCAGTCGGATAGCGACGACCATGATAGCATTGGTGATGATAGCATTGGCAATCGTTTCTAGTCTAGTCAGACCTCAAATCCACAGACTTTCCTCTTCTGCTATGGTCAAGTGTGCATTGTAAAGCGAAAGAAGCAACCGCATCACTTATCCCCATCTTGCGTCTTCCTCCTCTTACTAGCAGCCACCATCTCTCTCCTCTTATTCGCCTCTCTCCTTCCCACACTACTCGCGGCACTAGTTCTAATATCTTTCCTCTCCGGCGCTCTCTGTTTCAACGTCTTCCTGCCCTTCTTCCCGGGACCTTTCAATGTCAACATCCATTCCGGCACCTCGCATCCACTTTGTCGCATAACATTCACCACCGTTTTTAGATGCGCTGCGTCTTCTTTTGTAAAATAGGTTATCGCTCTACCCTCTCTACCCGCTCTACCCGTTCTTCCGATTCTATGAATGTAGGATTGCACCGATTGTGGAAAGTCATAGTTTATAACCAGTTGGACTCCTTTGAAATCTATACCTCGAGCCATCAACTCTGTGCAAATGAGTACCCATAGGTCTCCGCGCTTGAAGGCGGACATGACCCCTTCTCGTTGCACTTTAGGCCGTTCAGAGTGAATAACGTCTAGGTGCAGTCCGTCGTATACGAGTTCGTGAAAGAGGTCTTTAGCGCGTTGGATACTCTGTACGAAGAGCAATACGGGTGGTTTTAAACCTCCTTCCTGAATCAGAGAGCGCAGGGCGTGAAGTTTGCCATCTTCAGAACCTACGAATTGAAGTTCTTGCTTGATGGTTTCGGTTGCTGAATCTTTTGTTCCTACAATAACTCGACATTCATCTATCATAAACGTCTTGGCCATTTCCTCCACCGCGGCTGGTAAGGTAGCTGAGAACAAAGCCTTACGAAGATGCGGATGGGAACAAGCAGCTAGAATGGAATCCGTTTGCTCCAAGAAGCCATCTTCCAGCAGTCGATCTGCTTCATCCAACACCAGGTGTCGAACATTGCTGAGATCGACCTCTTCTTTTTCCACCGCATGAACTAATCGCAGAGGTGTAGTGATGAGGATGTCAAACTTCTTTCGCTTGCTCGGGTCCGAAACGTGGGCATTAATGTCTGCGATTTTGGTGAGGACGCAAATACGGAAGTTTTGAGCTTCGGAAAGACGTCGTAGTTGCTCGTATATCTGCTGTGCGAGCTCTCGAGTGGGGGAGACGATGACGGCGCGGAAATGTTCTGATTTGTTAGGCGATCGAAGATGGTGTAGCAGCGGAAGAAGGAATGCTAGGGTTTTACCGGATCCTGTTGGTGCGCCTGCCAACAGGTCTCGATTAGAGAGGAGCACTGGCATGGCTCCTTTCTGGATTGCTGTAGGGATTCCCCATCCGTACTTCTCCAGGTTGGTTCGGAGCCAGGGTTGAACGTTGAATCGAGATTCTAGCTCACCCCAGGAAGCCATGGGGAGGGGTACATCGGTGCCTTTAACTTTGATCTTGTTCTTCTTCAAAAAGCTGCTTAGAGAGGATTTTGTAACTGGTTGTTTGTCCTCCCGCTCTTCCTCTTCTTCGCTTTCGTCGGCAGAGTCGGCTTTGGAGTCAGGGGAGGAAGCACGACGTTTTGAATCCTTGTTCTGTTTCTCAACCGCCGAAGTTGTCGATTTGGCTTTTGCTGCTGATCCAAAAAAGTCCAGGCGGTCAGGTAGGATCACTTTTGATGTTCCTCCATTCGAAGCTGTGGGTGTTGAACAAGTGGATGAGTTTGCAGTGCTGCGTTTGCGTTTACATTTGCTCGACGCTTTGGCGGAGGCGGTGGATGAAGAGGAGGCTTGGGGATCAGAAGCTCCACCGAAGATCTTTAGATCGTCTTGAAAACGCTTCTTGTCGAAACGGGCTCCTCCGCCCGCTAGTGTTCGGAAGATGTCCATGGCTGGTGCTATGTGCGGTTTCGTTGGTACGAGAGGTGATTGAAGGTGGTGAAGGTGATTGAAGATGGTGAAGGTGGTGAAGGTGGTGAAGGTGCACGAATAGTTCTGTCTTGGCAAGGTAAAAATCAATTTGCGCGAATCTTGGAAAAATTTGGCTTTGGTGTGGAGTTGCAATTTTCCGAGATCCGAATGAAAAGTGAAAAAAATCTAACAAACCAGAATGGCGCAACACCATTGGCATCGATGATGCTTCGGTCGCTGTGGCTTCCAGCACCAGCTTTCTCCGGTCACTCACGAACCACACGGTAGCCAGAGGTAGGTTCTTCACAGAGGGGCTCTTGAATGACAAATGGGTGTTGTACAGATGCGATAGAAATACAAGGAGAAAGCGACGACATGCGCAGGCACAATCTGCCTCTGCGAGCTGGAATCGGCGTGAGGGGACACCCTTCAGCCAAAGCTCCATACTTGCACCTGCTCGCGTGCATATTGCGGATCGACAATCGACAAGCTCGACCGAGCATGTGCATCAGTATAGGCAACAATGCTAACAATCTTGTCAAAGGCGGTCGAAACCCAACGAATGACACCTCTAGCTTGACGATCGAGCACCCGACTACGCACGAGTTGCCCCAGCGATGGTCCTAGAGGTCGACCGTTCCTTGATGTAGCCTGACTGGTATGAATGCGACCATCTGCAGAGTCGAGCTCGACCGGCGTACGCAAAGTCAAAACATGAGTCATATGCTTTGCTGCCTCCTCATCATCTTGCTCTTGGGCAATCGTCGAGCTCGCAGACCGCGCTCCCGTCGTGCCTGAAAGATCAGCGTGTGTTTGGGGCGCAAAAGGCATCATACTAGCAACAGACTCGGTCTCATTCGACCGATCTCCCAAACTCCAGACCATGATGCTACCATCTGCACTTGCGCTCACGCATCTCCCATCTTCGAGCGCAACGCTGTGGACGCTTCCTGTATGACCGTGTAAGCTTCGGCGGTGAACGAGGCGGAGCGAATCTCGTGGTGAGACTGGAGTGGCTGTTGCTGAGCGATGGGACGAGGTTGGCGTGCAATCGAGATCTCGTCGGACGTAGGTTGTTGCACCGAGTAGCTCGTACACCTCGAGCAAGTTGTCGCTTGCTCCGACGACTACGAATGGGTCATCGTAGGTCAGACTTGTTGTTCGGCTGCGTTTTGCAGATGGGCAAGCATGGTCAGCGTGGTTAGCCTCATCACCACTGGATGCATTGGTGAGCGAAGTCGGAACAGCAAAAGCTCCTGCTGCGGATGAAGCACCGTGATGAGCGGCGAGCATAGACCGCCCTCTCAAATCGAGTGGTGTTGATCTGAAAGGATGCTTTGCGGTTGCGTGTCGACTCGTCAGACCTGCTGGTGTCGCTGTAGATGATGCGAGATCAAGTCGAACAACAAGTTCTTGGACAGAAACGTTGCAGGAAGAGGGATAGCTTGGTGTTGAGTAGGCCAGCGTGACACGGAATGCTGCCTCTTCTTTGAGATCAGCGTGATAGCGTCGCTGCGGTGACATGGAGGAAGAAGAGCGACAATGTCGTTTGTTGACATCGTGAAAAGGGAGCTTCTTGAGACGCAGTGCTGCTGGCCAGGAGGGTCGGTAACTGGTCATACGCTGAACCAGGTTCAGCTGTGTCTTTGCGGACAACGAGATACTGAGCTGATAGAAGCTGACATCAAAGGTGGACGAGCACAACACGAGAGCCGGCGAATGGAGGGCCGCCATAGTGACATGCTGTCCCGATGTGTATGTTGTTGGTCGGTAGGAGATTTCTTCGGTGGCCTCGATAGTTGCCTTGCCGTCTTTGGTTGTGCGGTGGAGAGCGAACAAGCTGATGTGTCCAGTAGAGAAGGCCACTAGGACTCTTGTCGTTTGCTGAGGAGATCCTGCCAAGTCAGCAGGGGTTTTGCGCTTGCGATCGCTGGAGCTTGTTCTGGCAGCTAGGTCTGTAACACTGACAGCATCAACTGCGATCTCTGTGACGTGGGCGTTTGCTAGGGCTGCGTCGGAGGGGCGCTCAGATAGGAGCCGTTGCAAACTCGGCGAGGAGAAAGAGGCGAGTGGGGCTCGTTTGTGTAAGTCCTTGGGCACGTACTGAGTGTCTTGGTCACTGTGAGGATGATGGACAGGAGAAGGCTCGGAAGGGTATACAGAAATGCATGGCAATGTTCTTGCGCCATTCTGGCTGGAGGGAGGGGCAGTGAAAATGAAGCTTTCCGAGACTCGAGCAATGGTTTGCTGGGATGCGGTGGCTGGTGGCTTGTGCAAACTGGTTGGAGGGGTATAATCTCGTGCACGGGCTGGTGGCTGCAGTTGGGAAACAGCAAAGTTGCCTGCGTGCCAGTTTGTGGAGACCCTGTAAAGCTGCTCCCAGTCGAGCAGATGGTCGTTGACTCTATCCTCAACATCTGCACGGTTGGAGAAGAGGAAGTCGAGAGGGTGCACTGCTTGTTCTATCGCCTCTGCAGTCGAGTGGGAGGAATGGGATGTTGCATAGAAGCGGCTAGGCAAGCGGTGAATGCGCCTGCTACCATCGGCAGCGACATGCTTCCTAGAGGGCAGGTTCTGATGCAACAGAAGCGACCTCAGCTCGCGAAGTGTGGGCAAGGTCGAGCTTGTGGAACTCTCGGCGGGCTGCACAAAGCGAAAGTAGAAGAGACGTTTCCAGAGGTGGCGGTCTTTAGCTAGGGTACGGAGCTGCGAGCTGACTAGTTGGAGACGAGCGAGATGTGGAGCATCGAGATGGCTCAGAATGCGCAAGATAGTTTCGTCTGGAAGCAAGTGATGCATCGTGGATGTGGTCGACGATGGTCTCTGACGCTACGCAGGATGAGGTGGGATCTGCTTTTGAGCACGAGAGCATGGCCACCGTTGCGCTCCAACATGGACTCGTGCACACATCTGGCGAGGTGAGTGGGATAGAGGGATCAAGGTGCTATCTTGTTCGTTGAAGGTATGGAGGATGATCAAGAAGGTCAGTTGCGGCCCAAGCTTTAAGGCTGAGTTTCTGCGCCAAGAAGCCGAAACTTGCGAAAACCTAACATTGTTTGCTTCCGCCCTTTTCCACCGCCCTTTTCCACTGTCATTTCGAGGCGATCCGAAGGCGGCTGTGATCGAAGGAGAAGAAGGCAGAAGACCAAGGCGAAGCTGAAAGTAACCATCCAATATGATGATGTAAGCTGACATGAGACGATACGGGAGGGATCGGGCAAAGTCGATCTGATCACAACTAGAGATCGGGTACAACCTAGTCCACTCGTTGTCAGACTTGGTCATTAAGTAGGATGTACCCATGTTCTGCGAGTGGCACTCACTTTGTATATATATCAAGCTGAGAGCACTAGGCTCTCGCCATGTTCTTCAGTCAATTGAGTATATATGTTTTGTTGGAAGGCTAGTGGACTGTGACAGGACACGGTTGTATTGAGCACTCGACGTTGATGAGTAAGTACAATAGGATGGATAACAACACAAACAAACTAGCCGACTTCGAGCACTCTATATATACACCTTGACACTGACGCAAAGATAGGAGAGAGGTCTGAAACATGAGGGGCATGAGGACCCTCAAGTAGAGGTCCGTCCTCTCTGAGGGACTTTTGCCACCCTGAAGAGGAGTATCGACGGAGGCTTATCATCTGAAGGAGACTTGTCCACCGCCTCGTCGGATGCGCCGATCTGATCGTCGGAGACCACCCGACGGAGAGCCCGACAAGTCTTGTCATCGTGAGAAGAACTGTCGGCCGCCCCGTCGGATGTGCCGATCACTTCAACGGGCACTACTCGACGGAGAACCCGATGAAGCTTATCATCGTGCGAACCTTTGTCGGGCGTCCCGTGAAAGACCGTTCATCGGACTCCCGGTGTGAGTCGATAACACCTAGTTGAAGATGCGTCGGCATCTCAAGCGATATGCACGCGCCACAGCCGAGACACTGAGGTGCAGGGAGCTCACATAAGTGAGGAACACAATGAAGTAAGTGGTAGTCATCATGATGATGGTCCAGTGGCACCCGGTATCATAGCAACGCAGGGGTACAGATGAAGTGACATGTCTTGTTTCATATGTCACTAGAGCAGTGAATGGAGTATATATATATGTGTTTGTCATTTAGGTTTACTCTAATGAAAACTAAGCATTACATAGAATATATGGCTGTTGTAAAGGGAGTCTGATCATGACCCCAATAAACGCCATGTATTAATTGTTATCTTCAATTGATTAAGAGTCTGAAGAAGCTATCACTGAGCTAACCGAAACTCATCGACAATAATGGTAGAAGACACTGAAATGAGGGTCAAAGGAAGCAGAAAAGGCAAGAACACCCAGGTTCGAGTTGACAACAATGCCACGAACGAGAACGAGCCAGAGGCCATCGACAATGAAGCTGACAAAGACACCAATTCTGACTCTGACTTCGATGATGGCGACAAGTGATACAACTTTCGCACCCTAGCAAAGCTCCTTGAACCTGTGCCAAAGCTCACATCATGCAGCTATTATAGCTGGAGCACCCACATGAAATCTTTCCTCCAATCCATGCCTCATGTGATGAAGCATCTCAAAGGAGCATATGACAAGAAGCACCCAAAATGGAGCTGCTCCCTCAATGATGCTTTAATCAACACTCTGCATGGAACAATTGACACTACTGGAGAATACAATGTAAATTACCTCGTTCTAGATGTGATCAAAGAGTACCTTACTTTCAACCAAGTATGGAGAAAGATCGAAAACAGCCTCACAAATGAAGCCACCAAGATGTCTCACAGACTTGTGCTCATCTCGCAGCTCAATGACATAAAGATGTTTTACTCGGATGCCAGAAAGCTAATTCAAGAGATCCAGTCCATACAGACTGAAAGTAGCCTCCTTGGCAAACCATTCGCCGATGATACATTGTTCTCGGTTCTGCAGAAATGCATGATCTGGCATCCGGTGTATAAGGAGACGGTCACCACCATCCATCAAATCGATTTCAACACCCTCGCCACTGCACTAAGCATCCGACAGACTGCTGTCGAGAGTGTCCCCATGCAAAAGATCGACCCCCACCAAGCCAGTGCCCAGACTGCCAGCAATGATGATCAAAGCGAATGGACTGGAGAGACTGAAGCTGAAGCCGACAATAGCCCCACAAGCCTGAAGAACACAGGAAGATCATGCCAAATCTGATGCTGGATCTGCAAGCAACCGGGACATGGGATTAGTCAATGCGACACTATGGTTACCATTCCCAAAGACTCCCCCCTCGCCAAACCTAAATAGGAAGCATGGTGCTCCCTCACCCTCTCACAAGACCCCCCGAACACCAAGGAAACAGCTCATTGGATCTTGGATTCAGGGGTGAGTTATCACATGGTGAACAACTATAGCATGCTCATCCACCTGAGAACCTGCCGAAAGTGGATAATTACTGCTGGAAGCAAGGTTTTGGAAGCGGCAGCTATAGGAGATGCAAGCATATCAACAGATTACAGGGAAATTTCCCTCCAAAATGTACTATATGTGAAGCATCTTAATATTAACCTTCTGTCAATGAATTCACTAACGGATGAAGGAGCATGAGTGACATTGGACGCAACTGGCAGCCAGATCATTCTAACAAACAGCATGACACTTAAAATTGCAAAGAATTGCGAGCAAGGACTTTTGGAGTTCCAAGGTGACACATGGCAAGAAAGTGCAATGGTCATGTCAGCATCACTGTTTGAAGGTGTTGACGAGGAGTTCGAGCATATTAAGAATGAACTGAAAGTTTCAAAGGAACAACTATGGCATGAGCACCTTGGACACCCAGGAAGAGACAAAGCCAGGACAATCACGAGTAAATTAAAGAATGGGCATACCATGCATTTGGATCCAAACACTGCTCTGACATGTGAGCAATGCATACGATCCAAGAGCACAAGTGCCCGGATGGGGCAAGGTAGTGGCAAAAGAGCTGTGGGGCCCCTGGATCTCATCCACATCGACCTAATAATAGACTCGTCCCATGTGACGGAGTATACATGTACTCTGGTGCTAATCGACGATCATAGCAAGTGTCAGGGGTCTCGCGCCTGAAACCCAGGTCGGTCTGTCGAGATACTTGGTGACTATCAAACTGTGCGACAGCTATTGTCTCGGTATCAGTGACTATCAAGTTGTGCAGTGACAGCAGGTGGCGTTTGTTGTATATACTATCATAGGTTTCGGCTGACCTCTGTGGACACTCCATTCAGGGGTAGCTCGGCACAATCAATATCAATGCTATGATGACACCAAGGTCTGGTGTGAGTGTTGATGATGACAAGGTTGATGATGTTGGTGATAAGGTTGGTGGGTGTTGATGATAATGAGGTTGATGGTGTTGGTGATAAGGTTGGTGGTGTCAACATGAGTGTCCAGTGTGTTGACTTGATGCTTGAAGTGATCCCTGGACCACAGTGGACTACTGCCTTCGGTTCTATCTTGATCCAGACCACTAACCTGCTATGGGGCGCCTTTGGACGTCAGGTAGTGGTGATACAACACACACACTACAATGAGGAGCAACCTTGATAGATTGCTGCTATGCTGACTGAAACTAATATATACTTATGCTGAAGTGATAACTAGTTATGGTGAGTAGAGTGGATGAGGATCCACTTGACCTATGATGATGAGAAAGCATGGTTATATACCTCTTCTCAGCATCGCCAGTGATGCTGCTCCTGCTCTCTCTCCTGAGAGTACCTTCTTCATCGAGTACTGCTCAGGGGCCTCTCCTGCTTGGCACCCCTGTGCCTCTTGAGCTGTGTCGACTCCTTCAACACTGCTCCTCCTCCTCATGACCTGGTGTCGACTCCTTCGACACTTGTCTCTCAAGCCCCTGAGTGGTAACCATCTGAGCTTGGTCCTCTTCATGGCTGTGCCTGCTCCTTGAGCTTGGTCCTCTTCGTGGCTGTGCCTGCTCCTTGAGCTTGGTCCTCCTCATGGCTGTGCCTGGCCCTCCTCGCATATGGCTCAGTCCTCCTTTGCATGTGAGTCTGTAGGAGTCCATGGTCTCCATGGAGACTGCACTACGACCATGCTCTCTACTGGTGTCGACTAGATCTTCGATACCTGTGCTCCTTCCATATGAACCAGCGACCCTCCTGCTTCCTGAGCATTTAGGCCCATGACAGCAAGTATGTGTATGCACAGCCATTGATGCGAAAGAGTCATGCATTCATGCAACTCAAAAGGATTGTTTCATTCCTGGAGACACAGATGGATCAGAAGCTAAAAGTGATCCAATCCAACCAAGGAACTGAATGGAAAAGCAACGATGCATTAGAATGGTCATTAGAAAGGAGCATAGAGTGGCAAACCACTGTGGGGTACAACAGCAAACAAAATGGACAGGTGGAGAGAATGAACAGGACCCTTGGAGAGAAGATGAGAACATTGCTAATGCAGAGGAGGCTGCCGAAGAGGTTTTGGCCATATGTGATCAGAGCTGCAGCATTCAAAATCAACCTCACTCCGAGTGTTGATAATGAGTTCCCCTATCAAGCAATGTTCGGCAAGTCACTGGAGCGAGCTTTGAGACTCCTACAAGTGTTTGGTTGTCTGGCATGGGTAAACATACCCAAAGTCAAATGGGACAATAAGAAACTAGACCAGCAAGCCATCACATCCATTTTCTTGGGATACAGTCTAGAGAGAAAGGGCTGGCTTTTCTACAGCCTGGACTACAGTCCAAACATTTTTTGGAGCAACTCAGCTAGATTCATGGAATCCAAATGTTGGTCAGACAGGATGGAGTGGCGACCAGTTGACACAAAGACACCTCCAGCAATGATGACAGAGGAGGATTTCAAAGACCTAGGGTACAACAAGGAAAATATATTTGATGAAGCAGATAAGGAACCATTGCAAGAGTACATAGATATGGAGACAGGTTCGGAAGAGAGATCAAGTGAAGGAATGGCAGAGATGATGGAACCAGAACCAATTGCCGAAACTCAAATTGACAGCAAATTCTTGGGACTCATGGTGACATGACCAGAACAAAAGAAAAACCTGGATCCAACCATACATGAAGCAATGAGTGGAGAGGATAGAAAACATTGGGAAGAAGCCATGCAAAAAGAGCTGGATGGATTGGAAGCAATGGGCACATGGGAGATTGCCAACCTCCCAAAAGGTGCAAACACCATCGACATGTGTTGGGTACTCAAGATCAAAATGGATGCAAACCTCATACCAACAAAGTTCAAAGCCCAGCTTGTGGCACGAGGTTTCACTCAACACAAAGGGGTTGACTACACAGAGGTTTTCACACCAGTGGCACCCATCCAATCCATCAGAGGGGTGATTGACATCGCAGCAACACAGGTTTGGGAAATAGATTCTATTGACATAAAACAGGCATACTTAAACTCTACCATACACCATGATGTATACCTCAAGCCTCCACCAGGAATCAAAATACCATCTGGAAAGGCTCTGAAGGTAGTGAAAGGTCTGTGCAGTCTGAAACAATCAGGCCGAGAATGGAATATTGAGTTAGACTCACATCTCCAGATGATCAGGTTTCACTGCATGCTGAGCACACCATGTTTATACTCAAGAGGGACAGGTGACAAGATTACAATCATCACAGCATATGTGGATGACATGCTAATAACATCACCCAGTCATGATGAAGTAGATTGCACCAAGCAGGAAATCATGGACAAATGGGAGATGCAAGACAATGGAAGAATCAAAGAATTTCTGGGTGTAAAGATCACACGTGATAGAGAACGGAGGAGGATATCTCTGGATTTGACAGCATATATCGAAGCAATGGTGAACAAATGGTTAAGAGAAGCAAGTGAAAAATCTTGGATACCCATGTTGTGCATAGCAAACATTGCCAGAGGCAAGAGATGTGAACCTCAACAGGCAAAGGAATATCAAGAGTTAGTCAGTCAACTGTTATGGGTATCAAACACAGCCTGACCAGATATCGCCTTTGCCGTTGGCATATTGGCGCAATACATGTCGACCCCAATCGACAGCACATGGAAGGCAGCGATCCACGTGGTAAAGTACCTGAATCAGACAAGTGGATATCAATTGCATCTAGGAGGGTCAACAAATGAGCACTCGGATGCACTGGTAACAATGTATACTGATGCAAACTGGGCATCTGACCCCACAAATGGACAAAGGAGTACTTCAGGGTCAATAACATATGTATATGGATGTCCAGTAAGCTGGAGGTCTCACATTCAAAAATGTGTAGCATTGTCAGCAGTTGAAGCTGAGTTCATTGCCGCTTCCAAGGCAGTGAGAGAAGCATTGTTCTTTTCATACCTGCTCCAGGATTTGGAGATCATGAATGTTCAGCCCATACTATACACAGATAGTCAGGGGTGCATACAGGTGAGTAAGGATCCAGCCAAACATTGGAAGCTGAAACATATCGACACATGGTATCATTTTGTCTGCAACCATGTGCAAGGGGGTGACGTGGAGATCAAGTATACCGGAACAGCAAACAACATTGCAGATGTTCTGACAAAGCCTCTGCAGGGTCTCAACACTTCATGATTGGCCAGGATGATAGGCTTGGAGATCCCGTTGAAAGGGGGAGTTGAAGATGTGTTGGCATCTCAAGTGATATGCATGCACCACAGCCAAGACACTGAGGTGCAGGGAGCTCACATAAGTGAGGAACACAATGAAGTAAGTGGTAGTCATCATGATGATGGTCTGGTGGTGCCCAGTATCATAGCAATGCAGGGGTACGGATGAAGTGACACATCTTGTTTTGTATGTCACTAGAGTGGTGAATGGAGTATATATATATGTGTTTGTCATTTAGGTTTACTCTAATGAAAACTAAGCATTACATAGAATATATGGCTGTTGTAAAGGGAGTCTGATCATGACCCCAATAAACGCCGTGTATTAATTGTTATCTTCAATTCACCTCCTTCATGTTTCTGTCCTAAAACAGCAGTGACATCGTACTTAGACTCTCCCCGATCGTTGATTATCGGGACCCGTACGATTCAAGTGCCTCTTTTCCAGCTGCCTTTTTTTTTTTTTTTTCTTTTTTCTTTTTTCTTTTTTTCAAGCTTACGTCCGTTGGGCGTTGGGCACACGTCAGACAAAAGAGCACTTGCACGTTTCAAGCGCTTCTTGAAATCGTCGAGGCAGATTGTCACCGTTTTTGTTCCTTACCTATACATCGTCGGCACGTCCGAGTGATAGCACAGTAGCGATTTGGCTCAAAGATGTCGCAATTCATCTCGCATTCTCCCCAAGAGGATGATCAGCTTCCATCCTTCATGGAGCAGCAACAATCATCCTCATCGGCAGGTCCGAGTGAATGCACACCGGCGCATCCACATTCCCACGCTCACAGCCACAGTCACAGCCACAGTCACAGCCACAGTCACAGCCACAGTCACGTTGACACACCACAATCACAGCAATCACAACAATCACAATCACAACAATCACAGCAATCACGCGGATGGTCGACGGCCTCGGCTTCCTCGCTCGGCATCCCCGGCTGCAACCACGAAGGTGCTCGCTCGCGATCCATGTCCCGCACTCGCTCTCACGAATTGCGGGAAACCCTGGACGCCAAAAGCAAAGACCTCGAGGATGGTTCGCGTATCATCAACCAATATCGTATCACCGACGTGATCGGTCGTGGCGCTTACGGCACCGTGAGAAAGGCTATCCTCGACCATGACCCTTGCACCCAATTTGCGGTCAAGGAGTTCGGTAAAACCCGGCTGCGCAAAAGCCATCGTGCCGTCGATTTCCGTAAACCGGCTCGCGCTCCTCGTCGCTCCGAGCTCAATCGTGATGAAAAGGAGAATCGCTCCCAACCTCCGCCCGATGCTGCCAATCCCAAGAAAGAAGAGCAAGACGAAAGTAAGGATCCTTTGACCCTTATTCGACGCGAGATTGCCATCCTCAAAAAGCTCCATCATCCAAACGTCGTCAAGCTGTTTGAGGTCTTGGACGATCCGAGTAAGGATAGCTTGTATATGGTCTTTGAATTCTGTCCAGATGGAACGGTGATAGACGTTAAACTCAACCAAGAGGTGCAACCCCTCCCCGAAGATGTGGCCAGGTTGTATTTTGTTCAGGTACTCATGGGCATAGAGTATTTGCATGAGAATGACATCGTCCATAGGGATATCAAGCCGGATAACATCTTGTTGAGCGATAACAGAAAGACCTGCAAGATTGTTGATTTTGGAGTCTCCGAGATGTTCCTAAAGCCGGGCGACGATACGATGCAGGAATCCGCAGGTTCGCCAGCATTCATGTCACCAGAGCTCTGTACTGCCGGACATGCTGAATATCATGGCAAATCCGACGATATCTGGTCCTTTGGCGTAACTCTCTATTGCATGGTCGTCGGACATTTGCCCTTTAACAAGCACAACTTTTACGAAATGTACCAAGCCATCAAAAACGACCAACCCGACTACCCATCCCACCTTTCGCAGGACCTCAAGCATTTGTTGCAAAGCATGCTGGCCAAGGATCCAAAGAAAAGGATTACCGTGCCCCAGATGAGGCAACATCCATGGACGAACAAGGTCGAGCCAGGCATACTCTTGTCTAGGGAGCAGAACGTCCAAGCCGTCGTTAGTGAGATTACCGATGAAGATCTGGATTGTGCCATTTGTAAGATTACCAATATCTTTACCTTTGCAAGGGCCATATCCAGGTTTAAGAGGGGTGCAAGTCTCCTAAGGGCCAGGAATGCCACCAGCAGTACCTCGGCGGGTAGTGAGGTCGATAAGGATGATAGCAGTTGCTTTCCCAAACATGAGGCCCCGAGTCGAGCCAGTACACAGGAAAGTAAGCAGGTGCAGACGATTAAGGAAGAGACTCCCACTCCTGCCTCCAAGGAGGAGAGCCAGAAAGCAGGCGAGCAGAAAGCAGGCGAGCAGAAAGCAAGCGAACAGAAAGCAGGCGAGCACAAGACAGAGCAAGGAGGAGCAGACCAAGGGGAAGAACAGGTTCAAGCATTGCAAAAGGCAGCGGCGTACATGTTCGAGTCTCCACAGATGCATACCTTCGAGCTTCCACCTGAAGAGCCCAATGGGAATGGGCCTCTGCAGCGCAACCGTTCTGGACCGATATCGACTATACATAAGCCAGAGCCGGCGGAGGATGAGAATGGCCCACCGGTCATTACCAGGCATCCTCCACAGAGTGCTTCACCACCTGCAATATTCGCTTCACCCACTTCAGAAGACGAAAAGTCTTTCGATGCCCCAGATATCTCCAAGGATGTCGGACCGTCTTCCGGTCACGGCGTCGCTGGTAGCAGCAAAACTTCAAATCGTCGTCGTAGCTCAGCAACTGACCCTGCCGCAACAGACTTTGCGCAGGACGGCTGTAAACCTAGAGAAGAAGAACAAGTTGCTTCCCATCTGCGAGATATGATGATCGATCACGATCAGAAGAATCCTTCTTCCTCCTCCTCTTCAGATGGTGGTAAGGGTAATGGCAGGCATACCTACGAATCACCAGCTAAACAGCATAACACCAGACAAGAGCAAGCGTTCCAGCATAAACACCAACACAGTCGAGACAGAGAGCAAGCCGAAAAGGAGAAACAACAACATGCAAAAACAGTGCAGGAAAGAGCAGCCAAGCTGGTTCGAAACAAATCCCAACCCAGGCCCAAGATTTTCCCGGATCAACCAACCGTTGCTAGTCCTGCAGTGGGGACGATCAAGACTCCTCCTGGTGCTGCGGATGTTTACAGGCAAGCTGGAGTTATTGACATGTCGGCCGAGGCGGACGGAAAGACGAATGATCAGAATCCCTATTTCAGTACTACTCTGGATGCAACACAGCAGAAGACGGTAGCAGAAGATCAAAACAATGCAAGCCAAGACGAGCAAGAGCAAGATCAATCTCAAAGACAAACTATATGTACCTTGTAACCCAATAACCAAGTGCATTTGCGACAACGAGCATCTAGAGGCACGCTAGTTCAAGTTACTACCTTCCATACAAAGCAACGATAGAAATTGCAATGCTCTCATAGGTCTCACAGCTGTCACGCTTGCAAAGCAGCTCGTAATGGTGTGAGATTTGTGTGTTTATATTATAAGACCAAGCTTGTTGGAACCGCATGCGAAGCGTAACATGATCACAAGCATCACAAGTCTAAAGAAGACCTTGTCACGACTTGTGCTGGTAGGATGATAACGATGTGAGTTGGGTGTATTACAAACAGCTCTAATTTCTGCTCGAGGCAGTTGTAAGATGATAAAAGCCTAAGCGTACTGAGCAAGATTTGTGATGATTGCAACCCAAACAACACTTTGTTCTGCTGCTTACTTCTTCTTCGGCCCACCCAAAGGTGCACCAATGTCTTTTCCTCTAAGCTTAACTCCCAAAGCCCTTTCCATCTTTGCCAAGATCTGAGGGTTGGGGACGGCTTTTCCAGCCTCGTATTCCTGTACGACTTGAGGTTTCTCGTTGATCTTTGTACCCAGATCCTTCTGGGTTAATTTCAACTCTTGTCTTCTCTGGCCGATTGTCTTTCCGACTGTGGGGGGAACTTTTGGAGGTGGAGCTACTTCATTTTCTCGATCCAGCTTGGCAATACGTTGATGATCAGTGCCAACATGACCTTTGTTCGTACCGGCAGTAACTTTACGATCGTTTTCAGTAATTGCTCCGACTTGTTTAGCTCGTTCATAAGCTGTAGGGACACCAGAAACACCAGTGGTGCCAGGACGAACTGCACGACCGATTACTGTTTTCGAATCCCAATCCGTATTAGACATCCTGTTGTGCTAGCAGAAAGAGCGAAGCAACTGAAATCTGCCGCACGGGTGAGCTAGAGTGTGGTAGTGTAGACAAGTCTTTCCAGATCGACCTTGTGGTAAGATGGTAGGGGTGTAGATGTGGAAAAGTGCAAGTGATGCTTTGGGTGGCAAGTCAAGAATGAAGCAGATGTGAGTGTGACGTGTATGACGTGCACAGACAAAGCTGAGTCAAGTCGCGCCATTTTTGCCATCCCTTTTCCTCCACTCAACAGGCTCTTTACAGTTATTTCCAGGCTGGTGATAAAATTGCACACAATCCTGCTTACGTCATCCTTCCTTTTCCAACTTTCATTTTTTCCATTCTTTCGCAAACAAATCTCGCGGTCTAACAGTCAACCCATCCTGCCTTGAAAGCACAAAGCACAAAGCACAAAGCACAACTTGCCCAAGACAAGTGTTGTATGCAAGTGTCGACCTCACGATCAGGCTAGACGTTTCCATGATGACCAACAAGAGTACATTTCCCATAAAGATGAAACCAGTGACACAAGAGAACAGAACGAGAAAGAAAGAAAAAGCCCTAACAAGGAATGAAGGATACGACCTTAAATAATTGTGTGATGATGATGATGATGATGATGAAGATTAGGGAGCGCTATGTCTCCGAACCAAAAACTGTTTCCTCCAACCTTCCAAATCTCCTTTCAACTGTCTTGGCGAAACGGGTTTGGTCATCCAAGCGTCCATTCCACATGTCTCTACCCCCCTTGTCTTATCCTCTTCCGAACTTAACGCTGTTACTGCTACGATGAAAGAAGGATGATTGTGAGCGCGCATTTGCGTACACGCTTCGAACCCGTCTTGAATTGGGAGAGAGATGTCCAGAAGAACGACAGAAGGTTTGAAAGAAACAAATTTGGTGACTGCTTCTGCACCGTCGTGTGCTTCTTCGTAGGGTATATCGAGACGTTTGCAGAGAGTAGTGAGAAGTTTCATGTTGATTGGATTGTCTTCCACTACCAACACTTTGAATCCGTCCGAGTCCTGAGCAGAAGGGTTGGTGTTGATCGGTGGTGCATGTGGTTTGGTGGCCGTGCTGGGAGCAAGAGGAGGGGTGGAGATGCAGCTTTTCCTGAGGTCCTCGGCGAGGTCGGCAACCGCTTCACCGTCTGTGTGTGTAGAGATGCCGTTGACTTGCTTTGCTGCAACGACCGCTGCTGCAGGGGTTGCGGGCATGGCGTCTCCATTGACATTCCCGCTTGGAGTAACACTTGCACTCTGATTCATCTCCGAAGAGCTCGTTCCATGTCCTGACACCTTTTGCGTATCATTCGAAATCCCCAACTCGGTCACACTAACCCTGTGCTGCGAGTTCATTCGAACCGCATTGTCAAAATGAATCCCTGGCGGTTGCTCATCCGACAAGAACGTCTCCATCAATCTCAACGAGCTAGGACCGTGTGGCATTTGCAACGGCAGTACCGCCCTACCATGCAACTTTTCCACACCCTTTTCCTTGACGAGATGAGAGGAGCTGATCACCACAAACCTTGCATCAGGTTTCACCAGACTCAACAGCGGCTCATCACCTTGATCCAGCGTCATCGCCGCCCGTTCTGGCAAAACAATGCAATCGGCCTCCCTGTAGTTACGCGTCAACTCGATCCCACCCATCGGCATAAAATGATCGCAGATCGAGTTGGCCAATCGTCGAAGACCTCTCGTCTCCAACCCATAGTGAGCCAGCTTGGAGATGGCAAACTTGGGCGCGGCAGAAGAGCTGGATGTGGAAACGTTGCGACCGTGTTGCGGGGCTGAGCCGCGTTGCAGAGGAATACACATGGTGACCCGCGTGCCCAAGTTGACCTCGGAAGCCACGGACAGCTTTCCTCCATACTTTTGCAGAGTCGAGGAAACGATGGTCATGCCAAGACCGATACCATCCCTGAAGGAATCGCCTTTGGTGAAAGGTCGTGTGAGCTGGTTGCTGCAGAAATCTTTCGTCATACCAAGACCGGTATCGGCAACTTCGATCTCGATAGCAGCATGCCCTTCAGCCACCGCAGTCTCGACCTCGTCAAGGGCGCCAGGAGCAGCGAGTCGGATGATGATCTCCACATAGCCTTGCTTTGTAAAGCGGATGGCGTTCGAGACCACTTTGCGCACCACATCTTGCAGTGCCTTGACATCGACAATCCACTCGCTGTCTCGAACTTCGGGCGCTGCCCTGATGATCAACTCGACCCCAGCCAAAGGACCTTCCTGATGCTTGAGGGAGCCGGGTTCAAGAGTGCGTGACTGGAGATCCAAACGTTGGGCAAACTCCCACTCCTCATCAGCCACCGACTCGACAATCTTGACAATGTCGGTGGAGATGCGCTTAGCCGGAGATATGACACCGGCCTTGATGCCGGACAAGTTCTGGAAGCTGAGCAGATCGTCGATGTAAGCATTGAGCGTGAGACCGGACAACGAGATCGACTCTAGCAGTGTAGCCAACACACCGTCTGCAGACAAGTCGATCTTGACCCCATCGTCATCGTCATTATCATCGTTGCTGATAGCAGCTCGCAGGTACTCGACTGTACCGAGCGCACCGTGCAGTGGTGTGCGCAAGTTGTGCTGAACGTGGCGAAGGAACTCTGCCTGGAAGAAGTCGACCTCGGATAGCTTCTGACGAAGCAAACTTCCCCATGAGATTTGGGTGAGCCCCTCAACAAAGAAGCGCTCTTGCTGATCGAAGCAGACCGGGTCGGTGAACATGATGAGGAACATGATTCCGGGACGAGCCTTGGCACGGTTGTGGCAAGCGCAAACGGCATAGGAGCTGATCGGAATATCAGGAGGAAGCAGATCGGCCCAGGGATCCTTGTTCTCATCCCTGCTGGAGTTGGATAAAGAGTCGTCCTCTTCGTCCTCTTCGGAGGATGGAGGACTCGAATCGAGTTGACGACGGTAGAACTTGCAGCGAATGTTCATGTTTGTATCTGAAGCCAAGCGTGCAAGAGGACGAGCAAAGATCCCCTTGAGACGGTCAATGTCTTCAGGCATGTTGGGTCGGCAGTGATCAGGACCGGAGAAGCTGAGCACGCTAGGCGGTGGTGAGCCCTCCTGAAGATCAATAGTGGCGAGCTCGGAGGCAGCTTCGTTGGACGAGAGATTTCGACTCATGCGAGCCGAGATGATGGGTGAGTCTGGATCGATGAGCGTAGGCGTAGAGACGGACTCGGAAGGCGGGGTGATCGGCTCGTTAAGGTCCTCGAGCATATGCCATGTTGATAGATTGGCATGAGAGATGGCGGTAGAGTTACGAGGAGAGAGGCTCTTATTACCCTGTCGTCTGAAGCGGAAGTTGCTGACATCGAACGCAGCGACGGCAGTGGCCGCGAGACATTGCTGTATCTCTTGACAGGCTTTGTCAATGACGACGAGAGAATAGCGCGTGTAACCATGAGCAGAGTCGGTGTTGCTAGAGTTGGAAGAGTTGAAATGCCTGAAATGTGCGTGTAGCGTAGCGTCCTCCAATGAGCGGATGATGGAGCTGGTACGGACCTGCATCTCGGAGGCTTTGGCGTTCTTGTAGCTTTGGAACTCCTTCTCGAGCGCATCTCCAGCCATCTTGCCGACAGACAAGAGAAGCTCTGCGTCCTTCTCGTCAAAGTCTGGGCGAGGCTGCTCGTCCATGATGCAAAGTCGGCCAACCTGGACGCGTCCCTCGATTCCATGCAGGCTGTAGGAGAGGAAGAGGGGTGCAGAGGCGTAAAAGTTCATGGGTTTGCCCTTGACATTGGTCACAGTTCCGGCGAGGGTGGAAGGGCAGGAACGGAAACGCCAGTCATTTTTCGTGTCGTGAATGACAAGCACCTCTTCGTCGGGAAGAAGCATGGCGTGGGAACACACAGTGAGGGTGCGTGGCACAATTTGAACCTGTGGGTCTCCACCATGCTGTGCAAGAATGAGCATGTACGCCTCGTCGGGGCTCTCGACCATGAAAGAGGCGTATTCGCACTTGAACACGGCTTTTGCGTGTTTGATGTAGAGCAGCAGAGCCTCTCGCTCTTGTGCACCGGTCAAACCGTGACGGCGAAGCGCTTCCTGCACACGACAATGTTGTCGACGGGGCAGAGGTGGAGCAGCGAGCCAGCCATTCTTCTTGTAGAAATCCATGGACTCCATCATGGACTCGGAGTCCAGCTTGACATAGCGATGTGCTTTTGTTGGCTGGAACGGCTCGCAAAGCTTGGCGGATGTTGTGCATCTGTGAGTGGGTGGTTCTGTGCTGGTGCTGAAAGTGCTGGTGCTGAAAGTGCTGGTGGTGGAAGTCCTGTTGCTGGTTGGGCCAGACTCAGTCGAGCAAGTGGTTGCGGCAGAGGATGCGGGAGCAGCGTAGGTATTTGTGGAGCCCATAGCAGGCTGCGGTGCTACTTTCTCACACCAACTTCCGAGCTGATACCTGCGCAGCCATGTTCCCCATGCAACTGGGCAAGTAGGAGCCTGGACAGCATTGGCGGCGATCTTGCGTGGGTGGGTGTCAGAGGAAAGGCTCGAGGCACCTGGCGAAGCAGGCCTGAGGAGCGACTGGCGAAGAGGATGAGGCTGCAGAGCGGACATGATGGCGTCTGTGCTTGCGTGGATGCAACTTTTACTCTGTTGCAGGCATGGATGAAGGGAGGTGCTGCGGCGTCGTCAATGATCGGGCGGGGAGCTGGCGGTGTTGCTATTGCGCCAAGAACAAGTAAGCGATATCGGAAAGGCGGAAAGGCGGAAAGGCGGAAAGGCGGAAAGGCGGAAAGGCGGAAAGGCGGAAAGGCGGAAAGGCGGAAAGGCGGAAAGGCGGAAAGGTGGAAAGGCGAATCGTTGGAGTTTCGAGAAAGCAGTAGATGAACGAGGCTCAAGAACGCAAGTTATGTTAAGCAAGAGTATCGATGAACCCTGCAAGAGCGAGTGGGACTGACTGAGACTGTCGAGGTGGGTCAAGTTGGAGGGGCAGGTGGGTTGCTATGTGTGACAGATGGTTGCCATTTGTGTGCAGTCGGATAAGACCTTGCTCCTGGTCAAGGCAGCAAGGGCTTGGAAGCAAGCGTGACCACAAAAGTACTGGACGATTGGATGGTTGATGGATCGACAAAGACGCTGAAAGCGAAAGCGTTGGCAAGCAAGCGTAAGACCAAATGGGTGCAGGTGCGAGCAAGCAAGTAACTAATCGCAGATGGTGTGTAGAACGACAGGTTGGAAGACGACGATGAAGGATCGGACGCTTGAAGTTGAGCAAGGGAAGATGGTTGGAGATGATGGCGATGAGGAGATGATGGTGATGAGGAGAGAGAGAGAAAGCTCAGTCGAACGCGACTCGCCACTCCAAAGTGCGGAGCCGTTGCGGTGTGGGAGGAGTGTGTGAAAATTGCACCACAGAATCCAAAGAGAAAAAGTTGAAGATTCGTCGGCATCCTAACGTGGATCACGGGGTCCGCGGAGTTCAAGTTAGATAATAGTGAGTCAGAGTTGCATATCGACATGCATCGATGTGCATGTGGGATATATAAATGATGCAACCATAACACTCAGGGAGAGGCAATGACCAGAAAGCAACAACACAGGGGCTATATGAAAGAAGAGTTCATTACAACATAGCAGGTGTTAAGGATGACGATCAAATATATATACACGTTCATGTTGTAGCACACACAAATAGAAATGATAAGCATTTTTCTTGAAGTTATACACCCATGAAGTTGAGCTTGCTAGTAGCTCCGATTGGTGGCATTTTACTTGCAATCTTCAATTGATTAAGAGTCTGAAGCTCCCCTGACTAAGCCAACCAGGACCTATCAACAACATGGTACAAGAGGCTGAAGCTCAAGCCATCACAAGCAAGGCCAAAGGAGGAAGAAAGGGAAAGATAACACAACCATGAGCCATTGACAATGAGGCCACCAATGAGTCAGACACTGAGGTGATTGATGACAATGCCGAGGAAGAAACTGATTCTGACTTGGATCACAACAACAATGGAAAACAATACAATTTTTGTACCCTAGCAAAACTACTTGAGCCTGTCCCAAAACTCACATCCCACAACTATTATAGTTGGAGTGCCCATATCAAGTCTTTTCTACAATGTGTTCCTTATGCTATGAAGCACCTTGATGGAGTGTGCAACAAGAAACATCTGAAGTGGAACCAAATGTTTGATGATGCCTTAACAAATGCACTACACAGCACCATTGACACCACTGGAGAGTTCAACATCAATTACTTGATCCTTGACATCATCAGGGAGCACCATACATTCCATGATGTATGGAAGAAGATTGAAAATGGACTCACCAATGAGGCTACCACCATATCTCATCACATTGCACTAATTGCTCAGCTAGGAGAGCTCAGGATGTACAATTCAGATGCATGAAAGCTCATCCAAGAGATAAGGACCATCCAAATGGAGAGTAGCTTACTGGGAAAGCCATTCACCGATGACACTCTATTCTCTAATCTACAAAAGTGTACTATCTGACACCCAATGTACAAAGAGACCATTGCCACCGTGAGCCAGCTCAGTTTTAGCACCCTCACCACCACCCTATCTATCCAGCAATCAGTGATTGAAAACAACCCCGCACTGAGGGTTGATCCCCGACAAGCCAGTGCCAGAGTTGCTGGCAGTGATGACCAGGACAAACCACCCAGAAAGGATGAGAAGGATGAAAAGGACACCAACAGCACCAGCACCAAGGTTGCCACAAGACCCCAAAGGCTCCAATGTTGGATCTGCAAGAGGCCTGGACATGGGATCAGTCAATGTGATGCATCAGTGACTATACCAGAGAATTCTCCTTTTGCCAGGCCCAAAGAGGAAGTCTGGTGCTCCTTCACACCTAGCTGGCAGAGGCCCATAGACTCCAAAGAGACCTCTCATTGGATCTTAGACTTGGGCACCAGCTACCACATGGTAAATGACTATAGCATGCTCATTGGTCCGAAAACCTGCCAAAAGCACATACTCACCACTGGAAGTGAGGTTCTAGAAGCCACTGCTATAGGAGATGCTAGCATATCAACAAACACTGGAGATATCTTTCTTCAAAATGTATTGTATGTCCAGCATCTCAATGTTAACTTGTTGTCAACAAATTCCCTGACAAATGAAGGAGCACGAGTGACACTAGACTCAACTGGAGGACAAATATATCTAGCAAATGGCATGTTACTCAAAATGATCAAGAATCACGAGCAAGGACTTCTGGAGTTCTGAGGCGATACATGGCAGGAAAATGCAATGATCACATCAACATCATTATTTGAAGGTGTTGATGATGATTTCAAGCAAATTGAGAACAAACCCCAGATATCCGAACAACAATTATGGCATGAGCATCTGGGGCATCCAGGCCGAGACAAAACAAGAGCTATCATTAATCATCTAAAAGGCGATATTGGTTGATGATTACAGCAAGTACGTATATGTATGACCCCTACTATGGAAGAGCCACACTTTTAAGGAGCTAAAATCAATAGTAGCATACCTTGAAACACAGACAGGAAAGAGCCTGAAAGCAATACAGTCTGATCAAGGTACTGAATGGAGGAACAATGATGCCCATGAATGGGCACATGACAAAGGCATAGAGTGGCAAATGACAGTAGGTTATGATAGCAGACAGAATGGATGTGTCAAAAGGATGAATAGGAGTTTAGGTGAGAGAATGCAGGCTCTACTCATGCAGAGACAATTGCTGAAAAGGTTTTGGCTGTATGCAATATGGGCTGCAGCATTCAAGATGAATCTCACCCTGAGTGTAGATGGTGATCTCCCATATCAGGCTATGTTTGGAAGATCGCCAAAATGGCTTATGAAACTTCTACATGTGTTTGGATGTTTATCATGGGTAAACATTCCTAAAGCTAAAAGAGATAATAAGAAGCTCGACCAACAGGCTGTAGCATCCATATTCCTAGGATATAGTTTAGAAAGGAGAGGTTGGCTTTTCTACAGCCCAGACTACAGCCCAAACATATTCTGGAGTAATTCAGCAAGGTTCATGGAGACCAAGTGCTGGTCCAACAGGATGGAGTGGCAACCAGTGACTGCACAGTCACCACCAGCTCTAGCAAACAAGGAAAACTTCGATGATCTAAGATACACAGATGAGAACCTTTTCAATGAGAGGGAAAAGGAACCATTGCAGGAATACATGGACATGGAGAACATTGATGAAATGGACCAGGAACAGATCTCAAATGAAGTTACCAAGGAAACGATTGAACACAACCCCATTGCTGATAGATGGAATAATGATAAACTTTCTGGATTTACGGCGATCAGTGACAACAAAAGGAAGAACATGGATCCAACTGTTAGCAAGGCACTATCCGGAGAAGATAAGAAACACTGGGAGGAAGTGATGTGTAAGGAGCTGGATGGACTTAAAGCCATGGGCATGTGGGAAGTCGCCAATCTCCTGAAGGGCATGACTACTGTCAACATGCGTTGGGTATTAAAGATCAAGATGGATGCAAACTTAATCCCAACCAAGTTCAAAGCGAGGTTAGTGGCATGGGGCTTCACTCAAAGAGAGGGTATTGACTATATGGAGGTCTTTGCTCCCATAGCACCTATCCAGTCAATTTGAGGAGTTTTGGCTATGGCAACCATATGAGACTGGGAAGTAGATTGTGTCGACGTTGAGCAGGCATATTTGAACTCAATGCTGCATCATGATATTTTCTTGAAACCACTGCTTGGGATGAAGGTTTCCTCTGGAAAGGCCCTAAAACTAGTGAAAGGACTATATGGTTTAAAACAATCAGGTAGAGAATGGAATGTAGAGCTAGACTCACACCTATGAAGAATAGGTTTCCACTGCATGCCAAGCGCTCCATGCTTATACTCAAGAGGAACAGGCAATAGCATGACAATCATCACAGCATATGTTGATGACATGCTCATAGCATCACCCAGTTGTACAGAAGTAGATCGCACTAAAAATGAGATAATGGCAAAGTGGGGAACAGAGGATAAAGGACCCATGAAGGAGTTCTTAGGTATAAGCATAGACTGAGACAGGGTACAAAAGAGGATGACACTTGACTTGACAGCTTATATTAAGGCTATGGTGAGAAAATGGCTACAAACAACTGATCAGAAGTCATGGATACCAATGCAGAGCCTAACAGGTATTACAGGTGGCAACAAGTGTGACCCATTAGTGGCAAAGCAGTACCAAGAACTGGTTGGACAACTTTTATGGGTATCCAACACTGCATGGCCCAACATATCATTCACCATAGGAGCACTTGCAAGATACATGTCGAGCCCAACGAGCAATGCATGGAAAGCAGCACTACACTTGGTAAAGTACCTCAATCAAACCAGCGAGTACAAGCTAGCTTTCAGAGACAGAATGAACAGACATTCGGGACAACATATCATTACATATACTGATGCAAATTGGGCATTGGACCCAACAAATGGATGAAGGAGCACATCAGGAGGAGTAACATATATATATGGATGTCCGGTTAGTTGGAGGTCACATGTTCAAAAGTGCATAGCACTATCAGCAGTAGAAGCCAAGTTTGTAGCTGCCTTGGAAGCAATGAGAGAGGCCCTCTTCTTCTCATACCTCCTTAGGGATCTGGGAATTGAGGCTCAGCCACCAACACTACAGACCAACAGCCAAGGATGTATCCAGGTAAGCAAAGACCCTGCTAAGCATTGGAAATTGAAGCACATCGACACAAGATATCATTTTGTCAGAGATCACGTTCAGGAGGGAGAAGTCAAAATCAATTTTGTTGGGACAGCAGACAATGTTGCAGATATCCTCACAAAACCTTTAAAAGGTCTGGCTACATCTCGGATTGCACACTTGATAGGGTTGATGATGCTGTCGAGGGAGGGAGTTGAAGATTCGTCGGCATCCTAACGTGGATCACGGGGTCCGCGGAGTTCAAGTTAGATAATAGTGAGTCAGAGTTGCATATCAACATGCATCGATGTGCATGTGGGATATATAAACGATGCAACCATAACACTCAGGGAGAGGCAATGACCAGAAAGCAACAACACAGGGGCTATATGAAAGAAGAGTTCATTACAACATAGCAGGTGTTAAGGATGACGATCAAATATATATACACATTCATGTTGTAGCACACACAAATAGAAATGATAAGCATTTTTCTTGAAGTTATACACCCATGAAGTTGAGCTTGCTAGTAGCTCCGATTGGCGGCGTTTTACTTGCAATCTTCAATTGAAAATCTTGTGATTGCGAGAGCCTCTTGGCCAAAATGTCGACAATGTTAGATCGCATTTGCTTTTGCAAATCAAATCTACTATCTCCCGATTGCTACATCGTTTCCAACCCGATGCAGAAGCAACTGGAAGCGTCGGAATTTTGTCTCTCAGCTCGACACAACAGCATCATTTCCTCAGCGCTGGTTAGTTAGTGGCCTGTAAGCTTCTCCTCCTTGCTTCTTCTTCACCATACTCACACTTGATGAAACGAGCAACAGATCCAACTCTAGCAGGGCCGCAGCAAAAGAGGCCCAACACCACCGAGCTCAGCCAGGAAGAGTCCGTTGCCGACGTCGATATGTCTCCCTCCTCCTCCTCCTCCTCCTCCTCCTCCTCTGCCGCCGCCGCTCCTCAAGATTCCAAGGACTTTTTCAAGCCCATTGGCGAATATGTTACCGATGACAGCCAGCAAGCTCCTTCCAACGCTACTGGCGCTGAGGGCGAGCAGGAGCCAAAGATGGTCGAAGAGATCAGCTCCCTCTGCATGGAGTGTCACGAACAAGGTACCACTCGTATGCTTCTAACCTACATCCCTTACTTCCGTGAGGTGATCGTCGTCTCCTTCTTCTGCCCTCATTGCGGCAACCGTAACAGTGAGATCCAGTCCGCTGGTCACATTCAGCCCAAAGGTTGCTTTTACACTGTCCACGTCACCAACACGCAAGATTTGAACCGTCAGGTCGTTAAGTCTGAACACTGCACCGTCAAGATTCCCGAGCTTCAGATCGAGATCCCTCCCAAGAAGGGTCAGTTGACCACCATCGAAGGTATCGTTTCGGATATGCTTCGCGATCTTGAGCTTGACCAGCCGCTGCGGAAACACGTGCAGCCTGAGGTGTATGCCAAGATCGAAGAGGTTTGCGATAAGTTGAGGCTAATTCTCGGTCAAGAGAAGGCCAGCGAGGATGATGGTGCCAAGGAGGAGCACGAGCTTGGTGCATCTGGTTTGCGAAGTCTAGGACCTGTCGGTGGCAGCTCTTCCAACATGACTTCCGAGGAGAAGGCCAACCGTACCTTCCCGCCCTTCTCGATCCGTCTTGACGACCCTTCCGGCAATTCGTTTGTCGAGTTTATGGGCGATATCAAGGCTCGTGGTATGTCGGATGCTAAATGGAGCAAGCGTGACTACCCCCGTACCAAGGAACAGAACCAACTTCTCGGTCTCGACGGCAACGCCGCTGCACAAGACGAAGGACTACACACCACCGGCTTCGACAAATCCGCCGGCGAAACTGAATTCGACAACGAACAAGTCTTCACCTTCGCCGGCATCTGTTCCTCCTGCAACGCTCCTCTCGACACCCGTATGAAGAAAGTCAACATCCCCTACTTCAAAGACATTCTCATCATGTCGACCAATTGCGAAAACTGCGGTTACAAAGACAACGAAGTCAAATCAGGCTCAGCCATCTCGGAACAAGGTCGCAAACTCACCCTGAAAGTACAAGACAAAGAGGATCTCTCTCGGGATGTGCTCAAGTCCGAGACCGCTGGATTTGCCATCCCGGAGATTGATTTGCATTTGGCACCTGGAACGTTGGGTGGAAGGTTTACCACCTTGGAAGGCTTACTGCAGCAGGTGTATGACGAGTTGAGCGACAGGGTGCTGATGAGGGGTGATTCGAGTACTCAGAAGAGTAACTTTGAAGGCTTTTTGAAGAAATTGAAGAGTGTCATTAGTTGCGAGACACTGCCGTACACGGTCATCTTGGATGATCCCTTGGCCAACTCGTACATTCAGAACCCGTATGCGCCCGATCCGGATGAACAGATTGAGGAGGAGAGATACACGAGGTCCTATGACCAGAATGAGGATTTGGGCTTGAATGATATCAATGTTGATAACTATCAGGAGGAGGCTAATGCTGCCGCTCTTCCTGCTGAGGCTCGTCCTGGTGCTGGTGCTGGTGCTGGTGCGCAGTCGTAATATCACCGCATTGCTGCCTTCTTTCTATGTTTTGTGTCAGGCAATCATCAATGCTCAGTTCGCAGTCATTCTCTCAAGTCAGTTGATGGCTCTGTGATTGTGTGGTATCAAGTTTGCATTGTGGTGAGTCTAATAGTACAATGTTATTCGGTGTGTGTGTGTGTGTGTGTGTGTGTGTGTGGTTCACCATCCTGAAAAGTCACCAAACCCTCCTCCATCGCCCTTTCTCTTGTTGCTTCCATTCTGCAAGGACACTTGACTTGCTCCATTGCTCGCTGTCATACTCTTCCCACTTGCTGCAGTATTCAAATACTTTCCAATACTCGAACTTGAACTAGCCAACAAGCGCTCCTCCTTTTTCCTCCTCTCCTCCCCTTTCTCCTCCCCTTTCTCCTCCCCTTGCTCCTTCTTGCTGGGCAATTCAGTACCCAACCAAGTGGTCCTATCGCTGTCCCTCCTCCTCTTCCTCTCCAACCTGCTAAGATACTCCGGATCATCCTTATCAACCAGCTTCGCATCTCTCTTCTTTACCTTGTACCTCTCAAACGGATCTTGCGTCACCAGTACATCCGTCACTTTAATCTTCCTCACCGGTCTATCGGTCCCTGTCTCACTGGGAATGGCTTCCATCTCCAACAATGTTCTATCTCTCTCTCCATCCACCAGTCTTCCGAAGACGGTGTGTTTGCCATCCAGATGCGGCACAGCTCTATAGGTGATGAAAAACTGACTTGCATTAGTGCCTGCTCCTTTGTTCGCCATACTGACTACTGCACGAGAATCATGCTTGTATGCGCCTCTTTCGTTGTATTCATCGCGAAAGTCAGTGCCCCAGATACTAGACCCGCCACGACCAGTGCCAGTCGGATCTCCACCTTGAATCATAAAGCCAGGCATGTTTCGGTGGAAGATGGTATCCGTGTATTTGCCCGCTTTGCAGAGTTGGAGAAAGTTGTAGCATGTTTTGGGAGCACGATCGCAATGGAGTTCGATGTTTAGTGGGCCCAAGTTGGTGGTTAGACGGACGTAGGCTTTTGTGTGGGGGACCGATTTGAGGTGGGTGAACATGAGTTCTTCCGTGTCTAGTTCGACGCGGCTGATCGAGGTGCGAGGGGTTAGGGAGGAAGAGGTGAAACTGGCCGCCGTCATTCCAGTGGATTGGCCGGTGGCTTGATTCCGGGTATACGCCGAGCTAGCTGCTTTTGGTGTTGTCGAGGGTGGAGCTGCTTTGGATGTGGAAGTGGACCGTTGCGGTTGAGAAGAGCTAGTCTCTCCAAGTTTGCTCAACACTTTTTGAGCACTAGAACTGTTGACCGCTTCTTTGTTGTCGATTCCTTTATCTTGCTCCCTCAGCGGCAAGCCTTGTTTGACATGCCAGAAACGCCTTGGATCCCGCTCTTCTGGCCTTTCTGGATCTTGAAGCGTGATGATGTCCTCCCTCTTGAACGCTTCATCAGAAAGCAAATCCTTCATATACTTCGCTTTGATATTCAACCTTTGCACGGTATCCCAGAGAAACACATTGCCACTCTGTCGTATTGCCACAAGGTGAGAATGCGATCCAAATTCTTTAAAGGATACCGGATCGTGAATCCTGCGGGCATGGTTCTTGTGAAAGTTCAAGCGAACCACGTCGTCCAAAGAGAACGGCTTGCCAGTGATAGGGTGGAGCGAGTACTTGCGCAGGAAAGGGACTAGATTGGTCAGTTCAAATGCAACGCCGTTATCCGGGGAACAGACGGGTATGCGCCAGGGTTGGAAAGAGAGAGCGCAACAGTCGAAGCTGACTGCATGCAAGGCTGCAGAGACGGAGGGAAGCGAGGTCTTGCCCGTGGAGGAAGAATGGGCGCCGTAGATGCCCGAATGTTCGGCGGCCGAGAGGAATGGACGATCTGATTTGCCGTGCCCCATGGTTTCCAGGTTGCGGAATCGCCAATGAGGTTGCTATTGGGAATAGTACTCCGATCCTTCTGGAATGATGGTCGTAGCGATGGTAGTCGGGAGAATAAAAAAGCGGATCGCTGGTTCGTCTGAAAAGCTCGACTACAAGTTTGGCTTGCCCGAGCCTTTCTAGATAGCACGATCCATTGTATCAGCAACCCTTCTAGACGCCTTTCTGGAGTCCTCAAAAACGCTCTAGTCCGCAGGTGTCCTGGATGGATCTGATCGAGTCAAGTGCGGGCTTGAGATGCTGGGAGAAGAGATGAAAGATGTGAGGCCACAGAAAAAGAGCACATCTGCTCACAGACCCGCAACCTGTGCTGAAGATGACGATCCAGCAGGTCTAATCAGGGATCGGATAGATCCAAACAAATCGGGGATAGGATCGATCGGATCGAATCGAAAATCGGACAGAACCGATCGGGGAGAGAGGTTGGATACTATTGGGTCCCGCTCGTTGTTCTGTTATTGAGGATGATACTGCCACATATGGGATGAGTTGCAGTTTTTCGTGTGATTGATGATGATGGTTGTCGGAGAGAGAAAGCGAGGAGAGAGAAGGAGTCTATATATACAAAAGAAGAGCGGCAGAGAGCCGCATCGACTGCGGAACATAACAAAGCATTTGTCTTGAGTAGGTTGTGACACATGTGGTCCGTGCTCAGATGCTCAGGCCTTTTACTCGGCCGTAAGCACTACCTTCACTGTCTCTACGCTTTGTGTAGCTTTTATATACTTTAACTGGATGTACCAGCACTTTGTATACATCGTACTTAAACTATCCCCGATCGCCAGTATCGGGACCCAAACGTCTTTACTTTTCAACAACAGCTGCGATTGGATCGAAGCCAAAGAACCTCTCATCCACCACCACTTGCCACACTCTTCCTTTCACCATCGTCGTATCTTGGCTTGCTACCACATCAACCTTGACACCACACCTTGACACCACACCTTGACACCACACCTCGCTCGTTGTCCAGCTCTTAATGCATCATCTCAGTCCTTGCTCTTGGTAGCTCCGTCCTTGCAACCCATCTTTGCATGGATTCTTCTCGTCGCACAAGTCTCTCTGGAAACCATCTCATCTTCGATATTGACCAGTCGCAATTCACCCTTGCCTCCTCAGCATCCTCTTCAAAGGCAGACCGGAAGATAAAGGGCCAAGGCCAGGCTGAGCATATCCCGCTCCAGTCCCTCGGTCTGCACGCCGCTCCTTCTAGACTATCCCAACGCATACGAGACCACTTGGAGCATCATTCCACGATGAAGTTCTCCCATTCTCTCCAGTTCAATTCGGTCCCTGACTGGGCCGATAAATATATCGCCTACTCCAACCTCAAGAAGGCTATCTACATTATGGAAAAGGAGCTTCCTTCTGTTCCCAACGCGCCTTATTCGGATCTAGAGAACGAATCTTCCCGTTTGCTGTCCAATGCAGAGACTAGCGAAACCGATCCTACCTTTCTTTCGCTGCTCGATAAAGAGCTGGACAAGATCGTGCAGTTTTATCTGCAGAAGGACGCCGAGCTGAGGCGTGATTTGCAGCAGCTCAAGGATGATGTCGATAGCACCGAGAATCAAGACTTTGACGATGATTCCGATTATGGGGTGAGCGATGAAGATGAGGATGATGAGCATCTCATGGATACCGTGCGGACTGGTAAGGCTAGTTCAAATCGTAGACCTAGTATTGAGGACCTTTTCAATCAGCCTCGGAAGTATAACGAGGCGGCACGCGAGCAACAGCGTATGCGGGAGGGTGACGGTCCCTCACCAACTCGTAAAGATAGCCGTGCTACTACCCATGACGGTACGAACCCAACTCGTCCAGCGAACAACCGCAACCGATCTAGTCAGCTGCTTGACTCGTCCGTCGCTGATCCCTCGGAAGCTGGCGACACTTCAGGGTCGGCCAGGCGAACTCGTTCAAGCTCGAACGCTAGTCAATCGGGTAAAGCTCGTTGGGCTAGTATTTTGCGTAAGAAACCTACCCGTCGTAGGTCCCTTGGTCTCATGCTCGCCACCACCAACAACAACGACAACAACAACGCGAACCAAGATCCGACTAGTAGTCAAGATCGTCTTGCCCCTGCATCCTCTGACCCGGGAGACTCTAGCTTTGGCGATGACGGTAAAACCATGTCCATCTGGACCGCCGAAAACGACTATGCGATCGATATGCGCATTACCTTCAAAAAGCGCATCACAGACATCTTTGTCGCCATGTCCGAACTCAAACAGTTTGTCTCGCTCAACGAGACCGGTATGCGTAAAATCCTCAAGAAGTATGATAAGATCACCAAATCCAACCTCAAAGATCGATACCTCAACGAGAGCCTTGGCACTCAAGAGCCATTTACTGCCGAGACGAAGAAAAACTTGGATGAGTGTATCGATAGGCTGATTCAGCTGTATGCGAAGGTGGTCACCGCGGGAGATGTTGGTGCAGCAAGGATGCAGTTAAAGACGCATTTGAGGGAGCAGGTTGTTTGGCAGAGGAATACCGTTTGGAGGGAGATGATTGGGATTGAGAGAAGGGCGCAGGGTGCGGCGTTGGAGAGAACGGTGATGGGTGGGGGGAAGAGAGATGAGTATGAAGCCAAGAAACCGGTTAGGTTTAGAACGCCTTGTGGAAGTGTTGGTCTACCGGCTTGGTTGAGTATGAGTACGGTTCATTTGATTATTGCCTTTACGGCATTGGTGGCCTTGTTGAAGGCGCCCAGGTTGAGCTTCTTTAATAGAGTGGAGGAGCAGAATTGTTTGGCCATGTTGGTGTTTTGTACCATTCTTTGGGCGACCGAAGTGATTCCGTTGTTCGTCACCTCGCTTATGGTTCCTCTCCTCGTCGTAACTCTTAGGGTTGCAAGAACGGATGATCTCAAGGACAGGAGGATGACGGCTCCTGAAACCACCAAATGGATCTTCTCCCAGATGTTCGCTCCTAACATGTGCCTTCTCCTCGGAGGCTTCACTCTCGCCGCGGCACTATCCAAGTACGGAATCGACAAGATCCTCGCAACCAAAATCCTTCGTCTCGCTGGCACCCGTCCCTCGATCGTCCTCCTAGCTCACATGGGGGTTGCATGTTTCGCCTCAATGTGGATCAGCAACGTCGCTGCACCCGTCCTGATGTATTCTCTCATCCAACCTATCCTCCGCACTCTACCCTCCAAATCCCCTTACGCATCAAGTCTCATCATGGGCATTGCACTCGCCTCGAACATCGGTGGACAAACATCGCCCATTGCTTCCCCTCAAAACCTTATCGCTCTTCAGTATATGAAACAGCCCGTCGGCTGGTTGCAGTGGTTTGCAGTGACAATCCCCGTTTCTGGACTGTCGCTGGTGGTGATCTGGTTGATTTTACTATGGTCGTACGGCGCTGGTAAGGGAACGACGATTAAAAAGTTGGGCGAGAGTCGGGATAGCTTTACAAAGATTCAATGGTTCATCTCTGCAGTGGCGATAAGTACAATTTGCCTATGGTGTTTAGAGAAGAACTTTGAGAATCTGGTGGGGGATATGGGCATTATTGCTATCATTCCGATGGTGTTGTTCTTTGGGACGGGCATCTTGACCAAGGAGGATTTCAACACTTTTTTGTGGACCGTCGTGTTTTTGGCTATGGGAGGTATTGCACTTGGAAAAGCCGTAACCTCATCCGGTCTTCTAGAGTCTCTGGATGATCTTATTCAGGAGATGGTAAAAGAACTTGCACTATGGCAAATCTTGATTGCTTTGCTAAGCATCGGATTGGTGGTTGCAACCTTCATCTCGCACACCATTGCAGCGGTGTTGTTGGTTCCCATTGCAGCACAAGTAGGAGAGAGTCTGCAAACTCCGCATCCGAGACTGCTTATCATGGCTACAACTCTGGTTGCCAGTGCTGCTATGGGGTTGCCTGTTTCCGGATACCCGAATCAAATTGCCGTTTCGATGGAGGATGATTTGGGAGATAGGTATGTTACCGTGAAGGACTTTTTAAGGGTAGGATTGCCAGCAAGTGTCGTTGCGACCCTAATTGTGGGCAGTGTGGGAGTGGTGATCATGTACACTTTGCAGTTCTAACCAGCTATTGCACCAGTAGAGTTTAGAAAGCATTGTAGAGCCCATGTTGTTTCTGTTCGATTTTAGATTCTTTAGAGCTTTCTCAGATGCCTGACGAGTCAAGTGGTTAGGGTCAACAGTGAAGAGAGAGGCACACGAGCAAGAAAGGGACAATGCAGATCGCATGAACTGGTATTGATGCCAAAACTAAACGATGTGGGTGTGTAGAGACAACTGAGAGCGAACTCGCTCTTTGCCTCACTCCAACTCTTCAGGATCAACGTGCTCATTGGCAGTATCAATGACAGCCTTACTCGGTCTCCAAAGCATCACAATGTTATCTTCCGCTGCACTTGTCAATGCCCATTGCATATGAGGACTCCAAGCCAAATCTGTCGGTCTACTTGTATGACCACCATGGACGAAGACCAGCTCCGGTGGACCATCTTCTGCATCCTCGGCTGTTTGCTCCTGACCTATCTTGCTCAAGTCCCAAATGTTGACTCTTCTATCCGCACTTGCACTGGCGAGTACTGTTGGCTGGTGTGGGCTCCAGCAAAGGGATAGAATCTCATCCGTATGGCTTTCGAGAGAGTGAAGTTTGACTTTTAGGTTTCGTAAATCCCATACGGCGACAGTTTTGTCCGAGGAACCGGTAACGAGGATGTTTTCATTCTCGGGGGAGAAAGAGAGTGCGTTGACTTCTCCTGCGTGTGCTTCAACACGGTATTTGGGAGCAGAGGGAGAATCGCGCATGTCCCAGATTAGGAGTTGACGGTCATCGCCAACGGAACCAAAGAGCGATTCGTGGTGGTTATGCGATGCGACATCTTCAACGATACTCGTATGGCCGGTATAAGTGGCGCAAGGTTGGAGGGTGTTGTTAGCCTTTGTGTAGTTGTTGATATCCCAATGGCAAACGGTTGTGTCTTCGCTCGCGGCTAGAATGTGACCTTGTTTGAGAGGAGACCAGGAAAGACCGTATCCTTCTTTTTCTTGGCCTTCCAAGATGATATCTGGCCGACAGACACCATCGGCGGAGGGAGTGTTGGAGTGTTTAGTACGGTCAAAGATGTAAGTCTTACCAGAGACAGTGCGTGTAGCGATAAGATCGCAGTTCTGAGGACAATAGCGGGCGCGGTTGATCTCTCCATCGTGGTTAATCTTCTGGACAATGGTAAGACGTGCGGTGGTGGCAGAGTAACATCCGATCTCGCCTTTATCTTCATCGTACTGTTTGAGGTCTAAACGCGATTCAGCCGAATTCGAAGGGCCGTCGGCACCGGTGGTGGGAAGTTGGACTTGTGCGATTTGAAGATAGTTCTGATCCTGACCGGAAGTGTGCGTGCCGAGGAGGAGGCGGTGTTGGCTGTAAGATTGTCCGGCGGGAGTTTCTTTATCGGGGAACCATTGGCAGGTGAGGGAAGGCCATTCGAGAGCGTGGGTTACGACGAGATCGTAGAGGAAGGGAGAGTTCTTCTTCCAGATTTTGTACTCTTCGTTGGAAAGCTTTTGCTGAGCAATGGCTGCTTCATCTTCGATCAGATCTGAAGCGTCCATTTTGGAGTGAGGATGAGCTCTGGTGAGATAGAGGAGCTGATGCGCCGGTGGAGTTACTTGAAGCGAATGCAGCAGTCGACTGTGATGTGTACGAGGCGACTGAGGAGTGTTGGTGGAAGAGCGTCAAGGCTATTCGCTGTAGGAAGTAAGGAAACGCGAGCAAGAGAGTGGGAGAATGGTAGACGGTCCAGGTATTGCCAGCGGCAACAATCAGAATCGCTTTTGGAGCAGAGAAGAGAGAGAGAGAGAAGAGAGGAGAAGAGAGAGAGAGAGGAAGATGCGAAGAGCTGAAAGGCGCAAAGTAACAGAGAGAAGAACGCGTTGAGCACAGTCGCTGACCACGCTCTTTGTCTCGGACGAGTGAACACGGTTAAGACCTGAGCGCGTCGCGTTGAGTAGATCCGAACGCGTTGAGCACAGTCGCTGACCACGCTCTTTGTCTCGGACGAGTGAACACGGTTAAGACCTGAGCGCGTCGCGTTGAGTAGATCCGAACGCGTTGAGCACAGTCGCTGACCACGCTCTTTGTCTCGGACGAGTGAACACGGTTAAGACCTGAGCGCGTCGCGTTGAGTAGATCCGAACGCGTTGAGCACAGTCGCTGACCACGCTCTTTGTCTCGGACGAGTGAACACGGTTAAGACCTGAGCGCGTCGCGTTGAGTAGATCCGAACGCGTTGAGCACAGTCGCTGACCACGCTCTTTGTCTCGGACGAGTGAACACGGTTAAGACCTGAGCGCGTCGCGTTGAGTAGATCCGAACGCGTTGAGCACAGTCGCTGACCACGCTCTTTGTCTCGGACGAGTGAACACGGTTAAGACCTGAGCGCGTCGCGTTGAGTAGATCCGAACGCGTCCACTGCCTGACACTGTGCTGGACGATGAGGCTTCTAGATCAAGTCTCACAGCAACGACGCAGAAGGATCACATAGTTGCTGCCTCCTCGTCTCTACATAAACTATCACACAGAAGGCGTAGTGGGCTGGCTACACAGCGTGCCACCTTATAACGACCCTAGTTCATACTGGAATGCAGTTCGTGTGAGCAAGAAAAAGTTCAGTCGTAAACAAAAAATTCGCCACTTGAGGGGGAAAATCCTAACTGCAGTTCTGCAGTGCACGACGCACAGACGTTCAGTAGAACTTCCGCTTTTTTTCCCCCTTTTTCTTTTTCTTTTTCTTGCACCAAAAGTGGATGGATTGCCAGAGCAGCAGGACACGTATACAAGAACCAGCTTCCCCTCGCCTCTTGTTCTCGCTCTACCATGAACTCAAGCCTGGATAGCTTGCCAACCATCCTTTTTCCCCGAAACTACCTTTCCGCAACCATCGACGAGCACTTCGCAAAATGACCGACGCTTACCGTCAGCCAGAGGCCAAGACCTTCTCCGATGCTCTTCAGCAAAAGGTCGATGCACTGGTCAAAGACTTTCGCAAGGCCGATGTCGAACTCATCAAGCACGAGCTCAAGCTCAACGCTCCTCTCTACAAGAAGCGTGCCGACATTGTCTCTTCCGTCAAGGACTTCTGGTTCCAGGCTTTGATCAACTGCACGGCTACCAACGTCTACATTGACGATGCTGATCACGAGGCCCTCTCCTACCTCTCGAGCGTCGAAGTGGACCGTGACATGCAAGACCCTCGTGCAGCTACGATCACTTTCAGCTTCCGAGAGAACCCTTTCTTCTCCAACGACAAGCTGGTCAAGAAGTTCTCGCTCGTTGAGGGCGCAAATTCGCTCGAGGATGGATTCAACTTTTTGGAAGAGACCAAGCCAGAAAAGACCCAGATCGATTGGAAGTCGGAGGAGAAGAACCTTTGCAAGCTCAAGCCCACCATCGGTGGTCCGGACAGCGACGACTTCGAACCTGGTTCCTTCTTCTCGACCTTTTTCGAGAACGAGGACCGGGAGGTGGCTGGTGGAATTGGTCACACCCTCATCATGGACTTCTGGCCTGGAGCGATTGACTTTTACACCGGTGATGATGACCTCGACTTTGACGACGAGGATGACTTTGACAGCGAAGACGAGGATGATGAGGATGATGACGAGGCCGAGATTGATTTGGAGGATGACCAACAGCCTCCTAAGAAGAAGTCCAAGGGTGACGCATAAGCACCCAGCTTGCTTCTAAGGCCTCTTACTTGCTTGACGTTGTATTCCCTCTGCTTTTGCTAGTATCACTCGACCACACTCTCTTTCAGCGTTCTCAATCATTCGCTTGCTTCCTGTAGAGTCACTCACTCTAAGGTCGTTCTTCAGACATGTCTTGCCTCCTCTAGGCGCTTGGAGCTCATGTTTAGTGTACCAATACCATTCCATTGCTTTCTGATTCCCTCTTTACCCTTGGTGCCTGCCAAGATGTATCTGTACGCAAGATGGCGATTGAGGTGAGATACAGGAGGCCCGATTGTACGAGCTAGCTATGCCACGAGACCTTCCAGGTGCTCATGCAGTACAAGGCAGCCCATCAAGGTGATCGGTCGCCCGATGCTTTCTGGACATGCCGATTCTGTAGTCAAGCCATCCGCAGGTCGTGCGAGAATCTTGTCATCCCATCAACTCTGCATCTTGTCAGCTGGCGCTCGTAGCACGTGCTGGAAGTGCAGAGCCAAGTCCGGAGAAATCCGGCAGCCCATCAATGCGAATCTGCGCAACCTGACTCTGCCACTAACCAACTTGCACCGTATCCTTACACAGTCGTTGGTACATGCTAACTTTGCTTAGGTTGCAAAGACAGGTGCAGCTCAAGGGTTTGCTCATCTCGAAGCGAGGTGAGTGTTTGCAGCAAGAAAAACTCGACAATATCCTTTTGCAGCAGGCCCCAGCAATCTTTCAGCTCCAACACACTTTGAGCTCAAGACGATCTGCTTCGAATGCTCTTCACTGTGCGGCTGAAGAAGCTTGTTGCGGCTGATGTCGGGGTTATAACATCGTCACAGGGTTAAAATGTTTGCAGGGTTTTGAGCGGGGCTGAGAGAGAGAGAGAGAGAGAGAGAGAGAGAGAGAGAGAGAGTAAGTGAGGTTTCGGTAGCAACGTCCACGCCACACTCAGCATCGGCAAGGACCTCAAAGACCAGTTAAGCTTTAACGAGGTTAAGCCAAGTCGACGTAGGGCGACGCTGACCAAGCCTTTTCCATTAGTAGCAGTTGGGCGTTGGCATGTTTTTGAAAGGAATGTAACACATATATAATATATATTTATGTATTGCTTACTAATGATGAGTGGAGTGGGAAAGTATTGTGAGAAATGAACCAGCCGAGGTGATTGGCCCCAACCCTCGGGCCGCGGGCTGGTGAGCTAATGCTTATTAATTGCACAACGCGTCACCTGGGTTGTTTTTTTTTTAATACAAATTGCGCAGTCCGAAATCCGAGTTGGTAGTTGAATATGTCGTTTCTTCCGAACCACCACCATCTCCACCTCTCTGACGTACTCGCTTACGATTTTGTCGTTGGTCGTAGGTAGTAACCGAAACCTCTCTAGGCTGTGTCTTTGCCCCGCATCACACCTCTCTAGACTGTGTCTTTGCCCCGCATCACTTTGATTCGCTCAGCCCTTTGATCGCGCATTTTCTCCACGTTTCACTGTCACGGCCCAACGTTCGGAAGATGATGGTAGCAAGACGTCCTCGCCCACAATTCACATCCGGTCACTGTGAGTCTCCTATCTGTCGACTCAGCTGACGATAGAGTGTTGGACGACCACCACTACAGTATCCACTCACCTACGGACCGAAGGTTCTTCTTTCCCTCCAGTCACATCCTCGGGTTATCGGCGGCCATTTACGCTCTGGCCTCCTTCCTTTGACCCCTACCTTTGCTTCCGCAAGACGATCGCTGGGCTTGGACTGCATCAAGAACCGCGCTTTCACCAACCAGCTGCATCCTCGTGGCTTAAGCGTGCATCTACAAAAGTCAGCTCAGCATCCGCTCGCGCGCACGACTCCTAGCATCTTTTGCTCCTCAAATCCCTTCCCTTGCGCGCCATTACACATTTCATAGGTCAGCTCGTAACACTTTCTATCTCAAGACCACCACCATCGATCGTCCTTTGCTCCATCATTTCGCATCTGTCGTCCTGGTAACACCATGTCTCCCCTCTACGACCGACAGATGTCGGCTTCCAGCATTTCGTTTGATAATAGCGCCGATCGAAGCTACTCTCGCTCGCCCTCACGCACAGGAAACTCGAGTACCGATCTTTCCAGCGGCTCATCCCGTGGCCATCACTCGAATGCGTCCTCTGCATCCTTCGGCGGCAAAGGCGGCGCTCCTATGCATGCCATCATGCTTCCCGGCGTTGTTGCGCCTTCTGTCGATCGTCCCCACCCTGACTCGCCCTTCTCACAATGGGAAGCTTACATCGTTAACCAAGCTCAACAGTGGTCCGATAAGCGTGCAAAGGTAGTAGCATCACCACCACCCACCAACAACTCGCGAATCGTATGGGCTGATCAGATTTGCAAGTCGGCTCCTCAGTCTCACCCATTCACATATACAAAGGCTCGTGATCGTGTTGCTAGTCTTCCTCCTCAACGTCCACCTCCGCCCAACCCATGCGGTGGTCTCCTTCTCGATCTCCTCCGCAGCAGTGTTGACATTGCAAAAAGCAGTGATGCCCCGCCTGCTTCTGAACGGCCCAGCATCTCGTCGCCCATTCTGCCCAAGTCGATTCTCAGCACAGTCCCAGCATCTCCCGCCTTCCAGGGCCATGTTTACGCTCCAACTGCTGTTCCCGCCGCTGGATTCCACCAGTCTTTCCACAATCGATCGGTGACTAACCCTGCGCAAGTACCACGCAACGTTGAGTCGCACGCTTCTTCCATCCGCTGTCTCTCGCCGCTGCCGCTCTCGCTTCCTGGTGACGACTCTTCGCCTTCGCTCCTCAACAATCTCGACGAGCGAGCTTCCTCTGCTACCACCTTTTCTGGTCGTGCACCTGGCCCCTCCGAGTTGCTCGATAGGCCGCTTCCAGCCCTGTACCGCGCAGGGAACGCCAGCACTCCTTCCATTGCCGACACCTACTCACACCACTCCCATCGTTCGTCGTGGGCCAGCTCTGTCGACTTGGACCCAGCCATCATCTGCACGCCTCCCCTCTCGCACGACGGATGGCAGGAGCAGCCACAGGCTTCTCGACCTCCCTTCCTCGATGAGTACGATTTGGACCAGGATACGGACGAGAGCGAGAACGAGGACAGCGCATACTCTCACGAGACCAACTTGTCCCCACACCAAGCCATCCAAGACCAGCAGCACCAGCATCAGCAGCTGTCTCCCGAGCCTGTCTTCCAACGTCTTGAAGCTGGCTTGCTTTCGCATGCAGGTCATGCTGATGACATGCACAGCAAGCCACGTTTAGGCCCTGATGGCAGCCCGCTTCCTTGCCTCGAGATCTCAAGCCTTCCACGCGAGAAGGAGAGTGAGATTCGCAATGCACGTGCTCGCCTCATCAGCCCTGTCTCGTTCAAAAAGGCTCTCTCCATCAAAAGCAAGGGCTCTGCTTCCGGTTCCGATTCTGGCTCTCGCGGCCCAGGTTCCCCTTCGATAGACTCAACTCCTAGCCTTCCCAACAGCAGCTCCGAGGAAATTGGCAAAATCAGCGAGCCTACCACACCTGCAGCTGCAGTTTCGCGCATGCCTCCCCAGTTGCCCACCCTGGTGACACAGGACATGGAGTCGTGGGCTGCCGCTATCCCAGCTGAAGCCCGACCCATCTCTCCCGTCAAGTTCCTCGCCTCTCCTATTCCTGAAGCACCTCTCATGCAGATGTCGCCATCCATCGAGTCCGAGGCTTACCTTCCAACCCTGGACTCTACTCACAGCTCCTCATCGGCACAACCGCTTTCACTCGCATTCAGCAACTCCCCTGGCACCCTCACTTCGAGATCGTCCATTGATGGTCGATCTTCGCTCAACTCAAACACCAACGACAGCAGCCTCACCGGCCGTAGAAAGCATCGCGTCGCCACTCCAGGCTTGACCAAGTTGTCCGCATCGCAAACCGTCGCTGCTGCGCCCACATTGGACCCTCACCTTGCTCGTGGCAACAACACACATGCACAATCCAGCGGCAGTGCCAGCTCGCACAATCCTTCCCTCACGCTCAGCAACACTTCGTCGGCAGGTCGAAGAGTCTCTCGCAGGATTGATCGAAGCCGTATCACTAACTCTATGCCTAGCTTTGCCGATATGGCTAGCTCGCTTATTGTCCCTGTTAGCAACCAGAGGCGCTTCTCTAACCGAAGCCTTTCGAGTGAAGGATCGATCGACAATCACAGCAACGCTTCTAATGGCTCTAGCTACGCCAAAGTTGGAGGCTCGTCGGATGAAGGCGTGCCACCCATGTCCCCGAGCCTGCCTGCGCCGAAGGGTGTATTGAAGAAGCGTTCACCTTCCGAGGTGTCTTCACTGCTGTCGCCGAAGAAGGAGGTCTCGTTTGATTTGCCTGCTTCTTCAAGCTTTGGTGTTGTTGCTGAAGACTCGGAGGAAGAGCAAGTGCAAGTGCTGGAGCATGAGCAGAGGCAGCGCCGTCATCTCAAGCTGCCTCCAATGAAGCTGCAGGCTGCTCCTGCCAACCGAGACAGCGTGAGCAAGGAGGAAACAGCAAGCGCCGAGGCAATCCAGAGCTGTACGCTCAGCCAGGACGATCTTGACGTCCTCACCTTTCTCTCGTCCTTCGGTCGCGAGCTGAAGACGATCGAATCGCTCGAGGTGCTGGACACTGTCCAGGCAGGAACGAACGAGTGGCCTAAACGCGGAGACTGGCATTCACTCTCAGCCTATCTTATGGCCTACGCTATCACTTTCCTCTCTGTCTACAGTGACGACAGTGCTACGCTTGTCTACTCTGCCGAACGCGCACCCAGAAAAGCTTGGAGCGAGGCAAAGAAGACCGTCTCTGCTCCCATTTTGAGCAGCAACGCGCTCTACACCTCACTAGTCCGCAGCGTTGTTCGCATTGCTAGTTGGGAACAGCCACTTGTGTCGGCGGGTGTGTCCTCGGCATACGCTTACAGCTGGGCTAAGGGTAGACTTGCAGCGATGACTTTCGTGGGGCTTGCACTTTTGGTTGCTACTCAGGGCGCTCAGTCCAGCTCCTCGACCGCCGCATCCGAATCGGAAGAGCTCAGTGAAGCATACAATCGAATCGCCAATGTCCTTTTGGGATCGTCCGAAACGCACAAACGAATGCGCAACCTCCTCCTCTGGCGCTTCCCGCGTGCTTCGCTCCGATTCACAGGCTTGCTCCTCACTGCAGCCCTGATTGCAACCCGAGTCGATAGCAGCTTCATGCTTCAGCTTCCAGGTCTTTTCTTCGGTCTAGTTTTGTTCGTTTGGCTACCGATCGTACTGCACCAACCCAACTGGGTTCCTGCTTCGCTCAGCACAGTCAACCCAATCGACATGCTGTTGTACGACGTCCCCACAGACGCCCAGCACGCCATCCTTACTCTCCGTCGTCGCGCAGCTAGTGGAGAACAACTGATTCATCTCCCCACACCCCCTACCCGCACTTCTTTGCCCTCTCTCTCACCCACAGCATTCGATCATCGGATGTCAGCACAAGAACTCATCCACGTCTCTGACATCCTCGAATCCTCCCATTTCGCCTTCTTCCACAACCAAGCTGGCCATTTTATCGTGTTGGCTTCCAGGGTTATTTTCCGTACTCTTGCTGGAAAGATTGCGCCAGATGAACCCATTAGCTTACTCGATGAGCTTGTTCGAACGCAAGATGGTGGTAGCCCTGGGTGCAAGATCACTCTAGATGCAAGGCTGGACAAGTTGGTGAGAGTGGAGAAGACCGAGGTAGGAGGGTTGAAAATGAAGTTGAAGAATGGTCAAGTGTTTGATGTGGAGAAGGTCGAGAGAAGGGATGGAGCTTTTAATCTGTTGATGGCGTTGGCTCCACAGAAGTGGTATTAAGCCTTTTTTTTTTTTTTTTTTTTTTTCCTCTTTTTTTCTGGTTTTGATAATGATATATACTCTTTAGGTTGATGCTGGCTCCTTCTCCTCATGATGGAAGGATGGGAAAGCTTGGTCATAGACACTCTTTCTGGATAGCTTCTGTATTCTATGGTTTCTTTGCGAAGTTGATAATCGTTGCTTACAACCCGCTTGACCATGGATGTGATCGTCTTTGAGAGCTTTTCGCTCCGAGTTTGCTCCTTCAAAAGAGCTTCTTCGGTCTGTACATCTACTCAAATTCAGGAGGTTGCGGTGGTAACATCAACAACAAGCGTGCAAATCACACATGACCGTATCTATTCGCTCTGTATTTGCGTTTGAAATTGTATACTAAAACAGTAGTCTACTCATCATGGTCTTCTGGATCGTGCAAGCGTTCAAAAGCACTAAACCACTTATCCCCCCGATTCCTCTCAACCTTTTTCCCCTCCTCAGTCGCTGTATAGACCGCCGATACACAGGGATCATCCTTCAAGCTCGCCTCTCCTTTGGGTAACCTTTGGAAGAGTGGGTGGGAGCCTAGATGTTTATCCATCCAATCGTAGAGTTCCTTGACATCGGTGATAATGTAAACTATTCCACCGGGTCTTAGGACGTAAGCGTATTCGGCGAGCAGGGTTGGGGAGATGATTCTCGCTTTGTGTTTTCGAGATTTGAAGTGCGGGTCTGGGAATAAAAAGAAGAGTTTTGAAAGTTGGTGTTTGTAGAAGAAGTTGGGGAGGAATTTCATTCCGTTTGCTCGTAGCACTCCTACGTTGTGGTACGAGCCGGGGGCGAGGTGGGCTGAGGAAACGAGTTGGGCGTTTGTCGTTGCTTCGTCCAGGTCTTCCTCGTCAGCGTTTGCTTCTGCTGAGGTAGGGGTGCAAGGTTCCGGGGTGGATGAGGATGGTTGTGCTTGTTCGAGACGGCCCTGTTGCGCAGCCAGCCGCAAAGCAACGATTTTATCATGCACATACTGTGTAACATGCACTCTAATCTCCAACCCCAACATCAAAGTATTAGGATACAGCGGTGCTAACTGCATCAATAGGCCTCCAAATCCACATCCTACGTCAGCAAATTCAACTCCCCGACACTCTTCTTCCTTTTTCTTGCCAGTTTTGCTATCGTAATACTTGGGGAAAATGGTTCCCCAATTCATCTCGGATGGCTGGGGGGGATATTCGAGTGAATGATCGGAAAAAGGGTTGGCATGGGCTCGTTGTCGATACCATCGTTTTTGAGGGATGATGATTTTGCCGCCAGAGAGAGAGTTGATGTGTTGTTTGGATTGAAGGAGTTGGATTCGATCATGTTCGGTTTTGGAGGAAGAGGAGTTGGCCGGGACGTGGGCTAGGGTGCTGCGCTTGCGTTTTCCCATTTCGACGATGTTGATGGGCTGGTGTGAGGAGCTGAGTGATAGGTAGGAGAGGTAGGTGGTGTTGAGGGTTCAGAGGAAGCGAAGCAAGAAATTTGGAAGGTGGAGCATAAATTTTAGGGCTCTAACAGAAAATCCAAAAATCCAAAAATCCAAAAATCCGAGATCCGAGATCCGAGATCCGAGATCCGAAACGTTCGAACAGCGTCGGACCCGACAGTGTACAGGCTCAGAAGCAACTCCCATCTAACACCATCTTATTCCATACTTCGATAGCGCAACCACGATATACCTTCACAATCAATCCCTTAGCGAATATACACAAGATGGACAAGCTTCCCAGCGCAGAAGAGATGCAAGGTATGTTTCCCCTCCCCCTCCCCCCACCTTCCTCAGCCCATCAGAACTTAGGATCCGGTTACAGCCGAAAGATTCTCACCAACTTGTTACCCCCTCTTTGTCTCCCATGCCCGCCTTTCCTCACGCCCGGTCCATGATTTTGACATTCTACGCAAATACTTGACCGACACCTCTCACGACGCTGCACAAACAATGACCCGATGCTGGCTATGATGGGATAGAAACCCTCGCCCGGCGAGAAGAGAAGATCCGCGAATCATGGGTTCGTACCATGGAAGCAAGAATCGTTCGTGAAGAACTTCAGAAATGCCACAAAGCCGAAGGGGTCAACCACTATCAGGTGTGCAACGAGCTGGCTAAGAAGTATCACTCTCTGTTGGCTGATGCTAAGGTGAGTTCCCGCAACACACGCGTACAGACCGCGCGCTTCTGTACGGCCCTGCGTCATGCTTGCGCTTTCCAGGAGGATTGTGAGGATCGAGATCAGGAACTGCGGATCAAGATGTACTGATGGCTTCTTTGCATTCTTGTTCGTGTGATGGAACAGGTTAAGGGCTTCAGAGTGATTGACACTGAGTAGAGTAGCTACGACATTCATGGTATTATTGCACCCAGCCGATCTTGATGGGTGAACAGAGAGTGTGCTCATGGATCTGCCTTGAGTCCGCGCAAGCAACAGTGTGAAGTCAGCAGTAGACGAGCTCATGAGCAGACACGTTGAGCACAGTCTATCTAAACATTGGCTCGGTGAAAGAGGCGCTTTTGGCAGTGAAAGGTACAAGTACAAGGCCCACTGCATCTTTCGCTAAGACGGCAAACCAATCAGAGAGTAGTATGCAAGACCTTTGAGGCTGTGGGCAGAGCGAAGCTAGCTAGCGTATTCGCGCTGAAACTCTTGCAGTTCAGTCTCCTTTTGCTTGTACTGCTTGAGCAATGTTTCCAAGATTTGCTTGAGCTGTATAGGCGGGATCCACAATGCAGTCAGCCGATGCGACGAGGCAAGAGTGAGAAGGGGATATGTCAATATAGGGTGCCGAAGAGGATCTCCTCCAAAGAGATGGATGTGTGAGAGGCTCCCAGTACTTACGCCTTCCAAATTAGTCTGTAGCGCAGGGAGTACTTCCTTAACCGTCCTTTCCACCAACACACCACCGATGAGTCGGAAACATTTGCGGTCGGGGTCATCCTTTGATGCTTCGCTCAGTGTGTCGATTACCAGCCTGTTACATCCATCAAGAGCAGGGAGAGGGAGTCGTCAGTGGGCTGTGTTACCCTTGTACCACTCCGCGGAGTGAGAGCAAGAACTTACTTGTGTTCATCAGCCTCGCCTTCAAGCTCTCCGATCTTGGAAGCGATTCCTTGAAGTTCTGATCTTCGTGATTGGTATACTTGTGCTGCTTCTACCCACCGCGCAGTCGTCGAGGGGGTTGAGATGCAAGATAACAGGGTCAGCACCCGGCAGTCGATGTTACTTTGTAAATAGCTTTGAGACGTACCTTGCTCGGTAAGCTGTCGCTTTTGCGCTGCCGCCGAAGCAGCATTTTGTGTTGTTGTTGTTGTTGTTGTTGTTGTTGTTGCTGCTGCTGCTGACATCTCTCGTATGAGCTTGATCGAAGGATGCTGTACGAAGGCTTCTTTGGGTGGAGAGGGAAGTGTCGATCTACAGAATATGATCTTGTGTGAGAAACAGGGCTCCTTCAACTTAACACGCAAGCCTTCAAAAAAAAATCAAAAAAACCAAAAAATCAAAAAAAAACTCGTCCATGGAAGAAAGAATAGATCTAACATTGCTGAAGATGGAAAACTGAGAAAGCGTAAGCCAAATCGGTGATGCACAGCCGATCTGTGTTGTGGAAATAATTATTACTCCACTTTCCACAGATCGGCTGTCTGTGCACGAGCGAAGAAAAGCTTCTCGGCTGTGCACAGTCCCCCTTAACGCCAACGACACTCCAGCTATTCTAATCCGTGCGCAGTCATTCTTCCTCCCCTTCCTTCCTACTCACATCCATCCACTCACTCGCTCGCTCGCTAACCTACGCAACCCGCTCAGCGTTTGCAGTATACTTACCGGTCGATTCACACCCCACGGGCAACTGTCGAAGCCCGCATCGGTTTGCTAGGTTCATCCTCTTTCCGTATCAGTAAAACGTTTCCAGGCCTCAACCGTCCACACCGCGTCGCCAAGATGGAGGCTATCAAGCTTCAGAGGAAGTACCCTCAATTGTATGTATCCCACCAACAACAAATAGCTGGTTCGCTCGGGCAACTTATCTCACTGACCTTATCGTCTTGCATTCCTTCTGTCGCCGTGGTTATTGCTGCTCAGCTCCCAAGAGGAGATGATGGGTCTCATCGGTCGCTTCCGTAACTTGGACGTTGAAGAAAAAGGAAGCATCCTAAAGCAGGACGTCATCAAAGCCATTCAAGACCAAGGCGAAGCTTCCTACGATCAAGTCCGTGAAACCCTGAAAGAAGTCGATCTTGACGCCTCAGGTCGTGTCGAACTCGATGACTATGTCGACCTTCTCGCCAAGATCCGTGCCGGTCGCAACGCCCAAGCAGGTGTCGTCACAAAGGGCAAAGTGTTTGTCAAGGGCGCCACTTCTTCCACTCAACACACTATCAATGAGGATGAGCGTACCGAGTTCACGCGTCACATCAACTCGAACCTTGCTGGTGACGCTCACATCGGTTGCCGTCTTCCTATCCCTACCGACACCTTCCAGCTTTTCGACGAATGCCGCGATGGTCTTGTTCTCTGCAAGCTTATCAACGACTCGGTGCCGGATACGATCGATGAGCGTGTTCTCAATTTTGGCAAGGGTGGTAAAGGACCCAACGCTTTCCAGATGACTGAGAACAACAACATTGTTATCACCTCCGCCAAGGCGATCGGCTGCAGTGTCGTCAATATTGGTCCTCAGGATATCATCGATGGTAAAGAGCATTTGATCTTGGGTCTCGTCTGGCAAATCATCCGACGTGGTTTGCTTAGCAAGATCGACTTGAAGAACCATCCGGAGCTCTACCGTTTGCTCGATGACGGCGAGACCTTGGAAGAGTTCCTTTGCTTGCCACCTGATCAGATCCTGCTCCGATGGTTCAATTACCATCTCAAGGCAGCTGGTTGGCACCGACGTGTTGCTAACTTCAGCAAAGATGTTTCCGATGGCGAAAACTACACTGTCCTCCTTAGCCAGCTCAAACCTGACCAGTGCGATCGTGCCCCACTCCAGCAAAGCGACCTTATGCAGCGTGCCGAGATGGTCCTGCAACGAGCTGATGCCATCGGTTGTCGCAAATACTTGACTCCAGGATCGATGGTTGCTGGAAACCCCAAATTGAACTTGGCCTTTGTTGCCCACCTCTTCAACACCTGGCCCTGTCTCGAACCGCTCGAAGAAGCGCCACCTGTCGAGATCGAAGACTTTGACGCTGAAGGAGAGCGCGAAGCTCGTGTCTTCACCCTCTGGCTCAACTCTCTCGATGTCGAACCTGGTGTTTACAACCTTTTCGAAGATCTCAAAGACGGAACCGTCATCCTGCAGGCATTCGACAAAGTCATCCCAGGCAGTGTCACTTGGCGTCGAGTCTCTAAACCCAGAGAAGGTCAGCAACTTTCTCGATTCAAAGCAGTGGAAAACACAAATTACGCAGTTGACCTTGCCAAAGCTTCCAACATGCATATCGTAGGCATTCAAGGTGCCGACATTGTTGATGGCACAAAGACTCTTACTCTTGGTCTCGTTTGGCAGTTGATGCGTCTTAACATCACCAAGACTCTATCTTCCCTTAGCAAGGCAGGAAGGGGTGTTTCGGATGCAGATATGGTCGCTTGGGCCAACAATTTGGTCAAGTCGAGTGGCAAGACGACGCAGATTAGGAGCTTTAAGGATTCACAGTTGAAGACGGCGGTGTTCTTTTTGGATTTGCTCAATGTCTTGAGGCCTGGTATTGTTGATTATGGATTGGTTAACCAGGGTAGGACCGAGGAGGAGAGTAAGATGAATGCAAAGTTGGCCATTAGTATTGCGAGAAAGTTGGGTGCATTAATCTTCTTGGTTCCAGAGGATATCGTGGAGCTTAGACAAAGGTTAATTTTGACTTTTGTGGGGTCCTTGATGACTATCCAGTCCTGACAGGGGTGAGGTGGTTGTATGTCTTTGTATCCTATGACTTTCTGGATGTAACAAATCTGTTTTCTCATCCACTCGAACGGCTAGCACAAACTGGTTTGTTCTTCATGTGGTGTTTGTGTTTGTATTTAAGATCGAGATTCCAAGCAAAGCAAATGTAGAGATCCGAAGCTCTAGAGCTTAGACTCGCTCCGCTGACCACCAAGCTTTCCATTGTCCAAAAAGTTACTAATGCTCTTCACCCAATACTGCAACTCAAAGTAGTCGTACCAAAGATGACCAAACTCACCACTGGGAACATCGGTCAACCTTTCCGCATGTGCAATCTTCTCACAGATCACATCGCTTTCCTTATACAGCACCATTCTATCCTTCCTCCCATGGATGACCATTACTGGCACGGTCTCCGGAATTCTATGCAGTTGCTTCCTCAAATCACCAGCCTGAATCGCCATGAACTGCAATCCGATCACCCAGGCTGGACGTGAGGTGTTTCGAACCAACTGCAAACGCTGTTGGAACTTGTGTTGCAGCGAACCATTGGATCCTAGTGCTTCGGGGTGATATTGGAAGACCATCATGTTGTAAGTGATGAAATTGTTTCGTTTTTTTGTGTCTGTGATCTTGGCAGCTTGTGCATTGAGTGCATTCAAGTCAATATCTCCTCGAGGCAGTTTGGTCATTGTGGCGGTGAGAATGGCTTTGCGCACTTTCACCTTTCCGTTCACGAGTACTGTTCCGTCTTCAGCTACCTTGGCGTGGTCTGGAGAAGAGATGATGGCTTGAGTAATGTGGCCGCCCATGGAGAAGCCGAGCAGGTCGATAGCGGAGTAGCCGAGATGGGATGCGAGATTGATGACGTCTAAACCCATTAATTCGAGCGAAAGTTCTTGGTCCCAATCTGGGGAAGTGGTGGAGCAACCAATTCCTCGATGATCAGAGATTACAACGGGTCGGGTGGCACCGAGTGCTTCGAACAGCGGTGACCAATCTTCCATAACCGCTGAAAGCCCATTGATGAGGAAAAGAGGTGTACAGGATGCAGCAGCCGAGGAGGAAGGGGTGAAGGTTCGGTATGCCATACGGCAACCTTGATTGTCGGGAAGGTCGTAGTATTGGATCTCTGATGCACCTGTCATGCTTGCGAAGCTGATATCGGAGAGGAGGTGGAGAGAAAAGAAAGGCGGAGGAGATGGGCGTTTAGAAGAAGAATAATCTGGGGAAGCCAACCGGTTCGTGCTTTCCCGGCCGGGACTCGGCTACGTTTCGGACATCAACTTGCGCGTGAAAGGCAGGCGGCAGCCTTTTGTCACGCAATGTTAGCACCGTAGAATCTCACATTGATTTTATATTTTGAATACCGGAAAGCGCAGCTTTGGTGGCCCTGAATATGTTGTTTTAGCATGACACCTTTCCGCTTCATCTTGCGCATCATCGTACTCTTTCACCATCTCCCAACACTTGCGCTCACACGAAAAGCGGTAGGACGACAACATGGACGCTTCCGAACTCGAGCTATACAAGACGCAGCTTGCACAAGCAACAACAGCGCTCAAATCGGATCCAGACAATGCAGATCTGCAAAACCTCAAAAGCGAGCTCGAGAATCTGATCAGCCTGACCCAATCTCTTGTCGAGTCCACCACCGATGTTACATCTCAAGCGCAGCATGCAGGAGCATCACAACCAGCACCACGATTGCAGCAGGTGAGACGAAAAGGAAGGGAGAAGGCGCAATTCACAACAGGTCAAGAAGTGCTAGCTCGGTACTCAGCAGATCGAGAGTTCTATCCAGCACGTATTGTAGCGGTTGCAGGAGATCCAGCAAGTCCAACCTACACAGTGGTGTACAAGGGATATGGTAATACAGACATGGTTAAAGCCTCGGCGCTGAAGCCAATTGAACCGGTCTCTGAACCTCACCAGCCTCCTTCACCAGCCTCCTCTTCAGGCCATCCTGCTCCGCCCCCTCCTCCTTCGTCCTCAACGTCAGACCCTCCTCCTCCTCCTCCACCAGCAGATATGTCGTCAACCCCGTCATTCGGCCCCACACTACCATCAGACCTTGCACCACACCCACCGGCATCACCTCCTCCACCTCCGCCTCCAACCTCATCTTCACAACCCCCCACAGCACCACCAATGGACGACAAACAGCGCAAAAAGTATCGCAACGAGAAGAAACTCGCTCGTCGTGAAGAAAAGTTGGCAATCCAATCCTCCAAAGCAGCATCATGGCAAAAATTCGCAAACAAGAAACTCAAACCTATCTCGCAATCCATCTTTCACACACCCGAAAGCGATCCTTATGCTAGAGTTGGCGTCACGAAATCTTCATCCTCTTCTTCTTTAGGCAAAGGTCGAGATAGATTAGGATGAAATGCGAACAAGGGTATAAATTGCAATTCCGTAACAAAACACAATTGATCCGTGAAATGTGTCCTTACAACCTGAGAGACGGGGGTCGTTAGGAGCGACGAGAGATGTTGAAACCAGCAGCAATGACTAGTGTGCTAGCGGAAGCGTTGGCGAATGTGAGTGCGGTGGCGGATTCACCGATGACTTTGGTGATTTCACTGTTGAGCTGCCGTTCGACTGCGTCAGCTGAGTGATGTTTCTGAATGAGAGCTTTGAGTTCATCGCGATGTGTCTGGGTTGGGTTTCTGCGACCACGACCTACGACGACAATGGTGGGCTGGTTAGTCTCGACCATGTTGATCAACTCGCGGAGCGGACGGGCGGTGTTGACATTCTGGATGGTCAATCGACCATTGAACCTTTCTGCTGTGATCTGATCTTGGATCCTCTGCAAAGCCAAATCATCCTCCAGCGTGGCCTCGAGCGCAGACTGCAGGGGAGCGCCACCACGACCACCGCCATGCTGAGTTTGGTAGACGGTGTCCATGTTACTACCGCCTGCACGGAGTGCTGCTTGCTGAGCATAGTTGAGACTCAGATCGTGGTGGACGGTGGGAGGAACGGTTGGCAGTTGATCCTCGCCAGCTTCTTCGGACGAGATACGGCTCATGCGGACGACGAGGACGGAGAGGTTGCGATTGTTAGCGCAGAGACGAGCGACCAGGTCGAGGGCTGCTCGGTCGTCAGGACCTCCCATAAAGGCGAGGAGGATAGGTTGGCCACCGACACGGGAGAGAAGACCAGACTGTCTATTGTGACTATGTGCAGCCTTACGCTCGATGAGCAGACCGACGTCGGTCTCGGCGGTCTGGATGATCTTGCGTACAACGTTGAAGTGCTGGGCTGAGTATTTGCCTCTCAGACCCTCAGAGGGAGTAGAAGCCCAACCACCTCCAAACAGGTTCTCAAGCGGGTTGGCGAGCGTAGCAGGCAAAGGCGAAGAAGGACCAGCAACAGGCGCATCCTCGCTGTTTCCACCAGCATTGCTGGAAGGTGTCTGCGACAAGGTCATGGGCAAGATGATAAAGTTGGAACCAGTCGCCTTGCAACGACGTGTGACAGCGGTAGCGAACTCTTCCTGAGGGATGACCGACATGGTTGACTGAATGGGCAAGCCATTGAGATGGGCGAAGGTCTGGAAGACGTTGATGATGGGATCGGCTCGCATAGTATCTTCGGACTCGGAGACCTTCATGACAGCCGATGTTCGGTCGGTGAGCTCGACGAGACGCAAGGCGTCGATACTGATCTGGGCTTGAGAGCGAGCAGCAAGCACGGATGCGAATGGAGCATCGGATGCGAGCATAGGTGTCTGGTACTGAGCATTGTCAGCGCCCTCGACGGACGGATGAGTCTCGTCGCCTTTCTCGGCTGCATCGCTTTTCTCGGCTGCATCGCCTTCCGATCCAGAAGAAGCCTGCTTAGATTGACGGCGGCGCAGACCAGTCGATGCAGCATCGCTTTCAGATGCGTCAGCGGAGCCGGTGTTTGCCGCAGCAAGAGTGGGTTGCATAAGCTGAACCAGAGTCATGAGACCGGGAAGATGCTCGAAACTGCTAAGAACCACAAGGAGGCGTTTGGGCGAAAGACGTGAGCCAGTCTCGGTGTCATCTTCCTCGTCGCCCGATACGCGCTTGTCACCGCCGTGGTGCGAGTGGATCGAGGCATCGTCGAGGCTGGTGCGGATGCTTTCAGGATAGACCCAGAGCGTAAGAGGAGTGGTGATAATGGTGGACACGACGGCCATGAGCACGAACATGGAAAAGACTCGAGTGTCCAAGATACCAGCGGAGAGACCGATGTTGAGCACAATAAGCTCGACGAGACCCTTGCATGACATGAGAGTGCCGACAGCAGCGGACTCGCGCATGTTAAGGCCAAATGCCTTGGCAGCAGCAGCACAACCAAGGAACTTGGAGAAGAAGGCAATGACAATGATGGCTATGGTGTAAGCCCACGCCTTGCCCGAGTTGAGATCACCAAGGTTGGTCTTAAGACCAGAAAGGGCAAAGTAGATGGGCAAGAAGATGACAAGGACGAGATCCTCCATCTTTTCGGTGAGAGCGATGGCATAGCCACCTTGGTGTGGGATCATGAGGCCGACGAGGAAGGAGCCAAAGATGGCATGAACGCCGATAATGTCGGTGATCCAGGCACTGACAAGGACGAGAAGGAGAGTGATCATGATCATGACCTGATTGGGACCGTTCTCGAAGCTGCCGGTACGGCGAGCAAGCCAGATAAAGGCAGGCTTGATGAGGAAAAAGAGGACAAGGATCCAAGCGATGGAAGAGAGGAGGATGTAGAGAGCGGTCAAGCCCGAGTCGGCATTGACGAGGGCAACAGTCAAGGCGAGCAAGATCCAGCCAACGACGTCGTTACCGACACCTGCGGCAAGCACGATAACACCGACCTTGGTGTAGAGAAGCTTGGTCTCGGTGAGGATACGAGCAAGCACTGGGAAGGCGGTGATAGCCATGGCGACTCCAGTAAAGAGGGTGAAGTGGCCGAAGGAGACCTTTTCGCTGTCGATGAAGGCGTTGTAGATGCCAACCGAGACGGCAGCACCCATGCCAAAGGGCAGGATCATGCCGGCAAGACTGATGGCAGACGACTCTTTGGCACAGCGTCGGATTACACGGACATCGACTTCAAGACCGACGAGGAAGAGGAAAAGGACGAGACCGAGTGTGGAGACAAGGTTGAGATAGGGCAGAGAAGGTGAGGGGAAGATGTGCTCGGTGAAGCCGGGAATGCGACCCATAGCAGTTGGGCCGAGCAAGATACCGCCAATGACTTCGGCAATGACACGAGGCTGCTTGATCTTCTGGAGGGCGAAACCGAGGGCACGAGTAACAATGATGATGAGGGCGGCCTGAATGATGAAGAGCCGAAGTGGATTCGAGGTCTCGAATGTAGTGGGGTCAGAGCCACCAATGATGCTGTCGCTCTTGGCGGCGCGTGCCGCGAGGTATTGCAACATGTTTGCTGAGCTTTGCTTGTTGGTCGTCAAAGGTCGATGGTGCCTAGGAATGTATGCGAACGACAGAAGCTTGTTGCGGGCGCGCCAATGTCTACGAGGTGCGTAGAGAGAAACTGCGATGGTACCGAGGAACAAATGCGGACCTAGACGTAGGGGGAGAGAGAACGGAGGGATGGGATCGTTGCGGTCCTGTTATAGCGTCGTAGAAGGATGTCGAGCGTGTGCACGAGGTGGTCGAAGCTGCCAAATGCACCAACGGATAGGCGAGAGGAAGGCAAGGCGTTGCTAAGCGAGCTCGCTGGTGAACAATGCTTGATGTGCAGGAACAGACGCCAAGAATATGGCTGAGCCTGGGCGGCACTTGCAAAGGGGATGGAGAAAGATGTCGCGGGCCAAGAAGGAGATGGTAACAGGGGTCCAGAGGAGAAGAAGCGAGGTGAATGTTGAAGCCTGCAAGAGAAAAAGGTGGTCGCAACGACGAGACGAGAAGGTGGTCGAGAGGGTCGCGTTGTGTGAAAGGTCAAAAGGGAAGGCGATGCGTGCTGGCGTTGTGAAGCAAAGAGCCGGACTGAACTGAGCTGAGCTGCGTGTGTATGTGTGTGTGTGTGTGTGTATGTGTGGGTGGGTGTGTGTCGATAGGTGTGGATGACAGCTGGCTCTTCAACTCCGACGAAGCGGCAACGATGCAGGGGCCTGCGTGGTCGGTAACAGCAAAAGAGGGGATGAGGCAGCTTGTGGCGTTTTCGTGGTCAAGTAGTGTAAGGCGATGAAAGGAGAGGAGGGAGAAGAGAAAAGAAAAGTGTTGGTCGGAGTTGCTCATCCCAAGGCAAGAGGCGTAGCGTTGGATGAGGAGGTCCGTGATGTGCTGCGAGGGCGGAGGGTGGTACAAGTGCAACACAAGAGCCTGAGCGGAGAACAAGCGTGCAAAGGACGACAACGTGGGCTTTGCTGTCAGGGGTCGTATTGGCTGGAGAGAAAGAGGGAGACGGACCCCGCAACTGAGCCTCACACATATCCCAAGGCACAGAACGCAAAGATAGTGTTGAAAGTAACAATCCAATATGATGATGTAAGCTGACATGAGACGACACGGGAGGGATCGGGCAAAGTCGATCTGATCGGAGATTGGGCAGAGACGATCTCGCCATGGATCGGATGCAACCTCGTCCCGCTCGTTGTCAGGCATCATCATTAAGTAGATAGCACCCACACTCGCTATCAGCCTCAGAGATGTATATATATCTAGCTGAGAACACTAGGCTCTCGCCATGCTCCTTCAGTCAATTGAGTATATTTGTTTCTGTCTATAACAGCAGTGACATCGTACTCAGACTCTCCCCGATCACCAGTATCGGGACTCAAATCGTCTTCACTTTTCAACAACCACTAGCTACGACAATCGTGGTGATTTTGGAGAGACACAGAGAGAGAGAGAGAACATTTCTGTAGCTGCGAGGTGACTTGGCAAAATCTCTCACCATGGATCACATCACATGACTTTGAGTCACATGACTTTGAGTCACATGACTTTGAGTCACATGACTTTGAGTCACATGACTTTGAGTCACATGACTTCGAGTCACATGACTTTGAGTCACGTGATTACCATCTATACCCTGAAAGCGGTTGGCTCTCTTTCTCTGCATGTTCCCGTGGTTCGCAAGCTTGTTGCCGATGCAAACAGCTTTCACCACCACTGCAACCAGCTTTCACTAACACTGCAACCATGCAACCATGCATGCCATCTCGTCACGCCGCTTCGCTTGTTTCACTTGGAAAGGGCGCCACACCTTTTGGCCTGCCATCATCCCACCTTGCCAATGCTTAAAGGTGGTGCTCGGCTAGGCTAAGACTCGAACTGGACCGCCTCCATGGATCTTGTCGCAACGGCATGCATAGTTTCCACTATCGCGCTGACGAGCTTATTTTGAGTTGCTTCTTCTCGCATCATGAACAGATTGACTCGCTTAGCTCATTCGCTCTCGCCTCGCCTCATGACAGAAGCGAGCGCAACCTTACGTCGTTCCACACGGTTGTTAGGTGTGGAGTCACCACAGCAAATGTCGATCCGAGATTGCATTTTGATCGGCTTCGAAGAGCGAGCAGCCTCTGCAAGCAGTAAGAGACAATATGGCAGGCAGGATTTTTGGACAGGTCAAGTGAGCTAGCTGCCACACTCTGTGCGAACAACTGTCCTTCTCTGCTCCCAAAAGAGGATAGCAAACATTTTCGCCAGCACTACGTTGATGCTGTGGAAAGCCCTTTCCAGCTCAAGTGCTCTTGACTGAACACTCCTGGCTTCCAGGCAAGAGGGCTGTACATTCCATCAACCACAAGCCAGCCTTTACCCCACTCATTGACCCCAGTTGTCTTGTGCACCCAGGCAGCAGCATGCTGTCTCTCTTCCTCTGATGCAAATTGCATGACCTCATTGTTCAGCTCAAGGAGGCCAGCAACTGTGCAATCAGGGTTAGGAGTGCTATAAGATACAGCCTTCCCTTGCAGCACAAGTGTTTGTAGTGCTGATCATCGCTTGATAATAGTTGTTGGTATCTGGACCACAATGATACCAAACTAAGTAAAGAGTAAGATGTAAGCAGTCGTGTGCCTGAAACCCGAGATTTACTGGATCAATTGATTTCAACCAGTTTCAGTGAGTGCTCTTGAGTATGCACCTGTCAGCCAACTTTCACTGAGACTGCTTGAAGGGTTGTTTGTTCAGCAAGTTTCAGCTAACTGCTGTGAACACTTGGTTCAGTGGTAGCATGGCACAGTCAGCTCCTGCTTGCTGCAGAACACTTAGTGTACTTGATGATAATTGTTGACTTGACATGATTGTTCAAGGTGTTGACAATCAGACAGTGAATCAGTGAGGAAAGCCCAGACCACAATATGAGTACTGCCTTCAGGGAGGTAGGTATCTGGACCACAGTAACTACTGCCTACAGACAATGTCAGTGAGGGGTGATACAATACACCTGCTCAGATTAGCAGCAACAGCCTGTGATTGCAACTATGTGATGGAACAACTAAATATACATTACAGTTAGGGTATAGTCAGTTAAGAATAGAGTGGATACTGGATCCACTTGTTTACTATGCTGGAGGGAGCCTATATATAGATATATATATATATATATATATATATATATCTTAATGCCATGGTGTTGACTTTGCCATGGCCTTCTCCTTGCAAAGATGTGGCCCCTCTGTCCACTCCTGTCTACCTTGCTCCTACTCCAATCCTACCCTTCCTGCTCCTACTCCCCCCTTGTTGAAGCAGTGATCTTCCTATGTTGACTTCATTGTGCTCAGGGATTCTCTCCCACCTCATCTGGTAGCAAGCTCCCTTGTCCCCTGCTCCCAGTGGTTGAACCTGTGATCTTGGTTGAGCAACCTCATCCTGTTGTGGGACCAATTGGTCTGCTTCATCTTGGGCCAGTTTCAGTGAAACTCCCCAGGTCCCACTGTCTCAATTATTCTCAATGAGGTTTTGCCAGGGCTTGCTGTTTGACCATTCTCAATGAGATTGGCTGGATCCCCTGGGTCTTGACCAGTCCTGCTTCCTGTGCACTGAGCTCATTTTTGGCAGCTGTGCAGAAATGCATGTTTATGGTCTCTGCACTGGCCCTGTGACATTCTCCTTGGGCTGTGTGGTTGATCTTCTTGACACTGCCCCCTTTTTCCTTGTGGTTCCTATGCTGGTCTCCTTGGGCTGGCTCCCTTCCTTCTCAGTCAGTGACCATTCATCTGATCCCTAACTGGTGGCCTCCCTGACTGTGTGACCATCCCTATTGTCCTGCTCCCATCCATGCAGTCTTCCTTGTAACTGGTTCCATGTGATTGTGAGCATGTCCCCCCCTGTGTGGTAACCTACCACATGCTCCTGAGCTTGGATCCTCTTCTTGGCTGAACTTGGGCCCTCTCCTTGCATGTGAAAGCCTTCCTTGTGTCCTATCCCTACCCTTGAGTAATGGAGACCTACTCTACCAAGCCTCCCATTGCTTCCTTGTATTCCATTGATCTTATTCTGTACCAATGGGAACTTCTTGCAGTGTGTTTGGTGAAAGCAACCTGATGAGTGTGTTCTGCTTGATTTCCACAAAACCAATTGAAAAACCACAATGTGGTTGATCTCCCTGGAATCAACTGGAAACCTGTGTTATGGTTGATTTCACATTTTGTGTGCTTTTTAGGCACACTTCATCTTGATCTCTTGGGATCTTCTTGTGCAGGCCCTATGACATCAACCTCTTTGATCACTGACCTCCTCCTCTCCTTGAACAGTGTGTTGTGGAGTTGAAAGCCATCAGAAGTAAGCCTTCTGGTTGCTTTCAGTGAAAGAGTTGGAAAGGAGCATACTTTGTTGAACTCACCAATATCAACCAGGTCCACCTAACTCAGGTTTCAGATGTGCAACTGCTTAGAGATGATTGTAATGAGGTTGAGAATGTTGGCACCTGACCACATGAAGTTCTTCTTGGCTGTAGCAGATTGAGAGGCTCAAGTTGGAGAGGAAGTGTGGATGCCAGAAATGCATGTAGAACCAGAATGAGACAGTGCAGGCATGTTTTTTTTTTTTTTTGGTCTGAGTGGCAAGGGGTGTTAGGTGTAGTGTGCTGCAAGGTTGGCTATGCAGCAGTGTTGAGAGAATGATCAGTGGTGGTGGTCATGTTGAAAGAGAGTGAGCAAAGAGTGACAAGGGTGGGGAGAGGGAGAGAAGGGTTGTGGAGTGAACTCCATTCTTCACTCCACTCTGTGTTTTCACAATACCATCTCCTGACCTGTGTTTCTTGCATTTGGCACAGGTTATGTAAGCATTTTCGCATTTGAGCGGAAAAAAAAGAGAGAAGAGCTCAACTGCTTTCCCGAGATTTGGATATGAAGAGCCAAATGGGTGTTTGCGCTTTGCCTGCAGCTGCATCAGCTTTGTTGGTCACCGCTTGCTGGTGCTGGTGCTGGTGCTGCTAGCCAACCAGGCCATTTCCGCGAAATTGTAGGGATGGAGGGTAGGGATGGAGGATAGGGATGGATGGCATTTTTGCTGCTGAGCTGCCTCAAACGAGTTCTTGGCATGCTTTTCTATACTTATACACGTCTCTTTCTTTTTCTTTTTCTTTTTTCTTTTTCTTTTTTTTTTTTCTTTTTTCTTTTTCTTTTTTTTTTTTTTTTCTTTTTCTTTCTGAAGTGTTTGAGCTCGTTTCGCCTGGTTTCGCCTGGTTTCGCCTGGCTTGGTCTCGCTTCATCTCGCCTGGCTTGCGCTTTGTCTGTGTCGGTTCAGTTCATGTTGCCCTGTCCGCCTGCCCAGTCTGCCGGCCTGCAAAATAGCAACCTGGCCTCCACTCTTTCTCTCTTTTCTTTCTTTCTTTCTCTCTCTTTCTCTTTCTCTTTCTCTTCGTCTCTCTCTCTCTCTCTCTTTCTCTGCGCGCTTAGGGTTAGTTTGCTAGTTTTTGCTCAATAGCGATTCTTCGAAAGAAGCTCATACCTTGCCTGCTCCGACATCGCCATCTTCTCGACTCAACCCCACCATCCCTTTCCATTGTTGCCCATTGTTGCCCATTATTGCCTACTGTTGCCTTTCAACGAGCTTATTCACCTCTCTACCATTTGCGCTTCGGGCAGCAACGGATTTTCACCTTCTTCTTCTTCTTCTTCTTCTTCTTCATCTCTTCGCCTTACCCATTGTCAATCCATCATCTCATCCGACGACCAGCGCCTCAATCTCTCTCATCAGTAGCCGCCACCTGTTGCCAACCCCTGCCGCGCTCCTTGTCAACCCTTTCGCGTGATCAACAAATCCAATTCAAGCGGTGCGCGTGCGCAACTCGCCCTTCTTCATTTCACCTGCAGCAACCTTTGTCATCCTCAAAGTTGGTTACGGACCAAGCGCAGCTTGAGCCTCTCATCCGCTCTTATTGACATCGCTCCCGCCTGACCAAGCGTCATCATCATCTCTGACGATTTGCTGCATCGCTTTTCCTTTCTGCGCAGTAGTCAACGTTGCCGTCACGATTCCATCTTCAGGCTGCTCTTCACCATCCATAGGCTTCCGCTCGTCAAGCCAAGGACATTCAGTCCTAGCTGCCACTCTAGATTCTTGCTCGGCACCGTCACAAGTCCCTCTGAAGGCTTCTCAACACCTTTTCTTGCCCTTCCACACCACCTCTCGGCCTCATGAACAGCTCAGCCTCTGCCTAGAGTCATTCTTGTAAAAGTCGGCTTACATCTACATTCCGCCTCCCAACAGCTCAGCTCAGATCAAGCCCGACTCTCCTGCGCCCGCCGACAAGTGTCATTAGTCTCTGCCCAAGCTATCAAACACAGCCCATTAGCCACATTCTTACCGCCCCTCTCGATAGGTTCAGCAAGCACCGAGCTGCGCAGATGCGCGCGCCCTCGGCAGAACCCATCGGCCCCATGGCGGTGACTGCTTCTTCTCCATCCCAGCCTTCGCATTCATCAGCGACAGCGCTCTCGCAATCTAAACTGCATCCCGAGGCGGCGGCGGTCCATATTTCGTCCGCCTCCTCCTCCTCCCAGTCGCCACACACCGACGACGACGACTCTCTTCCAGCCGCTCACCAGACCCCAACCCCATCCTCTTCCACATCACCACAGCCCAAATCCGCCAAGATGCGCATCCCATCCTCAGATGTAGACGACACCAGCAGTATAGGCTCCAGAGACGCTGTCTCCGCTGCTGCCAAAGTCCACATCAAGAGCGGCATCTCCTCACCTCGCTCCTCCGTATCCTCCTCGGCCGCCGTCCGACGTGGCGCTTGGAGAGCCTTGGGTGCTGCCTCCTCCGCTTCAGCCTCTCGTAGCTTCACACATGCCTACCGCAGGTCTTATGCTTCCTCGAGCTCATCTGATCACGGCACTGACGACCTTCCGGCCACTAGCTCGAGCCTGCTTGCATCGGGCGCTGCTATTCCTTCAGCACCTAGCCCCGCAGCTAATGACTTTTCAGATAGCGAACCGGGCGAGGGCGAGGGCGAGGGCGAGGGCGAGGGCGAAAATGGCTACCAGGACAATCCGCAGGAGCTCAACGTTGCCGATCATCCCGCCTGGCACAGAATGCGCACTCAACCCGATGTTGCTGCCCCGGGTACCCTCAGCTATCTTCCTTCTGTTCCGCCAAAGGCTGCGACTCTTTCGGCGGTGGAGCCCAGCGCAAGCACAAATGCAGAAGCGCAACAATCATCCACCCCATCTTGGCAAAAGCCAGCCCCAGCGTTTTCGCATCCCTTCCGAGATGCAACATCGGAACGCAAAGCAGCGCCTCGAGGCCCATCCGACAATGCCTCTCAAGCCATCCATGTCAGCAGAGATACAAAATCAGCCGCTTTTGCCACCACCACCGATCAAGATGACACATCTCTCCAGTTTGTCGAGGCTGGCGCCTACGACTGGGCCAATTTTGTTTACGCATATGCAAGAGGCAGATGGAACCCGGGACTCATACCGCAGCCACCAGGGCAATCGACAGCCGTTCCTGGTGCCAAGGTGCTCATCAACACCGTCAACGATCCACCGGCAGACGATATCGCATGTGCCAATAACCTCGTCAACACTCGCAGACCGTCTCTCGAGTACATCCTGCCCGACCCCGAGCAAGCCCCACCGTCCGCACCCATGCCCATCGTCTCAGAGTTTGGTCCACAAAGCCTTCCCCTGAGCTCCCGAGGAAGCGCTGATGCGCACACAGACGCTGGCGATTCCAACACGGTTGCTTCTCTTCCCCTTGCTGAGACCGGCTCAGCGCCGATCGCCCAAAGCTTCGACAAGACTCCTATGCGCCCCCATACGCTCGAATACATTTCTTCTCCCAGAACGGATGCTTCCCAGCTTGAAGCTGCCCAAGCTACTGGTGCTGCTGAACCCCAGCCCAATGCCACAACCAGCAACGGCATTGATGCCAACATCCTCACCGCCCTTCGAAAGCCTTCAGCCAGTATGTCAGCGGTCTCGCGCCTCCGAACAAGCGCAGATCGAGCAGCTCTGGCCGACTCAAAGCTTCATCGACACGCCCACCATGCTCGCTCAGACAGTGCAGAAGAGGGACACTCTCCGCAGAGAGCAAGAACCGTCCCTGGAGCGATCCCATCCACCGGTGCCCAAAAGGACCTGCCTTCGCAAGCAGATCATGCAGGCTTGGCCTCCGCTGCCCAGCTCCAACATACGCCATCGAAAGTCACCCGCAGCCAAAAATCGGACTCGGTGCTTGAAGCTGCCAACGATACAGCGTTGCCTCGAACCACATTCCCGGCCGACGATCCACGCCATCCGATAGTCAAGACACCTACTCGCGCTATTCCCGACCCTCTGAAGGACACCACTCCTGTACGCCAATCAGGCTCAGGTAAAGATGCAGCAGCAGCAGCAATCTCCCCGATGACAATGCCCATAGCTGGAACGACAGCAACTACACCAGCACGGAGCCATAACAAGCTTTTGCATGGCAATGGCAACGAGTCGAGCAACGTGTCAGCTGCAGCACCCGCCCTCGCTTCTCCCCACAAGGAGAACTCCGAGTCAGAGGGGCTCAACAGGCCTGGACCGACACCTATCCAATCCACTCATGGCCCATCAAAGGAACCGATCGCCTGGCAGTCGGCGCCCGAAGGTCTTTTCAGCTTCGCAGAGACCATGCCACGCCAGGCGTCTGGCAACGATGGTGTTGAGCCAAAGGCCTCCTACTTTAATGAGCTCGCACTCGACAACGTCACTGTGGCCGGCTTACGTCGCGCCGCTCGGAGAACGAGCATGGAGAGATCGGAGAGAACCGAGTTGGGACGCACTCAACTCAATGGACGTCGCGCCTCGAAAGGTCTGTTGGTCTCGCACAGCGCCAGCTTCCCTGGCAGCTCACCTCGCCCCTCGTTCTCGGCAGTTGGTGGACCGCATGAAGGTGTCCAGCCGCTCTCGCATCTGTCCATGGGTGGTGCCACCTCGAGCTCCGGCACTTCTGCTTCCGCCTCTGCCTCCACCAGCAACGGTCCCACTGTCAACGTAGCTCACTTTGTCGGAGGCAGACACAGTGGAGAGACTCGCATTGATTTACGCGGCACGGTGACCAGCTCGCCCCTTGCTACAGCCAGAGATGTGGATGACAATCCTAATGCCGCTCTTGTAGCACACGACGTTAGTGCAAAGGACATATCACTAGCCGCCAACGCAGCCGCGCCACCGAGACCAGCCATGTCTAGCACAACCTCGCAGCGCATCCAGTCATATTTGGCAGCGGGCAAACGTGCCGAGATCTTCTATCTTGACCACGGCTACCTTCCATCCATCTTGCCACCCCACGAAGAGACGAGACTGCATGCACTCTCTCGATACGGTCCACCCAAGATCGCAGGCAACCCCAACTTTGAGCGGATCGCACACCTGGTCAAGCTCGTCTTCAACTCGAAGCTCGTGCTCATCACCTTGGTGGGAGAGAACGAGCAGATCTTTCAAGCACAGATGGGTGGAGGCGGTGAGATCACGATTGCCTCGCTCCAAACGCTTGCTGGCTCGCGCAACTGTTCTTTCTGCTCGCATGCCATCTTGCAGAACAGTGACGAGCCGATTGTCATTTTTGATGCAGCTAAGGACTGGCGCTTCTCTGGCAATCCGCTTGTCAAAGGTGCGCCTGACATTCGCTTCTATGCTGGTAGCCCTCTCCGAACCTCGGACGGCTTCAACATTGGCAGTCTTTGCTTGATCGACGACAAGCCACGCACCGAATTTGGACCGCGCCAACGCCACACGCTCAAGGAGTTTGCTCGCGTTGTGATGCGTGAGATGGAGCTGTTGCGCGACAAGATCCAGTTCAGCATGCGAGATCGCATGCAGCGTTCCGTGGAGCTCTTCACTAAAGAGTGCTTGGAGATGGATTCCGAGGAGGGCGAGAATACTGCAGTCGCCTCAGTGCAGGGAACGATCGGCACGCACAGAGTCTTCCAATTGGCGGCTAGGAGCATGCGAGAAGCCTTGCAGGCCTGTGGTGCCGTCATCTTTGACCTCTCCCACTTTGAGCTCATCGATTCCTATGAGAACGACTTTGCCCCTGCTGATCTGGGCACGGGCACGAGCAGTAAGATCTACTTTGCCAATCCACTTTCCTCACAAAACATGGGCACGGCAGCTTCTGGACCCAACAACACCGGTGCTGGCTCCAACCTCGGTCCTGCTTCCGACAACGGTGACACTGCTACGGCCAGCGATGCATCTACCACACCCAGCAAGAAGCGTGTTCGCGAACGCAACTTTGATGGTTCCACAGGCGCCGAGACGTTCAGGTCTCCTTGCAGCTCACCTCTGGCAGATCAGAGCGCCAGAGCAAAACGAGTGCCGCCCATGAACGTGCTTGGAGCCAGCGAAACTGACCATGTTCCGCCTGAACGTACCGAGTTTGTGCCTCTCAGTCACCACGTGCAGATGGCCGAGTTCTTGCGCCTCAACCGGACGGGCAGGTTCTACTCGTACGCTCCGCCACCTTTCCGATCGCTGCTTCCACATGGTGTTACCGGCCTGCTGCTGGTACCCATTTTCGGCCTGAACAAGCAGCCGTTTGCTCTGCTCTGCGCATATATCACCAGCTCAGGGCGTTCGATTGCGCTCGAGGAGCTGCAGGTGAGCGGTCTGCAGTACCTGCGAGCGCTCGGCATGATTGTGCTCAGCTCGATCCTCAAGAAGGACATCATGCTCGCAGACAAGGCCAAGAGCAACTTCATTTCCAACATCTCACACGAGTTGCGCACGCCGCTGCATGGTATCCTTGCCGCAGCTGAACTACTTGCAGAGACCCAACTGAACTCGACGCAAGGCTCTTACCTCGAGACGGTGGAAGCGTGCGGCAAGAGCTTGCTCGAGCTTGTCAACCATGTGCTTGACTTTACCAAGCTCAGCGGAAACACTCGACAAGGTCAGAGGTCGGCACACAGCAAGAGCAAGTGCGATATGGTCAAGCTCATCCAGGAAGTGTGCGAAAGCAGCTGGATCGGCCAAATGGCAAGGCAAGTGGAAAGTGCATCTTCTTCTGGCATTGGCAGTGTTTACGCGCCGCCTACAGAGGCAAGCGGAGCAGCAGGTGGAAGCATGGTTCAAGCACGAGCACGTGCTGCGCGGAACAACAAGGTGGAGACGGTGATCGACATTGCGCTGCGAGAGGATGGCTGGCTGGTCAATTGCGATACGGGAGGTATCCGACGTGTACTAATGAACCTGATCGGCAACTCGCTCAAGTTCACCTCGGCTGGTTTCGTCCATGTCTCGCTACGTGAAGTGCAGAGCTCCAAGACGCATATCATGATCGAGCTCTCGGTCACTGACACGGGACGAGGTATCTCGCGAGCCTTCTTGGAGGAGCAGCTCTTCCATCCATTCACGCAGGAGAACCCGCACGGCACGGGTACAGGTCTCGGACTCTCTATCGTCAACAGCATCGTCCAATCGCCTTCGCTCAACGGCAAGATCGACGTGTGGAGTACAGAGGGAGAAGGAACCGAGATCCGCGTCACTTGCGAGCTGGAACTGTGCGAAGAGGAGGATATGGAAGGACCGACGTACAAGCCTGCTGTCAATGTTGATCAGAAGTACAGCGTCGCGCTGCTCGGCTTTGACGAGTCGCGTGGTGATCAGGATTTGCGTCTTGCTCTCGAAGGGTACTTGCTCAACTGGTGGGAGTTCAAGCTTTCGGAGCAGACGAATGCCAATGGCCACGTTCAGCACAGCGATGTCCTTGTCGTCAACGACGAGATGAAGCTGTTGGAGGAGATCAAGAGGCAACGCAAGGGTCAGTTGCCTCCCGTCATCTTCCTCACAGCCAGCCGTGGCGAGGCGGACACTGCCAAGGCATGCGAAGACTACCATGCAGCTGGGGGTGTCGCGCGCATCCTGTTCAAGCCTGCCGGACCGGCCAAGTTGGAAAGTGTGGTTGACTTCTGTTTGCAGTGCCTCGAGCGTCAAGAGTGCGGAGATCCTGTTTCGTCGGAGGAAAGCAAGCCAAGCACGCCTTTGCCATCGCCGAGTGAAGGAGGTGCGGCGTACAGGCAGATGGAGCAGGGCGATAGCTACTTTGCGCCTCGTCAAAGTCGACCTGACATGCATAACCATGCTGGTCACGAGCTTGGTTCTTTCGAGTCGACAAACTCGCTCACACCACGAGCAGAGGGCGAGACGCCCGGTCGGATGAGCGACACTGGGGATGCTACAGCGAGGCTGCAGGAGATTCTGGCGAGAGCTCCAATGGCTCGGGCAGACTGTCGCTCCAGGGAGCTGCGACGTCCGACTCTAGAGCCAGGAGTAGATCGAACACGATCGTACCACATGTCGCCTGAACCTCCCGGCTCGAGTGGTTGCAACTCGTTGATTCGACGACACTCAACCGAAGCACGCATGGACACTGGCAGCGAGGAGGCAGACGCATCCACTACCAAAGCTCTGAAGCCGAGTCGACCTTTGCTGCCTGCACGAAGCATCACGTACCACGAACCTCGATTGCACAAGCATGTTCTTATGTCGCCCCTGGTCGGCACTTTGCCGGGATGTCGTGATGGAGAATCTGGCGGCGACTCGTACTTTGAAGGGATGGCTACAGCTTGGGCGCCGCAAACACCTAACACGCCCGGCTCGACGATCTCATTGGAAGGAGGAGATGGGGCTGTACCCAAGAGTGCTATTGCTGGCAACAGTCGCATCGGCGCAGGCTCTTGGGGCCTCTCTTGCTCGGACTCTGGCAGCGGTGCCTCAGGGAAACGGATGCAGATTCTTTCTGTAGAAGACAACGCGATCAACCGTAAAGTGATCGCAGCGTTTCTAACCAAACTGGACGTAGACTTTGTCGAAGCGACGAACGGGGAAGAAGGAGTTGCTCAGTTTGCGCGATATCCACCTGAGCACTTTGATGTGATTCTGATGGATCTATCGATGCCAGTGTTGGATGGAATCGGTGCTATCTCTGCGATACGGAAGATGGAGCTTGAGAGATACAATGCGGATGTTGGGAGGAAAGGTGGAAGTGCAGGAGTGGGAGTGGGAGCGGGAGTGGGAGCGGGAGTGGGAGCGGGAAAGCCTTCAGCTAGATACAGGACAAAGATCTTTGCGTTGACAGGGAGGTCTACAGATGAGGATAAGAGAGAAGCTTTCCAGACTGGAGCGGACGGGTATATTGTCAAACCACTGAGCTTCAAGGTGCTAAGCAGCTTGTTGCGGATGTTGATGGGCTAGGCTTGGGAAGGGTGGAAGGAGGAGCAGGTGGGGATGGTTGGGGATGGTGGGGATGATGAATGCATTAGCATAGTAGGAGCAACTTGACTCTTGTCGGATAGTGGATTGCATAGAGCTTTCAAGTAGTTGTCGAGGTAAAAGTTTTGGTTTAGTCTGTTTTGCAATGTTGTTGCATTTGTTTACACTGGTGCGTCTGTGAGATTGGGAGGTGTTTGTTGGATGGCAGATGCGATTTGAAGGAAAGCTGAGATCAAGATCAAGCTTGGAATGCTGCATGGAAAGACAAGAATGTGGCACAGATAAGAAGGACCTAGCTCGTTGCTGGTTGATGAGATGATGTAGACGTGGCTCAAGCGCTCCGCATAAGGATAAGGAAGAGTGTCTGGAAGAGGCGCGCTGTACAAGTCAAATGAGGTGCACTCGGGTCTCGAGGCTCGAGCTCATAGCGCCAAGTTGAACGTTGGCGGTGCTTGGGCGGCGCTAGCAGTATTGCGCACGTTCTTGCTTGCTGGAAAGATGACAAGTCTCATGCACTGGTGGGATAGCTAATAAAGGTGGCGTCAAAGTCAAGAGCGATCTTGGCTAAAGGAGGAGGATTGAGGGTTAGCGGAATTGTTGATATCCATCTGAATTGTCATTAGTTGTAGCATACCGCTTCAGACAAGATGGCCCAAGAACTGGATGCTAGTAAAGCTTGCTTGACTACCAGCGGCTAACTTTGGCTTGAATGCAGAGGATGAGCTTCAGTTGTATTTCTGAGCTACCAAGACGATCTTTATTGTGCTGTAGTTGTTAAAGAGTATTGCATGGTATCTGATGTTAGTCAGGAGGTCGATGATCAACCAACTAATACCAAAATGCCAAGCACGGTCTAAGGTACGCCATGGAGGTTCGAGACTGGATATAAGTTCTAGTATCTAGATGAGATGAGATGAGACGAGAACGATATGATTGCTGAACATGTCCATTCGACGAGGGAATAAGAATAGAAACAGTGCCAGCCAACTTGTTTGCGCTGAGAATCAAAAAAGAAAAAGAAAAAGAAAAAGAAAAAGAAAAAGAGAAAAAAAAAAAGGTTGAAATTTCGGCTGATAAAAATGATAATAAAAAGGCCAAAAAAGGGCAATTTTCTGCTTCCGAACTTCACAGAGAGAGGCAGAGGGAAGCCGCAGATGCAGGTCGCGCATATTCATCCCGAGCCAACTGCAGATTTCTTTTCCTTTTTTTCTTTTTTTCTTTTTTTCTTTTTTTTTTTTTTTTTCTTTTTTTCTTTTTTTTTTCTTTTTTCTTGCTTCGGTGGTTGCTGGGTTAAATGCGCCGTGTGCTAGCAGCGACTGACAAAGGCAACTCTCTTGCTGGTCAAGGTTGGGGAAGAGAGGATGATGGAAAAGTGGAGATTTGAAGCTTGCGTTCCTGAATTCGGATGAGCGTTTTTCAGTTGTTTAGTTCTGAGTGGCGGTGAGCTGGAAAGGGGAAACAAGTAATAATAATAATACAAGCTTGCTCGCTTGTTGCTTGCTCGCTGCAGTCCAAAAAGGGTTGGAGTATTTCGATTGCTCCCTCTCGCGTTGGTGTAATTGCAATAATAATTTCGCAATTTGGATTCCGCTTTTCGCAGCTGAGTTGACATTTTCTTTTTCTCCAAATTTCGTCTCTCTGAGCTCAGCTGTTCTGCCCACATGATCACCACTTTTAGCCGGGCCTGCCAAATTGCCTTTGCTTGACTGCTCTGCACACTACACACACACATACACACATACACACATACACACACACACACACACATACACCCGCTCACACCCGCTCACACCCACTCACATTCGCTCACACTCGCCACTCTCTCAGCCCCCTCGCCCCTCGCCCCTCGCCCCTCGCCGTCCTTATTGTCCATCTCTCTTCCCCTTCTCGGCCTCGCTCGAGAGTTCTTCTTCCCAAAGAGAGAGAGAGAGAGAGAGAGAGAGAGAGACAGCGTTGGCTTTGGCCTTCCGGACGATAATCTTTTTGCAACACCGACGTTTAGAGATCTACACTTGCTCCTCCTCAAGGTCAAAGCAAGACAAGGCCAGAAGGGTGTGCCTGCTTGCTTGCCTCTTGTTCTCTGCAACGACGCCGCCGCCGCCGCCAGCTGCTACTGCTGCTGCTGCTGCTGCTCCTCCTCCTCCTCCTTGCTCATCTTTTCACAGACGTGCACCCGAGCGCCGCTTCCCCCTCTCCGTTGCTGTCACTTTTTGCTCACCTCATACCCCAATGCTAAAGTAGCCCCGACACGCCCTCCCGCCCAAAGCTCAGCCCAAGTCTCTCTGTCTCTCTCTGTCTCTCTCTGTCTCTCTTTCTCTCTCTCTTTCTCTTTCTCTTTCTCTTTTCCAACGAGATCAACAACGCATGCGCATGCTGGCTCTCCTCCCAACCTTGACTTCTCACTCCATCGTCATCGTTGTTTGCACCTCTATCCACTTGCTCCCTCTCCAACGTCCTTTACGATCCGACATCTTCACCAAGGGCACCTCGATAGCTAGTTAGCTCATACCATCCACTCATCGCCCTTTCTCGGCGTCACATTGTGATTGTCATATTGAGCTGCTGCTGTTATCACCTGCCGACATCACCTGCTGTCATCACCTGTCCACCTTTTCAGCATCACCTGTCCACCTTTTCAGCATCACCTGTCCACCTCTTCAGCATCACCTGCCCATCTCTTCAGCATCACATTTTTCTTTTTCTTTTTCTTTTTCTTTTTCTTTTTCTTTTTTTGTTCTTTTTTTCTTTTCTTTTCCTTTTCTTTTTTTCTTTTCTTTTTTCTTTTTTTCTTTTTTTCTTTCTCTTCGATCTCTAAAGTCACTATCTGCTGAGCACGACCTCTTGGCAATCCCACCCTAGGCATATATCATAGACTTTTCCCTCTCTCACCGGAACATCTCTGCTCAGCATTGTGGTTGCCATCGATCTGGTTGCCATCGATCTCTGTTCTGGGCCTGTCGGAAGATCCGATCTGCTAGTGTGCAAGTCAGTCAGCAGACCGACAATCTGCTGGTCATCTTACCATCTTGACCATTTGCCCTCGTCCATCTCACCATCCACTCCACTCACCATATACTCCACTCACCATATACTGCACTCACCCATTCACTGCACTCACCCATTCACAGGCTCGCACTCAACTCGAGCCAACAAGCTGCAATGACCTCCGTCTTGTCCACCGTGCGCAGTCACTTTCCGCAGCCCGGCATGTCAAACGATCCTCGTTATCAATATGTCGATCTCACCAGAACTCTCTCGACTCCTCCTTCCTCTTCTTCCTCTTGCTCTTCCTCCCTCCACCAAGCCGCAATCGCCTCGGCTTCCTCTAATGCCATTCCCTCTACATCCATACTCGCGCTAGCAGCCGCCGTCACCCCAGCAGCCACCATCTCCACCAACACCAATACCAACACCAATACCAACACCAATACCAACACCAATACCAACACCAACACTAATACCAACACCAACACCAACACCATGTCCTCCGGTCCAGCCTCTTCCGAGCTCAACTCCCTCTCTCAACCCTCCCTCATGGCTTCCTCAGCTTCCGGTTCCGATCCCAGCACGCTCTATTCTGCATCTACAATACCTACCTCTCGCGCTTTTCACTTGGCTTTGGGCGGCTATCATCCGGTATCCTCATCACTGCCAGACCTCTCAGCCTCATGCCCGCCCGAGCGACCTTGCTTCTCCACAACCGACTTTGATGCCGCTGCATTTGCGCCCATCTTTGCCTCTTCCGCCACCGATACAACGCTATTTGATAGCTCATCGGCGCCCCTCTCCTTTCCTGTTCTCCCCGCATCGCTTCTCGATGAGGCGCCAGAATACGAATACGTAAGTACCACTGCACTAGGCTCCTTTCGCCCTCAGCCTAGTCCAAGTACTAATCTCTTCTATCCGCCATCCACTTTTTTCCTTCTTCACAGTCTGTCCACACCCGCATGAACGTCTTTGAGGCATCCGACTACGGCATCCATCTCCCTTCCTTCACCTTTGCTCACGATGGCACTCCTATTCTCGACAGCGCTACAGAGTATGGTCTCTGGTCAACAGGCCTTGGCGTCGGTGCAGCTGATCTCACTGCCTCCTCCGCTTTTGCCTATCCCCAAGACGACCTGGCTCCCATCCAGACACAACCAAGAACCGCCGACTTGCACATTCCACAGTACAAGTGCAACCTTGACCTCTCCACCCGGCCTGACGAATCCTTTGACCTCTCCACCCGGCCTGACGAATCCTTTGACCTCTCCACCCGGCCTGACGAATCCTTTGACCTCAGCTCCGACTCGCTTCTTGCTCCACGCAGCAACATGCCCCTCGCACCAACCACTCACAACCCCGATGCACTCCTCAGCGCCAATGCTGCCAGCATCTCCCATTTCGCAACAGGCTCGTCCGCAGCAGCCTCATCCGCAGCAGCCTCATCCGCAGCAGCCTCATCCGCAGCAGCCTCATCCGCAGCAGCCTCATCCGCAGCAGCCTCATCCGCAGCAGGCTTTGCCGACAGTGCTCCCTCTCTACTTCCACCTTCAGCCAGTCAGGTGCAACAGCGACAACCACAACAGACACAGCGACTCCCACTCGATACAGATGACATGTACGATTCCCAAGCGGGTCCATCGCGAGGCTTGCACAGGAACCGAGATGCTCTCTCGGCCAATAACTCTCCTTACCGCCGAAGTCGTCCTACGCTCCAGCCTCAGCGTAGCTTGGTCAACATGGCTGCCACCTCTTGTCTCTCTCCACCTGGCTTCAACCCTGAGCTTCGACGTCTCTCGACCGGCGCAGGCCTTGGCGGCGGTGCTGCTCGAGCTCCCAGCCGCGATCCAGTGGTGCCTAGTCAGAACGTCGGTCGCGCTCGCCTCATGAGCTGGCAGGGCGGTCGCTCCTATCCTGGCCAACAGGATTGGCAGTCCAACTTGCCTGATCCAAATAGCGGCATCCGTGCCGATCCTGGCTTTGCCCATGGCATGCCCGATCCCAACGGTATCGCCATGCTCCCTGGTGGTGCCAACGGTGGAATGATGCACCCCTCCCGATCCTATGCCCATGGCGTCCATCCCTCCTCCTCCTCTTCCTCCTCCTCCTCTGCCAACTTTATCTCCCATCACGGCATGAACCCACAGGCAACCGACATGATCAACGCCCTCGGCGACGCCATGGACGCACGCATCGACCTCGACGGTATTGCCAAATGCCCCTATCCCAACTGCAACAAGACCTTTGCCAAGAACCGTTCCTACAACCTCAAAGCTCATCTTCGATCCCATTCGCAACTCAAACCTTTTGCTTGCAGTGTCTGCCCACGTGCCTTTAGCAGGAAGCATGATCTCGAGCGACACAGTAGGGTGCATTCCGGTGACAAGCCTTATGTCTGCGAAATTTGCGGTAAAGGTTTCCCAAGGAGCGATGCTTTGAGGAGGCATTGGAGAGTGGAAAAAGAGTGTGGTGATAAAGCGGCCGCCTTGGAGGCTAGTCAGAGTTTAGGCTCCGCTTTGGGTGCAGATGGCTATGGCGGGCACGAGAGGAGTCCAGATCAGCAGAATCATCATTATCACTATCCAGGGCAGCAGCAAGAGCAGCAGCAGTCGTCAAGTTCATCGGCTGGAGGCCTCTACGCACAGCAAATCCAGCAGCAGAGACCGCAACAGCAATTTGCTCAGCCGATCCAACAGCAGCAGCACTACGTCGCTCAGCGATGGGATCCTGCTCAACAGCAGCAGCACCACCAGCAGCAGCAGACACAACAACAGCAACAGCAGCAGCAGTTGAGACGAGCTTAACGCTCTCCTTACCAACGCTTTGTTCCCTTGATACCCCTTTCCTTGCACGCCCGACTGGGCCTTTGTTTGCTTGACTTTTCACGGTTCTTCTCGCAGCCATTGGTTTGCTTGTTCTCGATTCATCTTCACATGTCAGCTCCTTGTCATTGTCATTTCCAAATGCTAGGCTGCATCAACACGCACATCACATCGAGCTTTCGTTGAGAACAAGTGCGAGTGCAAGAATGTTTTCAATGAGATGCACAAATACAGCAGATGCAACCGGTAACCGCTAATATTTGTCTTAATATCGACTACGTTTGGCAGGAGGAGCATCATCGTATCCCGCACCTCCTCGGCCACCGTAACCTCCTCCACTCCCTCCGCTTGGACCTGTTGGGTAATCTCTATCATCTCTCGGCCCTGCTCCTCCGTATCTTGGCGCAGCAGCAGCACCACCACCACCATAGCCTCCTCTCGCACCACCATATCCACCATCAAACCCTCCTCTTGGAGCACTGAATCCGCCTCTTCCTCCTCCACCACCAAATCCACCTCCTCTTGCACCACCTCTAAACCCTCCACGGCCACCACCACCTCTGAATCCTCCCCTTCCGCCCCTAAAACCACCACCACCGCCAAACCCGCCGCCAAACCCACCGCCCATAAGAGGAGCTGTCTCTACCGGCTCTGGAGCCTTTTTCGGCTTCCTCGCATTCCCCCCTAATCCACCTCCAAGTCTGGTGGGTTTCCAATCTTTAACAGTTCTTCCTCTTTCAACATCCACCATTACGCGCCTGCCGTTGATTTTTATGCCTTCTGCATCTTTATATGCTGCTTTCATATCTCGTTCACTCTCATAAGCTATAAAAGCGTAGCCTCTGGACTTGCCTTGTTTATTCCTGATCAGAGTAATCTGTTGTATGGGACCATAGACCTCGAATTGCCTATGTAGATCTTTTTCTGTTGTATCATATGATAGCCTCGCGAGGAATAGAGTTTTGTAAGGATCTGCGGTTGCATTTGCATTTTGATTCGGTTTGTATGTTTCGAGTCCCTTGGTTTTGATAGCTGCTTTCTCGGCGCGGGTTTTTTCTGCGGCGATTTCAGTCAGGGTAACGGGTGCATGGGTTAGGTTTGAGGTTGAAGTTTCTACTGCGATATCGTCGGTTGATGTACCTGCTGCAGCTGTGTCGGATGCAATGCGTTCAACGGTGGCTGCTACACCCGTTAGTGGTGTGCGAATACGGCGGCGATGGGAAGACGAGAGGAGAGAGGCGTCTTTCGTCAGCGGTGTAGCTGCTGGATTCCGATCATGCCGTGAGATCGGTGCAACGTATTCTAGTGGTGGTCTTGGTGCGAATAGTCGGATGAGTGAGGGTGGGAGCAGGTGGGTCATCTTTGCAATCGTCCAAGCCGAGGTTAAGGGGGCAAGGCGTACAAGAAGCAAGATTCAAAGACGTATTGTTTTTCTTTTCTTTTCTTTATGTGATGCCGGTGCTCTTTCTGCGATGTGGCAAAGTGAGCCTGGAAGAGAATCTTGTAGTCGTACAGCAAGCCTGAGGAGAGTTACTTGTGTGCCAGTAGGGCGTTCGATGTCTCTTGCCGACGTAAGGGAAAGATGTGTCGTGTTGTCAAGTGTCATGAGCGTTTGGCTTGAAACAGAGCTTCTTCAACAGCGAGCTTCTTGTCCGACTTCCGCGTTTAATTTCTTAAATTTCCGAGCAGTTCCATAGATCTAACATTCTGAAAATCCATCCTAAAATCTTCAGCTCAGTGTGGAGTTGCGGTGATCGACTGACCTCAGCCTTGAAGCAAAATGGCAGGCGAACGCGCAGGCCAACGAAGCTACGCACGGTTGTCTTGCTTGCTCTCCACACCAAGAGCAACACTTAGGCACAACTTGCTACTCTTTGCTATTCACACCTTGCTCTTCACACCTTCAACGCCCACACAACCTCAACACCACCTTCCCACCTTCAACGCACTTGCATTCAGGTCGAGCCTTCGCATACCTCTTTGACAATACATACTCTTTCCTAGCTTGCAAACGCTACACTACGCATCGCAGCTTCGCATTCACGAAACAACCAAGCAGGCTTCGACATTGTTCAGCTAGCAGAACTCTCTCAGCACACAGACAGGCCATTCGAGCATAGCAAGGATTGCAGAACTAGCTCCAAGTTGTAAAAATGGCATCACAGGGTACCGGATACGATCTCTCGTCGAGTACTTACTCGCCCGATGGCAGGATCTTTCAGGTAAGCTTCAACTTCAACCCAACTTGACATTAGGATCGCCATGGACGTGCAAGGCGCCTGCAGACACTCAGCTCTCTTGTTCAATGTAGAGCTGCTCCTCCTCACTGCTCCTCCTCACTGCTTTCCGACGATGGGAACGGCATCTGACATTCTTCTTTTCTATTTTATCCCAAATATCGCCCGGACCTCGACCTTGCTTGCTTTCTTCATCTCCTCTCCTCTTCATATCCTCTCCTCTCCATCATTGCAGATCGAATATGCAGCAAAAGCAGCAGAAAACGCTGGCACAGCCATAGCCATCAAAACCAAAACCGGTGTCGTAATTGCCGTTGAAAAACTCGTCCAATCCAAACTCCTCGTCCCCGGCTCCAATCGTCGCATCTTTAACGTAGCCCCCCACATCGGTATCGTCTCAGCCGGTCTCATCGCCGACGGCAAACATCTCGCTACCCGTGCACGCTCAGAAGCAGTCTCTCATCTCGACAACTACCGTTTCCCTGCCCCTGTCAAAACTCTTGCCGATCGAGTAGCGTACTACGTTCAAGCATACACACTCTATTCTTCAGTGCGACCTTTCGGTGTTTCGGCGATCATCGCTGGTATTGACGACACTAAAGGGCCTCAAATTTACATGATCGAACCCTCGGGCGTGTTCTGGGGCTATAACGGATGTGCAGTGGGAAAGGGGAGACAGTTGGCTAAGACCGAGATTGAGAAGTTGGATCTCGAGAATCTGACGATGAAGGATGCAGTCGATGCCGCTGCCAAGATTGTTTTCAAGGTGCATGACGATGCCAAGGATAAAGACTTTGAGTTGGAGTTGAGCTGGGTTGGGCCAGAGAGTAACGGTGTCCATACCGCCGTGCCCGCGGATCTGAGGGCTGAGGCGATTAGTAAGGCTAAGGAAGCCCTGGATGATGAGATGGAGGACTGAAGGTCTTCGCTCACAGTGCAAGGCTTTGCATTTCTGTCGTCAATAGTGGTATAGTGTACAGTAAAAGACCTTGATCTCAGCTTGGCTTGGTTTGACAGACTGTGTTGGCAACTGGAACCTTTTACAGATTAGCATCTCCTATAGAGACTCATATCAACACGATGCAGTTTGAACTACTTGATCGTCGATCTCGCCCGTAAAGCGAGTAAGGGTTATCGTAGCCCCCTCGCAACAGAAAGCCGAGCTGAGATCTGCGATCTGTATTTGAATAGCTACCCGAAGTTTCCAGCGAGCGTGTCTTGGTCGTCTCTTGTTCAATATGTTGAGCTGTCTCGAGCTGTCTCGCACATCTGGCAGCATGTGGAGAGTGATTGTTAGCGTTCAGGAGTGAACGGAAGCGGTGCCGTGACGCACGTATGTTACCATCCTAGATGACTCGAATCGTGAGGTATGAGATGAGGTGGCTTGACTTGGTTGTGTGAGCTATGCGATAGGGAAAGCTTGCGCTCGAGCCGATTCGGCGCGGCGTGGATTTAATCTGTTGTGCGCAGTTTGCGCAGCAGGCTCTTCTTCGTAACGTCCTCAGCGGCACGCTCTGTGCCTGTCTCTGCCCCCCCCCCCCTCCGAATTGACGCCTGTTCCTGCCCTGAAAACTGACGCGGAGAAAGCTGGAATGCGCATTCTATCCGTTCCTGTCCGAATTTCTGAGTTCCTGGCGCATTGCCGGGCAGCGTCGACACCTGTCACCCTCAAAACCGATCCGCCTGTCATTGCACTGATCTCGTTTGCCACTCGGAAAGGAAGCGTTGCCTCCAACGAGTTGCTTACCTCGCTCTCGTGCCTCGGTGAGTTCGCTCACGACCTTGTTTCCATACTGCGTGCGTCTGTGCGAGATTGGGATGCACTCCGAGTGCGGAAGGGATTGGTGTTGAGAGAGGTGTCTACACCAACCCTCGATTCGAACAGCGATTGAATAACTTCTTGACACATCCGCCGCTCGATGGATAATGCGCAACAAGGCTCAATTGAGGTTCTGCAGTATAGTGTTACCGTCTTACAACCGCTTCCTTGGGAAGACCTGTCAAAAAGATGCTCTGTCAGTGAAGCAATCGTCGTGAGCACTTTGCACTTTTTCCCAGGCCAAAATAGACCTCTGTTGAACCATTCGAGGGACCAATTTAACTTGGACAGCGAGCACAGACTTGACTGTTTCCTAGAGGGAGAAGACTGTTGAGATGCACCTGTCAGAAGACTAATCTCCATCGTCGACTTAGATACTCACTCGTTATCTCGTTTCACTGAGCCAGCGCAAGCTCGCTTGTCAGATCGTCTGTCCGAGGGATGAGCATGTTGACACGTGTCCCTTTCGATGAGGTCCGTGACAGGAGTGCACAAGAGTGCAAGAGAGAGAGGGGAGGGAACCGTTTCAGGAAGGCAGTCGTGTCCATTGACGAGAGAGCACTGCGGAAACGCTGAATCGTGTTACTCTGACGAGGCGAGTCTTGAGGTGATGTATCCCTCGAGCGGCCCGTTCCAGCAGAGCACAGTGCGGAAAGACCTCGATCCTCTGGGACTTGCCGGTCTCCTGTGTTGTCTTCGATTCAGAGCTGAGTCGAATGACGCTGTCAGACGGCTCCTGCGCTCGATATCGCTCGATGTGTTTCACTCCATCGATGGAACAGAAAGCGCTTTACGGTGCTGACGTATAAAAGTGGTCAGAGGTATCAGCAGCGTCTTGAAGAGATCGCCTCAATGATTGCCCATACAAGCCCTTGGCCGCGCCAGCACCCTTTACAATACCGAACCTCTCCAAGTGCAATTGCATCGGACAACAGGTGAGATAAAGGACTGCATTCCTCATGGCTGCTACAGAAGAAGGTGCTGACGCAATTCTGAATTGTTTTAGAATATCTACTTAACTCTCACTCTCTCTCGAAGAAGGAGGTAGGCAAGCCAATCGGTGTGGCTCAAGCAGTGCACCTCATACCATCATGATGTCGGCAAAGACGGCTGCCGCGGCAAGAGCGAGGCGTACAGGGGCGCGGAGCAGCTTTCTGAGGCCTAGCCTTAGACAGAAGGTTGCCTCGCCCGCAGCCGCTGCTGCCCACAGCGAGGCCCAGAGTAAGCCTCGAAACATTGTGACGACAAGAAACCTTGAGCATGCCCACCATGAACTTGGTTTGCAGCATTCACCGGTAAGTCTTGTCTCGTCCACTCTGATCGGTCCCGCTTCTTCTTTCCTGTCCTTTACGGCGATCACGTGCCGAAGGCTTACTTTTTGCCCACGGAAATGTAGTCTTTCCGTGGCGAAGCTCGCGATGGCAAGTCAGCGTCTGGCTATGTGGTTGATTGCTTCGCGTCGCCACATGACGCAGTCACTTGTTACAGTATTTGTCTCCATCGCGGTAGCGTTGGCCTTTGCCTCGGCTCCTAGTCGAGTTGCTTTGGCCTCTCTCGCCAATGTTTCAGTTGGGTAGGTGTTGTAGTTCATTTGCTTTCCTGCCTTGTCCAGGCGAAACTTGACCTTTCTTCGCTCAGGTCCGTAGTTGTTTCTGAGCTACTTTCTCAGGCTCCCGTTGCTCTCCTTACTTGATGATTCAGACTGTTGTTACGAGGCGACGCAACCCACTTCTTGGCGTTGTTCGTCGCATCGGCTTGTCCAGGCCGAGCGATTTGCATCACCAACCCGGATTTCATTCCAAGGTGGTCGGATTTGGTGCAGCTAAGTCGCTCAAAGCGTGCACGCTTGCCTTGCTTTGTTCGGGAAGGTGCACGTCAAGTGCTATGCGATACGTTGGATGTCAGGATGGCCAAGGTAACAACAAGGTTTGCCTTTGTCTCCTGCATATGTAGGTCGTCAAGAGGGACACAGATGCCGCTATACATACTTTGGTTCCACTCAAGGACCGCAAAACCTTGTCCATGGTTCATTTCACCTCCCGGCCTCATGATGGGAGCCGCAGAACCTTGTCTCGCTCTTGTCTGCCAGTGTCTCTTGGGCAGTTTTGGCTCTCTTCTGCTCGCCCACTTTATCTCTGGCTGAACAGGCAGCCAGCCGGTTCTTCTTTGGGCCGAAGGGCAATTGACCGGTGACTTGGTCCCACATTTCTGGCCCTGCTTGGCTCAGATCATGGCATGTGCGGTCTGCATGTCGTGCGATGACATTGCACAACAAGCAACGGCCCTTGTCATTGTCTCTGATCGGTCGCATCAGACGTGGCTGTCTCGTTGTCACCATCGAAGACTACCAATGCAGCTGTGTTTCTGCTTCATGAGCAGACATCTGTATTCGTAGTGTTCGTGATTGCTTCGAACTTAATCGAAAAGTATTTCATCGACATGGCCGCTGTGGCGCACAAGAGAGATGCGGTGGCCGCCGAGAACTCGCTCTTGCCGGCTGGCAGACTTTTCGCTCAGCCTTTACCAAACTTGGTCAGATATGCGGTGCATCGTCTCCACGCAAAGCGGTACGAGCACCATGTCGCGTTTGGTTGAAGCTCTCGCTTGCCTTGCTTCCTGTCGGCTGCACATCACTCTACCAAGCTGGCGCCCACGCTCTCTTTCGCGCTGATACCATCTTAGCGGCGCTTAAGAGGCATGTGGGGGACCAAAGTATGCAAAGCAATGAAGTCGCACGGTGAATGAATCCCACCGTTCAGCGAGGGGGGAGAGCGCTATACTTAAGACAGCGGTACAAGGCTGAGCTTGTGGCCGGTCATGTCCACGTCCGCGCGCCACAGAGCGTTTAGCGCCTCCGGCCTCCTTGTTGCCGTTTTGTCCAAGAGAGTTCCCACATTGCCCATCCTTTGTCGGGCGGTTGGCGCGTCTGTAGAACGGAGCGACATGTTCGGTTCCCCATTCTCTTGTGCTTCGGTTCCTTGTCGGCTCTTCTCTGTCCGTTATTCTGGCAACTGTTCCTTGTTCTGCTTGGTTACCTGAGCATCCCACCCGTGGCGTATATATCCTCCTCTCGCCCACTTCTCTTCTTTCCAATCTGTCAAGATCCTCACAAAGAGCGCATCATCCTTACTCGGATCAAGCTCGAGGACACCTGCCTGACAACCCCTTCTCGCAACATCATCCCAACCCTCCATCACTATCAGGAAGGAGCTTCAAAGCAACTCAGAGCAGACAGCCTTGCCAAGCAACCTGTCGTCAGGAAAGCATATCACGAACTTCGAGCCCACGATCTTGAAGGTATAGCGTACGCCGCACAATTGCTGCTGAAGCTTAAAAACTCGAAAAACAAACGAGCAAGTGATATGCCGCTCAACGACAGCCAAGTCAGCACTTTCCAGGCTGGCACAGGCATCGCCAGGAAGCGCGGCCTACCTTACGCTCGGAACGACCATGGTTCGCCGCTTCAATCATCTCAGACTCAGTCTGCTTACAACGGTGGGATCAACTTCTACATCTCTGAACCGCGTCCGGCTCGGCTCTTTCCAACTCCCGTCCATGAGTTCAGAAAGGGAAAGTACGCTACAACTGGTGGCGACCGCGGCTTCATGACCGGTGAGTCCTCGTCTCTTGGCCTCGGATCAAGGCTCAAAGCATCGACCTACTGACATGTTGGATCTGTGCTGCCTTTTCTGCTACAGTATTCGAGTACGACGTTCGAGGTCATACTATGATGATTGACGTCGATACCTCCTTTGTCCGATTGTGAGTGCCGAACCGCTGACCAGGCGACTGGCTGGATGCATGTTGGCTGATAACCCATCTTCGTCCTTCAACCACACACAACAGCACATCCATCACACAAGCCTTGGGCAAGAACAAGGGTAAGGAGCTCAAGCATTTCGAAGGAAAGTCGTGACATATTGACAAAGTCCGCTGACTTTTTCTCTACCCCTTCTCTTGTTTGTCTCTACTCGCCACAGTCAACTTCGGCCGCTTGGTCAGGACCTGTCCTGCTTTGGAGCCTCATATATCGAAGTTGAAAGGTGGCTACCTCAGTATTCAAGGCACGTGGCTACCGTACGATCTGGCGAAGGAGCTCTCGCGCCGCATCGCCTGGGAGATTCGAGACCATCTTGTGCCTCTGTTCGGGTACGATTTTCCTTCCTCTTGTCTGCGACCTGACTCTGAGGGATTCGGCCAGTTGGCCATCGGTATGTCGCAAAAGAGAGCGCGCAAGCGCCACAACAATGGCGGGCCGCATCAGACCTCGTGCTATGGCCCAAGCCTTCCGATTTCGTAGGTATTAGACCTCTCTACTTTATGGGCACGCTTTAAGTGGAAGATGCGCTGACCATTCTTTTCTGCTTGCTCTCTGTGCATCAGGGTGGTCGATGGCCAGACCGTTGAGCACAAGACCAACGCCAGAAGCGGCAGTTTTCCCCACACTCTTCAGCAACCACCGCACACAGCCACCTTTCAGTACAGCAAGAGCTACGGACTCGACCGCCCGCATTGGCACGGACAGGAAGCTGGAGTAGCTTCGGGCACCATGGATGGCGAGCTTGACCCCATGATGTGGCCTCCCACTCCTTCTGTTTGCGGCACCGGTTCAGGAGGGCTGCAAGTGCCCAGTGTTGCGCAGGGCGGACAGTACACATCACCTTTTATGGCGTTTCAAAGCAGTCCAGTCTTGTCATCGCCGCCGTCGTCAAATGCGTCGTCTGCTTCGGCGCAAAGCTACGCGGCGAGCTATGGATTGATGGTGCCTCCGACCGTTCCTTCTTCGTCGCACGGTGCAGGCAACGGAGGTGGTCAAACATGCAGCTCAGCAGCTTCAACAGCAGCCTTTGACTTTGCTCATGCACCATCGTCGCCTGACAAGACAAAGGTAAAGTCTGGAGCAGAGCGCGATGTTTCGTCTTACGAGAACAACTACATCTCTTCATACGGCGATGCCAGCAACCAGCTCGCGTCGTGGACCGAATCTGGTCATGCTTCTGCGTACATGTCTTCTTCGCCCACGCCTCCGCCTCCGCCTCCGGCTGCGACTGCTCAAGCACCAACGTTCCACTTTGACGCTTGGCAGCAACAACAGCAGCCTTGCACTGCCTCGTCCAAGTGACACTGGGGTACAAAGTTTTGCTTTCCTGTACAGTCTCTCAAAATTCAAACTTCTGATTCTCTTTCCATCTCACGGGTCTGTGAATGTGAGTGCCACACCTCTCGTGCCACGACGTTGGAGGTGGGGCTAAGAGCTTGCTCTGCAGACCTGTTGAAATTCGAATGCAGTCAGAGCTAGAGTCAGCTGACCAAGATGAGAAAGCGACAAGCTTGTCAGACCGTGTTACCGATGCTGTGCAGAATGTTGTCAACACGCGTAGCCTTCGAAAGAGAACTTGCTTGGGGCGTTGGCGTGCTTGAGGATGGGCGGCTAGTGCCTCGGATCTGACCGAATCATCGGAGCGCTGCCGATGCCGCCGAATCCTTCCACAAGCTTTTACCTCTCCCTTGTCATTCTTTGTGGCTTTCTCCTGAACTGCAACCAAGCTTCGCCTCGTCCGAGCGTGGGGGGCGTTGGGGCGTGGGAGCAACAAAGTGTCACTTCTCACATTGTATGAGCTTTTTCGGTGGGCTCCGAAAGAAGATAGAAGAAGCATTTCTCTCTGCTGTTCTGGCTGACCGTTTTTCACGCCTGTCATCTGTGCTGATCTTATCCAAGGGAAAAGTAATTATTTTAATTTTGATTTTTGAGATCTTCGGCTACGGGAGAGCTGTCTGTGAGTTGAAGAGCGTCGTCATGATTTATCAATGGTGCGTCAAAGAGTATGATCACAAGTATTGATTGCAATGACAAATCATTCCTAGGTACATGATGAATCAAGTGTTTATATATGCCTCAATCCTCTTCATGTGCATGTGTGATACTAAAGGCTAATAGGGCAGGAGCATGAGGAAGTAAATGAGAGGTTGAGGAGGAAAACACCAGCTGTCTGATGACCACCATCTTGGGGTTTGGCAGTCAGCCTGGACAATGCACTAAGTCCAAGTGAGTGAAGTTGGTGATTGGATGTGTGGGCTTGGCAAAGGTTGCATTTGCATGCTTCAATCACCAAGACACTGCATGCTTCAACTCCCCCCCTTGCCAACTGAGCTATGGTGTGATCCAACATTAAGCATTCCCAATTGTTTTCATGTATGTGCCAAGAGGGTCTTGGAGACTGGTTTAGTGAGAAAATCTGCAATATTGTCATTGGTTCTAACATACTTGATTTCAATATTGCCTTCCTGTACCTGATCTTGGATGAGATGATATTTCATATCAACATGCTTGAGTTTAGAATGCATGGCCAGGTTGTTTGCCACTTGAATGCAGCCCATGTTGTCAGTGAGGATTGTGGGAGTGTGATCTCCAAACCCAAGTCCACAGGGAAGGTGTCTGTGGAATAGTGCTTCTCTGGCAGCAGCCAAACTAGCAATATACTCAGTCTCAACTGCTGAACTGGCTACACATTTCTGGACATGTGAATTCCAGGTGATGATGCTACCAAAAACCTTCATGATCAAGCCTGAGGTACTCTTTCTGTTGGCATTGGGATCTGAAGCCCAATTCACATCTGTGTAGGTCTCAATGACACTTTCATTGGTGTTTGTTCCACCAATATGCAATACATCATCTTGGGTCTGATTCAGGTATCTGACAACACATAGCACTGCTTGCATGGCTTCTTCAGTCAGTTGGGACATATGTCATGCAAGGGTATTGACTGCATAGCAGATGTCCAGATGGACAGTGTTTGACACCCAGAGTAATTTTCCTACAAGTGTAGGATAGCTTTCCTTAAGTTTGCTTCCATCTGCCAGATCTTCAATTGCTTTTGTGGGAGTGGTCATCATTGGTACCCAGGTCTTTTCATCGGGTTTTATCCATTCCTTGATGATATCTGTCACGGGATTGGGAATCGGGTAACCAAACCGAACATAGTGAGCAGCAAAACCACTACACCAGCTAATCCCTTAGCTGGTGTACCTGATTCACACAACACTGAAGTATAAGCATTGCACTCTGTCAGGGGTCTCGCGCCTGAAACCCAGGTCGGTCTGTCGAGATACTCAGTGACTATCGAACTGTGCGACAGCTATTGTCTCAGTATCAGTCTCGACGAGCTAGTTGCTCAGTGACTATCAAGTTGTGCGATGACAGCAGGTGGCATTCATTGGATATACTATCGTAGGTTTCGGCTGACCTCTGTGGACACTCTGTTCAGGGGTAGCTTGGCATGATCAATATCAATGCATAGGTTATGATGACACCAAGGTCTGGTGTGAGCATTGATGATGATGAGGTTGATGGTGTTGGTGATAAGGTTGGTGAGTGTTGGTGGTAATGAGGTTGAAGGTGTTGGTGATAAGGTTGGTGGCATCAACATGAGTGTCCAGTGTGTTGACTTGATGCTTGAAGTGATCCCCAGACCACAGTGGACTACTGCCTTTGGTTCTATCTTAATCTGGACTGCTGACCTGCTATGGGTCACCTTCGGACATCAGGTAGTGGTGATACAACACATGCACTATGATGAGGAGCAACCTTGATAGATTGCTGCTATGCTGACTGAAACTAATATATACTTATGCTGAAGTGATAACTAGTGATGATGTGTGTAGAGTGGATGAGGATCCACTCGACCTATGATGATGAGAAAGCATGGTTATATACCTCTTCACAGCATCGCCAGCAATGCTGCTCCTGCTCTCTCTCCAGAGAGTACCTTCTTCATCGAGTACTGTTCAGGGGCCTCTCCTGCTTGGCACCCCTGTGCCTCTTGAGCTGTGTCGACTCCTTCGACACTGCTCCTCCTCCTTGCTATCCTGCTGCTTGTTTGGCACCCCTATGCCTCCTGAGTGGTGTCGACTCCTTCAACACTGCTCCTCCTCCTCAGGACCTGCTTGCCAGTGTCCTATACACTGCTCCTTCTCCTTTGACCGGTGACAGTTCCTTTGACTCTTGTCTCTCGAGCCCCTGAGTGGTAACCATCTGAGCTTGGTCCTCTTCATGGCTGTGCCTGCTCCTTGAGCTTGGTCCTCCTCGTGGCTGTGCCTGGCCCTCCTCACATGTGGCTCGTGTCCTCCTTTGCATGTGAGTCCATAGGAGTCCATGGTCTCCATGGAGACTGCACTACGACCATGCTCTCTACTGGTATTGACTAGATCTTCAATACCTGTGCTCCTTCCATATGAACCAGTGACCCTCCTGCTTCTTGAGCATCCAGGCCCATGACAAGTCCCAACTGAGTGCCAAAAGCTGTCTTCCATTCATCTCCTTTAGCAATCCAGATGAGGTTGTATGCTGCTCTAAGGTCTAGCTTGGTATAGATCCTTGCCTTCCTGAGTAAGAACAGCTGCTCCTCGATGAGGGGCAATGGTGCCCTGTTCTTGACAGTGATCTCGTTGAGACCTCTGTAGTCCACACAGAGTCTGAGACCTCCATCCTTCTTTGGTACGAAGAGCACTGGTGATCGTGCCGGGCTCTTTGATGGTCTTATGAACCCCTTCTCGAGGTTCTCATCCAAGTACCTCCTCAACTCGGACATCTCCTTGGGTCCCTTAAGGTATAGGGGCCCTTGAGGTGGCTTCCCTCCTTCTATCAACTCGAGGTGGAGATCATGCTCGGTATGATGGGGCAGCTTGTCTGCTTCCACCTCATCAAACACATCTCGCAGGTGTTGGTATGGCTTTGGTATGTCTGCAGCCGTCACCACCTTATCTACCTCCACCTCCATCTCAACTCCTTTGTCTGCGCCTGTAGGTACAAAACCAAAGGCCGGGAGTGATGATGGTGGCTCCTCTAACAGCATGAACCCTATGGGTCCATCTTCCAGAGCTGCTCGTAGTATGCGCTCTGCTGAGACAAACTCGTTACCATGAAGGGTTGGTCTCCTCATGGTTAGGTCCCCTGCTCTTGCTGCTTCAGGGGGTCTCCTAGGGGGTCGGTCCTGCTCCTGAGTCTTGAACTCCAGCTGGCCCGTATCCCATTGTATGGTGGGTTTGAGCCTCCGTAGCTCAGTGAACCCCAGGATGAGGTCATAGTCCGCAGTGTCGGCCACTGAAGCTTCGACCACACCCAGATTGTGTGTACCAATAGATACCTGCATGCTCGCAGAACTATTGATGGAGAGTTGGTGCCCGGTGACACCATGGATCAATCTTGTTTTTATGGGTTTTGTGGGTATTTGGTACTTACTAATGAAAGAATCTGAGACTATGGACAAACCAGCACCGGTATCAGCTAGTATCCGAGCAGGATGGTCTTGAACCATTCCAGAGAGCTCCAGTACTGCTTTGCCTCCACTGGTAGAGAAACATACTTGACAATCTTGATATATACAGAGTGATGGCGAGGAGGTTTGTAGAGCAATGCATGCCATCAGTGCATCACCCCACTGACGTTTCCCTCGTCGTCATCATCATCGTGCTCCTCCTCGTGATCGGGGTCCATGGGTTGCTGGTATGAGCTGAGGTCCATGGCCTCGGGGTCACCCGTCTCAGTGCTGCCTGTGGGGCCATCTCCTGAGTCGGTGGCCTCCTCGAAGGGGTCTGCTGTGGTGACCATAACCTTTGGTCCCATGAGTCGAGAGCTAAGAGGGTTTACCCTCCTGCTGGGGCAGTCTCTGGCCCAATGGCCGATACCCTTGCATACATGACAGGTGTTGATACCTGATGGAGCAGGGCTTCCTTGCTTCGAGGGTTGGGTGGGATGATGAGGAAGGGGTCGGTTTAGGTTTTGTATAGTTGCTTGTGTAGTTGCTTGTGATGGTGATCGAGCTGGATAAGGTTGAGTGGGTTGTCGGATGGGGATCGAACTTTGATTTGGCCGAGACCCAGTTCTTAGTGGAGGTGACATGGCATTTGGGAGTGAGTGTCTAGCCGAGGACTGCTGTAGTAGCATCCTCTGTCGATCGATCTCCTCAACCTCTCGATACCACTCCCATCTCTTCCCAGGTGGATTCCTCTCAAACTTCTCCTGTATGCTGCGAGTGAGACTTCCTCTGAAGAGATCAATCACTAGCTCGTTGTCATCTAGGTTGACCTGTCCCTCCAAGTCTCTGAACCGCTCTACATGACGTGTGGCGGCACCAGGAGCATCACTTGTGAGTCTGAGAGCCAACAGCTTGTTGTATGCCTCCATCCTAGCATTGCGTGGGTTGAACTGCTCTGACAGTCGCTCTGTGAAGTAGTGCCAATCATTGAACAACCTTCCTTCTCTAGCTCTATCAATGCGGAGCTTGGAGGTCCACCACTCTCTTGCCGTCCCTTCCAGTTGAGCACCCATGTGATTGATCATCCTAGACTGCTCATACACCTGGTTGAACTTAAACCATGCTTCGGCTTCTAGAATGAAGATCTCCATGTCTCGGGGATTGAACTTTGGAAAGGGGGTGGCAATGGGCTTTGACCGGTTAAGCTCTGCCATGATGCTGGTATCCTCCTCGTGGTCCAGGGGGTAAGGATCCGTCCTAGTCCTGCTGTAGGGGTCCAGCTTAGTCTTGACATATCTTGGCCCAGTAGGTGAAGCATACTTCTCGTAGTTGATGTCCTCCTGCTCATCCAGGTTGAATGAGACTGATCATCTTGGTCGTGGAGCCGGAGTAGGAGTATGTGGGTCTCCTATCATAGACTCATCTCCTCCTCCTGCTTGGTCTTCCGAGTGAGAGAGGTCCATTGTCTCCTCCCTACCCAGCTGAGCTCGTTGTAGTCGTTCCTCTCGATGACCCTGCCTAGTAAGCTCTAGCTGAGCTTCCAATAGAGTGAGTAGTCTATCGAGCTTATTGTTGAGGTCTGGGTCCGTCATGGTGATCGTGAGGAGCTGCTTGAATGATCCACTCTAATGTCAGGGGTCTCGCGCCTGAAACCCAGGTCGGTCTGTCGAGATACTCGGTGACTATCAAACTGTGTGACAGCTATTGTCTCGAGATACTCGGTGACTATCAAGTTGTGCAGTGACAGCAGGTGGCGTTTGTTGTATATACTATCGTAGGTTTCGGCTGACCTCTGTGGACACTCCGTTCAGGGGTAGCTCGGCACGATCAATATCAATGTTATGATGACACCAAGGTCTGGTGTGAGTGTTGATGATGATGAGGTTGATGGTGTTGGTGATGAGATTGGTGATGTCGATGATAATGAGGTTGATGGTGTTGGTGATAAGGTTGGTGGCGTCAACACGAGTGTCCAGTGTGTTGACTTGATGCTTGAAGTGATCCCCGGACCGCAGTGGACTACTGCCTTCGGTTCTATCTATATCCGGACCGCTAACCTGCTATGGGCGCCTTCGGACGTCAGGTAGTGGTGATACAACACACACACTACGATGAGGAGCAACCTTGATAGATTGCTGCTATGCTGACTGAAACTAATGTATACTTATGCTGAAGTGATAACTAGTTATGGTGAGTAGAGTGGATGGGGATCCACTCGACCTATGATGATGAGAAAGCATGGTTATATACCTCTTCACAGCATTGCCAGCGATGCTGCTCCTGCTCTCTCTCCAGAGAGTACCTTCTTCATCGAGTACTGCTCAGGGGCCTCTCCTGCTTGGCACCCCTGTGCCTCTTGAGTGGTGTCGACTCCTTCGACACTGCTCCTCCTCCTCATGACCTGTGTCGACTTCCTGTCTCTCGAGCCCCTGAGTGGTAACCATCTGAGCTTGGTCCTCCTCGTGGCTGCGCCTGCTCTTTGAGCTTGGTCCTCCTCGTGGCTGTGCCTGGTCCTCCTCGCATATGGGCTCAGTGCTCCTTTGCATGTGAATCCATAGGAGTCCATGGTCTCCATGGAGACTGCACTACGACCATGCTCTCTACTGGTATCGACTAGGTCTTCGATACCTGTGCTCCGTCCATATGAACCAGTGACCCTCCTGCTTCTTGAGCATCCAGGCCCATGACAGGTGGTTCATAGTAAACCAGCAGTCCAGATTAGATAGAACCAAAGGCAGTCATCCACTGCAGTCTGGGGATCACCTCAAGCACATAGTCAACACACTGGACACTTGTGTTGATGCCACCAATCACATCGCTCACACTGGACCTTGGTGTCAGTATCAGTTCACATTGTTATTGATTGTGCCAAGCTACCTCTGGATGGAGTGTCTGACAGTGGTCAGTTGAAATCTGCAATAGCAAAACCCTTACTGCAGTTCCGAGTGAGAAAAGTGATAGAGATGGCTCTACCACATATTTCATCAAGAATCGCAATACCACAAGCACTGTCACATAACTCGACAGAATTGGTAATAGTATCGACACTACTACCGATTTCAGGTTTCAGGTGCGCAACCGCTGACACAGTGCACCAAATGTCCTAGGCGGGCATCTGATTGTTGAGTGGGTTTGTGGTGGTAGTGTTGCTAATTGTATGGAGTTTGTTATTCAGGTTCTTTGGGCAGAATCAGCTGATATGATTTTCACCTTGACAGTAATAGCATTTCCTTCAGCCATCCAGGCCTGGTTTTCCCATACTATAGGTGTCTTGATTGATAACTTGACTGCTAACTGTGAAAGCTTGAGTGGTCTTTCCACTGTCAATCCTGTGATTTGGCTTTGTGACCATGTCATCCTGTTGTTTGAACAGGGCCACACAGATTGCATCATAGTTGGTTCCATGGCTGTTGTCTTGGAGATTCATGATACAATTATTGTATGCTGTCACAGCCTTGGCCCAATGCTCATCCAAATTGGCCAAAAACTTGTGGACATCTGCATTGAGCATGTGAATCCTTCTGGCTTTGTATAGGAGGGTTGATTCTGTGATATGCTCCATTTTAGTGAGATCCTTCTTGAGTTGGGCATATAATTCATGAATCCTCCAGGATTCAGCATTTGCAGGTAGTTCATGTTATCCTGACCAATGAGCTTGGCATTGCTTTGGATGATCATGTGGAGTTTTGCATTCAGCTTCCAGTTGTACTTTTTATCACCCAGTTTGGTGGTGCTGTTGAGATGCTTGAGGGCCAGGGACCACAAGGCCAATATGTCCCAGAAACAAGGGTTCCAGGCATACCAGTTCTTCATGGTTAGTTTTGGGGTGTCCTTTAGCACATCATTGAGTTGGGTCACTTCATGGAGGAAGCCACAGCACTTGGAGGGTAACTTGTATGAGGAGGTTTTGGCTTGTTTGTGTAGGGTGGATTGTGTAACAATGTTTTGGAGTGTGTTGATGTTCATCTTGTTGATGTTGTTCAGGTCAAGTAGAGGTTTGTTTGGTTCACTATTGTTGCTATCAGAGCTGTTGGAGGAAGCAGTATCATGTTTGGTGATTCTCTGATGATCTACAGGTGCCAGGATTGTCTTGGCCTGGTCATCAGAGGAGTCTTTGAGTGAGGGGTCATTGGTGGTATGCAGGTCATTGGATTGCAGGGGCATGGTGTTGAGGATTGTATGACTAGAGCAGTCAGACTCTTATTCAGTTGAAGAGTGTCATTGTGATTTATCAATGGTGTGTCAAAGAGTATGATCACAAGTATCAATTGCAATGATGAATTATTCCTAGGTACATGATGAATCAAGTGTTTATATATGCCTCAATCCTCTTCATGTGCATGTGTGATACTAAAGGCTAATAGGGCAGGAGCACAAGGAAGTAAATGAGAGGTTGAGGAGGAAAACACCAGCTGTCTGATGACCATCATCTTGGGGTTTGGCAGTCAGCCTGGACAATGCACTAAGTCCAAGTGAGTGAAGTTGGTGATTGGATGTGTGGGCTTGGCAAAGGTTGCATTTGCATGCTTCAATTGCTGGGACACTGCATGCTTCAACTCTATGCATGTGTTGCTTTTGCCCTAGGCTCCTTGACTGGCTCAGAAGGGAAAGTGCAAATCTCGGCGAGAGAATAATAATAATAAACAACGCGCAGCCGTGTGGGTTATGCCTGTGCAGCCATGAGGCAGAGAAGCGAGCTAAGAGAGTGAGAGAATTGGAGAATCAGCTAGAACCCTGAATGAGAATCGCGCCAAAATAATAATAATAATAATAGTCACAGCAGGCGCTGAGGTCTATCTGGCTTTTGAACTTGACTGCGCTGGCTAAGCCTCGCATCTGTCGTCTTCTATCGCGGCTTTTTTTTCCCCCTTGTTTTCCAACTCAGATTATTGACATCTCAGCCAAGCGGGAAGGACCACTGTGTGCAAGCACTTTCTCCTCAACAGCCCTTTTTCTCGCCAACTTGCTCGATCTCGCCAAATAGGCCAAGCTGAGCGACATGAATTTTCATTCTTCCTCACCATCATCATCAAAGCGGTTCTGTAATCTCTTCATCGGGTCCCCACCTCTCATCTCTCCACCAATTGTATCTAAAGCCCACCGCCACTTGGTTTGGTTACTAGTTCCGAACAGCCGCGCTCGGACACACTATCGGCTAGCGCATCTGCGGTGTTGAGATTTCTATCGGCCTCCACTCTGATAAGGACACGCATCGGCGCGCCTTTCTCGTCCACGCCTTTCTCGTCCACGCCACCACATCCATCGACGGGACGCCATCCGAGAAATGAGCAGATGAATTAGTCGCTGCTCTTGGCATTCATCCTTGATACTCGGCATCGAAGCCGCAATCTTGACCAAGTGCCGGCGCAGATCTGAGGTGGCACTACATCTCATTCCTTCCTGCTACCTTAATTGTCAATATGGAGCGCACTTGGTCGACCGACTCGGTCGCTTCCATCCCAGGGAACTCGCTCCCTGACCCATCCCGGCTTCGCAAGGCGGCTCGCAGACTCTCCAACCAGGCTTCACACCAGGGCGTTAGGGAATGGAGAAAGTCCAAACCACATCAACCCAGCGCCACCAGCAACGGCACCAGCAACCAGCAACGCACCAGCAACGGCACCAGCAACGGCACCAGCAACGGCACCAGCAACGGCACCAGCAACGGCACCAGCAACCAGGCACCAGCAACGGCACCAGCAACGGCACCAGCAACGGCACCAGCAATGGCACCAGCAACGGCACCAGCAACAATGTCGGTACTGACGCCAACGCCACCAGCAACTCACATCCTTATTCGGCCTCCAACGCCAAAGCTGGCCCCTCTTCGCGTAGACTCAGCAATGGTGCTGCAACCTCCACTGCACCCGCTGGCGGCATCAGAAGGCGCAACATTCTCGAGTCGGCTGCCACCTCTTCCGCCAAAACTGATCACAGATCAAAACGCCGTCCCTTTGCCGCCTCCTCGACAACATCTTCTCCCCAGCCACCTTCTACGCCTGGCTCTGGCTTCTCCAATTGGCCTCTGAGTGCTGCCGAAGACTTTTCCGGCTCTTCCACCGATCGGCCCACCCCTCGTCGTCGCTCAGCCACTGTCGAGTCCAGAGAGGCTTACTCGGCCGACCCTTCCGCCGATGGCGCTGGCGGATACTCTTCCAGCAGCGATCAACACTCTTCAAGCTCCGAGTTCGAGCCTTTCGATTGGGATGTCGGCCCCAAGCGCAGAAGCTCCGACCGTCCTCGCTCTGTTCCATCTGAGCACTATTTGCACAAAGCGCTCGGTGGCTCTGCCACACCATCTGCAAGCAGCACTGGGCATTCTGCAGCAAAACGTTCGTCAGCCTCAGCTTCTCCACCACCACAACTGCCGCATGGTTCCACTATTGAACGACAGAGTGCCTCTCGACTCAGCAAGGTCAGCAACGGAAGAACTCGTTCGTCAAAAAAGTCACCATTGCCGTTGCCATCCGACCCATTAGCAAACGCCTCTCCACCATCCCGCTCATCGACAAAACCTAGTCGCCAGTCCATCTTGTCACGTGCGATCGGTGCAGCGAGCTCTTTGGCTTCCAACAGCAGAACTCCCTCTGCTGCATCCTCCGCGTCTGGAACAAACCCAGTTGCTGCTAGTGCCACCAGATCACAACCGACAAGCAAGGCCAGCCAGGACAAGCCCGTTGTCGGCCCTGCAAATGGAGGCGCTCTAGCAGCGCCCAGCCGAGTCAACGCAGAATCTTTGAACAAGGCAAATGTAGAACCGACTCGATCTTCCTCTGGATCAAATGCTGCCGGCACTGCTGGTCCAAGTGGAGCGCATCTTGTAGCTTCTGCAGCTTCGGCGTCACTGTGCAATGGTCTTACGTCCAATTGGCGACGTCTTCGCATCAACCCCTCTTTGGAAGCCCTTCTCATGAGCTTGGCATCTTGTATCGCCTACTACGGCATCAAGACGCACGAAAAGCTTGAGACGCAGAGCCATGCCGCAGAGGTCGGCCTTGTGACCATCATCAGCACGCTCTACTTCTTCCTCCGCGATCCCGACGAGCAAGCCGCCATCTGGGCCACGGATCATCGCAACTATCGCACTTGCCCGGAAGATGGCGCCCTCAATGCGCTCCTCTTGCCGCCCCTCCTAGCCTGTGCGACGCTCTTCTCAGCAATCCAAGATCAATCCGCAGGTCGAAGCAGTGCGCGAGCCTCTGGTGAGCCGCTGCCGAACCCGCCATGGATGGTCGAAGGTCCTCCTGTCATTCTCAGCCACGACCGCAAACTGCCAGGTGGCATGACCACATTGGTCGTTTCGCGTTACTCTCTTGTCAGCACCATGTCCATGACCTCGACTGTCTTGCTCTGCCATCTTCTTGCTACCAAGTGGATTCGCCGTCCGCACGAGTTCCCAAAGAGCAACTGGGTCAAGCTGCGAAGCTTCACTGCCTTCTCCACCGTCATCGCTATTGCACTTGAGCTCGTCAAAGACGCCGCCGCGTTCTACGGCTTTCCGCTCTGGTCCAACCTCGCACGCTGGGAAGTCATCACTGCTGCGCTCTTCTTCCAGGCCAACCTGTACACCATCTCGCGACTCGCACGCAAGAGCTTCACCTTGGGAGAGCTTGGAATCGTCGCTTCCGTAGGTGTCACGCTCACCATGGAGACGCTGCATCTGTTTGTCGCCAAGTTGCTGCCAGTCACTACACCATATGTCAAGACCTTCCGCCGACCAACGCCACTCTTGATCTTCCAGCTCGCGTTGATTGTCGGCACCTTCATCGTCGGCTTCCTGCTCTCGCCGCTCCTCTACCTCTCGCGCAACCTCGCACAGAAGCCAACACACCGACTTCGTTGGCCCGACAAGCGCGATCTGCACCGACGTCTGCTCGCCGCCTTCTTCTATCTTTTTGCGGCTATCTATGTAGTCGGTGTGCTTGGCATGTGGGTGCGGTGGCTGCTTGTGCGCCGTGACCCCTGGCTGTGGACGCTCTCGTTCATGTTGAAGGGGGCAAAACCTTGGTCTCGACCGCTGCTGGTGACCTACTGGGTGTTGCTGATCTCGATCTCGATCTCGTGCTGGCAAGCAGTGGTGTCAAACGCCAAGCGTTTCCGCAGTCTCGCCAACTCATACAATCGCCCAATGCTTGGCCCGAAGCCACCGAACAGCACCAGTGCAGCGGGCAAGAGCGCTGCCGAGTTGAAGCAGCAACAGCAACAAACACAGCAGCAGCTCAGTCAGGCTACACCAACAAACGTTGTCCTGTCCCTGTCGCCAAACTCGCACGCGCCAGGTGGTGTCGAGGTCATTCCTGAAGGTCTTGATGGTTCGGGCAGCGGAGAGAAGGTAAGCGGAAACGGTACGCAGAATGGAATGGCGGTGAACGGAAGTGCGGGAAGTGGTGTCAGCGGAGGTCAAGGCGAAAGCGGAAACACCAATGCCAAGCGCGGAGTTGGAGTCAACCTTAAGCTCTCAACACTTAGCGGAAGCGCTTCTCTCCTTGCCAAAGAACACAATACAGCAGCCATCAAAAAAGCATCATACCTGTCTCTCAACGCTCGTCGCAAGTTCTTCCACGCTCTTGCAGTACTCCTCTTCCTGCCTGGTATCGCACTCGATCCCGCATTCACACACCTTGGCTTCTCATTGGCTTTCTCCATATTCATCTTTGCCGAATACGTCCGCTACTATGCGCTATACCCCTTTGGAGCGGCTTTGCACGTCTTCATGTCCGAGTTCCTCGATCACAAGGATTCGGGCCCTGTCATCCTTTCGCACTTCTACCTGCTTACGGGCTGTGCGGGTCCGTTATGGCTTGAAGGTCACTCCCGCATCCTTCAACAAACGGGTGTGCTTGTGCTTGGAGTTGGTGACGCACTAGCTTCCGTCGTCGGACGCAGATACGGCAGAACTTACTGGCCAGGTGGATCGAGCAAGACGGTCGAAGGCAGTGTTGCGTTCGTAGTAAGCATCATGGCTTCCGCTTGGGCGCTGCGACTGGTTGGTTGGTGCGAGGACTTCAGTACCGTCAAGTATTGTGCTGTGATCACCTCTCTGGGTCTCCTGGAGGGTGTTTCGGATCAGCATGACAACTTGGTCTTGCCGATCTTTGGTTACATTGTCGCTAGTCTTGTTGGTCTCTAGAGGCAAAGCTGTGTGTCAGATAGCTCATCATGACAGTTGAACCTTGTACAGTACGCGGAATGAAACCTTACTTTTCATTAACGAGTACGAAGTGAGAACAGCGTGTGTGTGACTGTGTGTGTGCGAGGTAGTGAGCTCCGTCGGACGAAGGAGGTGAGTGCGGAAAGCAACTTCCACACAACAAGTGTGAATGGATCTCCGCCGTCTGCCCCTTGCAACACACACATGCCTCTCCCATCCGCTCCTCAAGATATACACCCACGGTATACCGATGGTCTTCCCCTACACCTCCGAATACGAGCACACACCCCGCATACCTACGATGGCAACTCTGATCCGGTGTCAACACGCATCGCCATCTTCCACCGGCATCCTCCACTCTTAATTACAGCTTCCTCGCCTCCACCCTTGTCCGGATCCTTCTCCTCGCTAACCATTGCTTATCAACATCAACATAATCATGGGACTTTTGAACAAATTTCGTGGCTCTAGCGGTACGTTGTCCAATCGCGCAACTTCCACCAATATAAACGACACTCCCGATGTAGGTCAGCTCAAAGCCGAACTCCGCGGACTGTGCCCCGATCTCCGACATCGCGGAGGACGAAGCAATCGCAGCGGCCAATGTCGAACATGCCTTGCAGAAGGTGGAAGCTGCCAAGGCTTACCTGGAGGCTGCTTCTGCCGCTAGTGCTGGTGCTGTAGAGGCGGGAGGAAGGGATGAGGAAGGTGGGCCGCAGGGTAATGTGATCAAGGCTGAAGGGATGAGGGAGACTAACGAAGTGACTGTAGAGGGAGATGGAGCGAAGATTTCTTGGATGGAGTGACAAACTTGGATGGTAGGACGCGGCTTGATTACGTATGGCGATGCATGGCGACGAGGAACGGTATGTACAGATGGATCTGCTTTATGTTAGAAACTGAAGTCGTTTCGGTCCCGATACTGGCGATCGGGGAGAGTCCAAGTACGATGTCACTGCTGCTAAAAGACAGAAACATATATACTCAATTGACTAAAGTGAACATGGCCGGAGCCTGGTGCTCCCCGCTTGATATATATACATGAGTGCGGTACATGCCGATGAGTGGGAGCTATCTACTTCATGGCCATCTCTGACAACGAGCGGGACCAGGTTGCATCCGATCCCTCGTCTGATCGTCTCTCTCTAATCTCCGATCAGATTTACTTCACCCGATCTCCCTCGTTTCTCCTTACGTTTGCTTACATCACCATGTTGGATCGTTCTACTTTCAACACTTTATTGTTCCAGACGGCCTGTCTGAGCACGCGTCGGAAGCCCCTACGGACCCTTTGATTCTCTCGCATGAATCCTCACTACCTTTTGTTCGTTATCACCCTTTGACCACTATCGCTTCCCTTTGTATTTAGAGCACAGTTAGAACACAGTCAGACATGTAAGGTCTATATAGAGGGAATTCGCACCCCCCCCCCCCCCCCCTTCACGTCTTAATTCCAAGCTTCCCTTCTAACGTACTTGAAGGCCCTAGGAAACATTATGCTAATGAAGAGCAAACAACTAAGTCTTGCCCCTTATGTATCTACCCTGTGAAGCATGAGGGAGAAACTATCTCTTCCTCGTCGGGCATCTAATAGCGTATGTCGATGCCTATGGCGATAATCGGTCTGATGCGAGCCGATAGGTCGCACAGGCCTCCTACAACCAAAAGCCACAAAGCCCTTCTTCCACTTCGTAATCGCCTTGCGGAGCCATGTAACGCACTCTGCCGAGATCTTACTAGAAAAGCATGTACAGATAGCACTCACGCAGCCTCATCGAGAAGGAAGGCTCAGAAATCGAAAGCGCTTCCTCTTACAACAGCCTCTCTTCTGCATTGTTTGCGTGATTCGTTAAAAGGGTGAGAACAGATGTATTAGACCGCAACCGTACAAGCCTTCAGCGAAGCTAGGAACGAATGTGAGAAGACTAAAATTGAGCAGCGAGCAACAGTCGGAAATCGTCTGCTGGTTTGGCAGCCCCTTCCTTGGTGGTAGGAGGAGAGGTCTCGTGGGACTTGCTCACTTCCCAAGGGTCTTTTCCTTCGACAACAGGGTGAGGAGCGGGATGGAAAGTCATCTCACCTGCAGGATTCTTAGGCTGCTGCTGTAAGCCTGACCGATAAGGTGTGCGAACAGGCGGAACGTCCTCTTTTTCGCCCCAGCGATTGGAACGATCAGGATGCAAAGCCAAGTAGGAAGGAGGGGAAGGAGGGAAGGCATCTTTTGCCAGATCTCGCTTGCCGATTGCGCCTGTGTAGTCAGGGTAGTGAAGATGAGTTAGGTCATCGGTACGGTAACCTTCTTCTTCCACCGTATTGATGAAGGGTGAGAAAGTGTGTTTGTGGGAGGGAAAGTGTATTAGTGGAATTGATGCAAGTCAGAGAGGACAGAGGTATGAGGACTTACGGTCACGGGGCATCTCGCTAACAGGAGTATCAACGACCACCGTCTTACCTTTCAGCTCTAACTTTTCGAGAGAGCCAACCTCTGGCTTTTCGTGCCGATGGGAGTGGTTAGGATATGCCTGCCAATTACGGGGAGCACCGTGTCCGGCTGTACCAGCAATCCGAATCGATTTGGCACGTCAATGTTACATTCAGCTGAGGTCGGAATGATAGAACTTGGAAATGGCAACTCACGATAACCAATAGGTGATGGGTCACGTTGGGAGTCCAGAATTTGGGCTGGTAGAGGAGCACCACCAACCACACCGCCAAGGACGACGATCATGGTAGCGAAAAGCGTTCGCCTTGCCAAAGGTTTATCGCACGGTCCCTTTCGACCAGCCGCTTTGTCGAACTTTCCCATGATTGCTGTCCTTCCTGCGAGGAAGTTCTGAGAAATGCTTACGAGGGAGATATCGAGTCCAGCTCGTGAAGATTTGTGGTCGGAACGAGTGGAAATTTGAGCGGGGATGGGAGGATGACTATATATCTCTTTCTTCGTTCCAGGTTGGTTGCGAAACAAGATGAAAAGTCCGAGCGGGTGATGCAAGGTACAACCCAGCTATCTTGCGGCGTAGCGCAGTGCAATATGGTGCAGAGGGGGGGGTGGGGAGACTTTTGACCGTGAGAACCGTGTCACGATGCCAGCACTGCCATCTCATCACAGCGAAGCAGCGAGGCCGGCAAACATGCCCTTACTGTGGTCGTGAGAACAATTCCCACTCACCACCAATTCCACCGATTTCACTAGACATCGCCCACTTCGACCTTTGAGACCGCTGTTCGGCACAGCAACAGCCGCATTGACGCACAGACTTGAGTCAGCGGTGGTGGGTGTGGGAGTATGATGAGATGAAGTAAGGCAAGCCGGACGACCGAGGAAGTCGACTGCGCCCAGCTGCGGCACCACAAGACAAGGGTGGTGGGTTCTGGCCGGTCCGCTACACCGAGTTTGGATGGGATGGCAGAATGGCGTGTCTGCGGACGAAAGGAGTTGCAAGCGGAAGACGCAGTGTTGTGCGTGTAAGTCGTGTGGCGATGTAGATTGCAGCGTCAGTGGCATGATGAGGGTGTTTCGTGAGATCTCGCCTTGCTGCCTCGATCTCTTTCCTGTGCGACTCAGACGTGATGCCATGCGATGAGGTATTACGTTGGGATGTGATTGCAGTTAGTGATACAGTGTTTACAATGCTGTGTTGACGATTGGAGCGCTTCATCCGCTCCGATCCTTTGGTGTTGCTAGCTGGCCTCATCTTCCAATTCTAGCTCTGCCTTTTCGCAGCTCTAACCGATGTGTGCTTCCATGCGAATGTGGTTGGGGTATCTGTCGGTCGAGCCTCCTCACTCTTCCTCCTCTTCGAAACTTAAGCAGTGTTCCTTAGAACCAACACCACCGAATCGCCTCGCAAGAACATCTTTGAGATGAACCTGTCCTTGTTCACCGGCTTCTTCCCCTTGCCTTTTGGAACCTCTGTCCACATCTCCTTGACATTCTCCAAAACCATATTTGAGTGACGGTCGAAAGCCTTGACGCGTGCAAGGAGCTTCTTGTTGTTGCGCAGGGCAATCAAGATCTGTGTGTGGTTGCGAACGGATTGTTGCAGGACTGAAAGAGGACCTTGAGAGATCTCGTACTGCTCGAGCTCTCGGATTTGGGACTGGTCGAGCTCTGATTTGGGTAGGTTGACGTACTGGCTGTAGAGGGAGGAGATGGAGCAAGGCAGAGAGAGTTAGTATGCTTGATGCTTTTGGCTCGGAACTCGTCCGTTCCTACGCCTGAGTCAAGAGTCGAGGGATAAGCTAGATGCTTACCTCATGTTGTGATGTGATATGATGGGCACAATCGAGATGATGTGATGCCAGATCGAGGCAGATGATGTCGTGATGGTGAACAAGGTTGATAGAAAGTGATGGCAATTAAGAAGCTTGGCCTAGAATGGCAGCTGGAAAGCGATGATTCGGCACCGACTATTTGCGAGTGGAATTTAGGATTTACAATGTTAGTTTAGCAAGGTCTGACACTGTTTAGAAAAATCAACCGGGGCGCCGCCTCTCTCTTCCCGGCGCGCTCTATCCGCACAAGCCAAGCGAGCGTGACGTCGTGAGAGCAAGAGAGCCCAACACTTTTGCAGATCTTTGCCTGCATGCGTTTTGTGCTGAGCAACTTTCGTGCTGACCCTAACCCTCACTTGAACTTATTGACCCTTATATCCCTCCTCCACCATCCCCGTTCAGCTTGTCTTTCGGTCTACACAAGGTCCTCTTCGCCTTTATTGCCGTGCTTTCAAGCCGTTTACTTCGACATCCAGATCCGTTGATCCATCGAGACTCGACCTCCTCCTCCACTAGTCAACGTTACACACAGACTTTAGCAAACATGTCTGGTTGGGGTTCTTGGCTGTAAGTCTACATCTGTTCATCAGCTCGCACCGCTTTGCGTTGTCAAGCTCATCCACTGACTTCACTTTATCCTACTCTTTGTCTGCGCTGTACCCACACGTTGGCTTCTGTCACCTCCACAGCAAGGGTGAAGCACCTGCCGCCGGCACCGCCGCTCCTGCCGCCTCCCCTAGCAACTTCCATGCTATCACCGACACCGTCCCCCAAGATGCTCTCTTCGGTCCTCTTCAGCCCTCCGACCTCGAATGGACCTGTGCTGGTGGCTTCACCACCGAAACTCAGACCTGGTATTCCGTCCTTGAAGATGGCTCCTTCGCAACCTCCCAGATCATCCACTCCGCCGTTGGTCTGTGGTACCCTCAAGTCCAGATGACATTCAAATACTTCAACCCCGCCACTGGCAAGAAGATTTGGAAGTCCCTTAACGTCACCAAGTTCGCAGCTCAGACCGACAAGCGCTCCTCCAAAGCAGCCGAGTTCTCCGTCGTCTACTCTACCACCGACGCTGGCGAAGACAAGTACAGCATTACTGCCAACCTCGATGCTGATTTGCAACTCTCGTGGTCTTTCACCCGACCTGCTTCTGTTCAGGGCTGGAAGCTTGGTTCGGGTCCCAAGGGTGGATTCAGCTACTTTGGTAGCAACCTCGGCAGTCCGGAGGGGTACGTGATCCACCGTTTCTGGCCTGTTGCTGAGAGCGAGGGACACATCATCAGCCAGGGTGGTGCTATTGATGCGAAGGGTAAGGGTATGTTTGTGCACGCTATCCAGGGTATGCGTCCTAATCTTGTTGCTGCCAAGTGGAACTTTGCCAACTTCCAGGCTAAGGACCAGAAGCTCGGCAGGGTCAGTGGTGTCATGATGGAGTTCACTACCACTCCTGACTACGGAAGTGTGGAGCGTGCCGAGGGACACAGGCAGTCGCTGACGGTCAACATTGGAAGCATTGTTGTTGAGGGCAAGCTGGTCGCTGTCACTGCTGCTACCCGCACCGCCAACGCTGCCGAGGGTGAGGCTAGTAGAAAGAGCAACTCGTACGTCAAGCACCTCGATCAGACCTTGGATCAGGATACCGGATACCAAGCTCCTCAGGCCATTGAGTACCACTGGCAGGGTCCTTTGCTTGATGCTTCCACGGGTAAGGGAGACCTAGAGGAGAAGGTCGAGGCTTCGCTCAAGGTCGATTTGGGTAAGCCTTACCCATCCAGCGAGACACATGGTTTGGTGGACAAAGTCGATGTCTTGGCTGAGATTCCTTACATGGTCAGGAAGCTGGTCAATTACGTTGCTGGTACCAAGCCTTACATCTATCAGACACTGAACCCGGCTACCTTGAAGGTCAAGCTGCCGGGAGGAGAGCAGTCCGAGGTCAAAGGATCGCTGTTTGAGGAACACACTTTTATCAGCGGTTAAACAGCGCGCTTCGCTTCTTGGAACTCTTGCTAATGTCGATTGACTGTATATACTTATGGCTCTTACCTCTCACCCTTATGATCTCAATGGATGTCTTTTTGTCTGGAATTACAACACTACAATACTCTTTTGTTTGCGAAGCAATGATTCGGCGATGAAAGATTGCATTGCCAAAAAAAAAAAAAAAAAAAAAAAAAAAAAAAAAAAAAAAAAAAAAAAAAAAAAAAACATATCTAGCTGAAGACCAATGTTAAGGCTGCGCTCAAATCCTCTCCTTGACCCACTTCTCCAATCCACCGGCAGTGTAGATCTCCTGTACACTCCTACCGATACCTGCAGGCTTAGCCGTGTAGGTCTTTTCCATCTTCTCCCCCTGTGGTCCCTCAAAGCTCAACTGGATCTTTCCTGTTGCTGCATGGATTTTCACCTTTGCATTCTTCAACAAGATCGCCTTCTGGTTCCTTTGCCCGCCTTCACCTAGGTAGAACTTAGTGAGATCTTGGACTAGCTCGTGGGCTTCGAGACAGATAAGACCGTTGTTGATGGCGTTTCGCTTGAAGATGTCACCGAAACTGCCGGCTAGTACGAGTGGGATACCGGCGTACTTGAGGGCTGTGGCGGCTTGTTCTCGTGATGAACCCGTGCCGAAGTTGTAGCCTCCGATCAGAACCGGACCTGCCTTGAGGCCTGAGGTGGAATCAGAGGATGGAGACGAAGGACGAAGAGAAGCAATGGTGGAAGCAAAAGTAGGATCGTAGTTCTCCATAACGACCTCAGCTTGTTTTGTGGGTGTAATGTCATCTTGATATGTGTATTTGCCCGGGTAGATGCCGTCTGTGTTGAGGTTGTCTTGTGGGGCGAAGATGAGCGGGCCTGAGAAGGAGGTTGGGAAGGAGGGGAGGATTTCTACTCCAGCGCCGGCGTCGGTGGATGCCGATGTAGAAGCGGAAGCATCAGCACTACCAGCAGTTGTGATCGAGTACTTCAACCCTCGCGAAGGCGGCAAAAGCGAAGGATCAAGATCAGCAGGACCGCAAATTTTACCCTCGATAGCGGAGGCAGCTACTACTGCAGGTGAAGCCAGGTATGCTTGCGCGTTTGGGCTTCCCATTCGGCCCTTGTAGTTTCGGTTCGTAGCTGAAATACCAACTTCTCCGTCTTCCAACAAGCCCACACCAAGACCGATACAGGGTCCACAACCGGCAGGAAGAGGCTTAGCCCCTGCGGCCATGAGTGCTCCCCAATCACCTGCCTTTTCTGCTTCACGCTGAACAACACTGCTCGCTGCGGCAACGTAGAATTCAACCCCCTTGGCGACCTTCTTCCCGCGAATGACGTCGGCAGCTGCTTTGAGGTCCGAAGCGCGAGAGTTGACGCACGAGACAAGGTAAGCTTTGTTGATGCCAATGTTTTGTGCGGAAAGCTCATCGAGCGGGGTGGAGACTTTGACAGAGTTGGGACCGGAAACGTGCGGAACGAGAGTGGCGAGGTCGAGTGTGAGGTGCTTAGAGTAGAGTGCGTCGCTGTCGGGACGGAGCAGAGTGCGAGAGAGTTCTTCGAGACGATGCATATTGAGGCGAGGGTGCGATGAAGAGGGAGAGGGAGAGGAGCCGATTTGGAACTCGAGCTTGTCGCGTTTGCGGATCTGCTTTTCGTACCAGGAAAGAGTGATGTCGTCGGTGGGGAAGAGACCGGCGAGCGCACCCCACTCGGTGGTCATGTTGGCAATGGCAAGACGCTCCTCTACTGAGAGCGAAGAAAGACCGGAGCCGTGGAACTCGATAGCTGCATTAAGCACTTGATCCTTGTTGAAGTATCCGCAGAGCGCAACGATGACATCCTTACCGGTGACACCCTTGGGCAGCTGGCCGTTGAGCTCAACCTTGACCACCTCTGGAATCTGCCACCATGTCTGACCTGTCGCCCAGATCGCAGCTGCATCCGTCCTCACAATCGGCGTACCGAGACATCCAACACCACCGTACATGTTCGAGTGCGAGTCACTCGCCACCGCCAGTGTCTGTGGGAAAGCGTATCCTTCCTCGACTAGCACTTGATGACCAATCCCACGCCCAGCAGGGTAGAAGTCGATACCGTGCTTGCGAGCAAAGCTTTCGATCTTGCTGTACTTTTCCAAGTTCTTGGCTGACTTGTTCTGGACATCGTGGTCGAGCGCAAAGACGACCTGGTCAGGGTTATAGATGGAAGTGGCACCGATCGAGCCGAACTTGGAGATGACGGGGCCGGTGTTGTCGTGTGTCATGACAGTGCCGGGTCGAATCGAGACATAGTCGCCAGACTTGACGTGCGAGCCGGGAGATAGGTCTACGGCATACTTCTGCACGATCTTTTCGACGAGGTTGTAGGTGCCGCTGGCAGGGTTGACGGCGGCCTGGGTTGCGAGATTGCGTCGGAGGCTAGGGCCGTATGAGAGCCTGGAGGCGCCGAAGCGCAGCATGATGGAAGCCCTCATGGTCGATTGTCGAGCAGCTTGAAGTTTCTTGTTCAAGTGAGCGAGGAAGTGTTCCAGGGTGACGCTGTGTGATAGGATGAGGTGTAAGATGAAACTCGCAACGCGCAACTCGTGGGATGTGGGATGTGGGATGTGGGATGTGGGATGTGGGATGTGGGATGTGGGATGTGGGAGGAGAAGAAGACCTTCGGCGAATCCCCGAGGTCTCTTTGTGACCTTTCAGCCAATTCAATCTTCTGAAAATGCACAAGACAACAACGGATTAGATTCCGGCCTCAGAATTATTGAGCCTTGTTAGATTCGATAAAGTTTTTGCCATGACTCGTTGTCCAATCGGGTCTTTCGGATTTGTTTGGCTGTCCAAGCTCTCGATCCTCACAAGCGATGTTTGCTGCGTGCCGCGTGCCTGTCGAAAACTACACACCGCAACAAGTCATTCACTTCTGATATACCTGACAGACATCTTATCGAAATGACAATCACACGAGTCGCGAGCGAGCAAAGGACAAGGATTGACATCGTAAAAAGACAAGTTTATTCGCAAGTCCATTATGCTGGCATGCATTGGAATGGATGCGTTTCCGAAAAGTTGATGAGACCGAGCAGAGCGGAGAGAGTAAAACATGATAAACAAGGCCCAAAGCACCACAGTGAAGGGGCGAACCGAGCGAGAATCCAGAAGAGGGCTACAGTGCATGGTGACAGACTAAGTGAGTGTGGTTTGAAGAAAGTTTGGCGGAGAAGAGGAGTAGTGAAAGGGAGGGGGGGTGGCAAAATGCTAGAAAAGATGCATACTAAAAACAGTGTGACGTATCCGTGAAGCCGAGAATCTTTTTGTGCTGGTGGGCAAGGGAATTTATGAAGGTCTATTAGAATTGCTGGGCGTTGACGTTCCAGACAACGTTGCCCAATGGCTTTCGCGCTCCGAGCATGGGCTGCTGAACTGTCAAGTGAGTCGAAGCGCTCTTGCTTGATGGCAGTTGTGAGGAGAATGTCTTGCTGGCAGCGCCGGTGTGGGCCGCCGAGTTGCGACGGTTCTCCTTCTCCTGAATAGAAGCACGCGAAGAAGGAACAGGAACGGGCATCCCTGCTGCGGTAGCAGCGGCTACCAATGGGTCGTGAAGAGAGTAGAGCGACAGCGGTGTAACTGGCATGTCGTCCTCCTCATCTTCGTCCTCATCTTCGTCCATCGAGCGTGATGGTGTCGACTGCACTGATGAAGCAGGTGTAGTGGGCTGCGAGCACATGGAATCGTCGTCGTAGACATCGGTCGGACCAGCCTCAGCGTTGCGTGTGAGCGCCTGGGCAGGGAGCAGGCCAGATGGTGGCGCCGACTTAGCTGCCGCCACACGAGCTCGGTACCAGTCGCAGACAACCGTCGATGCGCTCGAGAAGTAGGCGTACGAGTACTTCTTGATCAAGATCAACGAAAGGTCCTGAAGGTTCTCCGAGACGTAGGCGTCAAGCATGTGCGCTGCCTTGGCGACATCGTCAGTGGGGAGCAGCTTACCCGACTGGGGAAGACCGCAGATGAAGCGAGCAAGGACCATGGCGCCCTTGGCGAGCGAAGAAGACTTGAGCGAGATAAAGTCGCGGTGGAACAGGCTAAGCTCGAGGAAGAAGCGGGCCAAGTTGACCGTCTTGAGGTCCTCTCCTCCACGGACGCTCTCGATTCGCAACCAAGACTCGGCAGTGGGGTGACCCAAGGTCCATCCAATGGTGGAGAGGACGTGACCCTCCATTTGTGCGAATGCAGACTCATCGTAGGCATTGCAGCACATCAAACTGAGCTCTTTGACGGTGGGAACACGGCCCTTGGCATCCTCGAACTTGGCTGCAATCAGGAGAGCTGCGCAGCCGACAAGCTGATAGTGACGCTTGTAAACAATACGTTTCGAGACGTATCGGTCGACAATGTTCATGGTGAGGAAGAGGGTCTCGGGTCGGAGGCGGAAGGTTTGGTGGATCTCGATGAGGAAGTCGACGAGGTAAGGGCGCATGAACCATTTGAGCTCAGGCTGAACGTCCATCAATTCGACGGCGGCGATCGTTTGAGACTCCATGTGGTGCATGTGCTCGATCACTTCCTCTTGGTATTCCTCCTCGAAGAGCATAGCTCGGACGTTGGCAGGGATCCTGCTGGTCGAAACTGACGCTGACATGGTCGAGGTAGCTGCTGTTGTGTCGGCTGACCTAGACTCGGCAGATGATGCCGAATATGTCGACGAGACTGTGGAGCTAGTGCTTGATGTCGTGGCACGCTTGGCGGCCATCTGGACAGCAGCCTCCTGCTTAGCAGGGTTCAATGGTGAGGTGCTTCGGCCCCGAGAAGAGCGAGGTCGCGAGCTGGAGGCGCTGGCGCTCGAAGATCCGTAGCTGACATGGCTGTGGTTACGGGCGTATGGAGAAACACGGCGTGAGATGGGTGCTTGGCTGGAGCTGGCGAAAGAAGTCATTGCGTATGCTGGGTATGAGTTGGGCAGGTGAAAGATTTACTGATGCTGTTGGGATGTCATTAGATGGGCAGATTGGAGGTCGATGCAACAAGAACCGAATGGGGTGTCGAACAGAGTATTGGGTAGATGGCGGGACGAGGTTTCAGAAGAGTGTGTTCGGAGCAGGATCGCGTGCGTGGGTGATAAGGGGCAAGATTAGAGGTAGAGAGGAAAGGGTCAAGGTCAGCAGTGAGTTTCAACAAGAGAGGGGAGGAGCAGAAAGGCGAGCAAGAGGAGGGACGTGGACTGATGGGGGCCAACCCAAGAGTCTAGCAAGATGGAAGCAAGGACTTTAAAGGAAACTTCAACGAGTGACCGTCGGTTGAACTTGCAAATCATTGTTTTGCCTCCGAAGGAACACCGACCATCAAAGGGAAGGGGTACAGCATGAACGATGGCTTTGCAATGTGCAAATCGATTCGATATCATTGACATGTAGAGGGAGGGAGGAACGATGGATGAGTAACTTACCTTGCAGGAGGAGGGAGTAGGGAAGCCGCAGGAAGCTTAGTAGGGAATGTGACGAGCGCAATTTCTGGAATGGTGGAGGAATATCGATCGCAGCGGCTGGCGGCAGGCAGGAAGGTGCTTGAGAGGCTCGGGTGTGCGGAATGCGCGGCTTGGAGAGTGGCGCAGATGGCGAGCAGGACACTCTGGAGAATTAGAGCTCGTCGAAGGAAGAATTGGGCGCCGTCGGCACTAGAAATCCGGCAAGCTAGGGAGGGTGCTGGATGCCTCGTAACAAACAAATGTCGGAGGGCGAAAGGCGGTGGTAGAAGCACACTGAGGATGGCTACTGCGTTGTCTCTGTATGTGTCGAAGAGCCATGGCAAAGGAGGCAAAGTATGCCAAGTATAGCGCAGTGAAGGGAACGGTCCACAGGAGGCAGAGAGGGAGAGGGGGAAGGCGCGATGAGAGCAAAGGCCGAGCAGCGTTCCATAGAGGGCACAAAGGAGGGAGAGGCGCATTGATCGGCAGCGATGGCGTGCATAGTTGCAGAGTGATGGGTGAAGCACGAGCATAAGCAACGACCATGCATGAAGTTGTTTGTCGGGACAAAGAAGGACGCCGAGCCGATGTTTCCATGAGGAGAATGCCATCGATGAGCAGTCCAGAGGAAGAAGGGAGCAATTGATGAGCGATATCAGATTTTGACAGGAGCCGCGGAGGCGCCGGTATGAAACAGAAGTGGAGAAGCGCAGGGCGTGCCAATGTGGCGAGGAAGCGCGCAGCCGCATAGCAACGTCAACCATGCAGGGCAGCCACCGTGTAAAGCATGCCGAAGAGCCGCAGAACAGCAGAAAGAGCCATACAAAGTCGAACAATGGCAGATGCCATGGGCGAGGAAAATAAGCAAGGGCAGACGGGCGCAACCGAGGGGTAAAGGGTGGTTGTGTGAGTAAAGTGAGGAAGGAGAGGAGAGGGAAGGAAAACGTCAGTAGGCAAGTCTCTAAAGGCCGGGCTTGGTAGACTATACACGAGTGAGCGGTGCAGATGTACTTACGTGTGTAAGGCAGTGCTTGGAGCGATGAATGCTGACGGTACGCGGAATGAATGCAATTTGGGCTGGAGCCTGTAGAGTGGCGGGCACATGATCAGCAGCAAAGTCACGGCACGGGAGTGGAAAGGATCAACAGGGGCCGCATAAGGGCAAGGAGCCAGGCGCAACAGCCGGACAGAAGGTGAGTGGCAAGTGTCGTTAAGCGCACAAGTGGACAGCCGGAGCATTGGTGCAGGTCCGACGATGGTGAGGGCAAAGGGAGGGGTGGAATGAGAGCAGGAGCGAAGTCGAGCAATGCAGGTCATGCAAAGGAAGCGTTAGCCACAGAAGTAGGTTGGCAGATGCATGTTGGTTGTGTCGACGGCCAAGAAAGAGGGATGAGCGATTGATGTCGAAAGTAACACACAGAAGTCCAAGTGTTGGAGTCGCAGAGTCGGCAGCGGTATGGCACATGTCAAAGATCGGCAAGGAGTTTCGAGTTGATATTTGCGCCAGCCAGCAGGAGCGCGTGTCAGAAAGCGCATTCCAGGCAACGGGGTTTGACGTGACAGGCAACAGCAAACAATCAACGAAAAAAGAGAAAATGTCGAAAATATGTCGAAAAAGATCGGTTTTTCGGTGAGATCGCGTGAATCGGGAAGGTGGCCAAATCGCCAAATCAGGCCCGATTTATTCGCCAAGTTGCAAGGAGACGAGGAGAAGAGACGCGAGTCGCAAAACGTCAAAGCGGAGGACGAAGGAGGCCCAATAGTGAAAGGAAGCCGCCAAAGAGCCGAAAGGAATGAACATGCCACAATGAGTGGTGACAGACAATGTCGTAGGTTGTCAGATGTCGAAGGGTGCCAGATGAAGGTAGAGCAAGTGAGTGGAACATGGAGGGAAGAAAAGATAGTGAGAGCGATTGTCAGCACACTGTGCTTCAGCATTGTAGAGCCATTCAACCAGCGCTTCGCAGCGAGATCCGCTATCACCATGTCCGACAGTCGAAGGAGATATAAGGATTCGCCAGCAATTTCTCGAGATCCACCCTCCTTCCTTCTCGTCAGAGATCTTGACCTCTACCGTGCTGCACCCCACCTCCAGGACAGCAGCATGCATCCCAAAGCTAGGTGACAGTTAAAGCTGAGGAAAAGACTGACCTAGTTTGCCTTCTAGTCGGACAGCACTAACCCATTGCCTTTCTAGAGCTAGCAGCACCTCCTCCTTCATCTTACTGGTAAGATGCGAAGTTGTATGCATCTGACCTGCTTTCCATCTAAACTGATCTATGCTTGTGTATACTGATTCTGCTGACGCTGCCTTGCGTCCGACTAACTTGACCGCCACCACTGCTAGATGCCTTTCCACACTTACAGGAATAAAGAAATCAAGTAGATTGTCGTTGGTCGATGTTCAAACGAAAAGAGTGTGTATGTGCAAAGGAGCGTATGTTAGACGTCGAGTCGAGAGTCGAGGCGATGCCGGTGGAGATCAAAAAGAATGTGGTGGATCGGAGGTCGATCTGTCGAGACGGGTAGTGGACGAGGGCAGGGGATAGAGAGTGGGTAGAGATAGTGTTTGAGAGTGGAGAGAATATGGAAGAGGAGAAAGAGCGAAGAGGGGATGATAGGTATATACCTTGTGCAAAGTCTTGGCAGGGCAGTATGTAGCCTAAATTGGCCTGGGGGGTATCAGGAGGGCAGTCAAAGATGGACTGATGGGGTGTACGGTGGTAAGGAGAACCAATAGACGAAGCAGACAGCGATTCAGAGTGTTCGATTCTGAAATGGAGGGGCGAGGCACTTTGGACGACGGACGATGGTCAAGGATTGAGCTTTGCGTGTTGGAAAAGCGAGCTCGGATCTGCACACATCAAGTCCGCTCGGAAGCAATGTCGATCCTGGCTGCGTTCGAGATGAGCAGGTCGGGCGGAAGATGCAGAGAGTGAGACAGGTTGTGCGCTCGTGGACAGGGTATGATCGTCGTGGCTGTCAGCTGCGAGGTTTGGTGACGACAGGCAAGGACGACAGAGGCGGTGTTCGGAGAGCAGCGCAAAGGCACGATGCAGAGGGACGAGACAGAGGGACAAGACAGAGTGAGGGAGAGTGTGCTAGGATGGTAGCAAGGTTCGAGGGCTCGGACAGTGATGCTCGAGATGCAGGAGGAAACCCGAAGGATATGCGGTCTACGTCGTGGGGTACGGATGATCGAGGATGACAGCGCCACTTGTTCTGCGTTGCGATGAGTCAGTCGTGCAGTTTTGATGTGGTTGATGCGGCTCTGAGCTTGTTGCTGTGGTCGGTTGTTGGCAATACAAGAATGTACCGTAGAAGGCAGACATGAATCTGCGGCGGCGGTTGAACTTTTGATGCAGGTCCGATAGAAGCCTTGTGGGTGAGCGCACCAAAGTGAGAGAAGAGGAGCAGAAGCAGCGAGGCGCGATGAAGCGATCCGGAGATGAAGGTTTGAAGAGCGACTTCAAGGTGGGACGGAAGCAGGCTATGGCGGTGAAGGACGAGTGTAGCTTACAGACAAGAGCTCGGGGTGATGGTATGCGGGTCGGTGTCAAAGACAGATGTCGTTGACGAACAAGGCAGACATGGATGAGGAGCGGCTCGGACACGTCTGCAGTTGGAAGCATGCTCATGACAGACATGATGCTGATTGTGACTGAGCAGCTCTGCACGTCGCTGCGACGGGTCGGCGGCTGTCATCTGGAAACAGTGACTTGATTGCAACCGGCAGCAGTCAACTGTCAGTCGAGCGAGCGAGCGATCAAGCGCATACAGAAGCACAAAGAGACCGAAACAGACTGCAGACAAGCTACAGTCTGTGCTGTGCTGTGCTGTGTGATGAAGTGCAAGTCCGAGGTGAGTGACATGACAAGATGCACAAGAGATGAGGGTGCATATCGGAAGACCTTGAGTCTCATCAAGAAGCGCTTGTGTCACTGTTTCTGTGCTATGGCGAGAAAAGAGTTGCGTGACGACAAGAAAAAAAAAGAGCGCTCGGCGTTGGGTCTGAATTTACACTGGAAAAGTGGCTGCTCATGTCCAAACGTCGGCCAAAATATGCATCTCGCTGCCCTCAACCAACACCGTCAAACTAGGCGCTTCGTCGGCAATGTCACACCAGGCAAGCTTAGCAAGCCGGAACCCGTTCAAAGTGCATCGGGTCTTGACAGGTGTACCTCATGATCGAAGGCGTAAGAGTACTGTACTGTAACATGCTTAGCGCTCAGCATAACAAAGGCCGGAAATTTTCAGAAGTCGGAGAGGACAGGCGAACCCCTGACAGCTATGACCGAGGGGTCCAGACCAGAGACCTGTCGCATGGCATAGACAATGATACGGTGGTTAATTGCATCCGACGGGTGAGGTTCAGCACAGCGCTTCAGCCAAGACACTCTTTCTTGTGCAACCGATGATCGCCTCGCCGCCGTGCGCAGATTCGAGCCAGCAAATGCTGTCAAGGTCTAAGCGAGCTCTTCTTCTTCCACACGGGTTCCGAAGAAACAAACAACTTTAGTGTGCACAAAGCTTTGAGAGAGGTTCGCCTCTATTGCCTGCAAGCAAGCCATCACACGCAGGTGGGCGCGCTTGTTGAGGCCAAGCCGAGCCCGCAAGATAGCGCACCAAACAATCATGCCACGCTGTGTGTGGGTTCAAAAGAAGGTGTCTATCTCCCGCTTCTGGCAATAACTGATGTTTGTGAGATCGATCCTTGCCCTTGCTAGGTTGATACTGTATTGTTGCCTGCGGCAGCGCCCTTCTCAACACTGATTCTGCCTAGGATGCCCGAGAAGAGATAGTGTTGGTCTCACACTGGCTCGCTTCCAGGTCCCGCCGACTGTCTCGTCTGGTGCTCCCGTCGCATGTCCGACTTCCGCTGCATTGAGCTAGGCGATGAACCTCGACAAGCCTCTCGCTTCCGGACATACCATCCATCTCACCTTGCTTCTCAGTCTTTTCGCTTGGCTTCCTTGCTCAGTCTTGGAGCAGGCCTAAGGATGTCACTCTGCTCAGACGTCGATCAATATATGCACCTTTGTTTGTTTGGAACAGTCTTTTCTTGTCCAATTACTGTGTCGGACTTGGTGCTCAAAGCGATCAAAGCAGAACGCAACAGGACGCAGCCAAGATCATCGCATGAAACATCTTCCTTCATGAAGATCGAAAACGTAACAGCTCAAACCAGAAGCAGGCTTGTGATCGCTCCCCGCCTCGGTGACTTCTAACATCCACCAGACATGTCAAATCGTCGTACTGGGAAACAGCGCTCAGCGATGTTTGCACGCTCTCCAGCTGGCATTGACGAGATTGGCTTGCCGCCGAGGCAGATCGCCGAGCTGCAGCGTAGTTTGCAGAGTTCTCACCACTTCTACGAGTTGGGACAAGTCTCGGCCGGATACTGGAAGTTGGCTTTTCTTTAAAGAAAGTATCGCCGGGTTCACGTCGCCTCTATCCAAGCTAACTGATGCTACAGTATTATCCTGTCGACATCATTTGGCAGGCATCAGCTGCTGTTTGAGTCCAAGCAAAGGAAAGTGTGCAAGGCTTCTCCAGCGCGTTTGCCGAGACGCACTGGAGACCAACACTTGACGTGACTGTAACGAGGAGAAGTGCTTCTTCTACAGTCACATTTCGCCTGGCAGACAGGGCAGGTGGATCGGGGTTTGTCGATGCATCCATCTCCCGATTCCTTCTCCTTCACTCCGCCCCCAACTATCATCATTTCCTTGTTATGTTCCTCGACTGAAATTGTCTGACTTTGCTCTTGAATTGCATTTTAGCCTCGTGTGGATGTATCTATGTGTAGCTCTGTGTCGGTCGACAATAGCATCTCTGCGGTTGCATGTGTTTATTTCAGGCAAGGTCAAGAACCTTTCAACTCACCAGAAACAAATGCGTGCCAAAATGTGGTCATAAAAATTGATGTGGATCTCACTCCTCCCATCGACCGACGCAATCCAAGCGGTACGTTGGATTTGGCCTGCTCCCAGCTTCATTCGCCCTAGCAACTGTCAGCATATCAAGCCTAATTGGATTAGCAATGGCTCCAATGACGAGGCTTTGCGCTCAGAAGCTGTGGTTTCAGCAACAAAGCCACGATCTCACAATAATCTGAAGACAGGACCGAGATCCGAGATCCGACATTGGAACCCAATTTTTCCTTTTTTTTGCCCCGCCTCTTCTTCCACAAATTTCTCAGGGTTCGAAATACTAGAAAGCTTTCGGCTCGCAACCCAACCCCCACCTGTATCAGCCCTACATCCTCCAACACCTACCCAGCCACCAATCCACCTATTGCTCTCCGATATACCAAGATGGTGTCGTTCAACTGTGATGGATGCGGCGATGTCGTCAAGAAGCCGAAACTCCAACAGCATTTCAACCGCTGCTATGCAGCCGTGACCTGCCTGGACTGCTCGCAGCAGTTCCATTCTCCCAACGAGTTCAAGGGGCACAACACCTGCATCAGCGAGGCGGAAAAGTACGAGAGGAGCCTTTATCGCGGACCAAAGCACCAACAACCCCAACAAAATGGCGGCACACCACAGAAGCAACCTCAGCAGCAGAAGCAACCACAAGCTGGTACGCCTGCTAAAGTGGAGGCTGTGACGCCTAGCAAGCAGGAGAGTGCCGAGAAGGTGAACGGCAAGAGAAAACGAGATGAAGAAGACGAGGAAGTAGCTGCTCTTGCTTTGACCGTTGCTGAATCGCCCAGCGAGGCCAAGAAGGAGAAGAAGGAAAAGAAGGGGAAGAAAGAGAAGAAGGAGAAGAAAGAAAAGAAAGAAAAGAAAGAGAAGAAGGCCAAGCCCATCTCCGATGGCAAAGTGGACAACGACTCAGGAAGCGAAAATGAAGAAGACCACATCCAAGATGATCCGATGCAAGCCGCTGAAGAAGAAGCCAAGATTATCAAGCCTCTTTCCACCTCCGAACTCGAAGCATTCAAGAAAAAACAACGTAAACTCGGTATCATCTATATCTCTCGCATCCCACCTGGGATGACTCCCGCCAAAGTCCGACACATTCTTTCCAACTTTGGTGAACTCGGCCGAATCTATCTCCAAGATGGAAGCAAACCTGGTGAGTCGAAAAAGAAGCGTTCTGGTGTCGCCCGCTACACAGAAGGCTGGGTGGAGTTCATTTCCAAAAAGGTGGCCAAGGCCGCCGCCGAGATGCTCAACGCGCAGCCCATCGGCGGACTGGCTGCAAGCAACTCGAAAAAGTCCGGCTCAGGTGGAGGTAGCTCAAAGATGGGCAAGAGCAGCAAGAGGTTCCAAGACGATGTGTGGACGATGAAGTACTTGAAGGGATTCAAATGGCATATGTTGAGTGAGCAGATGGCTCAGGAGAGAGCAAGTCATGCGGCTAGATTGAGGACAGAGTTGAGCCAGTCCGCGTACGAACAGAAGGACTACCTGAAGAAGGTGGAGAGAGCGAGAGTGCAGAAGGACAAGCTGGAGAGGAGGAAGAGAAAGGCTGAGAAGCTGGGTGAGACTGTCGTGGATGACAAGGAGGGGATGGAGAAGAGTAGGACCTTCAGACAAAGGAAGCCGGTGCAGAAGGATGTAAGGGATCAGGTTGGGGCCTGAAGTCACCCTTGATGCTGTTTGCAGCCTCTCACGTTCGGCACGCATATTGTGTCCATGGTTGATAGAAATACAAGTTACGCTTTGCATTTCGCATCCACTTCTTCCACGCTCAGCGCGTGATTGCGATCTATTGCTTGATATTCATGACAATGAAGGTGCCTGTCCAAGCTGTTCGAGAATGGTTTGGTGCACCAGCTTAGCATCCGCTCTTCCATTTGCATCTTTCATCACCTGTCCTACAATCCGCATCGCTACCTTGACATTTCCCTTCTTGACCTGCGCCACTTCATCAGGAAGACGCTGTAGCGCAGACTCGACAAGTGGCAAGAGATCCTGCGTCGTAGCCAGCGCTAACAGCTCGTTCTGCTTGAGCAAGTCCAGCACTGGCGTAGAAGAGGTCTTTCCCATGTTCTCCAACGACACTAGTGAGATTGGCGATTCTGCTCCGCTCTTCTCTGCTGACTGCGCTGAGGAGAGAACATCAGCAATCACAGCCTTGGCAGTGGTGCCTGTCACCTGGCCTTTCTCGACCAGATCGATGAGTTGACCGAGGTATTCAGCAGGCATGAAGTGTTCCCTGAATGGAAGATTTCGGGCATTGAGACCCTTCATGAGCTCATGGAGAATCCAGTTGAGTGCCGTCTGTGCATTTCTGCCGTTGGCGACTCGTTCAAAGTACTGCACTGCATCCGAGCTCTGCTGTTGGCCATCGTTGGGAGGCATGCTTGCGGTAACACGACCATCCCTTTCGTCCTCAGACCCGACCCTCATCAGGACGTTGAGATCCCTCGACGTCAGTGCGAACTGCTCTGTCAACCTGGCCCTTCTTGCATCCGGCAGCTCAGGCAGCCCATCTCTCACCTCTTTAATCTGCTGCTCTGACAGTAAGACGGGGGGAAGATTGGGATCAGGCATGTACCGGTAATCTGGCGCATCTTCTTTACCTCTCAGCCTGAAGGTGGTGCCATTGGACTCGTTGTAACCTCTTGTCTCTTGCTGCACCCTACCTTGCTCCTCCAGGAGCTTGACTTGACGATGAGACTCGTAAGAGATTGCATTCATCATGAAACGAACGCTGTTTAGGTTTTTTACCTCGCATCTCGTGCCGAATGGTTCGCCAAGACGATTGACCGAGACGTTGACATCGCATCTCAGAGAGCCTTGTTGCATGTTTCCGTCGGAAGCACCTACTCTTCGAACTAATTCCTGAAGTTTGCGCACATAAGCACCGGCTTGCTCAGGCGTACGCATCTGTGGACCACTGACGATCTCCATGAGTCCAGCTCCAGCTCGGTTGAGATCAAGAAAGCTTCGTGCAAACCGATCATCATCTGCCTCATGAAGCGTCGTCTTGGAGACCGCTTGTTCTGCTTGTTCTGTAGCGAGCACCTGGACAGCGTCGAAACGAGAGGTCATACCGGTGTCAAAGTAACTTGATTTGGCAGTGTCTTGTTCCAACTGCAACTGCTCTATCACGACCACCAATTCTTCATCAGGCGATGGAAGATGACCTTCGTCGAAGCTAAGTTTGACCTTGCCATTGCTGGCAAGTGGTGCATACTTTTGGGTGATCTGATAGCCTGCTGGAAGGTCGGAGTAGAAGTAGTGTTTACGGTCGAAACGGCTTTCTGAATGAACGTGGCAATTGAGAGCTAGAGCGGTGCGAACAGCAAGCCGTAGTGCTGAGCGGTTGAGTGTAGGAAAGGTGCCAGGATGTGCGGCGTCGAAGGCTGTGACGAGGGTGTTGGGTGGAGAGGAAGATGTAGGTAGCTGTGCGGTGCTAAAGAGTTTGTGCTTGTCTTTGATCTGGACGTGGCATTCGACGCCGACGACTGCTTGCCAGCCTTCTGGTAAAGGAGGGTATCGTGAAGCTGCGATGTCGTCGGAAGGGTTGGACGATGGCGAGGCTGCTTTCTTCTTGCCTTTCTTCTTAGCGGCAAGGGGAGCGATAGTGCTGAAGAAGCTGCTGGAATGTTCTTGTCGTTTCGTATGCGAAGCCACGGTTTGCTTGAGCAGATCCTGATGGTATACAGTAGTAATACACCGAGACGAGGGCCGGGGAGTATCACGCAGATGTTCAGAGCCCGATCTTGTCAGTACCGAAGTGGAGGTCCCACTGGTGGAAGAGGCGAGCAAGGAGCAGCGACGAGATGCGGCCAGAGCCGCGGGGGATCTCGACAACGCCATCAAGTCAGTGACTCGAATGCGCTGCTGCTGCTGATGGGCGGGAAGGCTGAATGAAGAAGAAGGTGAATGAAGAAGAAGGAGGGGCAAGGAGATATGGGCGGGAAGCGACAGCGGCGTGGTGGGTGAGGCTGAGGTTGAGGGTGAGGAGCTTTGTGACAAGAGCCGCTGAATTGGCCGAAAGCGAAGGAGACCAAAGAGTCAGAGTTGAGGCACTTTAACAGTGTCAGCGCAACAGCCGAAATGCAATATCCTAAGGGCCGAAGAAATTGGGATGAGAAACATTATCGGCACATCCGCCCCGCTTTCCTGTCAGTGTGGGAAAAAAGCCACAGGGAAAAAAGCCACAGAGGTAAAAAAGGCGCCGAAAGGGTTCCTGCACCGTGGACGACGTTCTGTCAGAAGTGGTGTGACTTTCGAGTAGAAGAAACGGACTTCCTACGCCTTGCCACCATCTTCTCTATCCAATCACCTCTCCGTAGCGACATCGAGAGTCTATATATATATATATATATATACCGGTGCATTGCCTTTGCTCCGTTCCCACATGCTTCTCAGCGCATCCTTTGTCGCATCTTCCCAGATCGTCACTGCTCGCCTTCCACACACCATCTCGTTCGTGGCTCGACAGGACCTCACGCACAGAGTCCTCCCTGCCCCCAGACCTCGACTCTCAGCTCACCATCAGCAAGTCGTCGCAGCTCTTGCACCTTTCTCCAGCACATGCTCTACTCCGAACGCTCGCCCATGCGACGACGATCACGACATCGACAACATGACCACCTCTTCCTACCCTCTGTCCCCATCCAAGTCGGTCGACCCGGTCCACGACCCGGCCAAGACCCAAAAGCCCATCAATGTCCAGGCCAATGGTAATGCTCACGTCCTCGTCAACGGCACTGCTTCGCGCGAACAGAGCAAGACTGCACCACTCTTTTCCACCGACCCACTCAAGGGCAAGATCAACAACGCTGAGAAGCAGCAGCGTCTCGCCCGTGATTTCCGTTCCGACACCATCACCGCTCCCACTGAGTCCATGATTCGTGCTATGGCCGACGCTTCCCGCGGTGACGACGTCTACGGTGAAGATGAGTCCACCAACTCCTTCCAAGCCGAGATCGCCGCGCTCACGGGCAAAGAATCGGCCATCTTTGTTCCCTCCGGGACGCTTTCCAACCAGCTCGCCTTGCGAACACACCTTCACCAACCCCCCCACACTGTTCTATGCGACACTCGCTCACACATTCACCGCTACGAGGCAGGCGGTATTGCCTTCCACTGCGGCGCCTCAACCGAAATCGTCGCTCCGTCCAATGGACACCACTTACGTTGGCAAGAAGACATTAAGCCTAATCTTAACCTTAGTGACGACATTCACTTTTCCCCCACCCGCATCATCTCGCTCGAGAACACGCTCAACGGTACCATCTTCCCTCAAGATGAGATTGTCAAGATCTCGTCCGAGGCGCGCAAGCTGGGTCTTATCATGCACCTTGATGGAGCCCGTATCTGGAACGTGGCTGCTGAAACCGGTCTTTCGCTCAAGGAGCTTTGCGATCCTTTCGATACCGTCTCGCTTTGCTTGAGCAAGGGTCTCGGCGCTCCTATCGGCAGCATACTTGTTGGACCTGCTCAATTCATCAAGAAAGTCCGTCACTTCCGTAAGCTCTACGGTGCCGGTGTCCGTCAAGTCGGTCCTCTCGTTGCTGCTGCTCGTGTCGGTGTGGTTGAGAACTACCCCAAGCTTCAGGGTACTCACCAGCTGGCTCGTTACGCCGGGCGAGAGCTTGAGAAACTCGGTGTGCGCCTGACCGCGCCTGTCGAGACAAGCATGGTGTTCATGGACACTTCTTCCATCGACATTTCCATTTCAGAGCTTGTCTCTCGTGCTGCTTCTCTTCCTTCTCCCATCAGACTCGGCGGTGGTCGAATGGTGGTCCACTACCAGATCGAAAAGCAAGCAGTTGACGATGTCATTGAACTCATCAAGACCATCAAGCAAGAGAAGAAGGACGGCACTGCGCCCTTTGCTTCGGCCGCAGCCAACGGCGCAACTGGTCTTTACTCCAGCAGCATGGCTGGTGGGAACGCATCCAGCAACTCCACCGCCGCTACCGGCAACGGCCACACCCGATCCTCTAGCATTGAAAAGCGCGGTCTGATCTTCCAAACCATCGGCACATCCTCCCGCAAACCCTCAGACGACATGCGTCACTCCGTATCCCTGGTCCTCCCCTTGCCCGACCGCAAGTCCGCTTTGACCCTCCAACAATCTATCTCGGTCGACAAAGAGCTCAAGCCCAAAGAAGTTCGTAAGGAGTTCATCATTCTACCTGGCTCGCCATCTGAAGAGGGTCAGCAGGGACGTGTTGAGATGGCAGTCAAGATCTTTGCCACCACAGTCAGACAGCTGAGATTGAGCGTCAATGCATTCTTGGAGGATGCTGCGTTGATTTGTAGGACGATGGGCGAGTTTGATCCATTGAAGGGAGCGATCGATGAGGTCAAGAGGATCGATTTGGAGAGGGATCTTGAACAGGGATCTGTTGGTATTGCTGGTTGACCAGACAATGCATCGTCAGTGAGTGTTTTCAAGGATGGGTTTCGTTTGGACAATTGACAATATAGAGCTTGTATCCCATGGCTGTCTCCAGTTTGTTCTTGCCTTGCATCTTGGACTGGTTGAGATCATTTGTGATGGCAAGGGCGCATCAGCCTCAACCGGTCCATCGATTGTGAGACACTCACTTAGAACTCAATCACACATTCCAACTCACAAATAACGGGAGAGCAGAGGAAACGTGTTTCATTACAATCAGACAACAATCTTCTTTTTGCACCATCTATCGAGCCTCAGGCAACCCACTACCAGCACCAGGAGCAGCACCATTTCCACCATCACCACCATCTCTCCTCTGATGACCAGCAACGCTGTTCAACTTATCATCTCCCTCGTCGTCGTCATCAGCGGCCATAGCAGCAGCGATAGCAGCTGCGTCTTCAGGAGAGATTTCATCTTCATCTTGCTGACCGCCTCTCTGCTCGTTTGAGTCTGGACGCTGTTGAGTAGCTCCATCGTCGTCTGAGCTATCGCCGATCTTGAGCGGACAAAATTCGTCATTTGGCTTCCTGTCAACCATGAGCAAGATACCACCAGTTCCACCGATGGCGGAAGTGAGGATGCTACGTGCTTGTTCCGCCGTTGGGCCCGCACTTTGGCCGGCAATTGAAGTAGGGGCAGGAGCACCGTTCTCGGTGTTGGAAGAAGCATTAGCAAGCGCTTGTTGATGCAACGACTTAGCTCCACCACCACCAGCACCCGCAGTGGCATTCCCACTAGGAGTAACAGTCCCACTAGCACCCGGAACAGGACTCGAGTTACCCAACAACTTGCCCGCTACCGAACTCGTGTTGTACACATCCTGCCTGACCTTGCTACCCAACCCTTGCACCGGCCTGATTGGTACAAACCTACTCTCAGGCGGGAACGTTACGAACTTCACCTGAGCTGGCGTGACTCTGGAATAGTTAGGTAAAACTTCGGACCTAGGCTCCTGCTTCCTCTCCTTCTTAGGCTTGCTCTTTACCTTGCTAGTATCTTCTTCCATCGCAACGTCTTCTTCCTTTTTGCCGGTGGTATCATCGAGATCCATAGCTTCAGCTCCACCTTCCGCCTGTGCACGTTCCTTCTCTTTGTTACGTTGCCTAGCCTGAGCTTTGACAGTGGTAGAAAGAACTGCAGTCTCCACCCTCTCCACCTTTTTCTCACTGGGAGGCTTGTAGCTAGTAGGATAAGCAAAGAGACTTGGCTTAGCTTCGGAAACAAACTCGAACTCTGGAATCCTCAACTCCCTGTTCAACCCAATCAATGCAGTAGGCGTGAAGGCCAAAGCAGAGAAGTGGGCAAGAGGGAACCAGTACCAGAACTGAGTGAACAAGGCCATACCCACAATAGCAGGCATGTTGGCATTTCCTCCTCGGCTCTGCAAGGAGATGGTCACATTGCGTCCACCTGCGTCAACGAGACCTTGGGCGAGAGCGGCTCCGAACTTGGCCATCGCATCTTCGTGCTTGTCGCCAATGATCTTGTCGAAGGTCTTGCGCGCGTTAGTGACGTGAGGGTTGAGAGCCTCGTTCTGCTGGATGAAGATCATCGCAAGTGCAATACAAGCTCCTTGACGGACAAAGTCGACTGGGTCCTTAGTCATTGGCTCAAGCAAGTCAACAGCTTCGTCAAGACCAGTAGCAGCACAAGCGATACCGAGGGCAAGCGTGCTTCCGTATCGCACATGAGGGTTGTACGACTCGGAAAGCAGCTGCACGATTCTTGGCACCTGCGTAGGGTTGCGGAAGAGCAAGAAACCAAGCGAAGTGACAGCAGCTCGTCGCACATCATCGCTGACGTCCGAAACAGCGATGTGCAACAGTCGTCGGATCGCCTTGTTGTTCGCAGTACCGGCGTAGGCGAGCGCAATGGTGTAGACACCACCGTAGCGAAGGATGGCATCTTTGTCGGCAAGCAAAGTGTCGATCATAGCCTCAGCCTTCTCTTCCTTTCCGTAGAAGAGGAGCGAGATACCGATCGCAAGACCGCGAATGATTTTTTCGTGCTGCGTCTCGTGCGCGTACTGAAGCATCTCCTCCACAGCACGCTCAGAACCGGTACCAAGCATGACCAGACCCATAGCGTAACCACTGGCTTCACCAGCAACGGCCGAGTCAGTGTAGAGTACATTACGGAGCTCCTCGTACACCTCCTCGTTGCCAGTAGCCATACCGGCAGCACCGAGACCGAGTGCAGCACCGTGCTGGACAATCTCTGCAGGGTTGCTCTTGAGCGTGTTGGTGAGCAACTCCATGACCTCGGCACCGTGGTTGGCGTGGATCAGACCGAGGGCGAACAGACTTCCACCTTCGGAGTAGACACTGCTGGTGACACCGTCTTGCGGCAGGTAAGGTCGCAAGATGGTGATACCTTCCTTGAGGTTGCCCTTGTTGAGGATACCGAGCGCGGCAGTGGCGGTGAACTTGGACCAGTTGGAAGCCTTGGCGAGCCACTCGAGGTTCTCTCGCAAGAACTTGTCCGAAGTGGTACCGGCGTTCATGAATGCGTTGGCAAAGCTGAGAGCCGAGTGGTAGATGGAGCTGCGAGCGTCGAGAGCCTCCTTGGTTGCCTTGAGAATAGGAAGGTCGGCCTTGTTGGAGCGTTTGAGGAACTCGAGGTAGAGCTGAATGCTCTCCTCGCCCTGAAGGATGGAGCGAACACGGTCGACGCAGGACTGGACGGTAGTAGCCTCAGACTCTGAGGAACCGTTCATGTCGGCGTCTGCATCAGCAGTTTCGGTCTTGACAGCAGGGGTCTCGGCAGAAGACTTGGATGAGAGATCCCTGCGCACGTTCTCGAGGAACTCCTGTGTGGCACTTTCCGCAAGGTCAAAGGCGAGCTGATATGCGACGAGAAGTGGGTCATGAGGAGTATTGGCTTGCGAAGAGCTCGAAGGCTGGTGTGCTTGCTGGATGAGGTTGAAGAGAAGCTCGGAAGCGAGGTTGGGAGCGTTGAGATAGACGTAGCACTGACCGATGCTGAAGTGGTCTGGGCTCGGCAATCGTTGGAAGAGCTTGACAAGGAGGTGAAGAATCTGATTACGGACCTCGATGGAGGGCACGACACCAACAGAACTCTCGAGGACGTATGTGAGAAGATCGGCATCGTGTGTGAGGGAGTAGACCTCTTCGATCACGTCGAGTCGCTGAGTCTCTAGAGCGATACCAAGAGCCTGCTTGAACTCCTTGTCTGCAATGCAGCGTGCGAACATCTGATCAACGATGGTCTTTAGTCTTGGGTCGATCACCGACTTCTGAGCAGGGGCCTTTAAGGATGTATCGCCATGGACAGCTGCCGAAGCTGGAGTTGTGTCGTGAATGTACTTGTCGATAGCCTTGGAAACTACAGTGTCGACGTACTCGTCCTTGACCTCAACATCGAAGAGTGGACCAGCGCCAAGAGCGAACATGAGAGCTTCATCGTGCTCGCCAAGGTGGAAGTAGATTTTGGAGGCGACGAGGGCGGCGAGTTGTCGGTCAGGGAATCGCTCATCTTCGTAAAGGATCTCGATCTTGGAAATAGCATCTGCAATCTCGGCCCAGAACTGGTGTACCAGCGAGTCGAGACGCTTGAGCGCATACGACTGGAGCTCGGGCTCCTGCTCATCGAGCAAAGCGACGATGCCCGCTGCGGATGTGACTGGGGCGACCATGACTGTCTTAAGATGTGATCCTGTAGCCCAGTGCGATCGGAAGGCTTATCGAAGGGCGATCGAGTTGGAGCGAGACGGGGTGAAGCGAAGAGCCTAGACGATCGGAAGGCTCGTTTCTGCTGTAACTAGCGTCTAGAAAGGCGTCTAGAAAGGGAAGGAGTAGACGAATGAACAAAAAAGGTGAGAGATGGGTGTGTTGAGAAGGATCTGAGAGAAGGAGCCAAGTGTGCTTCTGGAATGAGTTGCGTTTCACTCGCTGACGACGCGACCGAGTGTGTGCGAGTTGTGAGTTAGCGTTGGCTCTGTGCGATGTGATCGACACCAGAAAACCTCCACCAAGAATCGAGGTTGTGTTTGTGGAATGCTTCGGTGTAACATTTATGCTAAAAATCGGCTGAGTTCCTCCACACAATGCTGTAGCCTGAGGCTGAGTCGACGCGCTTAGCCGGCGCGTAAAGGCGCTCCAGTAGAAGAGCAGGAGAGTCCAACACTTTTGGTCAGAAAGAAGTCACATCTCCCCTCTCCGCCACATCCTATCGGCATCCTATGCAAACTCTTTCGCTCTGACCGTCGCCAATCGCCTGACGGACCAGGCAGGGCGTACGAATGAGAGTGACTATAATCTTATCCTAGTCTTTTGTCGGGCTGCATCGCCACTGCCACTGCCAAGATGAGGTTCCGCACTCAAGTGGCCGATGTCTCGATCTTCACGCGGGTGGTGCAGTCGATAGGCAAGGTGGCTAACAAGTGCATCCTCAAGCTGACACCAGACAAGATCCATATCATCTGTCTCGGTGACACGGACGGCACACAGATATGGTCTCAGATGCAAGTGGACTCGATCTTTACAGATTACCGCATCGAGTCCAACTTCCAGAACCACATCAACCTCGAGGTCTCGCCGGATACCTTGCTCAAAGCGCTTCGATCTGCCAACAATGCATACAGCGTCATCCTACGTCTAGCCAAGAGGAACAAGGATCCGCTGCTCAGCTTCTCGATCTCGGCGCAAAGCCACACAGGGGCCAAGCTTGAAGTAGTGCAGGACGTGCTGATCAAAGTGCTCAAGCCGGCAGAGATGAGCAGAATCGTCGAGCCACTCTGCCCTGAGCCTGACGTGCACATCATCTTGCCCAAGCTGCTTCACTTGCGCACTGTAGCGGATCACATGCGGTCACTCTCAGATGTGGTCACCCTCTCAGCGAATCGCCGCGGTGAGCTGCGGCTCTCGGTTGTCGAAGACGAAGTGAGCTTGGACACTACTTGGTCGCATCTCGCTCACCCAACCATCGATGCATCACAGCCGAGCACAGCGCAGAACCAGCAGAGCAATCCCGACGAACACAAGAGCGTCAATCTTGAGATGAAATCGTTCCTCAAGTTCCTATCGAGCTACATTGTTGCCACCACCACGATCGCATGTATCTGCGCAAACCATTGCGCCATCTTTTACGTTTACATTGGAGACGTCGACAAGAGTAGCGGTGTCATGACGGTAAGTGTCTTGCCATTTTCGAAACAGCTTTGCACCGAGCGATGACTGACGACTAGATTTACTTGCTTTTGCCCACCACAGTTCTTCCTACCTGGCGTTGTTAGAGAAGACTGACACTGCTTTTGACACCTTCCCTTTCTACGAGCAACGTCCTTACCTACTTGGTTGGAAGCATCTTCTCAGTTCAGTGAGACAGTATGTCGAGAGACAAGGGGAAGCCTATAACAAGGGAGAGCGTGCGACTTCTCTACAAGCTTCATTGAGAAACGAGGCTACTATGTACAATTGACGAGTGCTTAGAGCTAGTAGGTCTAAGAGGTCTCATCAAGCCTGAGGCTCGCGAGGGCGCACCAGTCTATCTATTACCTTTTCTAATGCTGAGCAAGGCTAGAATGGCGATCATTCGACTGAGGGAGATCGTGTATTCTGCAAATCTGGTCTCCAACGTGAGTCGTTCTTGCTTGAAGACCTTGTATCTGACAATTTGCTCCAGCGGGTCCTCCTCCCAGTCCAACTCTAAGATGATAGAGATCGTTCCCAACGTGATTATGCCGTACTTCTGGCCCCGTTGAGCTCTGTAGCGCGACTTCTGTCCAATGCATCTGAACGTGAAGAAAGCTCCTCTGCTTAATGTCTCCCTGGAGTTCTCCCTAGAGAGAATGGCGTCTCAAATCGGCAGAACTCGTGTTCTTATCATTTCGCGGTGGCGTCGCCGTTTCCAAGTCTCGCTGTAGAGGGTGCATGATGCAGCTGAAGTGGGGCAAGCGGCCCTTTTTTTTTTTTTTTTTTTTTTTTTTTTTTTTTTTTTTTCAACCAAGAATAATACCAAGTTAGCACGAGGTCAGCAAAGAGAGGAAGAGGCCGGATTTGGGCCATGTTCGTAGCCCTAGGATCTGACAACAATGTTTGATTTCTATGGGGCTTCAGCTGTGCTTCTTGTCGTATCCGGGATTTGCTGCGCTTGAAAGGGTGCTGGTGCGCTAGTCGTGTAAGGCGCGGAAGAAGCTATTGTAAGCGCCTTCGACATCGAAAAGCATCTGCCTGGCTTGGTCCTCGTCGATCTCGTCGCTTGCCTTCATGTGATTGAGTGTGATGAGCCATTTGAGCAACTTTGCGCGTGTCTCGCCCGCATCCGAGTCCTTGCCGACCTCGTCACTGCGGCTGTAGCCACGCATAAGTTCGCTCAACATGGGATGCAACTGGTCTTTGGCGCGCAACTTGAGCTTGAGAGCGTCCATGAAGGTAATAAAGTTCTGTGTTGTTTCGGCGACCCACTTTGCCCTCTCGGAGGATGTCTGTGAAGAAGATGATGAGGCGTGCTCCACGGTAGCTGGTACGCCAACATTGAGTCGATGTACTGCAGCAAGGTAGTTCATCTTGTATGTGCGCATGAAGTCGGCTAGATCGTTGATAGGCTTGGATGAGTTGTTTTCCTGGTCGACAATGAGTTTGAGCATGGTCTTGTACTGTGCTAGCAACCTTGTGCATGCTGGTGCGTATTCTTTCTCGGAGATGGATTCGCGCACGTAAGCACGTTCGAGATAGTCAAGAGCTACGATTAGACTGAACAGCGTGGCCATATTCTCGTATCGTTCTCGGTCATGGTTGTTGGTGTAGAGCCGAGCCTCCTCGTAAGGGTTGAGTTCTCCATAGGAGGAGCTCGACATGATGCCGGATTTCTTTGGTGTGCGGAAATGCGCCGCAGAAGGCGTCTTCAGACGCGCACTTGGAGAGGCAGCTAGGATGGGAAGAGTAGAGTGATAGCTAGATAAGGATGAAAGAGTGATAGCTAGATGAGGATGAAAGAGGAGGTGCGATCAGGGCAGCGATACCGAAATGTGTCGAGTTGAAGAAAGTTGAATAGAGTCAGATCGGTGAAACTTGCATTGCCGAACGAAAGAGTTGCTGGTAAAGCTGTTCGGATATGCTGCACGTGACATGGCTAACCTCACTGACCGACAATCTAACATGGCATCTGTATTGCTTTCTGTATCGTCCGACTGATCCTCATCTGTGCGGCAGGTGTGAGTGAAGCTGCAGCGAGGGCAGAGAAAAAGGAAGCTGTCTGTGTGTGATTTTGCTTGGAGAAGGCATCATGATTTGGTCCCTCGGCGTTTCCGCGTGCAAGATTCGGCTGCTCTGGCGGCGCAATACAACTGCAGGCTGCCGTGCGGTGTGATTTTAGAAAGAGAAAGATGCCTCCACGTCAGAACGGCAGGATTGCATTCGATTCCATTCTCCCATCACAGCTCATTCACTACGCCAAGGCGACATCACTCAACCACAAATCGACTTCAGGCCGCAAGATCGGAGTTGCCGACGTCAATTCGGATCAGTTGCCTTGTATTATCAACTCAGCAAGGCAAGCTCGGCAAGCTCGGCAAGCTCGGCAAGCTCGGCAAGCTCGGCAAGCTCGGCCTGCTCGATAGCAAGCTGAGACTCAGTCTCTTGCAAGTACCGTCAAGATGGACCCCTCTTCCTCTCAGCACTTCCACCACCATCACCATCAGGGACAGCGGCATCAGCGACTAGCTCCATCGCAACCAGCGGCAGGCATGTCGACACCCTCTGGCTCCCACTCCCAGCCGCCATCATCTCCTTCTGCCTCGACTGCCGCTTCTTCCAATCCTTTCGTTCGCTCTTATCATGATGATGAGCAACAAGTGCCGACAGCAGCGAATCAACAACCAGCATCGCAAGCTCTCCTTCAACCTCAACGCAGCGAGCAAGCTACCGCTTACTACTCAGATGCAGGCTCGACAAATCGTTCGCGCTCTACCAGTATCTCTCGAACGGTAAGCTCAAGTTCGTTGTTGAGATCAGACGAGATTGCGGTCGCCATCAAGTGTCCCTCTCTCGACCAGGATTCAGCCGTCGTCAAGGTTCGGCCTAGCGACACTGTCCTCTCGCTGAAACACATCATAGAGCGCACATGGCCTGGTGCTCCTCGTGCTGAAGGCATGCGATGTATTCGTTCCGGTCGCATTCTGCATGACAACGAGATCTTTAGCCATCTCACTGACAGTGTAAGTCTATCCCACTGCTCCACTACTCAGCCGAGTCCGTGCACACTCAACTGACACAAAAACTTTTCTCGACCCCTCCTTTTTTTCTGAATGAACCCACTTTAGCTGGAGGCGGACGAGCCACTTTCACTTCATCTCGTCATTCGCCCTGATGCGTGGTCAGACCCACTGAATCGTCCCACACCTTCAAGGCGCAGCTCCTATCTTCGACAACAGCAACAACAGCAGCAGCACAGCCTCCTACGCGTCGCCTTAGGTACCCAGGCGCCCACCGCACAGGGCGACGACGATGACGTGCTACCCTTTTGCCCTGCCACGTCGGCTCAACCGCAATCCCAAACACCACCAAATTTCGACGCTTACTTTACCGATCCTGACGCCACCCCAACTGGAGTCGAACCACCCGAGGCTGACATCCTAGGACATAGCAGCAGTCTAGACATGGACCACATCCCCACAACCCGAGAAGCTGCAGATGCCTATGCTGTTCTGGAGCAGACCCTTCGTGTCACCGCTCCAGACAACTGGCCCATGCTCATCGAAGCTCTTAGAGCAGCGTGCGATGAGTACGTGCTCAAGTATGAAGCTGTCTACAATGAAGCTCAGGTAGCGCAGAACAAAGCCGCCACCTCCGCAAGTACCTCAGCACTGTCATGGTCTCAAAGTAGCCTTCTAACGAGCGTGGAGACGACGCTGCTCGCATGGGATCCTGTCCGGATGCCCGGCGAGGTTGCAGCCACGCCACCTGCGAAAGAGACCCAGTACTTCTATCAGCAGGTGTCGCATAGTGGCTTGCCCTATCTCTTGCGCGTTGCTACAACATCATTAGACAGCCAGCGCAGTGAAACACTTCACACCCTTTTGGACCGCATCTCAACATTGCGAGCCATGATCGATAAGCTCGAGAACATTATCATGCTCGGACGTCTCCTCCGGGGCGCAACTTCAATTGGAACTTCGAACTCAGCCGCCCCACTCGCAGCAACACTACTCAACGGATCTGCCGCTACGGGAAGAGCTGTGGCCCTCGAGCAGGGAGGTATCGTAATCAGAGCAACCCAACTATTGCGAGCAATCCTCGATGCGTTCCGCTCACTCACGTTTGCCGACGCGACAGCAGTCATCGTCCCGATGTTTTTTGTCGGTTTGAAGGTCGGCATTCTCCTATCTGTAATGCTGCGAAGCGCAGACACTACCAAAAAGTACTTTGTGCTCGGCATGGCTTCGATCTACATCGCATTTGAAAGCTATCGTATCGTCCAGCGCCGCATGCGTGTCCGTCAACGAATGCTGCCCCGCCCTCCTCAATCTCCACCGCCCCACGCACCGCCTGCTGCGGGAGAAGAAAACGCCGCACGGCAAGCCGGCGCACCCGCTCCTGCACCGATGGGAGCCAACATTCCCACCGCTCCTTCGCACGAAGAAGCCGTCGAACGCCAGGCAACAGAAGAGCCTTTGCGTCCGCTTCCCCCACCTCAAGCACCACCTCGATTCCGCTCTCGTACGCGTTTTTCTTATGACTGGTGGATTGACCACATGGCGTTCATTGGTCTCGATGCTGAGGATGCTGAGCTCGGACTTCTCCCCGCGCCTGGAACCAACGCTGCTGCCGCTTTGGCTGCCAACCCCAACACCACACCTGCACCTGCTCACGAGGAACCTCATTGGCTAGAGCGCCTACTCATCTCAAGCTGGGTGCTTCCCTTTGTGCTCTTTCTTGTCACAATGATGCCTGCTGTGGAGCAGCGTAGGAAGCGAGCGATTGAGGAGAGGGAGAGGGTCATTCGCAAGTGGACCAGGCTTGAACAGGAGCGTCGTGAGCGTGCGCAGAAGCTCCTGCAACGGCAGCAGGAGGAGAAGAAGGAAGATCAGACAGCAAGTCAGTACAAAGTGACGGGTCGATCCGATAGCGCTCACGTAGGACCGGGTGACAATCTGGACCTGCAGCAGAAGCGCGCAGACTACGCTGATCGAATTCTTCGCCAGCGCCGCACGACTGAAGCTGTCGACCTAGACGACGAGCACCACCGCCTTGCGCAGGCCATGGCAGTCGGAGCAGGAGACGACCACGACGACGCGATGGAGGATATGAACATCTTCTGAGCTCTTTCCCCTTTGCATCTGTTCTTCATCTCGGCACTTGTGATTACGCATGCACACAGTAACACAGTACTCAGTTCTCGCATACATGAGCAATGCAACTGTCACCTCTGATCGTGGTATTGATTTACGAAATAAGAACCTCGAGCTCGGGTGCTTACAGGATCTTGTTCATAGAGTACATCTTAGTCTGAACAGGAGTAGGGATGTTTGTTGTGATCACCGGGGCCTCGTACATGTTGATCTTTCCCTTACCAGTGTCGATGATCTCTGGGAAGTGAGAGCTTGCGTTGTCACGCTTAGTGCCTACCTCAGTCTTGAGCACCACTTGCTCTGCCTTGTCCTGCTGATCCTCTTTCCTAGCTGCGATAGCGCCAGCTAAACCAGCAGTAGCAGCAGCAACACCTGCACTGACCTTACCAGCGACGAATCCAACACCATCACCCTTCTCAAGAGCCTTCTTTTGCTTCTTTCCTGCCTTTTCCTGTTCCTTTTTTGCCTTTGCAGCTGCCTTTTCAGCCCTAGCCTTGGCTGCAGCTGCCTTTTTAGCCTCGGTATCGGCATCGGGTGCAACTTTGGAAGCGGAAGTAGCAGCTTTACCGTCGGGAATCTTGATAAAGTCTGCTTTGCCGTCTTTTCCAACCTTCTTGTCGAGAATGTAGTATCCCTTACGCTCGAATTGGATAGCAGCACCTTCCTGCAGAAAGGCAACGTTGTGATCGGCAAGGGCGATGGAGCGGAACTCGGAATTGGGAGTGACAAAGTCGGCAAAGTTGTCCTCCTCTTCGAGCTTCTTCTTGGTGATTAAGTAGTCGAAATCGATGAGGTTGACTTCGATGAGAGACTGTTCGTGTGTGGAAGGTGCAAGCCAAGTGACCTTCTTCTTGGTCTTCTTGAAGTCACCATCCAGATTAGCGGTTGCCTCGATAGCAAGCACGTTTCCAGCAGCATCAGCCTCCTTCTTGTTGATGAAGACGTTACCCCAGTCCATGAAAGTGACTTCCTCGCCCTCGCCAAACGAACGTGCATCAGCCTGCTCGACACAAACCACCTCGTCAAAGAGGGTGATCTTGTTGCCCAAATCGGGGTTCTTCTTATGTTTAGGCATCTCCTTTGTATGACGCTTCGGAGCTCCCTTCACTGTGACCTTCACCACTCCTTCCTTGTCCAGCGCAACATACCTCGGAACAAGGGGGTCAATGTGACGCTTGTTGATCGTCCAGATGTTATCCCACTCCATGTTGATGATCTGCTGTGAAGGTCCTTGAGCCAAGATGAATTCTTGAATTGTCTCGATCGTCATACCTCTCCTACGGATACCACGGACAGTGGGGAATCGTGGATCATCCCACCCACCAACAATACCATTATCCACAAACCACTGCAGCTTGCGCTTGCTCAACAGGGTGTAGACAAAGTTGAGACGACCAAAGTCCCAAATATCGACTTTGCGGAGGTTGAGAGCATCGAGCATCCAGTAGTATTGAGGGTTGCGATCACGGTACTCGTTGGTACGGAGTGCGTGGGTGACACCTTCGATAGAGTCGACGATGGGGCAAGCAAAGTCGTAGGTCGGGTAGACTTTCCAAGTGTTGCCCGTGCGGTGGTGGGAGACGTCGGGGTTGCAGCGGTAGATGACAGGGTCACGCATGGCTTTGTTGGGGTCATCGAAGGAGATCTTGGCACGAAGACACCATTTGCGTCCTTCGGGAGAAGCGGCAGACATCTCGGCGAATCGGGTCATGTTCTCCTCAATAGATGCATCACGACGTTTGGAGGGGATACCATCCATACGCTCGGCGCGCATCTGCTCCTGAACAGTGTCGTCGGCGTAAGCTTTGCCGAGCTGAATCATCTGGATAGCGTACTTGTAGAGAGTATCAAAGTAGTCCGAGGTGTGGCTGGTGGTGTCAGCCTTGATACCGAGGAGAGCAAGATCCTCGATAATAGACTGCTCGAACTCCTCCTTCTCCTTGCTCGGGTTGGTGTCGTCGAAACGGATGATGAGCTTGCCGTTGTACTGACGAGCGAAGTATTGGTTAAGGATGGCGGCCTTAGCGTGACCGACGTGGAGGTAACCTGAAGGTTCAGGAGGAAAACGAGTGACAACTTGACCCTGCTTAGCATCTTTGAGGAAGAGATCGAAACCAGCGGCCGTCTTCTTGTTTTTGAACTTCTCAGCCTTGGCATCTGCAAGCTGAACAAGGGCGTCTGAGGTAGGAGCAAGCGAGTCGATGTGATTGAACCATCGCTGCAGATGGTTGTGAAGACCCTTTTTCACAAGACCAATGACAGGCGAGCTGGCACGAACAGCAGCCCAAATCGAGACGTCGGCAGCGGTGATAGCGTGACCGACAAGGAAAGTGCGCAGAGCAAGGTGCTGATCTAGATTATCGGCGATAACTGCAGCGGTCTGGAAATCGGCAAGAGCGAGATTGTCACCCTGACTGACGAAGAGGTTGATCTGAGCGCTCTGGTCCTTGTCCGCGCCGGAAAGACCGAGGTGTGCGTAGTGAGATGCGATCTCACGCACAATGTGAAGATAGCCCTCAACAGGTGCGGCGTTGGGCAGGAGAAGAGTTGGAGCAACTCCGTCTTCGAAAGAAAGAGTGAGAGCCTGAGAGGCATCAGCGGCACTGACCAGTTTGGCGAGGGCAATGGGCGCAAGAGGCGCCACCTTTGCCTGTGGATCGAGCTTGAGCGTAGGAGTAGACATGATTATGAATCAATCTACGCCTTCGGTTCGAGATGAGGTGTGGTGTGAAGATGAGAGGAAGCAAAGATGAGAGGAAGCAAAGATGATGCTCGAAGCTTTTCTGTCCTGTCGACTCACGAGACATGCCACAAATCACACACAGACCTTCTTGCCGGAAAAAAGCTAATCGCAGATTTCCTTATTCCTGTTAAAAAATAAATACTACAGTGCGCAAACAAGGTCGGGTGAAAGCTGCGACTCAACGACCATCCTCGGTCAAGTCAGCTTCAACACCTCAATAGCGGACGCCAACACACTCACAACCTCAAGCGTGGCTTCAACTGTAGAGAGGCACTCGTTCAGACGTAAGACGGATGGTTCAAGAGGCGCTTCACAGAACTTGACGCAGTGCTATGGTACAAAAAGAAGCAAGCTTCGCGATCAATCGCACTGAGCCTTCTTACACATCGAGGCGTGAAATGTCCATCTGAGGGCTCTTAGCGAGAACTTCCGGGGTGGCAACCTTGTCCTTGTGCTTGAGAAGCTCCTTGAACGAGTTCTTGATCGTCACATCACTGACACCAGCTGCTTGACTGATACGCTTGGCACCCTTGTCGATGCCCCACAGCAGCGTCGAGAAGTAAATGCAGGCTGCAGCGATGGTGATAGGACTTCGTCCTGCCAAAATGCCCAACTCTCGTACACGTGCTGTGATGTCCTCTGTGGATCGAGTAACGCGCATCTCGAGACCCAAGTGGTTGCAGTAACGACCAACCAAGTCTGCTGCACCCGTCGGTCCGATACCAATAGGAGTAGAGGTGCCGCTGTTGTTAGCGCTGGCCCTCGATCCGTCAACAGATCCAGTACCGGTAGCGTTAAGTCCGAACGCCTGCTGCATCTCCTTGAAGCACTGGCCAATGTGCTTCTTGGATACGCTTGTCAATGAGCAGATCTCGGGGAAGGTTCGCGGCACGTGGTTCATCTTGCAAGCCACATAGATGGCAGCAGCGATGATGGCGTCCGGCTTCTTTCCCCGCAGAATCTTTTCTTCCTCGACTCGGCGATAAGCCTGCTTGGCCACGTCCGACACGGTTCGTGGCAGATGGATCGAGTCGCACTTGCGCTGAATGTCTTCGAATGCATCCAACATGTTACGGTCTCGAGTACCTGTGGCACGGTTCATCGTCCTCTGCAAATCCCTCGAAGCACCGGTACCACCGTCCCTGTAACCAATGCGCGACTCGAGCTGCTCGTTGATACCATCCAACAACGGGTTGCTCGCCGCACCAACACGCGAAGGGTCGTCTCCATCCTCGTTGGCGAATGTACGCCACTCGGATCGTGTGTCGATAATGTTCTCGCCAACGACTAAGCCGCAATCGGCACAAACTAGATCACCCGACTCGAACTCCTCGGCGAGGTTGGGAGGATCCGTCTTGCAGTCTCGGCAGATCAAACGAACGTTGAGATCAGGGACGAAGTCATCCTCGCCCTTTGGCGCATCACCGCGGTCGGCAGCATACCTTGCGCTGAGCGCGAACGGCTGCGCGAAGGCATTCTGCATTCGTTCAGGTGGCGGTTCGGAAAGATACAAGGGGAGGCAAAGCGGAAGTGTTAGCATGTCTCCTACCTAGACTCTGGAAAAGAAAGAAAGAAAAAAAAGAAAGAAAGAAAAAAAAAATCGAACTCAGAATGCACAAAGACAAGGGAGCAAAGGAAGATGCAAGATGCTAACCTGTTGCGATCTGGCAATGTCGGCTGTCATGGCTGATTTGCAACGACGAGCCGGTGTGGATTACTGCTGAACTTCTCAAATGCCTCCTTCAGGCGACAACCTGCTAGTAGCGATTTCTATGGACGCGATCCTCGTTATGACGAGTTTCGATCCGCTGCGTCGATAAGAGAGCTTGCTTGCTTTCTTCGAGGCGTTATGCGATTGCAGCAAGTGGAGGTCAATCGCGAGTGTTTCGACTGCAACGAGGTCGAAGACTGAAAAGTGCAGTCCAGACTGGGTCGAATCGATGCGATAGATTGTGATAGCAGCAGGTGTCGTCTGCAAGGGTATGGCAGATGATGGTGGCGAAAGGCGCAGATTGATCTGCTGAGTCACCGCGGCGCGGTTATCAATATAGAAAATCCTGACGCTCAGCCGAACTGGCTCTGCCGCCTTTCGCTCGTCAAAAACAAGATCGGGACTTTAGGCTCTCGAGCGCGTGATCTCGATGAATCCAAAATGAACGCTCTCGTGCGGAAAGACAATCGCGTCTTTTAAGCGACAAGCTCGGATTGCGGAAACGCAAGGGGCCCCGTCAACACTTTCTTTTCAACGTCTTCTCGACTGGCTCTCTCACACTACTCATGCTTTCACAGATCATCTCACACCCTCTCTTGACCTTGCTACACATCAGAACTTGATCAAAAAGCTCGATAGAGGTCCAAGTCGCAACCATGGCTGTTGCAACACACGCCAACCGCCATGATGCTGGTCAAAGCTCCGCCTCGACTTCCACATCCGCATCCGGTCAACCATCAGCAGCACGCAGCAGCAGCGAATCGAGCTTCAGCGCTTTTGCTCGAGTGTTGCAAGCTTGCAAGGATCTTGAGCCTGCCGCTAGGGTAGATGCGGACAATGGAACTGCGCTTCTGTTCGCAGACGTCTGCTCTGGACTAGGCGAAGAAGCTCTCGACGATGCAGGCTACGTCGCACGCCGTCAAGATCAGAGTCTGGAAGACGACGACCGAGCAGCATGGGAGTTGGAACAAAACACGTGGAGACTGGTGCACATGCTCACGGCAGAGCGATTGCAAAGGGCCGATCGCAAAGCGCGATCTGAATCCGACGAGCGAAACAAGGATGTTATACAGGCATACGAAACACCGCTTGCCGCGATACAGAACATCTTTGAACGAGACGAGCACCTCAACGAGCTCAGAATCATCCGCGAATGGCTGCAAGAAACACTGGCTCCGAAACACATTGTCGAAGTGCGCAAGGGCTACCTCGCCTTCACCAAGAACCGGGTCCGTGCTGAAAAGCGAGCCAGTGTAGGTGGAGGGGCTACCTCGAGCGACGGACGCAGGTTGACGTTTGGCTCTGCAGCTAGCTCGAGCTTTGCACCCAAAAACCGCGGCAAAGCTGTCAAGAACCTGGATCCAGATGCCGTTTCGCGCGGAGAGGGCGGTCTCGAGCTTGAGGACACCACATACGAGAAAGCACTACTTCGCACGCTTTTCGAATACGCAAGAGCAGGACGCCTGGATGCTGCTTTCGATCTCTGCCATCAGACTGATCAGAGCTGGAGGGCAGCGACACTCCGAGGTGCCATGCTCTATCACGATCCAGCCGTCAGCCTCGACTTGCAAGACATTGACCGCGTCGTCGGCAACCGTAATCGACCACTTTGGAAGTCAGCATGCAGAAAGCTAGCCTCCAATCCAAATCTGGACGAGTTCGAACGTGCACTTTACGGCTCGCTGGCCGGAGACCTTCCTTCGGTAGCTAACGTTAGTCAGAGCTGGGAAGAGTTCCTCTGGGCTCATGTCAACGCCAAGCTTGAAGCTGCAGTCGATCTCAAGCTAGACGAGAGACACAGCTGGTGGAGCCAGGATGCAGATGTCGAGCTGTTCGGCGATGGAGAGCATGGCGCTGTGAAGCTTGCACTTAGCGCTTCATCGGCAACTTCTGCCGCCGCCACAGCAGCTATATCCGGCGGTGCGACCGACGCAGGGAACGGCGCAACAACAAAGGGAGAGGTCCAGCTCGGCTCATTGAATGGCGTCTTCGACAAACTTAGTCAAACGCAATCGCACGGCATCCATCTACAGGCCAACAACCCATACCGACTGGTGCAGAGGAGCATTGTTTCGAACAACCTACCGGAACTTTTCAATCGCTTCTCAGACAATCTTGGAGATATGCAGGCTGCTCTGGAACCACCGACATTCGCACGGCTCCTGCGCTTCTTCGCGCACCTCATCCTCTACCTCCGTTTGCTGTCGATCCCTCTGCCAGACTTTGCCTGTAACGCAATACTGTCGTGCTACGTACAAGTGCTAGAGGCGGCGGGTGAGACAGATCTGGTGGCAATGTACGCAAGCTCGCTCGAACCGCAGTCAGCCACGAGGAGCTACGCCAACTTCTTGCGATCTATGGATGTCAATGCAAGCCGCGAAGCTAAGGCGCATGCTTTGCGCCAGGCCGAGCAACACAACCTCGACTTGGCGGCAGTGGCAAGATGCACCGTTGACATTGTCTTTGACGAGCTCTTCGGAACCATTCTTTCGGACTTTGACGAATCGGCTGGATTTGGTGGAGCGCTCAAGTCGAGAGCAGGGCCGGGTAAGCTGGACGCTATCAAGTTTGATGTTCGTCTCGATGCCAACGAAGAAGCGCTCATCCGAGCCATCGACTGGCTTACTTTTGACCCGACGACATACGTCGATGCCATGACACAGTCGAATGCGCTGACTCGACTCTTCCTGTCAACCGGTCGATTGCATGCCGCCAAAGTGCTGCGTGACCGCATGCCAACTGAGGTATTGTCCAGCATCGGGGAGCTCCCACTGCCCGTGGACCAGAGCATCGAGCGCACAGGCTGGGACACGTTCTTCACCGCTTTGGAAGCTCACGTTACTTACAAGCACTTCTGGACCACGCGACCTGCCGACGTGGTCAAGTCGAAAGGCGAAGCCGGATCCAACATTCGCACAGGTGGCTTGTCGAAGCTAGAAGGTATGAACTGGGTCAAAGCTCTGAGGCAGGTGATTGAGCAAGCTCGTGATCTTGATCTGCTCTTGCTGCAACGAGACTGGCTCAAGATCCCTCTCAGTGGGACTGGAGGCGGACTGGAGACAGAGAGAAGAGCACGTGAACTGTTCGACATTCGTCAAACATACATCCCCGAGATCGTGTTCCGATTGCACGATATGCTGGTCGAGTCTTGGAGCGCCATCCCGACGAACCTCAACATGGCGTTGCGACTATCAGAGATTGTTGCCGACGAGCGACACAAGATCTACCTCGAGTTCATTCAAGGCAACTCGCAGAATCTGCTTCAAGACTATTTACAGCGTGTCCGCGAAGCTTCGTTGCTCCTTCTCGAGGATGGAGGAGACGTCTTTGAGAAGGCCACAGAGTCGTAGCTGTGCACATCCTCTGTCACTGTCAGACACCCTCCACCTCACCGCCTCCTGCAGCTAGCGTCGAGCTTCACATTGAACCCTAATCAGTTGCACGCAATCCACACAGATCCACATAGTCCGCAGCTTTCTCGTTTCCTGACAAGCAAGCATTTTGAGCGATATAAGTTGAGATGAGTGTATCTCTTTGCTGTCTGTTGTGACGCTGCGTCGGATGGCTTGAGGCTGGAGAAGATTTGCTGCAACAAGACGTCATTTCGCCGCTGCACAATGTGGGGGGACATTGAGGTTATTTTGTTTTTGTTTTTGTTTTTGTTTTTAACTAAATTCTGAGTGGAAGAACAGGTGGGCTAAAAAGCTGTGCCAAATTATGGATATCTTCGTTCTGTTGGTGTTGCACTGAGAAGCCAAGCACAGCCGAGCATCAAGCTTGGGCATGTAGACTTGGACCCAAGACTTTAGATTGTAGTGCTGTCGGTGTACAGGAAAAGGATGCAGGAAAAGGATGCAGGAAAAAGATAGATTGCATCCGGGCCGTGTTCACTGTCTGGCGATAGCCGATGCCACCGCGGTATCAGAAAGTGACACTCCCAAGACCTGCTCTTCCTGTTCTAGCACCGCTTTGACTCCGCCTCGTCCAAATCACTAACCATCATTACCAGCCAGTTGCGTTGAGACTAGGCCTCGACTCAGTCTGCACTTGCTCTTGCCTCTCTCAACGTTCACATCTTCTTCATTCTCGCTCTCAAGATCGCCGCTGGGAAGAGCACCAGCCGTGGCGAGCCAACTTTCTATCGACTGTTCCTTCGCAGACTCTCTCGATTGTCCCACAAGAATCCTCGGCCCAGCAGTCAGCAAGACGAGACCATCTTGCATTCCGATCAAACACATCACATATTCCACTCAGCAGCTTCAAAACATTCCCATTGCAACCATGTCCGACGTCGAAACTTCCTCACCCAAGAGCTTCTCGGCTCGCCGGCCCAGCTTCAGTTCAATTCGTTCGCGCTTGCGCAAGCCCAGTCTCAAGAGCGGCAAGAGAAGCTCTGTGCTAGTTCATGATGGCAAGAGAAGCTCTGTGCTAGTGAATGACAGCAAGAGAAGCTCTGTGCTAGTGGATGACGGCGCTACCCTGCTCGGTCTCGACGGCGACAACAATCAGGAGCGCAACAAGCGCTTCTCTTCAGCATCGGATCAGTCCATCCCACCAGTTCCACCAGTTCCACCTCTTCCACCACGCCCACACAATGCCAACAGCATCGGCACCAATGTCAACGACAACAACCTTGCATACCTTCAAGCTAGTTCATCTCGAACAGCGGCAAATGCCTCATACGTCGACGAGCGCGCTACCAACAAGCGTAATTCGGTCATCAGCACAGCCTCCTCATCCAATGCCGGTCCATCACCAGACGATGATGTATCAGCCTTGGCACAGGCCTCGCTCGGCATGACATTAGGCGCTCACAAGTTCCAGTTGGCTCGTCAGATGACTGGCGGCCGATTTGATCCGCAAGAAGCCTTCAAGGAGACCATCCCCATGACCATGTTCTTCTTTGGCGGCACCCTCGTCGCTGCACTCGTCCTTGCAAGATACAGCATCGTCGCTGCAGCCTTGATCTCGGGAACGAGTGGTCACATACTTTACAAGAGGCTGACGGCGCGAGGCGATGACGCAAAATGGGCGCTCGAGATGGAGGCGGCAGCAAAGCAATCACTGTTGCCAGGCGCCGGAGAAGAGTCGGTCGAATGGCTCAACAAGGCGCTAGCAACAGCATGGCCTCTCATCAATGCAGACTACTTTGCTCCTTTCATCGATCTCCTCGAGGATAGCCTAATGACTCAGGTGCCTGGTGTAGTCCACAACGTCAGAGTCGAAGACATGGACCAGGGTTCCATCCCGTTGCGCGTCAAGAGTTTCCGCGTCCTTCCCTCTGGCGAGAGGGCTTTTCTTCAAGGTGCGGTAGTGCAAGCACGAAAGGATGCTGGCCTTCCTCAACCCGAAGCGCCCGGCTCTGTCGCTGCTGACAGCGAGGACGATGAAGCTGGCGTCGATGTCGGCGACTATGTCAACCTCGAGGTCGCCTTTGCGTACCGCGGCGCCACTACTAAGAAGGGCTTCTTCCGATCCACAACCAACAACAGCGCAGGTCCGATCAACACCTCAGGTCCCCTAGCAGCTGGCGAGGAGAAGCAGCTGGAGGCAGATTCCGAAGACGACTTTGATCAGCTCAAGGACGTGCCAACGGAGAGGATCCACATGCTGCTCTACCTCGGTGTCGGTCTGCAAAAGATTGCTGCCGTTGACATTCCTGTCTGGATCGAAATGGTGGGCATCGAAGGGAAAGCACGCGTCCGCCTACAGATGACGCCAGTGGCTCCCTTCGTCAAGCATGCAGCCGTCACCTTTGTCGGTGCACCCAAGCTCGAGATTTCTGCCAAGCCTCTAGGCAAGAAGATGGTCATTGATGCCATGAACTTGCCGCTCATGTCCTCTTATGTGCTGCATGCAGTCGAGGATGTCATCAAGGGCTTCATCGCACCGCTCTCCTACACGATTGACGTCGCTGCTCTGCTTGGCGCTGGTGACGGACCTCAGGATGTTTACTCGCTCGGTGTCATTTGCTTTGTGATCCATCGAGCAGACCATCTACCTGCCTCGGATAACAACGGGCAGAGCGATCCCTTCGTGCAGGCTTCTTTCGCACGAGCTGGCAAACCGCTCTTCACTTCGCGTATCGTCCGCAAGAGGCGGGACGCTATTTGGCAGGAGACTGGATTCTTGCTCGTGTCACCTGACGAAGTGCGTGACCATGACCTTCTGCGACTCACAGTGTTCGATGCTGACCGCTTTTCTGCCGATGATCCTCTTGGCAAAGTCGAGATCTCACTGCATCGTCTCATCCGCAAGTTCCGCCCCGACGCTGAGGCGCGTAGCACCAACTTGCTTGAGACAAGGACCGACAAGCTGTTACCCATCAGGAAGGGGGCCTCTGTCCAGGGGACTCTCAAGTACAGCGTTGGCTTCTTTGGCCTTGCCCATGCGCCCGGCACTGGACATGCTCCATCCCGACGCAAGCTGCTACGAGGCATCACTAGCACGGCTGCCGACGAACACGCATTCATCGACCTTGTGTCCCCAGTCAACGGCAAACACAAGAGCGACGATGACAAGATGCTGCCTTCGGCCCCTGAACAGAAGCCGCTTACCACTGGACCTGGAGTGGACCCGGATTTGAGCGCTTACATGACTGGCTTTGACAAGTTTGTCCACGGCCTCGGTTTGCCAATGGCTGATGATGTGCTCCGTAAGAGGCACGATCGCAAGGAGCGCGTGCAGAAGCTCGTCACCATGATCGAGGGTGCGAAGCAGGCTACTGTGCATCCACCCACCGCCGAGCTTCCATCAGGTATCCTAGCTTTCCACATCCATTCGATCACTGGTCTAGAAGTGCCCACTACGCAGAAGTCGCTGGGAGGCGCAAAGCGGATGTCGCAAAAGTCGAGGAATAACCCGGCGCCCACGGAAGAGAGCCAAGCAGAGGGCGGCGCAGGTGGCAAGCTGCCGTCATCGTACGTGCAGGTCTTCTTGAACGATGAGGCCGTCTTCCGTACAAGAACCAAGGCACTGAACCCGCGTCCTTACATCAATGCAGGCAGTGAACGCTTCGTTGGCGACTGGACTACTGCCAGGCTTGACTTTACCGTTCGCGATGCTCGAATGCGCGAAGGCGATCCGGTGCTTGGCTGCGTTGGGCTGCGCTTGGCCGATGTGCTGACGCAAAGTAGTCGCTCCACGGGTTGGTACACACTCACGGGTGGATTGGGCTACGGCAAGATCCGCATCACGCTCTTGTTTCGAAGCATTGAGCTTTCCATCCCGCGTCCTCTCCGTGGCTGGAATGTCGGTATTGTCGAGATCGCCAGTATCAGAGTCACGGGAGTACCGCAGACTTTGCTCGAGAAGAAGGCGTGTCATCTGAGCCTGGAAACCGTGGGAGGCAAGACAAGCACGGACGATACTGAGCCAGTGGAGAATTACGAGTCTGGTATGGGCGCTGATGCTACGGTAAGCTACGAGTGGCCGCTCAAAGAGACCATTCGCCTTCCTGTGCGTCAAAGATATCCCAACTCGCTTCATATCAGCCTTCGCACCGACTCACGCATGCCTGGCCGACACCATCACCATGCATGGGCATTCGTACCGCTCAACAGGATCTCGGATGAGATGCGCATCAAACGTCGCTTGCGTCTCTTCGAAACAGCGGATTGGGACAAGGTGGAGCAAGAGGTGTTGCGCGCTGTCAGTGAGCCCAAGTTGCTGCAGAATGCTGAGGAAGGAGGCGCACAAGCAAAGCTGCTACCTGTACTCGAAGAGCTCTGCCTCAATGGTGCAGCCGAGATCTCGGACGAAGCGCTACGAAGTGCACAGCTGCGAGCGGTGGGCTGGGTCGAGATCGACATGATCTTCCATCGAGGTATTGCACCAGAGCATCGCACATGCACTGCAGGTGATGCCGAGATGCGATTCGCATATGAGACCTACATGACACTGCAAGATGCCGGTGAACGAGCACGCCCACGTTCGCTTGCGGCCGGAAAGCTACGCCAGCCCAGCAAAGCTTGTAAACTGACAGTCGCCACAGGTGAATCTTCAGGACAAGCATCTCGACCCGGCCTTTTGTGGGATGCCTCAGCTCAAGGTGGAATGGTGGAAGAGCCAAGCGAGCTAGGTGAAGACAATCAAGACGAGGAGTCACTCTACGGTCTGTCCCTTACGGAGACGGAGCTAGATCGAATGGCAGAAGAAGATGCGGATTCAGATAGTCCAGAAGGACGACGTGCGAGAGCAAGAGCTTTGCATCGACATCAGCGAGGTGCGGCACAGATCAAAGGTTTTAGGACGTTGACATGGATCAAGACGAACGCAGAGGATAGTGTTGCGAAGGTCAAGAGACAGTTTGGAAAACAATCCAAGAGGATGGGTAAGATGGAGGCCGAGGGGATTTCACATTTCTAACCTCGGAACCAATTTGCCACCTTTGAGGTGATGTAACCGTGGATGTCTGGAATGCAAGAGCCCTTTTGATGAGGACAAGAGAGTGCGATAGTGTGTTGCAGTGAGCCTTTGTGCGAAGAACACCGAAAGAGCTGGTCCGGCGACTTTTCATCGAGTGAAATCGGTGATCCACGGCGAATCGGGAGATAGGCGACTTTTTGGGCTTCCAAGAAGAAAGCCGAAAGCTTTCCCCAACAGCAACACAGCAACACAGCCCAAGCGATGTCATCGCGAGTATTTTAGAATTCTACATCCTCAATCGATTAGTGCCTCAATATAGGCTTTGCTGTCTAGCTCGCTTCGCTTGCCACGCGGACCTGAAGACGGGGGGATACAATCGCGGTCTTTCTTTTTCTTTTTTTCTTTTTCTTTTTCTTTTTTTCTTTTTCTTTTTTTCTTTTTCTTTTTTTCTTTTTCTTTTTTTCTTTTTCTTTTCTTTGGTTGCGTGTGTGAGAGTTGCGTGTTAAGGGATCAGGCAGTATCTGTTCGAGAGTAACTGAGTCGATGATTTTTAGATGAGTAAATACATGAAATATAGTGCATATATATAGATGATTTGTCTGCCAAGCATGTGTGTGAGAATATGGCTAAGTTGAGTGAATCTATCATGTACGGCTTGAAGGGGATGTCTTTTCGGGGACAAGAGAGAATCGTCGAGTACAAAGGGGATGGGGTTGCATGAGAATGTTGTAACCATAAATGGAGTTCGTTGTCAAGTTTTGGTGAAACAGAGGAACAAAGGTATTTGAGAGAAGTGTGAATCAAAGGGGACTCGTGAGAATGAGAAAGATACACAGGTCTAGAAATCAGTTGGCGAAATGAGACACACACATCGAATTTTAACTGTCCCCCTCACCATCTGAGGAAGTAGGGCTTTTACTGGGTTCAATGGGACTTTGGCAAGTAAAGCCTAATCACTGATGTGCAGTAGTCATCAGGTGTCGGCTTACTGGCTTAGTCAAGAAGTCTGTGACATTATCGAGGGTTTTGACATATCTGATATCTACTTCCCTTTCTTGGACTGAGAAACGAAGAAAGTGGTATCTAGTGTCAATATGCTTAAGTTTGGCATGATTAACTGGGTCTCGTCCTACTTGTATACAACCAGTGTTGTCTGTTAGGATCTTGGGTACGAAATCTCCTATATCAGGCCTCGTAGGAGATATCTATAGAAAAGTGCCTCTTGAGAGGCTTCGGACACTGCTACAAATTCGGCTTCGACAGCTGATAGGGATATGCATTTTTGAACATGAGACTTCCATCCTACCAAGCTTCCGAATATTAGGGTGACAGATCCAGAGGTGCTGCGTCGGTCGGTATTTGGGTCAGAGGCCCAATTTGCATCTGTGTATGTTACGATTGGGGGGGTGTTGGCTTTATCACTTCCTAGGGTGAGAATCTCATCTTTAGTTTGATTTAGATATTTGACAACCTTGAGAGCTGCTTGCATCACTTTGGGGGAGGGCCTAGATATATGTCAAGCAAGGGTATTCACTGCAAAGCAAATATCTGGTCTGACAGTATTCAAGACCCACATTAGTTTGCCAACTAATGACAGGTACTGTTGTTTGACATCTGCTGGGGGTGTGTAGTTGGGTGGCATGATAGGTGGAGATATATCCATTGGGCTTCGCGATTTTTCTCCACCTGGTAGCCATTCTTTGATAATTCCTTCAATATATGCTCGCTGATTGAGGCTAATTATTTGCAATTGGCGGTTGCGAGTAATTTTAATTTTGAGGAATTCCCTGGCTGGTCCGTTGTCCGTTATTTTCCATTTGTTGGTAATTGACTTTTTGACAGTGTCAATTAGGCTCCGTTTTGGCCCCGTGATGAGCATGTCGTCAACGTAAACAGTGATGATTACTTTTGTTTCATCAGTCCCCCTGAGATAAATGCATGGTGCGCAAGGGAGACTGAGGAAACCCATGGATCGGAGGTGGGCATCTAATTCTAAATTCCACTCTCGGCCAGATTGTTTCAGTCCATATAGTCCTTTGATCAATTTGTAAACTTTGCCTTTTGGGATGTCGGCTCCTTCGGGAGGTTTGAGAAAAACTTCATGGTGCAAATCGGCATTGAGATATGCTTGGGTGACGTCAATGGAATCTAATTCCCAATCTTTCCGGGCTGCGATAGTGAGGATAGTGCAGATGGCATCTTGTGGAATGACTGGGGCAAATATTTCATCGTAGTCTACACCAGGTCTTTGGGAAAATCCTCTGGCACAGAATCGTGCCTTATACTTGATTGGTATCATGTTTGCATCAGTCTTGATGGTCAAAACTAGTTTAGAGTCGACTAGATTTGTGTTCAGAGGCCTGTCCACTATTTTCCAAATGTTCATCCTTTCGAGTCCATCCATTTCTGCTTTGATTGCCTCTTTCCAATGGGCCTGATTTTTACTGCTTAGAGCTTGCTTGACTGTTGGTTGGAGTACTGGTGATAACAGTTGCGCTTCGGCCTGGTATATCGGGTTTGGTAGGTCAACCAATAGGCCACGCTCCCTTAGGCTTTCTTGGAAGTTTCGTATGGCTTTGTCGTCTGGCCAGCGCCTTGGGCATTTTTGGAGTAGTATTGCAATTGTGGTTGGATGCATCCAGGGTCGCGATTCCCATGCACTATGGAATTGATTGAAATAGTTTTGGTATTTCCTTAGTGTTTCACTCGAATCCAAGTATTGCTCGCTGACCTGTCTGGAGAGAGTCTTTGGGTCCAGCATGGGTGAAACTTCACGAGAGGGTCGGTGCTCGAAATTTGTCGTTCTGTCTGAGGCTTATCCTGTTGGTGTTGTCGATATTTCAGAGGGCTCTGAGTCTTCTGGTGACGGGTTGGGTGAAAAAGGGTCCCCCTCGAGCATCAGATCCTCTTCTGAAGGGGGGTGGTAAATGTCGTCCAGGGGTTGGGAGAGTTCTTCATCAAATTCATCCTCTTCTGAGTATGAGAGATCTTCAATGTCGGCAGTGTTGTCATAGAAAATGGCATCTGTTTCTTTAATTGGCATTGCGTCAGTCCTATCTTCCCAGCATTGATCTTCCAGGAATCTTACTGAGTTGCTCCAGAATATGCTGGGATTGTGATTGGGAGATAAAAGTTTCCAACCTTTATGCTCCTCATCATATCCTATAAAGATAGCTGGGATTGCTGAGTCCTCGAGTTTCTTCCTTTTCACCTTGGGTATATTTACCCATGCTAGGCAGCCAAAAGTCCTAAGTAGTTTGAATGGTTTCCTGGGATCTTTATTGTAGAAAACCTGATAAGGGATTTGATCCTTGACATTTGGTAGCAAGTTTTTCATGTAGGCTGCGGCTTCGATTGCATATGGCCAGAATGTTTGGGGAAGTCGGTGAGTGTGCAGCATTGAACTCATGATGTTTCAGATCGTGCATATGGTTCTTTCGGCCTTGCCATTTTGTTTGCTGGTATAGACTGATGATTTTTGCCACCTGAAACCAGTTTCATTTTGCCAATGCATGGCGACATTTGAGCACCATTCTCCTCCATTATCGGAGCGTATGGTTTTCAATTGGCGTCCAGTTTGAATCTCAGCATATTTGATCCATTCTTGAAGGACATGGAGTGCGTCGGCCTTCTTGCATAGGGGTTTCACATAAGTGAAACTGGAAGCATCGTCGATTGCTACCAGCACACAGGTGAATTCGGTTTGTTCTGAGAAATGGGTCGAGAGGTCAACATGGACTAGTTCTAGTGGGTAACTAGCAATAGTTCCATCACCTTTGCCCATTCTCGCCTTGGTAGATTTGGTAGCTAGGCAGTCGTGGCATGTAAGGGAGTGGTTGGGTTCGGCATTTACTCCATATAATTTCTTAATTATGGAGCTTTTATTTTGCCCAGGGTGTCCAAGTCGTTCGTGCCATTTTGCCTGCGGCCTTTTGTCCAGACTTCTTGGGGGTGCTACGGCATCGAAGTGTTCGGGTAGATCTTTGATTATTTCGTCGATATTTGTGAGAAGGACCAAGGGTTGATTTCTATGTATTTCCCATTGCTTGCGTTTGGGGTTAAAAGAGGCAATCGTTTTCGATTTGTTTGGCCAGGTGATAATGGCTTTGGTTGGGTTGAAGGTTACTCGTGCACCATCTTTCAATAGCATATGGACAGAGATTAAATTACTGTTGGCCTCTGGAACATAAAGTACATCATGAAGAATTACTTTAATTCCATCCAACATTAATTCTATCTCTCCTTTGGCTTTAATTCGAAGCTTGCGGTCTCCAGCAGTATTCACATACCCTAGACAGGGAGTAAAGGAAGAGAACATTGATTTATTGCAAGCGACATGATCGGTTGCACCTGAGTCGACTATCCAATCTTGGATGTTGGTCAGCTCAAGTGAGACTCGATAAGCTGAAGGGATGGTGCACCAAAATTCCTAGGCAGGAGTTGAGTTGGTTTGGTCATTTGGGTAGGTACAGGGTCGGCGAGGTTTAGGGCATTTCTTAGCAATGTGTCCGGTGTCGAAGCAGTTGTAGCATTTGGGAGCCTCTCCATTGGGTCCAGCCTTGCCATTCCAGTAGCTTTCAGGGTAATCTTCAGTCTGCGAACTTTCGACTACCCTGATGCTGCTGGATGCCGTTCCCGGGGCAGCAACTTGATGGATTGGCTTCAATTGCATCTGTTCCTGGCATTTGAGTAGTGCAGCAGCAACTCGATCAAAATCATGGGTGTTGCCCATGCATTCAAGAGTGTTGATATATGTTGCATAAGATGCATTGTATCTGGCTGAGTTGATTAATGTTTGTATTTTCATCAACTGGGGCAAGGGATGTCCCATCGTGTCGGCTTTGGCCCAGTGATTTCGAATGTCTTCAATGAGTTTTCGAACATCATTGTTGTACATTCGAAGGCGGCCAGCATCTCGAAGTATAGTGGCTTGGTCTAGATCATCGTTCTTGAGGAGGTTAGTTTTGATTTGCTCATAGAGCTCATGGAAAGTCCATGGCGTAGAATCCTTGGGTCTAGCCAGGATGTAGTTCAGATTGTTTGGTCCTTCGATTTCGCAAACTCCAATCAGAATCATCTTGAGTCACCCGTCAAGAATTCTATCGAATTTCTTGTCACCAGGCTTGACTTTTCCTTGGAGGTGTCGGAGAGCGTCGCTCCAGGTGTCAATAGCATCTAGAAATAAGGGGTTCCAAACATGCCAGTTCTTGATGTTGAGCTTTGGGGCTACTCCAATGGTAGTCGAGAACCATCTGAGTAGTCCCAAGAAGTCGTCACACTTCAAGGGTCTTTTGTATTCATTGGGTTTGTGGACTTGGCGGCTCATAGCCATGAGCATGCCTCGCATAGTCCTTTGGTCCATGTTTTCAATTTCTTCTTCAGTGATTTGGTTGAATTGGATGGGGCTAGTAACATCTTCGGGATTCCAAAGAGAAGGTGTCTCTGGTCCAATAATCATCTGGGGGGGCAGGTTGGTGTCGATGGCAGGTGGTAGGTTCGGTTCATTTTCATTGTCTTCCTCGCCTCTGGAGGGCGGTCTTGAGTCGGTCAGGTTCATCTTTCATTTTGCTTGGGGGAGTAATTTGATTCGGTCTTGTCTGGTTATTGTTTGTCGAGGTCGGGGAGTATTCATTGGTTTTGGTATTCTTGAGGTATCGAGTTGCTGTCGTTTAGTCGGGAGCGGCATGGTTGCAGTCGGCTTTTTGCCTTTGTCGATTTAGAGCACTCAGACTCTTAATCTGTTAAGGGATCAGGCAGTATCTGTTCGAGAGTAACTGAGTCGATGATTTTTAGATGAGTAAATACATGAAATATAGTGCATATATATAGATGATTTGTCTGCCAAGCGTGTGTGTGAGAATATGGCTAAGTTGAGTGAATCTATCATGTACGGCTTGAAGGGGATGTCTTTTCGGGGACAAGAGAGAATCGTCGAGTACAAAGGGGATGGGGTTGCATGAGAATGTTGTAACCATAAATGGAGTTCGTTGTCGAGTTTTGGTGAAATGGAGGAACAAAGGTATTTGAGAGAAGTGTGAATCAAAGGGGACTCGTGAGAATGAGAAAGATACGCAGGTCTAGAAATCAGTTGGCGAAATGAGACGCACGCGTCGAATTTTAACTTTGCGGTGGGAGGTGGAGGTGACTGATGGATACAGCGACTCTATCTCACCACCCCTTTGCCTGTTGACATTCTCATCTTCCACTCCCATCAACTTCATTCCATCATCATCTCACTCGACTCCACACATTGTCTGCGCGCTGGTTTCTCTCTTCTGTTTTCACCGATTCAGCAAGCAACAACATCTTGTTCCAACGGCCATTATCTTCACGCCAAATCGGTATCTGCCTGGTCAGACGACACTCGTCAAGAGCTTTGCCATTCGCCGCTGCTCCGCCTTTCCCATACGACTTGGCTCAAGGCAGGCAAGCACACAGATAGCTGCATTAGTTCTTCGCCGAACCGTCGCTGCTCTACCTACGAAAAGGAGGTTCGCCACTTCTCAGCTCGAAACCTTTGACTGAAGCATTCGTCATTTGCTCAGATCGGTCGAAAACTAAGCTCAAACGTCCGGGACCTTGCTTTGACTCTCACAGCTGAAACGTAGCAATTTGCGCTTTGACGGCTCCAAACATCTCGTTTCTCAACCTATACGTGACCGACACGACCCACTAGGCTCTCAACACTGAAAGTCACCCCATCACGCAACCATGCCGAAAACACTTATTGCACCCTCCGTCCTAGCCTCGGATCTAGGCAACCTCAATTGCGAATGCCAACGAATGATTGATTCCGGTGCTGATTGGCTCCATATGGACATTATGGACGGTCACTTTGTCCCCAACATTGTCATGGGAGCACCCGTGATCGCCTCGGTCTCGAAAGCGGTTCCCAACATCTTCATGGATTGCCATATGATGGTTGCTGATCCTGGTCGCTGGGTCAAAGATATCTCAGAAGCTGGAGGAGCATCTTATACTTTCCATCTCGAGGCGACAGATGATCCGATGGACGTAGTCAGGCAAATCAAAGCAACAAAGATGAGGGCTGCTGTTGCAATCAACCCCGGCACACCCGCTTCTGAGATTTCAGACGAATTAGGTAATGCAGTGGATATGATTCTGGTCATGACCGTATGGCCAGGAGCAGGTGGGCAGAAGTTTATGAAGGAGTGCATGCCCAAGGTGGCAGAACTCAGGGCTAGGTTTCCTGATTTAGACGTAGAAGTGGATGGTGGTGTTGGGCCAAAGACAATTGATAGATGTGCGGATGCGGGCGCAAATGTGATTGTTGCAGGAACGGCGATCTTCAATCATCCCTCGCCTAAGGATGTTATTGCATTCTTGAGGAGTCGGTGCGATGAAGCTCAAGAGAGGATTAAAAAGGAGAGGGAGAGAATTGCAAGAGGAGAACCGGTGGAACATGAGGTTAAGCATTACGAAGATGGTAGGAAGTCCGGTTGGGGTTCTGGTGCCGTCACACCCCTTTCATATCCCAGAGTGTATATGTCAGCGAGTAAGAGGGAAAAGCTGAGAAGAGAGAGTCAAGGTGCTTTGGAAAGGGGGGAAAGACCGAGCATGTTGCAAGGTATGAGTGCGTTGAGTATTACACCTGCTGTCGAGGGTAAGTGACTAGTCGGAGGGGGGAGGAAGGCCAAGTTGTAGATCCGAGCAAAAACGGCGAGAGCCATCTAAGAGGTGAAGTAACTCCGCATCAGTTCGCTGGAGCAACCTTTGTTTCAATTGCATCGCAATACCAACACGTTTACACAAGTTGCACCGAGGATTGTGACTGTGTCTATGGAAGTCGAGGTGGCTAGCTTACAGCAATGCACAGAAGCGGAAGGATGAAGGGGAAAGGCTTTGTACACATACAGGTCGTGAGTCTGGAAACGACAGTGAGAGGTGAAATTGCAGATTGACAGAGAGGTGAAATTGCAGATTAACAGAGAGATGACTTTGACAAACATGCGAGAATGCTACCATTGATGGAATGAATGCGAGAAGGAGCAATCAAGGAGAAATTTAGATACTTGTTGAACTGGCGAGGCCAACCTGATGACTGAGACGAGAGCGCAAGGCTAAACAGAACATGGAGCAAGCAAGCTTGATTAGGCTTCATCAGTGTATAGATTGTCCAGGAACCACTTGAGACGTTGCTCTTTGGTGTATGGAACGTACATCCCGCCAAGACGGAGTCGATCCTTCGGCGGAACGAATTCCAGTGCGAGCTGTTCATCGGCCGAAAGCGGCATGCCTGTAGGCTTGAAGTCAGACTTTATACCCGAGGGTGTTTCTGGATCCGGATTGTTGATATGCGAAGCAACTACATTGGTGAGATGCTCCAATTCATCGAGACCTTCTGCGCCGACTCGCTGTATCAGGCGTACCCTGTCCGGCTAGCTGTGATTTCGCAGGGATGAAACGAGAATTTGCGGGTATCGCAACGAAGCTTTGTCACTCCGTGAGACAGCTCCTGCTGTTGTGTTGTAATTTGACCGTACGGATTCCGGAAGGGATCCTGCTCGGCTCGAACAATGCCCGGATCGGCCAGAGCTTGGTTTCTCTCGTTCTGCCTTTCATACTCCTCCAAACTGGCACGGATGGTTGCTCTGTTGGCCATGTCACGGCGGTCGTCTTGGCCGGCTGTGGGAGGCAAGAAGCGTGATACAGCCGTTGTGCGCATAAGGCCGGTTTCAGCAACGCTTCCACTACGTAGTGCTTCCAGCTCTCTAATCGGCATGGGAGCGCCTGTGACTTCGCTATCTCGATTAACAGATATCACATGAAGTGCCTGCAGTCCTTCGAGGGATTCGAGGCAATGTCCCGGCTGCCAAAAATTCTAAGTATCTCTGTAGAGGCCTTCGTCGTGGTATTGGTCTCTGTCTGCCATGCGACTGAGGAATTCGTGCAGGACGTCTTCGTCATCAGAGGTGATCATTTTCTTTTTGGCGGGTATATAGGGACAGGCAGTTTTCAGATTGTATAGCTCATCTGGCCCTAAAGCCACGTAGTTGGCGTGAAGGCAGCTTCCCAGGACTTGGAAAACCATGTTTTCCCTGATGGGGGATGGAAGTTGCTGAGGTGAGTCAGCTCCGTGAGGCGCCGTGCCCATTTGTGCACCATTCGCATCCTGACCAGGCTGCAAAGTGTGCTCGAAAACGTCGCATCGAGATCCCTGGGTATCGATGAAGAGATGTTCGACGAAATGGCCAGGGGCCCGAGAAGGCAGTGTCAGCAACCGTCTTCCCTGGATTTCGTGACTCAGTAAGATGGAATGCAGGACTTGGAGCTGGCGGACACTTGTACAGATGACGGTCTTCCATCGATCCGGTGCGGTCCAGCCGCACACCTCTTTGGAGACGTAAGCGCAAGCGTGAGCGGTCTTGGAGTCCGTGGATGCGGCGAGGCGGATGATGTGATAGACTAGCTCCAAAGGCAACTTCTGAAGACCGCTCTGACAGGCGGTCTCTATGGGTTGACACATTTCCGCGTCTTGCTGCTGTTGAGTCGACATCAGATTGCTATTGCTATTTGGAAGTCGAGATTGCGGCTTTCCTCTACCCGACGTTGTGCTGTACAAAGCTGTAATCGAATTAGCGGTGTGTATGTAGAAACCTTGATGCGCTTCGATTTGTCGTATGCTATGCAGCGCTGACGGAGCGTTAAAGCGTTTGCATGGGGGTCAGCCCCCTCATGGTTGCAAAGCGCAGAGAGGACGAGCGTGGCAGGATCATGTGGGTGGCATGAGCATGATGAAGGCGACGGTTGTGACTGAGCTTGAGCGCATGGAAGCTTGGCAGGATCCGAATCAAGCCGAACAAACCAGTAAGTGTGAGTTTCGGCTGATTTTTTGAAAGTGGAGGCCGAGCTTGCAAATCACGTGATGTGACAGTTGAAAGCGGTGTGGTGTGATAACATATATATATAGCACATCCGGATGTCTCCGGAAGCCTCATCTCGTGGCTTCGTTCTTCTAGGAAAGCCAACTATCCTTTTTCATTTTCTTTGCTTTTCAGGCACAACGATTGCCACAAAGGCCAAGACAACCTCAATGAAGCGCAGAGCAGAGACAAGCAGACCAGTCCCTTCTGCAAGATCACGCGGCGCAAGCAGACGGTGGCAAGGCGAGATGAAATGTATGCAGAATGTTCGGAATGTGCGTGAATGTATCAGTGTCTCTCGTTACAGTACATCGATGCTCAGACTATCGAGCTCAGCCGCCAGATCATCAGTTGAAGTCTGTGCGCGCTTTGAACTCTGCTCTCTCTCCGTTTCTTTGTCCGAGCCTGACTCTTCTTGGTCCCAGGCATCTGGTACCGCAGCTGTCTCGTCTTTCTTTTCCTCAGATGGGTTTTGTTTGCGTAGTCGAGAGTTGCGCCACGATCGAGTGTCGGAATGGAACGCTTCCAGTTCGTCGGCTGTGTCGTTCTTTGATGGTGCTTCATTTGTCATCCTTCTCGCGGGTGCAGGTTCAAGAGGCGCAAAGTTGCCACGCGGTCGACTTGTTGGTACGGAATGGGCCGAAGGAGGTGCTGCCCTGGCTGTACTGGAGCGCCATGGTGTGCCATGGGTGTCGCAATCACCAATGTTGCCGGATTTGAGAGAGCGGGACGGATCGGATGTAGTAGAAGAGCTCGAAGTGGCTGCCACAGCTGCTGAGCTACCCGGGATGCCTCTCTTGCGAGCTTCTTCTGCTTCTCTTGCGCGTGCTGGTCGGTATCGAGCTACATCTTCTGCTGGTGTAAAACCTGGTCTGACTTTGCGTTCCTTTCGTATTCTGCATCAAAGAGATGAACGCAAGGTCTGATTAGCCAACGTCTTCCAGCGATGTTGCGAGAGCAACTTTGAAACTTACGATCCGTCGGCTCTTCTCGATTCTGGAATCACTCTTTGTTGCGTGTTGGCACGCTCAACAATGCCTGATGCTGTCGACTTTGGCTCTGCTGATGTCGAAGCGACCGTCATTTCAGCGATGCGAGAGTCTTTGCAAGATGCGAGGATACGAGAGCTAGCAAGCTTGCGTTGAACGAAAAAGGGAAAGGAACAAGACGATGGAGCAAGAGAATTCATCTTGGACCCTGCAGTAAGTATCTCGCAATTGTCCGAGGAAACAAATCGGGCACCAATCGGGCACCAATCCGGGCCCGCGGATCGGGGACGCTATCCATTTACGTCAAGCTGCATATCACGCGTCTGGTTTCACAGTTTCTACCTGCTTGATCCCCTGCTGCTTGAAGCTCCTGGCAGTCCTCCTCCAGTAGTTGCAGTGTTGCTTGACAACATGACTGAGCACTGAATCGAAAAGTCTGACCTGGCTCCCGATCCCAGTAGCCTTCCTCCGCTCTTATCTCCTAACCGTCGTTGTCTTCTCCATCTGACTACCTTTGTACTAAACCTTGCCAGCCTACCAAACCCAGCCTACCAAATCAATCTTTGATCACAATGAGCTCCTTCAGCGACCGAGCAGCCAACTTCATCTCGCGGAACAACCCGCTTAAGGACCCTGCCTTTGCTCAAGATGCTTCCCGCGCACTGCGCTTCAATAATAATTATAACTATGGTCCCATCTCGATCCTTGCTGCCTTTGCTGGCTCGCACCTTTTGCTTCAGCACCGTATCCCAATGCTCTTCTACGGCATCGACAACATGGTCTACCCTCGTGACGACCTCCGTGTCCACGGGGAGAGGCACGTCGCTTCCGGCAAGATTACCCCCGAGCAGCTTCGACGACTCAAGCGCTGGGAGGCTGCTCATTACAATGCGGTGGAGAACCTTCCCATCTTTGTCGGCACCATCCTCTCGCTCCAGGTTGCCGGTGTTTCAAACCGTCTGATCAACCGTGTTGCCGGTGTCTACCTCACTGCTCGTGCCGCCTTCGCTGCGCTGTACATCACTGTTGAGGAGCCATCGCTCGCTTGGCTCCGCACCATTTCTTGGTGGACCGGCAACATCACCTGCATCTACGGTTTGGTGCAGGCTGCCAAGGTCCTGAACCATGGCGTTGCTACGGCTACCACTGCTCTCTAGACCTCCATCTCTATGGAATTTCGTTGTACTTGCCCACACAGAAGGAAACACATTCAAGTACTCACTTTCATCTCAGCCGTCTGTCTTTGTCCCTTCTAACTTGTTCTGTGTCATGATTGTTTGGAGCTGCAAGAACAAGCAATCGCAGGAGGATCACCATGACAGTCGCAAGCTGTTCCTGCCTGCGACTTGCCAGCAGCAGCAATGTCCATTCGAGATTGGCAACATTGAAGCAAAGTCATCTTCACCGGGCGGAGTTAGGATTGGTGCAGCGAGGTAAAGGTTCTTCAAAAATACGCACGGTTCAGTCAAGTTCGGCTATCAGATCGCCATCGGCGAATGGAAATTTCATGTGCCGGAAAAAGAAAAAGAAAAACTTGGTTGCCGTAACTGTTAAAGGGCGAGCGTCAAATATCGTTGATCACAAGTGTCGATTGCAATAAGGAGCATTGCTAAGTACATGACAATTCGGATGTTTATATATGTGTGGATGATGAGGCTAGAGCGTAGGAGGAGGACTGTGTTGAACACTAAGTAGTCAGTTATGCCGAGGTCGACCCGGGTAATGTGATAGATAGCCGAGTGAGTGAGGTTGGCGTTAAATGTGACCTCTCGGAGTAGAAGTTACATACTCTGAGGGGCCACATGCTTTACTCCGAGAGGTCACATGCTTCAACTGTAACCACCTCCAGTCCACCAACGCCTGCCACAAAGTGCCAGACCTTCATGATCTTTGAAAGTGTCGCCAGTTTGTAGGCACATGTACAATCCTACTCACGAAGCCTGAATAGCATAAGTGTGAGCTACTCTCGAAGAGAGATAGTCATGCAAGGATACAGATTCGGAATGCGGGGAAGGAAGAGCGAGGGTGGATTCGAGAGCAGCATGGAAGCTTTCAAGAACGCTGAAACTCGCATGCTGTGCGAAGCACTGCATTGTGCACAACATTTCTACAATGCGGCGATCTGCAAGAATGCCTGTCTTACGTCAGAGCTACCGTCAGACTTTCCCCGCAGAGCACGGCAATACATATATATATATATACCCTCCACCGCATCACCTTCCTTCACCCATTCGCAAACACTTCTTGCAACACAAGATATCGATCAAACGAAAGAGCAAGGATGCCAGCTCAGTACACTCTCTACTCGCACCGAGGTCCTGGACCCAATCCCCTCAAGGCTGCGGTCCTTCTGGAGCATCTTGGTCTCTCGTACGACGTCGTTCCCCTCGACTTCGGTGACGATCCTGAGAAGGGTGTCAAGGGAGCCAAGTTCCTCAAGATTAACCCCAACGGAAGAGTTCCTTGTCTCGTCTCCAACGATGGCGATGGCTTCAGCGTTTGGGAGAGCGGTGCGATCCTCTACTATCTGGTTGACAAGCATGATAAGGAGGGAAAATTCCTCGGCAAGACGCCTGAAGAACGTGCAATTGTCATGCAATGGTTGACCTACCAGCTCAGTGGCTTGGGTCCCGTTCAGGTAGGTAATCCCTTTGAAACATGATGATACTCAGATTGATGGCCTCTCTGGGAAAGAAAGAGTAGTGGCGAAGTGTTGGCATTAAACCCACTTCGGGATCCGGCAGTTCTTCCGGGCCGGCAGGCGTCTTTCTCCTCTTGCAACGTAAACAGGGATTGTTGACCCCTCTAACACACACCTTTCATTTTGTTTCCTTTGCAAATGTCTACAGGGCAACGTCAACTTCCTATACCACTATTGGCAGGAAGCATACGGCGAGAAACCGCAAAAGTCTGCCTTCACCCGATTCGAGGGTGAAACCGCACGTCTCTACCAAGTGCTCGAGGATCAGCTGAAGAAGCAGGAGCAGCGAGGTTCGAGCTTCATTGCTTTGGACCGACCCACTATTGCCGACTTTGCTTTCTGGACCTGGGTCAGGATCGCTAGATTTGGTAAAATCGATCTGTCGCCCTACCCTGCGGTGCAGAAGTGGTGCGCTACCATCGAGAACGATGCTAAGTCTCAGGCCGCGATCCAGAAGCTTCCTATCAAGTAAGCGCGTTGTTTGGGGCAAGGTCGGTGTCAAAAGCAGCGTAAAGCAATGCAATACAATCCTCTGCCAATTCAGCTTCGTGGCTTGTTCTGCCGTTGTGACTGCAAGGTTGGATTGCCAGCGAGTCGTACAATCACCTTGCATGTTCTGGAGACTCCACAATATTTTGATGGGTGATTCTCTCGGCAGCACTCGAGAGCTGTCATGTCAGCTGTACGACAATCTTATTTCTGCTCTTCGAAGACATCCGACCTCCGTTATGTGACGAAGTGGGTCCGCTCTCGCACGGAGACTCTGTCTGCTCAGCCATGAACTGTGCCCGCCTGGAGACGAAGGAATGGTCCGCTCTCACTCGTTTTCTCCTAAGTCGCTTGAGCTTTGCAAGCGCCGCTGAATGGTATACAAGAGCTTGTTTCAACCCGCTCTCGCGCGGACGTGCCCTGTTCTGACTTGCTTTCACTTCGTAAATCGATTGTTCATCCTCTTTGGAATGACTCTAGGAGTTAGGAGACCGTCAAGGATTCCACTGGACTCTCTTGCGCCACCGCTGTCAGCTTCGCATGTTCCAATGCAGGCACGAAGGTGTGTTACATCGCTACAGACAACAATGCAATCCAGAGTCACATTACACTTTGCTGTATCTGCCTGTTTCCACTGTGCATCACTGCCCGCAATTCGTCTTACCTACCGCCTCATCTGAGCATCAACTCAGCAACCGCATCGAGTTTCAAAGCCTGCACATGTCGTCTAGCAACCTCAACCGCTTCGGTAGCCTGTAGCGTCATTGAGGAAAGTAAACACAGCTCGCCATGACTCTACGCGAGCTCCACACGAGCGCGCGCTGAGTCACGCGCATTCCAAACGTCACCCTCGCTTTTGTTTTTTGTTTTTTGTTTTTTTTTTGTTTTTTTTTTTTTTTTTGTTTGTTTTGCGACCTTATGTTTTCTGCGTCGAGGCGCAAAGGTTGACATGAACTCTGATACGTGCTTATGGTCAGCTGCGACAGAAACGTTCGCCTCCGCCTGTTTCCACGACCCGAGCCGAGGTCAAAGATCGGGTTTGCTAAGCTTCCTTCCTCAGCGTCCAACAGCTCCCTTGTCATGACGGGTTCAACGACGTAGACGGTAGCTCGACATGATGAACCTCGTTTCTGATGTGACGTTGACCGCGAGTCAGCCGCTTCGCCCACTCGCGGGTGTTGAATCAAGCATAAGAATAGACAGTTACGAGCCATCGTGTTGCCGAGGAGTAGCGTGAGCGACCGTGTGTCTCCACTTGCGTTGTCGTGTATAATGAGTGTGACCCATTGCTGCAATAGGCAGATCTTAGCATGAATCATCATCGACGTTCTGCTACACCTGATATAGACACGAGCAGCGTCTGGTCGTGTGGTGAGCTGCAAAGATTCTTCAGAGAAGCGTAGAGGCCCCACGGAGCATTCCCCTCGATGACGCTACTACCTCACAACCCTGTAGAAGCCTCAGGCGGTCTCGCATCACCTCGGCAACATGCACCCTTGACTCTCCTACACTTCGTGTACGACCCCACCATAGCTACAAGAACCCCTCGAAGCCATGCGTAACGTCGCTCCTCCACCTCAACTTATCATCTTTTACAAAGCTCTTCTCAACACGTACACTCATCCGCTCAAACCACTCTCGCTTAAATCACAATGTCGGCTCAAGTGGAACAGATCCCTATCCGGGACGAGCAGGTCCAGGACAGCAACGTCGATGCTCAGGCTGAGGACGAGGTCGCTTCCAGCGGCTCCGAGCAGCGACAGATCGACACTGACGCTTCCGAGCTCGATCAGAACAACATCATTGACGACTCGCCCGGTGTCTCTACCCGCGGTGCCAAGGTCGATGCTACCAAGCAGGTAAGTTGCCGCCTCCAGCCATCGTCCTAGAAAGCGATCTAAGACGGGGTTGATGGACATTCGCTAACGACATACTCTCCATGCATTGTTTCCGCCTTTCACAGGAGCGCGAGATTGATCAGGCCGTCGATGCTGCCGACCAGGCCTCTTGAGAGATTGTCTTGTGTCTCTAGTCGCACTTCTTTAATCCAGATACCATTGATTCCTTGTCTTCCTTTCCTTGCGTGCTGGGTGCGTCTGTCCTGCGTCTGTACATCGGTCACTTCCCTCGTAAATGTTGCTTCAAGTTGTCGTGCAGTCAATGTTGGCAGCCAAACGAAAGCTGGGCGAAAGGCCAAGCTGAGAAAAGAGTTGCATTAAGTGCTGGCCATGTTGCAACATTTATGTGCGATGGGAAGATGAATACTGTCGAGAAAGAGACACTTTTCAGTGGTGACCGGCGTGCTCGTCACCCTCGAAGTTCATCTCGTAGACACTTCCGCACTCGGGGCATCGGTGGTGCTTGAGATCCTTGTTGAGGTGGAGGTAGATGGTGTCGTGAGAGTCTGCGGGGTAACCGGTGCATCCGACGATACGCGAGGGCCACTGATGTTTTTTGGGGTTGATAAAGCAAAGCAGACGGATGGTTCGGAATGGTGAGCAAGCCTTGAAACTTGGAAAGAGCAAAGCGAGATGGAGGCAGCTCTGCTTGATGTACGATGAATGGCAAGAGAAGGAGCTAGTCCCTTTGATCGGCAAAGCTAGCTTTCCTTGAAGCAATCTGATTGGGCTAAACCGTAATAAGTTGACCTGAGACGACAGCCTTCAGCTCCTGATGCATCCTCTTTCCTTTCAAGACGTCCTGTGACACTCTTCTACTGCCCTGAACACCGGTTCTTTGCTTTTCCGTACTGCTAAACTGCATGCTGCAACGTAACCTCAGAGTCGTACAAGTGCTGAGAGTGCGTCGGTTGCGAATTGTCGTCTCGAATACTTACGAAGCTTTGGACCTTGATAGGGTTCTTAGTGGTGCCGAGGTGAGTCATCTGCAAAGGCTCCATGTCGAAAACATCGACACCCTTGAGCTTTCCGAGAAGCTCGAAACGCTCAAGGCCGGTAGCCTGCTGCTCATCGGTGGGAATCTCACCATCCTTGGCGCCGTCACCCTGGATGACGGGGGGACCGGCAGCGAATCGGAGAGCAGATGAGGTGAAGAGTCGCGAAGCCGAGTTGATAGGGGTGGGGGCCACGCGGAGAGCGGCGGGTGCGCGGGCAACGAAATGACGAGCGGCGAAAAGCATGTTGGAGACACGATCGACCAGCGTTTGTGATATGAGGATGATGATGATGGTGATGGTCAAGATTGGCGAAATGTCGAGGTGCATGCGAGACGAGATTGGATCCAGATTGCTGGCTTGCTTGCTTGCTTGCTTGCTTGCTTGCTTGCTTGCTTGCTTCCTGAGCCTCTCTGCCTTCTTCTGTCCTTGATCTTCTGAAGAGTTGCGCGAGAGCGACCAAACTCACAACTGTCGCCAGAGCGGATTTGATCTTTTGAAGCCTTTAACAAGCAGCCTCTCGTGCGACTCGACGTGGTGAGGTGCAGATTCGGGTCCGATTTGAAATCTGTTATAAGCTGTTAATTAGAGAGAGCCTAACAGCGTAGAACAACTCAGAAAGTCACAGGCTAGACCGGTGCCTTCTGAAAATTGTTTAGCCGGGCCAGTTTGTCGGTTGTTCTCTTACCCCGCAATCCTAATAGCCGGTTACTGTCGTGCCCTCAACGTCAAGGTGGCCAAGGCGTCGGCTAATCCATATTTCTCATATCCTCTCAAGCTTGCTACAGTAGACGCCATGGCAAGCCTCATGATGGGTGACTTCCTCTTCCCAACGGTGGCTCTGGCTGCCATGTCGCATAGCAAGTGATGAGGTCCTTACGGCGTGTGCCGGTCTTGTGGATCCCGGTTCGGGTAGAGCTTGTCTTTGACGAGGCAGTGTTGGCCCGACCGGAGGGCGATTTGTTCAACCTTTTGGGTCTGAACAAGTGAATTGCACCTCCCTGCATCATGCCGGCTGTGCTGAGTCTGAGTTGTGGTGTGTAACCTAGTTATGTTTGTCTGGCGTCGACCTCAATAAAGATAGGAGAAGGTTCCCACCGATTCTCCATCATTTCATCACACATCTCCAATCACCTTGTCACATCCGCTGTCAGTTGGCAAGCTTCACCTTTGATCAGAGAGTCATTCCTAGAAAGTCGTCTTCGAGAGACCACAAAGGCGCTCCAACTCTCACGATGCGAGCACGTTCTTCATTCCTGGCTTCGGCCTTATCGGCTGCACCAAAGTCCATGGCTTCGAATACTTTCCCGAACACAGCTCGTCGACAAGCCCGACTAGTATCGTCTCTGCAATCGTCATGCCAGCAGCACCCTACCAAGAGAGAGTCGAACGATGGCCCACTGCTGTCACGAGTGTCTGGACCCACCGACAAGCCGTTATGCGAACTCTCACTCAGTCAGTTCTGGGAAGAAGCGGTGAGCAAGTATGCTGATCTGCCTGCGTTGATTTCGAAGCACGAGCCAGCATCACAGCATGGCAAGCGCGGCTCAAGCTCGGACGACTGTGTCAGATGGACGTATGGCGCCATGAACGAGCACATCAAGAGCCTCGTAGCTGGACTGCATCAGCTTGGGATACGCAAGGCAGACCGAGTCGCTGTTCTTATGATGTAAGTGACTGCCAAGCACTACAACAGCTTGCCCTATGCACCCTCTCCTGTCTTTCACTGATCCTCACTCTCGCTCTTCTATCGTCTGCAGGAATTGCTCCGCCTACGGAGCTCTGCAATGGGCCTGTGCCGAGGTTGGGGCCATCTTGGTGACGTTGAACCCTGCATACAGCACCTCCGAGCTCCGTCGGGCTCTCAATCTAGTCGAAGCAACCACACTGTTCGTGGTTCCGTCTCTTCGCGGAACCAACTACCTTGAATCGCTTTTGAAACTCCTACCGTCCCTCTCGAGCTCGGCAAGCGCTTCTGGTGATCCGACCGTGCTGCAAGATGAAACGTTATCCTGCTTGAAACGCATCGTCGTGATCGACAACCTCGACAACCGACCAAGATACTGGGAAAGCAACAGTGTGCTAGCACAGCAGCGCAAGAGCTTCTCCGATGCAATGTCTGTCTTGAACGGTCGGGCCCTTGACTACCGTGACCTCCTCGTTTCTTCGCCTTCGACCCTTGAACAAGACGAGGTGCTCAATACGGACGTCATCAATCTGCAGCTCACCTCGGGCACAACAGGTCAGCCCAAGGCTGTGGCGCTCACTTCGAGGAATCTGCTGAACAACGGCATCGCAATTGGCGACAATCTCAGGTTCACCGAGGCAGACAAGCTATGCAACATTCCACCTCTCTTCCACTGCTTTGGTTTGGTCCTCGGTAATCTCGCTGCTTGGACCCACGGCGCTTCAGTCGTATACGCTGCTGAAGGATTCGACCCTTTGAGAGCTCTTCGTGCTGTTTCCGAGGAGCGCTGCACTGCCATGCATGGCGTTCCGACCCATTTCATCGCTGAGCTTGAGCTGCTCGATTCGGCAAGAGAGCATGCCGAGGATCCATCCCGCTTTCCTTTGCCCAAAGGCATGCTCGAAGGCGAGACCTTTGACTTCTCCTCCCTGCGAACCGGCCTCACAAGGTGAGTGCAAAGACACGTGCCCGTTGGCGCTAGCGCCAACCGCACTTGGCTGATTCCAAACCTCTGCTAATCTGATTCCTTGATTCGTGCGACAGTGGCTCTACCGTTCCTATCGCGCTCATGGAAGCGCTTGTCAGCCCAGGGAAACTTGGTCTCCGTGACCAGACGGTGGTTTACGGTATGACCGAGACTTCACCCGTCACTTTTGGTTGTGGTGAGTGGCGGAGGATGACCCCAAAACTCGCTAGGTGCGACAAAGGGACTGACACAAATCTTCTTGCGGCCTTCTCCGTACGGCTACACAGATGTTGATGCACCCATCGTAAGGAGATGCGAGACCGTGGGACGAGTCTACCCTCATGTGCATGCCAAGATCGTCTCACCAGATGACTCCACGGGTAAGCCGCTTCCTGTCGGACAACCAGGAGAGCTCTGCGTAAGTGTCTCGACTGTCAGACAGCTTAGGATGCGCTAGGAACACACTGCTGACCACCTGGCGCCCCTTTGCCACCCGACGCTGCGCGCTGACACGGACTTTGTCGCCGAAATTAGACCGCGGGATATGTTGTCATGGAAGGCTATTGGAAGGACCCCAGAAGGACAAACGAAGCAATGGAAAGGCATCCCGATGAACCTGACATCGTGTGGATGCGCACCGGTGACATTGGCATCATGGACCAAGAGGGCTACGTGCGCATCGTGGGTCGATCCAAAGATGTGATCATTCGAGGAGGTAAGTACAAAGCCACGCTCCGCAATAGCAGAGCATGCCGCATGGCGTCTCATTAACGGATCTCGTTGCTTGGCATTGTAGATTGACCTGGCATCGTCTCTTCCCTTTCGACACTATGAAGGCGAGAACCTTTTCCCACCCAATATTGAAAAGTAGGTTCATTCTCGGTCGGTTGCATGCCAATCTCAGAGCCAGCGCAGTGGATCGCACTCGCTTGCATGAATGGCGCTGTGACGATATCCGCTTGGACCAATCAAATGCTGACCTTTGCGAGCTTTCATTTCGCTACTGTTCGCACCCTATCAGCTGCATCGATCGTATGGAAGGTGTCGCTACCAACGCAGTAATTGCTGTGCCAGACGAAAAGTATGGAGAGGTAAGTGGGCCAAGATTTCGAAACAGATCTCATGGTTGAACTCGAGCTTCGTGCAAAGACAACAGAGTCAAAGCATTGGATCTTGCTGTGACACGGTGACACAGAAGGCTAACGATTCCTCGAGCGCTGCTTGCATTCCCTGCTCCTGTTGCGCTTTCAATCTCGTCGCAACAGGCTGTCGGCGTGTTTGTGGCCAGGTCGCACGCAGAAGCGCATGTTACACCAGCAGAGATCCGTGCCTACGTCAAGAAACATGTCGGTGGACAAAGCGCACCAGCGTGGGTTTGGTTCCTCGGCGAAGATGGCGTCGCTGCAGAGTTCCCCAAGACTGCTTCTGGAAAGATCCAAAAGGTATGTGTTCTGCCTCCCAGCGACTACAGAAGAGTGTCTTAGACGAGGAAGACAGCTTTACTAACAACCAAGTTGCCTTTGTTCGCATCGCTTTCGGTCCTTCAAACTCGGCGTGGCTGGAAAGCCAACCTTATTGCATGCTGCTAACCTTGACCTTATCGTGCCAAATCTCGCCTCCGGACTTGTTGAACATCCTTTTCCTCCTTACTTCCACCCTCCCAGGTCATCCTCCGTGATTGGGCGAAAGATCTGGCTGCGAATAATCAGGGCAAGGTCGACAAGGTTTAGGAACCTCAGACCTGTCCGAGACCCTGCCGCTTGTACTACCACTTGCCTTTACCCATCAATCAAGCTTTCTTCGAGCCCACAGACCTATGCTCAGCACACCAGCTCAAGCTGCTATCTCTGTTTATCGCTTTCTGGTCAGCTTTTCCAAAGAGAGCCGAGCGTCTCTTTGTTGATTCGTGTCGACAAGACTCTCACGACGTTCTCTAAGCTGCAATCTCGACGCCTTCTCACATCGGAGCTCAGCCGTCCATGCATGCCTGGGTATCGCCATCCGTTGCATTCCGAATCGATTCATCTGACCTCTCGATGCCTGTCCGACCTTGTAATCGCAGCTTTACAATGTCCCTTTGAGCCCTCCACGTCCGTGCATGAGCGGCCATGCTCGCTTCGACATGTTCCGCATCTCCTCGGAGTGCTTCGTCTCCGATTCAACCCACGTACCTTTGATGCTCTGCGTCCTCCCTCTGTCCTCACCGTTCAAGGCAGGCGGCGTCATCTCTCTCGACACGGCACCACGCCTGCTCTGTCTTTGCCAGAGCACTGAATCCGCATGACGTGCGTCCATTCAACAATGGAGCAGCTCACCGTCTTTCAGCTTCATCTGACGGCCCCATATAGAGGCCCAAGGCCCTTAGCCGACGTTCTCTTGTCTCCGTCCACACTTCCCTCTTCCAACTCAAGCCTCGTAGCGGCCGCAGACATACTCTAAGCAACAACTCATAGCATACTATCGCCACCGCAACGGGCAACTTGAGGAACAACGGTCTCAAAAGTATCTCGCGACGCAGTCTTTGATCCTTCCTTCTTCGCGCGGCCTTCTTCGTCATAATGAGGTATGGAGGCGAGGTTCGGCGTTCTTGCAAATTCTGGTAAGACTCAGCAACTATTGACCGCGGCTTGGCGAGGACACCTGCTTACTCTCTTGCCTTTTCCGCTCCAACATGGTGTTCCATGCAGTCGCAAGAGAAAGATGAAGTGAGTGCTTGCTGCCATCGAAAAGCTGACATCTAACGATTGGGCTCTGACCTGTTTTCCCTACTAACACGACCTACTCTTCATAGGTGCTCGGGAGTAAGTCCAGATCGCGACCTACGCATGTTGAATTCTGCTGCTGACCCTTCATGTCTCCTTCGTTCTTCAACCAATCACAGGAAAGACCTTGGTGCAGCAACTGTAAGGGCAAGAATAAACCTTGTGAGTGATGCAAAACGACTCTTGTTCATGCCTGTTAGCCAGACATCAGCTGACCCATTCACTTTCCACGCTGTTCCTTCACAACACAGGCGTCTACGACACTGGCACGATCCGAATCAAGAAACAGGAAGAAGACGTCCTTCAGGCTGCCAGACGCGAGGCAGGTACCCTAGCTCTGCCTGGTACTAGCCGTAGTTACACTCTCTACTCGGAGCTGAACTCACTATATAATGTAAGCCTGAACACCGTGACTTGGCAACGATAGATTGAAGATGGAGGGGATAATGCTCACTAAGGCACACGACTCACTTCGCATGTGAACAGAGACTCTGGGAGCAAACTCGAGGATACTGGGCAAAACAGAATGCCATCCTCGGTGACGGATCTCGGCCACAGACGACCGCCATCAACGTAAGTGCCAAGTGCTAGCTTCATCCATCAGGCTTTGTGTGCTCACTCTGTCTGCTCGAATCCTTACAGTATCAGCATGGACTGTCGCAGATCTTGAGGAGAACCATCGACTCTCTCGTAAGTTGCGCTTATGGATTCATACGGCCTGCTGCACAGCGTCTCGCCTTTGGATACTGATCGCAGATCCAAGTTCGGATGCTTTTCGCTAGGCCGTCAAGACTTTGCCTTTCGGCGATCAGCTTCAAGTGCCCAGCATCGCCCTCTGTGCCGGCCAAAGTGATCAACCCGGTCGTTATGCCGACACATTCACACCGTAAGTAATGCTGGCAAAGTACTGTTGATCTCACAGGACATGCTGACCAACATTCGTCGCCTTTCATGCTCAATTAACCGCGTCGTCGCCATCGTCGCAGCGTGTCGATAGGGATTCTCAGCGGTGAGGGAAAATTCGGCAAAGCTAGATTGCTGCAGCTCATCGATCTTGCCTTTAACAGTCATCCGTTTCTCTCCGCCATTGTCTCCCGAACTGTACGTACATTGACTCATCCACCAGGACGAGATGCGCTGTTGATCTGACCTCAGCTCCCTTGACCGGCTCACCTTGGCCTCTTTAGCTCTTTCTGGAGGACATTGAGGACGAAACGTACGATCGACAGCTCTTCGATTGCATCCTGATCGCAGCTCTCGGTCTCAGGGAGCACTTTGCAGGCGCAGTCGGTGCTCGTGCTTGTACTGAAGAGCTGCCTGAAATCGAGGATCTCATCCCCAAGACCACCGATATCCTCAACAGGGTCAAGCTGGGTACGCTCAATGCGTCGAAAATGCATGTCAGCATCCAGTGCATGATGCTTTTAGCCTGGCATGAGCTCGCGCAAGGCTTCCTCAAGTGAGTCGATTTCAAGGCTCACTTCCCCCACTATTGACAACTCAACTAAATGATCCTTCCTCTTTGTTCCAACAGGCGAGCTTCGACGTGGTGGACGTTTGTCTGTGGGCTGCTTGTTCAAGCTCGATATCTCGCTGCACAAGAGGACCAGCTTGAATGCATCGTCAACGGCGTTGATAAGCTGGTGGTAAAGGAGGAAGAGCTCAACAACATGCGAGCCATATCGCAACTTGTGCTGCTGTGGCTACAGCTCAGTCTCGGATCGATCCCTACGCACAATGCACTACTCTCTTGCAGCCATGTGGGAAGAGAAGCTCCGAAGCTTGGCTCAGCCATGTGGGAGCTTGAAGAGATCAGCGGCAACATCTCGATGGTCGAAAGCTTCCATGCTTCATCGACAATGGTGCGCAACATCGAGTCATTGCTGGGCTGCCTTACCGAGAGGTTTGCCGACCATAAGATGTCCAAGAGCTCTACAGGCAGGCATCCTTCAACTATATATAATGATTACGAGCTCGCTTGGAGGGTCAACACTACTCTCGTTCAAGCAAGCACAATGTGTTGGAGTAAGATCATCGCGATTCCCGCGACTTCCTTCGCAGCATTGCTTTTGTGCATGCAGGCAAACCGTCAAGATAGGTCGCCGATGAGCGCCCAAAGAGTCGACCTCATTATCAAGATCTGCGCAGCTGTCTCTCTGCAGCTTCGGGACATCTTTGGAGATGCTGAAGGCCTCGATTCAGGCAGTGCCAGCAACGGGGATCTGTTGATCTCGCACATGCGGGCTAGAGCACTCTTTACAGCGGCCATGGACGAAGCGCTCGTCGCTGTCACGATGGTGGAGGCGATTGCACACACATTCGAGGGCTTGCTCGACCTTTCAAGCTCTGATGCATCTCCATCAAATGGGAACGAGGTCGGAGATATGTTCGACCTATCAGATGAAGCGCGTCAACACGTTGTCGAGAAACTGGGCGTCATCATGGGCATCCTTTGTACCATCATTGACTGTTTCGACAACATTCCGAAGCGGGGCAAGCGGGCGAAGCAGACGGCGTCAAAGCTGTCTGGGCTCCGAACTCGCCTTGAAGAGCTCAACGTGCAAGCCGACGTGTCGTTTGCTTTTGAAGTCGCTTTGTCCAGCTCGGGCTCCTCGCAAGATGCAATGCAGGAAACCCACCCCGGCGTCAAGCAAGAGCCTTGTTTCGACTTTGCCTCGAACCCGAACGAACTGATGCCGTCGCAAAGTTCTTCCAACTTACAACAGACGGGTCCGTGGGCATATGAACAAGTTGCTGCATTCGATAGCTCGTCTTACTCACGGCTAGCAGCAGGCTCTCAGTGCAATCGAGCCGAGTCTTGCTATCAGACGTCGCCCTATGTAAATCATTACGCAGCGCAGCAAGCCACTGGTCATGTAAGATATGGCCCAGGCCCCCTCTCAGCGGCTTTCAGGGAAGAGAAAAGCTCAGGGGAAGGCTCACCTGACACGAGGTATCCGTTCACGTTCGGTGCAGACTTACCGGGCCAACACTATCACGAACCTCCTGCGCGAACCACGGGATACTCGGAAAGTACGACCTTCTCGAGCGCAGCATACTCAGGTTCGGCACAAACTCAGTCTCTTGCCTACTCGTGCACGGCCGAGTCAAGCGTTCACAAGACCCACATAGGCTTGGCTTCGGGCCAGGGTGTTTGGGAGCCAACACCGGGTTACGCTGCAACGAGGGGCTACACGCAGGCGACGCAGAGCTACGCTGGGGAACGAATTGCGCCAGTGCGGTTTACAGACAACTATGTCGAGTGGCATTAAGCGTATCGCAATCCGTTGCGGCAACCGGATCAAGCAGATGACCTTTGTCTTGGAACTTTCGCGGCAACAGATCGATGCGGTTCTGAAGGCTTACGAGACACTTATGGGTCTCAGATAGGAGAGGATTATCATGCCACTCGCCAGCACGAGACTACAAGCGAAGAAGCCTTGTCTTGGAGGGCTGAACCACTGCCAGAGTACTCCAAGTGGTCATCCAGGAAGAGAAGTCGCTTGGAAGACACGAGGTTCCGACAGACCTACTCGACTTGAAGACAACAGGTTGAGAGCAGCATCGGCACGTACCGAGGGGAGGGTTAGAGCAGCAAAGACAGGCTGTTGAAGTGGAATTGCTACCATAACAGGACTGGACAGACGACGGTGTCGATGTCGATGGGAACAGAGTCGAGCCCGGTTTGGCAGGAAGGCGCTCAACATTTTCAAGACAGCACTTCTCAGGCGGCGCAGGCTCTGGCTTGCATTCAGCGCATCGAACCTCTGACCGAGACAAGTGGGAGTGCAACATCGGGTTTGCCAATCGCATCAAGCAGCCTTTGAACGGCCAATCAAGAAGCCGAATGGTATGCGAAATCTCAATCAATCGAAGAAAGTGTTGCAATCACATGCGACATGCAAAAGCCTCTATCCATATCTCCTTTGTCTTTTGTAATGATCGGCGTCCTCACGAATCTTGTCAAACCGGGGTGTGTATATAGATATGCAGTAGAGGAGCACAGACACGGCTGCAGGCAAGACAGGAGGTTGGCGGTCGTGAGAGTCTGGGTTTTGCTGCGAAGCGGGACTCTGTGTGCAGAAGCCGGTTAGTTGCCGGTTGTTTGTTGCGGTCCCTCACGGAGCTCAAGCAAGTAAGATGGTGGGTGTCGTCTGTGAATGAAAGAGTTGATTGACTTGCGAGCGTGAGCGTCGAGTTGACATCTCGGCCGCTCTTGAGCCGACATGGAAGAAAAAAGCGACAGCCAGAACAGCCAGGCTTCTCGCTTTGTCTGCACAGTCTGATTGAGGAAAAAAGCGCTTCTTTGCATTTGGCGTGACATCGGCAATCTCTCACGCCAATCAGAAAAACAAAATGCAGAGAGAGAGAGAGGCTCCAGGAACGCGATGCGGAGAAATTTGATGTCAGGCACATGGCCAGTGTGGCTTGAGGTGAACCTGCGAAGGGCGATTTCGGAAATCTCTGCTCCTTCCCCTTCAAAGCTGTAGATGTTTTACCCCGAGCCGGTCGACACCTAACTTTTCTTTGTAAAGTGTCGATTGGGATCGTACTAAAGGCAAACAAGCTTATGAGTTGGGGGGGGGGGGGGGGGGGAAGAAAAAAAAAGGCTCATTCGGTGTCCTTTCCGTGGCGGATGTGTTTGCGTGTCTGTTGCAGCTGAAATGGTTTCGGGTGCAGTCAATCCGACCTTACCGTGGCTTCTCCTCCTTGGTTGACTGCAATCCCCCCCCCCCCCACCTCTGTCTGCCTTGCTTGCTTGCTGCTTGGGTATCCATCGCACTTGTGTTGCTGTCTGCTCTTTGTTAATTATTTTATTTTCTTTGTTTTCGGATACTCGGCTCTCCGCAATATGGATCTCTCCACAAGCCTTTCTCTCGGTGTCTGATGGGAAGCGTCTCTGGATGCAAGTTCGGAGGCACCGCGGCACGGTCAGAAAGGGTCGTTCTCTAATTTCATCAGGTGGTGGGTTTCGGATCATCCGTCTGGTTGTGGGTTGAAGCGTGGGAAATGCTGCCTCATCTTTCGGCATCTTTCCGACAGGCAATGCACCGTTGCGGATAAGGAAGCGCTGAGCCATGACAGCAGAGACCTCTCGAGGAGATTGAGCTCTGTGCCAAGCAAGGAGGGAGAGAGGTGCAGCGGCTACCCGACGACGACGAATACGATGAGAGACACGACTGCGCCATTTCAAACCGCGAAATCCTGCCATATTGACCGCGCTTGAGGTCCAAGCGGATGGGCCGTAGTCTGGGGTTTCGCATACTCCCTCCTCCTGTCTATTGGTCCCTTGACTCCTTGCACTACGCCTTTGACATTACCGCTCACTTCTGTCAGTTGATCATCTGATCACTGCCACTTTACCACCATCTCGCCACTCCATCTCGCCACTCCATCTCGCCACTCTATTTCCACTCCATTTCCACTCCATTTCCACTCCATATGGCAACGAGGCAACTGCCGTCGATACTCTTTATTCACGACATGAGCACACAGGCGGAAGGCATCCCGTCTTAGGCGCCACCACCTAAAAGTCCACACGACACCTCGACCTTCCTTTCATCTGAATGCCATTGCCTCGTTCGTTCTTGCAACACACCTGCACGTCACCTTTGTCAATCCCAACCGACCATCATTGCGCGTCTTTACAGCTTCGTGAGGATCGTACCTGCATTCAGGTCTCACTAACGCACCTCCTCTCCATCGCCCAATCGAGCTCTGCACATTAGTATAGCTGACTTGTTCTATTCCCTAAACACCCAGACGACGCGGTGACGTTGTTCAGAAAACAGGGTCTCAGACGTCCAGCTTACCGATCTTTACACAGCCCGCCAACTGAGCGATCAACTTCATTGCCTCTTCAAGCACAAAAAGCCCGTTGGGATACAGCGAGTGTATACCTTTCCGACAGTAGATCCTCATACACTCGCCATGCGCTCCTAAAGCACTTACAGTAGCGCCGCCTTTCCAGCATCAGTTTGTTGACGTCAAAGATAACCCAAGTCATCTGCCAATCATGACCAGCTCAGCAATGATGGCAGCCGCCGAGACGTTGGCTTCCGTTGCGTCCGCCAGTCCATCCACTCCAGCCCACGAACCTGCTTCCTCTTCCTCCTCCAAAGCACATGGCAGAAGGTCTGGCGCATCTGCTTCACCTTCTCAACCCAAAAAGCGCACTCGACCCGTCAGTGCCTGCGAGGCATGTAGAGCCAAGAAGGTCCGCTGCCTTCTCTCGCCGGATGCGCCAGTCTGCCAGAACTGTCTCGCTTCAGGCAAGCAGTGTCTCTTCCGAGTCGACGATCTCGTACCTGCCCTGAGAGCTTCTCGATTCGCCCACTGCGGTCCACCGAGCGCAAATGCCAGATCCATCGCTTCCAAAAAGAGCCACAAAGCCGGCGCTTCACGCAAGTCTCAAGATGGCCCTGACGAGTCAGCAAGGCCCAAACCACCAAAGCGCAAAAAGTCCGAGCAGGAGGATAGTGATACACCCCAGGTCAAGTCCGAGGACACCGGCGCAGCATCTTCTTCCACGGGCAAGCAAAAGGCGAAAGCCGTCTTCCGCTCATTTGCCAATCCAACCAATCTTGCAGCACCCCTGCCTGCACCCGTCACGCTAGCCCCAATGAAGAACTCGACATCTGCATCCTCAGTCTCAGCTATGTCCCCGCCGCTCAAAAGCACGCCCGCTCAGATTTCCAGAATGAACTCCTCTTCTTCAGCATCCAGACGCAGATCAGAGACTGTGTCGACGCATGCCGAGCCTTACCAAAGAGACTCTGCTTCAGCCGGCCCTCCAGCACACGGTTTTCCAAAGCACAGGTACAGCCATTCGTCAATGAGCGACTTGCAAGGAGCGCCCATGGAGGCATTCTCTCACTCGCACTATCTATCTTACCATAGAAATTCTGTTTCGCTCGGGTCAGGCTCAGATCCAAGCCCGACTGGAGCACCGTCCATCTTCCTGCAACAGCATACTCCCAGCGACAGCAGTGCCTTTCCCAACAGGTCAGGTCGATCAGCCACCATGTATGCCGCGCCCAAGCCAGTCAACGTAGCTCCCATCGATGAGTTGCAAAAACGCCGCAAGTACTCTGCATCTCACCCTCGTAAGTCATCAAATCATCCTGTTGATCCCATGTCGCTCGAGTATTACGGTCATCCTTCCGAATCGACTGCGCTAAACAAGTTTGACGAGCCAGGACGACCCCAAGTCGAGCATCGCTCCTCACACAACGAGCCAAATTCGCCTGGTCGAGGCGTGTCGGCGGAGCTTCGAGACGGCATCGAGAGGTGGCAGCGCAGTGGCGCTACCAGACCAGACGCAGAGCACCAAGAGACTGCGGTGGAAGAAGTGCATGTGCCTCAGTCTCGGCCCAAGATCGTACTGCCCTTCTTCCGTTGGTTCGGTACTACTGCAAATACACCGGGCTATCGCAAGATCAAAGTGGGCGTTCTGCAGGACTCTGAGGTGTCTGGCACCGACGAATTGGCTCCGGCGCTGGAAGACAACGAAGCCTCGGAGAACAGACCTAGCTTCGGATTCTCAATCCGCGACGACGATGAGACGCGCATACCAGGCAAGCCGTTGGACGAAGCAGCTCTTTCGCCTCATCCCGCACTAGCTTCCAGCCCGGGCGCCCGCATTGACAACAAAGCATCCTCATCCGTCACTCGCGAGCTCTTCGAGATCAATCGACCCAGATACCCCAGGAAGGATATTCTAGAGCATCTCGTCTCGCTCTTCCTTACTCACTTCAAGCCCTCTTGGTGTCCCTGGATGGAGGATGATGAGCTCAAGAACGGTGTCGAGGACGGATCGATGCCAGCCATCCTTGCCAATGCTGTGTGTGCAGTGGCTGCGCGCTTCTCGAATCGACCTGAGCTGCGTAAAGTGGCACGAAAGTCGTCGGGCGATCCTTTCAGCGAGATGGCCAAGATCCTCATCATTCCGTTGCTGTCCTTCCCTTCCATCGAGGTGATTGAAGCTTTGATTCTGTTGAGTTATGCTGAGTTCGCAGCAGGAAGTGACTCCGGCCTCTGGATGTATGTGGGTATGGCATTGAGGATGGCGCAGGATCTTGGTTTGCAGCATGAGGTCAGCATTCAGAGCATTCCTAACGAGAAGCATCAGGAGAAAGCAAGATTGCTGTTCTGGGCTGTCATTGGCCTGGACCGCATCACCACTTTCGGTACTGGTCGACCCGTATCCATCCGAGAGAGCGAGATCGATATCGAGTTGTCGAAGCTCAGCGAGGGAAGCGATATGAAGGATGAGACTGTAGTCTTCGGACATGTGGTGCGCATTCTGATGCTCCGAGGACGTATGGGCGAGCTGTTGAACAGGCGCGAACGCGAAGAATCTCCCATCTCGGCAGAAACCACGAAAGGCGATCTCACGCGGATGTGGTTCGAGCTTGCGCAAAGCTATTCGGACTTGCCAGCGAACCTTCACTTCAACGTCCAGACTTTTCAGAAGAGTGCGGTGCATAATCAGAGCCCTGGCTTTGTATATCTGCACGTGCTCTTCCACTCGACGATTGGGTTGTTGGATAGACCAGCTCTGATGAAGAAGTTCACGGGTGACTCGGTGCCCTTGTTGCCCTCGTTTGCTCCAGCGGCAAGCGCGGCGGCTTCGAGGACGATTGCGGATATCTTGACGCTCGGAGATGCATTCGACGATCGTTGTATCACTGCTTCGCCTTATCTGGATCAGCTGGTGTTGCCTGCCGGGCGATCATTTGTTGCGGAAAGGGAGGCAGCGAGGGAGGCATTGAGGAACATGGGGCATGGGACCACGCCTGCGCCTTCGAGACCACCATCGCGAGGTGCGGGTCCTCAACAGCAGAGCAGGACCAGTGCACTTGTTTCGACCAAGTCGTACGCAGAGATCAACCTTGGTGCTTGTCAGAGGATCTTGCGAAAGCTACAGCAGTACTGGGCTGGTGCTTCGTGGCCTCTGCGTGCGTTGGAGCAGGAGGCTGCGGGCAATGGAGGCGAGATTGACCCGCAAGCTTCGGACGAAGACGCCCAGTCTGCACCCATCAGGGATATCGAAATGGTGCTCAAGTGGGCAAAGTCACGTATTCGATCGAAGAAGAGGCTCGAGCGATCGTTGCATGCCACACCGAAAGCGGATGCTATGACGCTGTCAGAGTCGATGGAAGGTATGAATGGTATCTTGACAGGCAATACCGGTTCGGAGGAGTTCGCATCGACGCACAGTGGAGATTCGCCCTTTGGATTGGGTATCTCGGCAGGCTTGACGTTCGATATTGATGCACTGATGGGGAGTTGGCAGATGGATCAGTTCGATCCGATATCTAGTTTCCATGCTCCTATCTCGGTATCTCAGTTCGAAGGCGAGGGTCACAACGGTCAGCAGCAGCAGGAGCAGCAAGAGCAAGTGACCCAACATACCACCGGACACACACCCTATCCTAGCGGCGCACAGGCAGGAACACCCGTGAGCAACTTTATCAACAGCCACGTCTACGCCTCTCCTTCTTCTGCTCGTCATTCCACCCATCTACACCCGCACTCATCAACTTCGAATGCGGTGGTTATGTCGCCCTCACGTCAAACACATTCTCGAACGAGTTCGCTTCATCATAATTCGGCATCGGCAGCACATGCACTTAGCGCTTACAGTCACCATCCACCTACACCAGGACAGTTGGATACAAGTTCCTTCACCATCGCAGAATTCTTCTCCCATGATCAAAGCGTTTGGCCACTGAGCATACAGAATGAGGACATAGATCAGGAGGCTGTCAATCTGATTGCGAGCGCTATGCAGTTGCCTTCGTATCCTCAGTAGTGATACTTGCTCGGAGGGTATTAGAGATTGCATTTCGAGCAATTCAAGATGTTTCCCAGAGAACATTCTTTCCTAGTTCGACTTCGTGTGTGATGAGTAATGTGTGAGGTTCAAGTATGGCTCAAAGGGATTAGAGCGGGAAAAGTCGACTGCAGACACAGGAAAGGCGAGGTGGCTGCTTGAATGCAATACAATTCCAATAAACGACTTGAGAGACATGATTGTTCTGCAGAAATGCACAAAGGAGAAAAAAAGACAACGGTGACTATATGCTGTGGGAACGATAACAAGATGATACAAATAAGAGTCCATACCCTTCCTCTCTCCTCGCCTTTTTCGTTTATCCGCTACTCACCCACCATTCTCCTCTCTGACTGGAAGATGGGAGCTTTAGGAATCAGATCCATCAGGATTAGCTACGAACAACTGAGCCTTGGGTACCAACCCATGTGTGTAGTACTTGGCCTTTTTCCCTCCTCTCCTGGACCCTGTGGCTGTAGAGCTGGGAGATATGGCCCTTTCCATGGCTTCTGCGGACCTGTCTCCCGTCTCGGTATTGGTTGTACCAAAAGTGCGGGATTTGGTAGAGGACAAGCTGGCAGTCCAAATTGAAGCATTTTCCGGCGTCGTGGAGGATTGAGATTCGAAGGCCTTTACTTTGTCCCTCACGCTAGCATTTGGTGCAGCCACTGTGGGGGCAGGGGCAGTTAGGCGAGGTTGGGCGGATGGGAAGAGGGGTGAGACCATGGCCCGGTTGAGTCTGGCACGTTTGGTGGTAAGAGGTGTGATAGAGGGCGTTTCTGACAGGTTGCTCTTTCTTTGCCCCGCTCTAGACCAAGAGAGAGGTGGCGAGGAACTTTGAACTGCAGGATAGGAGGTCTGAGCCAGATCTTCAGTCTGCTCTTCTTGCAGATCCTCCAATCCAGCCTGAGGGTGAGTAAAATGTTCAGGTCTCCAAACAAGAGATGCAGGCGTATCTTCTTCACCTAGCGCCTCAGAACTAGCTACGTTCTTAGGTCTCAAGAGGGTGGGCCCACGACTGAGAGCTTGCTCGCTATCGCTATCGCTCATCGTACTGCCTGTTCGAGTGGTCGATTGCGTGCGTCGGCTAGAAGTAGTAGGAACACGTTGAATGACATCCATGCCACGGAGGCGCAATTCAAAGTGCGAGCTCGCGTTCGTGCGTGCTGAGCCGATGGAGGAGAGTGATCGACCTTGTGAGTGCGACGGATAGAGTTCTTCGCCTTGGGTTGGCAGCCGACGACCCATTTGGTCCATGTGCAGTTGATCAGAGTCTGCGAAAGGATCCTGCGCCTGGTTGCGGTTCGCTTCGGAAACGTCGCGTGAGCGGGGAGATTCAGTGATGGCTTCCAATCCACTGACAGGCGGTGGCGCTGGATCTCGGATAGGCACGTTAGCGTTGGGTCCGGTAAGAAATCTTCCCGAAGCAGTACGTTCGAGCAGCGAGTTGCCCATGAATCGATCCCACCATGTTGGACTGCGCTTCATGGAGCCCTGTGCACTTTTACGACCGTGGCTTGCATCCGAGAATGACACCATACCACCCGTTGCAAGCACATCGTAAGACTTGGAACTGCTAGGAACATCACTTTTGCTTGCTGTATCGTGTGACTGAATCGAGGGGCCGAAATCAAAATCGGAGCGTCCATCATCATCTGAGTGACGCTCGTAGCGGTCCACTTTGCGATCTGCAAGCTTGCCATCCTCGTGCGCCAATCCTGATATGAGCGCGATGCCTTGGGTCGGTGACTCTTCAGGACGATCTTCAAAGGGAGAACAGAGATCGTGCTCTGCCATCGCCTCGCGATCGTCATCATGGTGGGGAAGACGTCCTAGGTCTCCGAGCGAAAGATCTTCTTCACCCACCTGAGCATAGGAATGCTCTCGAAGTTGATGTACGTTCCAACATGGACTATCGAGATCTTGTTCATCTTGGTCATTGTAAAGATGGCTTGGTTCTTGAGGATGCTGGGGACGGAAGAGGCTGTTGCCGTCTCCTTCATCAGCAAGCATGTCGACACGTGGGGCGACGTGGGTATCGCGCTTTCCTCGACCAGCGAGGATGGCGATACGTTGGCGAAAGTGTGGTCCGGACCCCTCCATTGCATGACCGACGTTAGCTGCTGTCCAGGCGGTGCCCTCGCTGCGACCTGGTTTGCGACCATAGCCGACACCGCCGGTGAGTGGTGCTCCTCCATCCTCTGTGCGATGGTAAGGAGGGTGATACTCGCCTTTTTCCATCAAATAGTCGTCGTCATCCGGCCCAGCACCACGGCCTTCACCGAGACCAAGGAGACCGACGGAGGCATCAGCATAGCGACGATAGTTGTTGAGCGATCTACGACGGTATGCTGCATAGCCGGCACCTACGATAAGGCCTGCGCCAAGAAGAGCACCGATTGCGGCACCTGCCTTGGCTCCGTCGCTTGGACCGTCGGCGTGAGCTGAGCCGTGGTTGCCACTTGTGCCTGGATTTGTGGGGAAGCTGCCTGAGCTAGTGTCGCTGCCGTTGCTATTAGGGCTATTGTTGGAGTCGGAAGAGGGTGTTGAGCTGCCGCCCGAGCTGGAGCTGGATCCGTTACTGGAGAAGGCTGAGGATGAGGCTGAGCTGGAGGCGGGAGTCGAAGGTCGAGTTACTTGGGGATCGGGTGTGTAGGTTGTTGATGACCAGCTTCCACCTGACCAGCTGCCCTGTGACGAGGTTGATGCTAGGAGCGTTGAAGCATCAAAGACGTACAGAGCCGTGGAAGCTGCATTAGCTCCGGACCATCCGAAGGAAATGACCACTTGTCGACCATAGGCGACAGCTGAATGGCTATATCGAGCACCGGGCCCACCAGTAGATTCCAGCTGGGACCAAACGGGAGGGTTGACGCTCCAATCGAGGATCCAGGCATCACTGTAGACAGCGGAGAGATCGGCGTTGGCGCCACCGTGAATAAATAGGCGCTGATTGGGAAGGCTGACTGCGATATGGTTGCGACGCCGGGCTGGGAAGGCTGCACTGGTGCCACTTGTTTGGCGTGCTGGCAGAGTCTGGTTGGAGGAGGATGCGGTGGTGGTGGTTTGAGACCAAGTCCGGGATCTGGTGGAGTATGCGTAGAGATTTTGCATGGACTGGAGCTGGCCGGAGAGGTCGAGACCACCAAGAAGAAGGAGAGTACCATCGCTGAGCATGGTGGAAGTGGAGCCTACAAGACTGCCTGGCGGTGATGGAGAGACGAGCTGGAATGTAGGTGAGGTGGCGGACGTGTCAATGCTCCATTGCTCATCGAGAGGGATTTGGGAACCATCAGCTTTTTGACCTCCAAGGATGACTATCTGACCTCGACCGTTAGTCTCGCTGGTGTGGTAGAGCCTGCGCATTGGTTGGTTCCATGTTGTGGGGACAGTCTGATAGTTGACAGTGCGGTTAGAGGCTGATGGGCCAAGATGGAGGAGGTAGGCGGAATCATTTCTGGTCTGAATCGGGAGCATCGGGCTAGCGTCACCACCAAAGAGGAGAAGAGAGGTGCTGTTGAGTGGCGACATGGTGTGGAACGAGACAGCAGGAGGGGCGATTTGGTCAGCTTCGACTGAGACGGCCTGCCATGGCGGCGAGGAAAGTGGAAAGCCGGAAGAAAGATCAAGAGCGTACATCTGCCCATCGCTAGGTGCTGAATCGTATGTATATCCTCCGCCAGTGGTGCCCTGTGTCTTGCCGCCTTGAACAAGGAAGAGAGAGCCAACAAGTGCTGAGGCCTGACCCCATCTTGCCGGAAGTGAGCCTGTCGCTGTTTGAGCCGAGACAGCACTGATGAGTGCAAGTGTTAGGAGGAGCGATGTAGTCGTGCGCGTCAACGGTGTCGCTCTTGGTATACTTGCTGATCTGGATGGAAGCAGCGCGACCATTTCGCTAAGCTCGAAAGCAGGATCAACTGCAGCTGTGTGAGATGAACCGGCGCTCGTCAAGACGAGCTGGGCAGGTGCGCTGCACCAATATCAAGTGAAAAGCGGAGGCTGTGTTGGTGGGGACGGCTGTGTTGGTGGGGACGACTGGTTGGTGGGGACGGCTGGTTGTCGTGTGCCTCGTTGGCGAGTTCGGATGGAAGCCGAAAAGAGTTTCCAGTAAGGAACTTGAGATGGTGTGAGAGAGAGAGGGACAGAGGGCCCTCTTTGCAGGTCGGCAAGGTCCAAGAGCGAGAAGATGCAAAGTGCGACAAGATGCAAAGTGCAGAACAACGCCCGACGGACGGACGGAGATGCCGACAAGCCGCAGCTAGAGTGAAACTGAGTCAACTTTAGCCTCAACCAGACTCTGCTCTCCTCCAAGTCAATAAAATAAGAGGGGCTTGCGGTGAGTGAGAAAGGCCTGTCCAAGCGTCGGTCAGCGAAAATTGGATCTCTGTCCGAGGGTCGAGAAGCTTCTCAACAGACCAAGTCCTGCTTGACTGACTGCAGAGTGCAGAGAGAGGAGAGAGAGAGAGAGAGAGAGAGAGAGCTCTGTCGTCGGAAAAGCCGTATGGATGACGAGAAGGAGTTCGAGGGAAAGTAATGTTGGTGGGCGCCTTTGTCAGCACTCACACCGGAATAGGGGTCAACTGCAGCCTAAATTTTCTCACTTTTCCAGCCTGCGAGACTTTCACACAAAACACAAAAAATAAACTTTTTCAGATGAAGCTCTTTCTGTATTCCCACAGCAATGCCGCGTAGACTTTTGGTGAGTCGTCGCTGTATGAATGCGTCAAGAAAAGTAACTTCTACTCCAAAAAAAGGCACACTCATTTGACGCCTCTGAAAAAGAAAAAAGAAAAAAGAAAAAAGAGAAAAAAAAAAAAAGAAAAAAAAGAAAAGCAGCGAGTGATGCGGGCGGCTATGCTCAACCTCTCTACCTATGAGCATCTTGCTGTTTGTACTGTTCACTCTAATTCTAGTTGCTCGTTGGACATTGAAAAGCTCCGAAATGTTCGCTTGCTTGCTGCTGCTGCATGGTCGTGTGGATGCTAACTTGCCTAGGTTAGTGTTGGTGTGGCAGTTAGGAACCTGAAAAAGTGTGCCTGACAGGTGTGAGAGCCAGGGACTTCTCTCGGAACAGTTTTTCCGGCGGGCTGCTGTTTCCCGTGGCCCTTTTCGGTTCCTTTTCTGCAATTTTAAAGCAATTTGCAATTCAGGCACTTGGTCAGAGATCAAGCAACGAATCCAGATCAACACAGCAACAGAAAGCAACTTGCGAGCGAGACCCCTGAGTGACGCAGGCAAAGCTCTCAAAGTCATATATACCCTCGACACCACGTTGAATCCAGAGGTCTCTCTCTCAAGCAACCTCATCAGAGGTCGTCGGCCAGCATCGTCGATCCAAATCCAAATCATCTGAACGGCGAGATCAAGCTGTTGTCATGGTTCAAATAGCATCAAGACGTTGCTTTGCTCGATGATAAACTTTATGGCGTTGTCGTTTGGGTACCTTTCATAGCAACACAGCCCACAAACAGAGACACCGTCGACGATGTAGGTGTCAGCATTGATCTGACAGCATGATACCTTGAGATCCAGGAGGCGTGTCGAGCCCCGTCGAGAGACCTGCTTTTTACTTTTGGTTATTTAGTAGCCTTTGTCAGGAGGTCAGCTCTCATACCACCCAAGTAGTCGGCAGTCCCGACCCCTGTGTGTCTCTTCTCTCACGCCCAGTCTGCCTGGATTCATTCGAGCTGATGAAGCTGCTCAGCCTCTTTGCTGTCTGTCGGATCAGGCATAGCCAGCCCGATTTTCTTCCAGACGGCAGCCAAATCGGAGCGTCAGAAGTATATCCCGATGCGATTGCAGCTCGGAATAGGAGATAAGAGTAGTTCAAAGTGGGGTTGTGAGACGAGCTGAGCTGGCTTCGAGGGCAAGTCTTGGTCTTGTCCGCTTTCGGCTTGGAAACTTTTCAAAATCTGCCCTTTTTTTTTCTTTCTTTTTTTTTTTTTTTTCAGTCTCCGCTGCTGTTTAAGCAGGGTCCCAGAGTTGTATGCAGCTCAAGCGTCTTTTTCGCACCTTCCTAATTTCACTTGAGAGAGCACAGCAGCAACACCCCTGAGGAAACACAGCCTAAAGCTAGTAGGCCAACTGCTTCCAGCTACAGTCTCATAACTCAGCTCGACCTCATCGACCTCATCAACCTCATCAACCTCCTCATCCCCTTCCCTCTTCCCTTCCCCTCTTCCCTCCGCATCTTGATACCTTTCGCTCTCTTTCTATCTCGGCCAACATCTCGAGGCTTTTTCTTCTACAAATCAAGTCTCCCTCCTTCTCTCTCTCTCTCTCTCAATCCACAACGAAACTGCTCCCACACCGTCATCGTTCTCTCCTCCTCCCTCCTTGACACCGATCCGCATCCGGTCCCGTCTCCATTCTATCAAACTTTTCCTCATTTTGTTCCTCTCCATCTCGTCGTCCTCATCTTTCTTGACCTCAACTCTTCCATCTCAAGCTCAAAGCTGCACGATTCACTCCGCGACCGTCCGCATTGATACTGGACCCTACCTTCGACCACACGAGTTTACATTTGACTCACTCTCCAGTCACATCTCCTCCTTCTTCCTTTTTCTCCTTCCTTTTTCTCCTTCCTTTTTCTCCTTCCTTTTTCTCCTTCCTTTTTCTCCTTCCCTTTTCTCCACCATCTCGCTCTAACCGCCAGCCGCTTTCTCTCCCATTCTCCTTCCATCTCCTTCCATCTGGATCGCTTTGATTCGACCCTCGATCTTTCGCTCTCAATTTCTCTTAGATTCGCAACCTTATCCTCATCTCCGACAACCAATTTGCGACAGCTTCACATCACACCGCATCTAGCTCCATTCATACAGGTAAGTTGACCCTTTTCCCTTTGCTTCAATCCTATCCGAGCTAGCCGGCTGCTCAGTTAAACTTCCTGTGCCGCCTTGCTTGCCTCTTCCATATATACCTCGGATATCCACGCTCTCAACCCGTCTCGCTTTCCCTCTTGCTCTCATACACTCACGACGCTGGCCGCCACTCCCTTCCTTCAGAGCTGACTCCCTGTCTCTTCTTCGCGCCCCATTCATTCACTTGCTCAGCCCCTCAAGGCAAACATTGCCCCATCACGACCTTGACGAAGAACAAACAATCCTAACATCTCGATCTATACAACATTCAAACGAAACAAACAGGCGCTAGCTGCACACCAATCAGACACAGGCGCTGGCATATTTCTCCGCTTCCATATTTCCCCGCTTCCATAGCCAGCAATGGATAGGTTCGACGTCATCAATTTTGCCGACCTTTCTGGTCCCAACGGCGGCGACTGGCTGAGGATCGGCGGTGGTAGCTTTGGTGTCGTTTTCAAAGGCGAGTACCTCGGCACCGAGGTCGCCATCAAGGAGGTCCTACCCAACAATACATACGATGTCGAAAAGTACTTTGAGCGAGAGTGCGTCCTCATGAAGGAAGCAAGACATCCCAACATTGTTCAATACATCGGCTTAACAAAGAGCCCAGGCTTCGATGGCAGGATCTACATCATCTCCGAGTTCGTCGGCAGCAACGTCCGCTCCTACATCGCAGATCACAGCAAGCCTTTCCCTTGGCGCTTGCGTATGAGCTTCGCTATGGACATCTCACGTGCGCTTGCTTACCTTCATGCTCGTAACTGCATGCACCGCGATCTCAAGGGCGAGAATCTTCTCATCACCGCCAACGAACGCATCAAGATCTGCGACTTTGGCTTTGCTCGTATCGCAGCACGTAACCAAGAGGAGATGCGCAGAATCAGCTACTGTGGTACAGATGGATACATGTCGCCAGAGATCTTGCTCGGTCTCGACTTCAGCTTACCCTCAGACGTTTTCTCGCTCGGTGTCATCTTTGCCGAGATTGCTTCACGACACCTCGTCGACTCTTACACCTTCAAGCGAACCATGCCCTCCTTTGGCTTGGATGCCGATGAGGTACGTGAGATGGCATCAGAGGGCTGCCCTGAAGCATTTATCCAGCTCACCCTTGACTGCGTAGAGGAAGACCCAAGAGATCGACCCGAGATGCGTCAGGTTGTTTCTCGCCTTCGTGACATTGAGCGCCAAGTGCTCATGTGCGAGCAAGCAGAGAACCGCTACGCTATCGGCAGTGTCCGAGGCGCCACCATCCATTCCATCATGGGCTCCAAGCTCAAGCGTGCTGCTCCACCAAGATTGCCCAGCTTCAACGGTGCTTTGAAGCTCGGCAGCCACTCCAACGCAAACTCGGACGACAGCGGCGACGAGATCGAAGAAGCCCTTGCAGCACTTGAAAAAATTGGCATCGAGGAGGATCTCAGCGGTCCTGGGTCCATCAAAGGCTCCAGCACACTCAAGGTCGCTGGTCACGGCAACCCGTGGTGGAGCGACGAGACTTCTGATGCGCTTCCTAGCATCAACCGCAGCTGGCTCTCTTCGCCTGGTGCTGCAGCTGAAAGATGCCGCCAGGAATCTGAAGCTGGTCTCCTCGAGAACGTCGATTATGCCGAGAGCGATTACAGCACTTCGGTTGTGCGTTCCTCCAAGCTGACCGCCAGACATGCGCCACTTGCAATGCTCGATGAGCGTGCAAGCACCCTCTCGGTGCGAACATTGCGTCAGAACGATTCGTCTTTGCTCATCCCAACTCGTCGAGGCTCTGCTGATGCGTCGGCTATGCAGTCGTTTATGACAGCGCGCACTCGCCGCGCCGACCCTTCGATGGCTCTCGCCACCATCGCTTCAGTCAACTCGGGCCTCATCGAGCCTGTCCCCATCTGCCATCGCTTTACTCTTGTCAAGAACGGCACTCGCCGACCCACTTCGGTCACAGCTGCTGCACAAGCTGCTGCAGGATCCAACAGCCACCAACACCAGCACGTCAGCAGCTACCCTAGCCTTCTTCCTCCTGCCGTCATGCTCAGCAACGCCCTCGCCAAGTGCTGGGTCTGCGGCAAGAGGATCGGCTGGAAGCCATTCATGGACTGCGATGATTGCCCTTATAAAACTCACGTCGCTTGTGCCGAACTCGCTCCACCGACATGTCAGGATCTTGCGATCCCCATAACTGGCGGTCCTGGTGGTAGCCGTGTTCAGCCCATCTTGTCACCGTACAATGCTTCCCGTCGCAACTCTAAAGCCTCCGATGTGGGCGATCAGAGGGAGATCTCAGCTGCAGCGGCGGCTCTGCGTCGAGCTTCGTTGGCCGACTCGATCGACGAGCCGGGCTCGCCTCAGATGGGCAAGGCAAAGGCAAAGAAGAAGCTCTTTGGCGGTTCAGCTGTCAAAACGAGTGCCGTTCGCGCCTAAACACATTCACACCACATCTTTCCGTTAGACATTCATTTCCTCCTCACCACCTCCTAACATCTTCACCAGCATACCCTTACGACTTTCTCCGTCTTCATATCCTTACGACGCTTACGACTTGGACCAGCTTCAGCTTTCCTTTCTCACAGATCAGATATATATTCTCCCAGCATTTGTACTTTCCTCCCTCTTCATCGCATTCGCAGGCAAATTTCAGAACAATTCATCATCCCAACCTCACAGAGTGTGTTTGTGTGCAAGAGAGTATCAATATTGCAGTAAATCAGTGAGAACGGAAGGGAAGCATGAGTGTATGAGTGAAGCATAAGTGTATGAGCGAAGCATGAGTGTATGAGTGAAGAGTGTATGAGCAAAGCATGAGTGTATGAGCAAAGAGCTTAGTGACCGGCCCTCCTTGCCTTGCCAGGTCTCTTTGCAGCACCTGATTTCTGCTTAGGTCGGAACCCAGCTTTACCCGATGTAGGTTTGCCCTTCAAAGGTTTGCTTCCTCTCGCACCTCGTGTAGGACCAACACTGAAATCGTTGGTGGATTCGGCAGTGTTGCTCTTCGAATACTTCTTCTTACCACCGAAACCGTATTTTGCATCTCTTGCCGATCTGGGCATCTTTGCCTTATTCGTTGACTCTCTTCCACCCTTCCCATTCACTTGCTTCTTACTAGCTCTCTCACCAATAGCTTCCTCCAGCCTTACATCAAACTCTTCGCCGTCGTCGTCACCAACACCGCCACCGAGCTTGCGCTTGAGCCCATTAACGCGTTCGTTCATCTCCTTCTTATTGCGAATGCGTTCCTGCAACTTTTCCACCTGCACCTTCTTGCCGAACTTCTTGAGTTCACGTTGCTTCTTGGCAGCTTCGGAAGCTTTGATCGCTGCAGATTCGTCGAGGAGTTTCTGACGGATACGTTCCATGTGTTCGTCGGTCTTGACCATTTCGGCAAAGTAGTCGCAAGGTCGGCTGAAGGCTGTACCGCTTGCTTCGACGAGTTTGCGACCCTCGACAGCGGCGTGGAGCGCTTGTTTGTAGAAGGCAAGTTCGCGTTCGAGATCGTTTTCCACATCGGTCACTTCCGCCGAGATGGAGGTCGGGTAGGTGACGCGCATTGTTTCGATCCAGGGGAGCTTGGAGGAGGAAGAGGAGGAGGGAGCGTCGAGGCGGATGTCTTCGTAGATGCGTTTGAGTGCGGATTCGTTGTTGACCTTGATGCGCTGGACACGCGAGGCTTTGGCTTGTTCGGAAAGCTCGACGTCGTCGGGGAGGTCTTCGTAGGCGATGGCGTTCTCTGCGTCGTCTTCCACGTCTCCTTCCTCTTCGGCTTCTTCGGCTTCTTTTGCCTCCTCGTCCTCCTCATCGTCGGACTCTTCAGCAGGGACAAGACCGCTTCGTGCAATGGATGCGGCGAGAGTGTCTCCGTTGGCACTGGCAACAACGGGAGGGATATCACCATCTTCTGGCTGCTCCTCCTCATCCTTATCTTCGTCCTCTGATACCGCGCCCTCTGATACCTCGCCCTCTACATCCTCTTTTTCAACGTCCTCGTCGTCTTCATCCTCCTCGTCGCCAGCAAGCTCGTCCAAAGCCGCCATGTCAACCTCATCGAGACCGTCCTCGCCAAGAGCAGCCATCAGTCGCTGCATGCCCTTCTCCGAAACATCCTGCCCCTCTTCGAGATCTGACTCTTCATCCTCGTCATCCTCGTCCTCTTCAACTTTTTCGTCCTCTTCAACTTCCTCCTCCTGCTCAGAGTACTCAGCAACAATAGGCTCAGCAGTGGCAAGCGCCGAAGTAGGCTTGCGAGTGAGCTTCGCGTGGCTAGCTGGAAGCTTGCTGGGCGATACAGAAGCAGCCTTGCTGTGCGATGGGCTCTTCTTTGGCGAACTCTTTGAAGGTGAAGAGCTAGACTTGGTTGGTGTGGTGGTGATCGACTTGGCTTTGGACTTAGACGGGCTCTCTTCTTCCTCTTCAGCAGAAGCGGTTGCAGCAGCCTTCTTGGAAGATGCTTTAGGCGTAGAGCCGCCCTTCTTGAGCGGTGAGGGGGTCTTGATCTTGATACCGGTGGCGCGGGCCTGTGCTCGGGTCATACGGCTTGGAGTGCCTGCAGCAGATGGCGATGCAGCAGGTGTGCCGTTGGCGGAGGCAGTCGCCTTTTTGGGTGTTGACTTTGGTGTCGCAGGCATTATGTATGATCCTCGACTCTGTGTTGGTGAGGGAAGAGAGCAAGAGCGGTGAGATTCAGTGAGTTGGCAGAAGTTTGAACTTCTTCTTGAACCGCAGCCAGTTCGCGAGACTCTGCTCAGGCTGCTACAGTAACCTTTTTCTTTTTTTCCTCGAGCTTCGACCCTGAACCCCAAAATAAATAAATAAAATAAATAAATAAATAAAAATAAGAAAAGGTTCGGGAAAACAGGCCAGTCCCTGGCTTATGTCACGACGTGTCAGAATCTGTTTCGAATCTAAGAGAGATGTTAGCACCGCGATAAAAACACAGAAAAAGTCAAAAATATCCGGACGGTCAATGCCGCCATGAATCAGCACTGCATGCAGGTCCTCAGCTGTCAGTCATTCTGATGAGTCCGATGGCAGCTGACTCGCATTGTGCCACCCTAAGTTATCTCTGCTCCTGCCCAGCATGGCAAGGCGTAGCAGCTGTACCGTCAACTGACGTCAAAGCGCGCAACCCTCTGGCCTGACTGAGTTCTATGAGCTAGATTGAAGATCGTCGATTGCTGCTGCCTGATGTCAAGACGCTGCTGTCGTGGAGTCTCGTTCTTCCTTGCTCGTCGGCGATGTTGTGGTACAGGCTTGGGCCTAGATTCTCTATCCGTGTCGCTTGGGCTTCTATTTTTCATGAGACTGAAGGGTATATATACTTTAAAGATTCTTGCTCTACCTCCCTCCTCACCAACGACTTTACATTCTATACCCACTTTTCCGCTCGTTTACCAACACCTATACCATATAATCAGTCACAATGGAGAAGACCTTCAACGACAGCATGCCCAAGAACGACCAGCAGCGTCAGGAGGAAAACGCTAAGCGCGCAGAGCAGGGCGAGCCTCAAATCCCTGGTGCCGCCGGTCGCGAGTCTGTTGCTAGCAAGGATCCCAAGGGTGAGTCCCTGCATCTCCTTTGACACTTGCCTCCGGGCAATCAATCAGCATACTGACATTCTTACACACCTTTCGTGTTGCTCATCCTGCAGAGTTTGACTCCCGCGGCGGTCCCGGTTCCGAATCTCACAAGCCGGTTCAAGACCCTGTTGTCTAAAGCAAAGTTCTATCAGACTCAAGCACGATCAACATTTGTAAACCATCTACGCAGCATCACCATGCACCATTCACAACTATGGCGCGCACTGTACGAATGAAGAACCATTAATTTACCACTACTAGAGGCTTGGAAGGAACCTGTGTTATTGCCGACCAGATAGTGCAAGCAGATCTAAAGAAAGACAATTGCTAAATGATAGGAGGCAGAGGAGATTAACGGCGTTCTCTCATTCTCCAACTCACTGCGCCAGCCAGAAGAATAAAGAAGCCCAGCACAAAGCCCAGCGCCAGCACGAGCAGATCGCGATAGTAGGCATCGCTCTTGAACGCAAACAGGTTACCGGAGAACACGGAGACCGAAGCGGTGATCGATACACCACCCACGCTATCCTTCAGCTGCAAGCCGTTCAACTCGTGACTCGCCACCGCCTCCAACGCATACTTCATCGGACAGATCCACTGCAACCACCTGAAAACACGCGACAAATCATTCAGGTTGAGCAAGAACCCTCCAAACCCGATGTTGAACAGAATGAAGACACCGGCAAAGAGGATGGAAACGGACAGATCCTCAATGAGCGCAGCCAGCAGCATGTTGTACAACGCCATACAAAGGTGGAAGAGAACCGCGATGAGCATGAACTCGAAAAAGTAGTCTGCTTCAGGTCTGAGACCTACCATCCAATATAGGATCACGCTGAGGATGATCGCTGGTATCATGCGCATGAGGACAGCGTCGTAGACTACGTAGCTGATGAGCCATGGAAGAGGGCCGTACAGTCCGTTGGCTCGCTCGCGCATCATGAGTGATCGAGCTTTGGTCAAAGCCGTTGCGGAGGAAAGAGCCGAGAAGGAGAGAAGGATGAAGAGGAAGTACATCGATCCCACGCGGTTCTGGAAACCAGCAATTGTCAGCTTGACTTGATAGAAGCATCCGCCGACGATGAGACCGATGACGAGGGCGCCAACAATGTGAGCCAATGCACCACCAGGGTCGCGTCTTGCTGTGATGAAGTTTCGTCTGCAGAGTGTAGCAAATTGCGTCATGAACGATGCCATGGACGAGTAAGCGACTGTCTTTTCCCATGACTCGCCGGCAGCCACACCTGTGCCGGTGCTCTCAACGGGAGAAGCAATGGCTACGCTGCGACCAGCATCACCTCCTTTGTTTGAAGAGAGATTGCTCGTCTTTTCGTGCAAACGCTTCTCTTCAAGTGCGCTGGTACGAACAACGGCACGAGCGGAAGAAGCAATCTTCAGCAAGTGATCAGCAACGTTGTGACCAGCAGGGCACTTGTCTCCCTGCCTTTCGCACCAGGCCAACGAATCACTCGGCGATCCATGATAGATCACAGCACCCTGCGACATGAGCATGACCTGATCAAAGCTGTAGAAGATCTCCGAAGACGGCTGGTGCACTGTCACAATCACCGTCGTCCCACCGATGTTCGGTCCTGTAGCAAGCTCGCGGAAAGCTGAGATGACGCGAGAAGCCGAGAAGGCATCGAGACCCGATAGCGGTTCGTCAGCTATCAATAAGCGAAGCCGGGAGACAAGAGCGCAGCCGATCGAGACCCTGCGCCTTTCGCCTCCTGATAGGCCGCGATGGCTTGCATCGCCGATACGCTTATTAGCTACTCGCTCGAGACCAAGCTGCTGGATCACGTTGGCGACAATGTCCTTCTTTTCGGCTGGAGTAACGTTATCGGGCAGCGAGAGGTCGGCGGCCATTTGCAGTGCTTCGCCAACGGTGGAGAAGGCCGGTAAAGCGTCTTCCTGGTCGACAAAGCCGATGGTACGGCGTGAGGCGGTGCCTTCAGCTTCGGGCTTGAGTAGAGCGTCGATGGCACGAACCGTACCGGATACGTTTCCGATCTTGTGTCGCCCAGCGAGGATCTCGACTAGACTCGTCTTACCAGCACCAGAAGGACCGAGTACAGCAAGCATGCAGCCTGGCTCGATGCGTCCCGAGCTGTTGCGAACGACACTGAGGTCGTCCTTGCCGGAGGGATGCGAGTCGAGGTGAACGAGCGAGTCGTTGAACTCGGATGAGGGTACGACTTCTGCCAGCTGACCAGGCTCAGCCTTGGCGCGTCTCCTGCGAAGACCACTGTTGATGGGAACGGTGTAGTTGATGTGTTCCCATTGCAAGCCCAGAGGCCCTCGTCCTGAACCATTTGTCAGACGTCTTGCCTTTCGTTGCGCCGAGAAGCCAAGGAATACCAAGGCAGCAATCGCAGCTAGGGCGACACCGAGAATGACAAGACCAGCGATGACAGCATTGCTTAGCGAAGAGCCACTATCTTGGCTGTCAACTTCTCCATTTCCGTTTGTATAGAATTGATCAAGTTCCGACTGGGTGAGGCAAGAGCCGAATTGACATTGGTCGAGAGGAAGACCTTCTTGACCGAGGAAGTTGTTGAGAAGCTCTCCCCTGAACGCACATCTGGAAGTGGCAGTGGCGTTGTTCGGATCGAGGTAATCACAAGGCATGCTGAGAGTACCATTGAGGTTGTTGATGACGGAGGAAAGATCGAGCTGACCGCTTCCACACATGGTTGTGCCTGGGATACAGTAGCACTGCAACGAAGTACAAGTCCACTGTGTGTTGCCGAACTTAGCATTGGGGTCGAGCGTTGAAGTCGAGTTGCGAGCCGAGCATCCAGCAGCCTGACAGTAGAACTGTTCTACTCCATCTAGCCACACCTGCGACAGAGCGGTGTGGCTTTCGGCAGGCCAGCTAGCAATACCGGTCTGCGAGAAAGTATCGGGCTCGTAGGACTTGGAAAGAGTCATACGCATCTCACCCGGATAGACACTGTTGGCGGTCGCTTGCTTGACATTGCAGTCGATGTAGGTGGTGCGGACGGCGGAAGGCTGCTTATGACAGACAAGAGCCTCGTTTTGACCAAAGAGGGAGTTGGGAGCGCTGAGACCGAGTGATGACTTGCGAGTTTGACAGGCGTTGGGCGATTGACAGACGTTGCAATTGATGCCACCGAAGCCAGCGTCGCAGGAGGTGCACTGCTTTTCGGAGGCGGGTTTGGGTGTACGAGCATCGGGGGCGACAAAGGGGGAGTTGCAAGTTGCGGTGTTGCAGGCAGTGCCGTTGGAGGATGTGAGGCCGGGAGGGCAGCTCTTGTACATGGACAGGTTGCTGAGGGACATCTTGACGGTCTGCAGTCGAGCTGCGGTATGGCGAAAGGTGTAAGCTGAGGGGCTGAGGATGCGGATTGGACGGACCTACTTATAAGCCTTCAAGGCGCAGAGGCGCCTGGAAAGATAGACAGATGACACTCGCAACCAAGGTTTGAGGCCTGATGAAAACATCTGTTCCGTCCTTACAGTAGTGCCTTTGTGTGATGCTAAAGTGAGGCTTGCCCGCTGGAAAAGATGAAGTTGGTGGCTCAAGCGCACGGTGGGATCAAGGCTTGGCGTCGAATTTGAAGTGTATGCTCCAAAGCGTAGTTAGCCCTGAAGGTGGGTTGAGGTGATGATGTTGGAAGAAGAAAAGCAGCAACAAGCGTCTGAATCTTGAGTGTGTTGTGGTGGCGCTGTGGCTGTCGGGGACCACGACGGATTGAGAACCCCACCAAGCTTGTGCTTTTTCACATCGGCTCCGTCGAAGGCTGAAAGAAGGAGAAGCAGGCCTTGACACTGTGTGCTACTTGTTCCTCTTTGTGAGTCTGGCTTGCTTGTTGAAATGGTAAAAGAGTAAAGGCGGTAAAGCAAAGCTTGAAATGATCACGAAGAGCTTCGCCGCCGCCGAGCAACTGAGCAAGAGGCGTGAATATCCGAGTTGTCCCTGCGCAAGCAAGTCAGAAAATATACAGGATTGCAGCTGCAGCGTAACTGCCGTAGGAGAAGAGCGTTGATTCGCCTTGCATACAGAGGCGGGGACGGCGAGGATGCCAGCTAATGAGCAAGTATGACAACGGAGGGGAGCCAACAATTCTCAAACTCCATCATATCAGCCCGCCCGATCTCTGATCAGATCGACTCTCCCCGATCCGTCATCAGATCGCGCTCCACTAGATCGTTATCTCGAGCATAATTTTGGCTCGCTTAACAGCGACTCGAGCAAGTTTTTGTTGAAGTTTTGGTCGCGATAACTGGTGATCGGGTAGAGTCTGAGTACAATGTCACTGCTAGTTTTAGACAGAAACAAATATACTCAATTGACTAAAAGAACATAGTGAGAGCCTAGAACTATCAGCTGGATATACAGTACATGCATAAACTGTCCCAAGATTTTACATGTCACCATACATCACTCTAATGCTCAATAGCTATAAGTTGTATTGCCACACTGTCTGATATTGTCTGAAAGTGCTGCTTCTTCTCTCCAAGACTGTGGAATTGATATTGACATTGACTAAAAAAATTGTGCTATGAAGAAGAGCCAAATTTTTTTATTATTGTGGGACAGTTTATGGAGTGCTCCTCGAGAACACCTTAGTACTTTGTATTCCCTCCTTTGGCCTTCAGAACTGCCTTGATGCAGTCTGGCATGCTCTCTATTAGTATCCTACATGTCTCTGGAGTGATCACTTTCCATTCAGCTTCACATCTCTTGAGCAGTTCATCCCTGGACTTTGCAATCATACTATACTGTGAAAGTTGCAATTTGAGATGGTGCCAGAGGTGTTCAATTGGGTTCAAGTCCAGTGACTGCCCCGGCCATTGCATAATCTTAATGCTATTGCCTTCCAACCATGTTTTTGTCTTCTTTGACATGTGTTTCAGGTCATTGTCTTGCTGAAACATGATGTTGGTGTATGCATGCTGAAGCTGTAAATCTGAGATTGTTTTCACAAGCTTGTCATTCAAGATAATCAATGTATTGGTCTGTATTCATTGTACCCAGCACCAAGCACATGCCTCCCACCCCTTCCCATGTCATACAGCCCCAGATCATGATGCAGCTGCTGCCAAACTTGACCATCAGCCTGACCAGCTTGCTGTTGAAGCCAGCATTCTTAATCCAACAGAACTGCTTACCATCCAGTCCAAAGAAGTTGATCTTCATCTCATCAGACCATACCACATTCTTCCAATCCTCAACAGTCATGTCCTTGTGCTCATTAGCAAATTTGTGATGGGCTTTGTAATGCCTCTTGAGTAGCTTTGGTTTATTCACTAACCTTCATGCTTTGAAATGACAGTAATGAAGTGCTTTTCTTACTGTTGTTGGGCATGCTTTGATGTGAAATGTCTCCTGCAGTGCATGACATGCTTTCCTGACCATGGAGGTTGAATTGAGCTCAAAATAGTGGTCCAGGAAGTGAACATGATGAGGCTGGAGTTTTCTTGGCTGGCCCCCCTTTGACTTTGGAGCATCAGCAGAGGCACTTTTGCTGATGCAAGACACTGTAGACTTGCTCAGACTGAGTTTCTCAGCAACTGAACAGGTAGATTCTCCATTTTGGAGGTGAAAGAGTGCTGATTGGCACTTCTCAGGGGTGGTTTTCATCATGATGGTATAGATATGATGGTGTCAGACTGGAAGTGCTGCTGGATCGCTCACAGTCATCTGATTGAGCTGAAACTTTCCACATCACTACTTTCGATGTGTATGAAGGTGCCCACCAAGTTACATTACAAGTTTCATTGTAGTCAAAAGCCCACAAGGTCAGGAATGGAGTGGTGTCGCTATTTGGGAGCTTTCAGCGGTCACGCACCTGAAACCTGAGATTGGTAGTAGTATCGATACTATTACTGATTCTGTCGAGTTATGTGACAATGCTAGTGGTATTTCGATTCTTAGTGAAATATGCGATAGAGCCATCTCTATCACTTTTCTCGTTCGAATCTGTAGTTGTAGTAATGCTATTGCAGATTTCGACTAACCGCTGTGGACACTCCATCCAAAGGTAGCTTGGCACAATCAATAACTATATGACATTGGGTGAACTTGATGTTGACACCAAAGGTCTGGTGTGAGTATGATACTTGGTGGTGTCAACATGAGTGTCCAGTGTGTCAACTATCGCTTGAGGTGATCCCCAGACTGCAGTGGACAACTGCCTTCAGTTCTATCTAATCCAGACCACTGGTTTACTAAGAACTGCCTTCGGATGTCAGTGAGTGGTGATACAACACACATGCTACAATGAGGAGCAATCTATCAATTGCTACTGTGCTGACTGTAACTAATGTATACTTATGCTTAAAGTGATAACTAGTTAATATGGTGTGTAGAGTGGATGAGGATCCACTCAACCATTTGTGATGAGAAGGTATGGTTATATACCTCTTCACAGCATTGCCAGTGATGCTGCTCTGGCTCTCTCTCCAGAGAATACCCTCACTGCCAAATACTGTACAAGAGTCTCCACTGAGACTCCTCCTCCTCATTGAGCCTTGTCACTCCTGTCCTTCCTGAGCTGTGTCAACTCCATTGACACTGCTCCTCCTCCTCATGGCCTGTTTGCCAGTGCCTGTCACACAACTCCTCTTCCTTCAACTGGCAACAGTTCTCTTGTCTGCTTATCTCCTGAGCCCCTGAGCAGTAACTGTCTGCATGCTTCATGGGCTCGGTCCCTGTCTTGGCAGCACTCAATCCTCCTCACTTGCGAGCATAGTCCCTCCCACATGTGAAACCATCATATGAACATCATTGTCACTGATCTCTGTGAAATCTGCCATACTGTCATACTTACTGCAGATTCTGGGAGGATCTGTGAAATCGACTTTGTTTGGGCATATCCCAATGAGATCTGTCATAGAACCATGTCTACTACCAATCTCACTGAGTTCTTCTGTAAATCCACTGATCTACCTGATCCCTCGATTCCTGTGCTACCTTCATATGAACTGTTGGGTCTTCCTGCTTCCTGCGCAGTCAGGCCCATGACAGGAGCATGCTCCATAAACTGTCCCACAATAAAAAAAAATTCGGCTCTTCTTCATAGCACAATTTTTTTAGTCAATGTCAATATCAATTCCACAGTCTTGGAGAAAAGAAGCAGCACTTTCAGATGATATCAGACAGTGTGGCAATACAACTTATAGCTATTGAGCATTAGAGTGATGTATGGTGACATGTAAAAACTTGGGACAGTTTATGTGTGTACTGTATATATATTGTGGTGGGCACATGCTGAGTGTGGGAGCATTCTACTTCATGACCTAGCTTGACAAGGAGCAGGACTGTGTTGTATGCGATTTCTGGTGAGATCGGCTCGGCTCGATCCCTGTTCAGATCGGTCATCTAAGCGGATCGGCTCTGCCTGATCTCCGATCAGATCGGCTCTGCGTCCTCCTTCAGCGTCTCACTGGATGGTAATCTTCAGCAGTTTTCGCGTCTCAGCTGAGTCGAATGGGAAAAGAAAGAGCAAATTGGCCCCCTCGCCTCAGAAGCACAAGAGAGCTGAGCTGCAGGCAAGCCTAACGCGACCTGTCTGTTCGGTTGGAGCTTTTGGCACTCAAGATACAGTTGTCGGAGCCGGAAGCTAGAAATAGCTGGCGTGGGAAGCGAGAGACAAGCGAAAGAGAAGACAACAGATGTCATGCATGTCGTTTGTATTTGCTTCTGTTTGATGAATAGAAAGCATTACACTTTTGCAGCAGAAAATCGAAATTGGAAAGCTGCAGCCAAGAGAGAAGAGAGAAGAGAAAAGAGAGTGGCGAACAGGGTTCATCGACGACCTCTTAAAACAACGCTCATCACCCGCGACTGTCTTGTTGTACACCAGGGCAAAGAGTCAAGGCCCGGGGTTGAAGGATAAAGTTAAGCATCAGGGGCACAAAGCTCTTGACTGACAACCTTGTCATGTTGGATTGGCTAGCTCTCCTTGTCATTGCTCGCTGCTGAAGCCATGGCAAAGCCGAGCTCACGATCATCATCATCGTCTCATGGAGCCCCACCCGGAGCCTTGCAAATTGAAACAATGGAGAAGGGCAGTCTCATCTCTGTACGCCCACGTCGTATGAACAAGAGGCTTCAATTCTGCTCTCCTCCTTGCTTGCTCCCGCTCGCTCTGTTTGCGCAAGGCGCCGTGCTCGATTGGACAGTGGTCAAGAGCCTGTTTGTGGCAGCGACACAAGTTCGAAAAGATGGAATAATTTTGTGAATTTTTCATCATCATCGTCGTTGAGAGCGGATAGAGTATCTGCAACCACGATTTTTGCGACCACGGAGTCTCCAAGGCCACGCCACCGCCGTCTCCGCTTCGACACGAGAGCGTGTAACCAAAGGACCAAAAAGAAAAAGAAAAAGAAAAGAAAAAAAACCGAGGCAGGAACTCCAGTCTGTTGCGTCTTGAGAGGCGTCGAGACTGATTTACTGATCTGGACCTCGTCTTAACTTTCTGGCTGCTGCTGCTGTGTGTGAGTGTGTGCGACAACCAGAGACTGTGCAGCCACTTGGCCTCCTTTCTTTCCTTTTTCTTTTCTTTTTTTTTTTTTTTTTTTTTTTTTTTTTTTTTTTTTTTCGTGCTTCCCGCCCTTTCGAGCCCACCGCCGCCGCCGCCGCCGCCTACCCGCTCGTTCTGCTCATCTACTGTCCCTGACTTGTCCTGTCTGTGTGGCCCTTCGCGTTCTCTTGCCGTTGCCCTCGTCCTCTTTCCGCTCATTTTTACCCTTTCCTTGCCGCTTGTCGCCATCATCTGCACCATACACCCTTCATCGTCGCCCTGTTCGACCCGTCCTTTCGACCGGAGCAATCCTTCCACCTCCTTCTCGCACCTGCGTCAGTCTTGGCTCGCTTTCGTCTTGGCTCGCTTTCGTCTTGGCTCGCTTTCGTCTTGGCTCGCTTTCGTCTTGGCTCGCTTTCGTCCTGCTCGCTCTGGTGTCTGGACCATTTCGAGTCCCATCCATCCATAAGAGCTTCTTCTAGCCGCATCCCGTACATTTTTCGCACTTCCAGCTTACACGTTCCTCATCGCAATTCACATTCCAGTTCAGTAGCTGGCCATCTCTATCGCGCTGCAGTTGTTCTCAGCCGCTTATACCCAAAAGCTTGCAGATTTAACCCCCTGTCTCCATTATCAGCTCATACTCCCAGTAGTACACCTCCGCTCCAGGGTTACTCTCATCTTGCCAGCATCATACCTTGCCGCCTCACACCTTGGCGCGCATCGCTTCCCTCGATTCCCTCGCTTCAGCTTCATATCTCTTCTCCCAGCTCTTCATTAGCGACAGCGCACAGATCGACCTCGCCGTCAGCCCGCACCTTCTGCATCACTCTGCAAACAATCTCTCCTAAAGATTCCATCTTTCACCAATACCATCGCCCAGCGCTGGCTACCCTCTGAAACTTGGATGTCGGGCGATCACCGTCTCGCTTTGTCTTGCTGATTTACCGATCATCGAGCTTTCCACCCTCTTGGTGGCACACCTTGGTCCCCTACTGGAAGCCTTGGTCGACGCATCTTGTCCATCTAAGCACATCTTCACTGCTCCTACCTACACTACACCGAATTGCTCGGCACTGAAGCTGCTCGAGACATCCGTCTCGCCCGCTCTTTGCCCAGCATCTTCGACCAAGTCTTTCGACAAACGCTCCTTCGCGCCTATTATCCCCCATCATGTCCGGCTTTGATCAGTCGCACAATGGTGCCTTCTTCAACTTCAACAACCTCACATCACAACAGCTCAACATGTTGCGTCAACAGAACCACATGCAACAAGCTGTCCAGATGCCACAACAGCAGCAGCCGCAACCACAGCCGCCACCTCCGGCCCAACCTCAGATGCAGCAAAGAAATCCTATCATGTCTCAGCTCGGCGGCTTGCCTCCTGGCTTCAATCAGCAGCAGCTCCAGGCCTTCATGGCACAGCAGCAGTCACAGCTTGCCGCCAATGGCATCCTAGGCAATAATCAGAACCCACTCATGCAGATCATGCGTCCTCAACAGATCATACAGCCCCAGCCACCTCAGCAGCAGATGCAACAGCAACCTCAGCATCCAATGCAGCCACAACAACCCCAGCAGCACCCACAATTGCAGGCTCAGATGGGGCTTCAGCAACCTGCCACTTTGCAACCTGCTCATCTTCAACAGCAGCCACAGCAAGCTGCCAACATGGCTGGCACTTCTCAGTTGGGCGGCGTTGCCGGCCCCACTCCCACCTTTGCCCAGCTTTCGCATGCCATCGAGCAGGCCAAGAAGGGCAACCTCACACAAGAGCAAATGATTCAAGTAAGTCTTTTTTTTTTCTTTTTTTTTCTTTTTCTTTTCTTCTCTCTTTCTCGTCTCCTACCCATGCTTCCTGGAATCTTCTCCTGACTTACCCGCTTTCGCAACTCTTGCCTTTGTCTCATCTCAGTTGCGGCAGCTTATCACACGGCAACAGGCCATGCAGGCGCAGCAGCAGGCAGCTCAGAACCAACCCGCCGGTGCAAGGCCTTCACAGCCTGGTCAGCCTATGATGAACATGCCCAATACCAATGGTCAGAACTTTGCCAACCTGCAGAGGACACCTCAAATGCAGGCAGCGGCACAGATGATGGCTGGTCTTCAGCAGATTCGTCCCGCTGGACCACAGTCGACACCCACTATGGGCTCTCAGGCCTTCTTACAACCATCCGCGCCAGGTCAGCCGCAGCAGCAATCGCAACAACAGCCACAACCGCCACAACCGCCACAGCAGCCACAGCAGCCACAGCAGCCTAATCAGGCACAATCTTCACCTCAAGTCTCCTTGCAAGGGCCAGGTCAGATCAACCAGCAGCAGGTGGCGCGTGCCCAGACACCACAGCAGATGCCAGGAATGCAGCAAAACACGCAGCAACAACAACAGCTTATGGGCCAACAGCCAGGTCAGCCAGGGCAGCAGCGACCCCTTGCCGGTCGACCGGAACCGACTCCCGATACCCGAAACCAGCAAAATCCGCTCAACTTCTTGCGTCTCTTGCATCAGCGTGTCACTGACATTGAGAGCAAGCTCAACTCGGATCTCAGCGCAGAGGAGCGTCAGATGGTGCAGCAACAGCATGCCGAGGCCAAGAGGCTCCAATCTGCTTTGCTGCAACGCCTTAACGTACAGAATGCCCAGCAGTTTGCAGCACTGATGCAGCAAGGTCAGCAAGGGCAGCAAGGTCAGCAAGGTCAGCAAGGTCAGCAAGGTCAGCAAGGGCAGCAAGGTCAGCAAGGTCAGCAAGGTCAGCAAGGGCAGCAAGGTCAGCAAGGGCAGCAAGCTTCCAACGCACAGGCGAACCAGCAGCAGCAGCAGCAGCCGCCCCAGCAACAGGCACAGCAGCCCCAGCAAGTCCAACAGCAGCCCCAGCCATCACAAGGCGTCGGCGTGATGGGCAACCCCATGATGGGCAACAACACTCCTGTTCAGCCTCATGCTTCTCCCGTCATCCGACCACCCAACAGGCCAGGGTCTGCCCGACCGCCACAAGGACAGTTCGGCAGCCCTATGCTCAACCAGCAGACTCAGAATGCGCCGCAGATTCCACCACAACAAACATCTCAGGTGCATCCCTCGCCGCAGATGGGAACTATGAACATGGCAGGTCAGCCTGGCATGTCTGGCCTCCAAGGTGTGCCATCGCTTCGCCCTGAGCAATTCATGAAGGCCTTGGTCGATCTCATGAAGAAGCGAGGTACGCCCATCACCTCTCTGCCCAAGGTCGGCGGACGCGAGCTTGATCTGTACCGCTTCTACCAGATCGTGCAAGCCCATGGCGGCAGTGAAGGTGCGCATCAAAAGGGAGCCTGGCCCGCCATCGCCATCTCTCTCGAACTTGCTCCGCTCGGCTCGCCTCAGACACAAGCACTCGGTCAAGCGCTGGCGACCGAGTACCGCAACTACCTTGCACCTTTCGAAGAGACATGGCAGCGTGCTATGCAGCACCAGTACCAAATGTCGATGGCAGGCGCAGCTCTCGGACAAGCCCAGAATGCTGGTCAGAACAACTCACAAGCTCCAGCATTCCGACCTCCATCGACGCCGCAGATGCAGTCGCAGCAGCCGAATCAGCTCCAGGGTCAGCAGGCTGGCATGATGCCGCCCAACCAGCCGCAGCCGCAGCCGCAGCCTCAGATGCAGGCGCAGAACGCTCAGCCAGCGGTAGGACCTACCCAGCCATCCCTCGCAGGCTTCAATCCACCTCAGCCGCCAACTCTTACAGCCGAGAACCTCGCCAAGCTCGGAATGACCCAAGATCAGTTCAACAAGGTCTTCATGAGCCAACAGCTCAACCACTGGCGACAGGAGCAGCTTCAGAACCAACAGCGACAGATGAACCCGGCCTTCCAGGCCAACCAGGCTGGCACCAACAACATGCAGGGACCCGGTTCGAATGGCATCCAGCAGCCACCGCAAGCGCAACAGCAACAGCCTCATCAGCCGTCGCAACAGCAGCCAGGGCAGTCCAGTGCTCAGCAGCCATTGGCTTGGCCGAACCAGCAGCGCCCCATCATGCCTCAAACCTCGGGTGCTCCATCTTCCCAGACACAGCCCGCCAGCTTTGGTGCCGGCATGCCAGGACAGCCTCTCAACCCTCAGCAGATGCAAAACCAGGGCCAGCAGCCAGGTCAGCAGCAGCAACAGCAACAGCAACACCAGTCGCAGATGCAGAATCAGCCTTCACAGCAGCAACAGCCGGCAGCACAGACGAACGCAACCGGATCAGCACAACAGCCAGGTCAGCAAGGTCAAATGGCCGGTCGTCCCAACAACATCTCACAGGCTCGCTTCATCGCCGTCAGTTCAGAGCAGCTGGAGCAAGCACGTGCAGCCATGGCCAAGATCGACCAGGAACTGGCAACACAAAGGCCCAGATTACCAATCATTCAGAACATTGCTGACGACGAAAGGGACCAAATCTTGGATCAGGTGCAGAAGCTTGCACCCATTCAGGCGACCGTTACGGCATTGTTGCCAGCCTTCTATGCGATGAACGGCAATTTGGAACCAGCCAAGCGTCTCAAGATCATGGCGTTCATGTACAAGGACCAGTACGACCTGCTGCCCAAGAAGCAGTGCATCCTCCGCTTGGCCGACTTGGACAAGCTCAAGATGCAGATGAGCCGGTGTATCAGCTTTGTGCGTTCCAGCAATCCAGAGTTGGCACAGCGCATCGTCACTTTGCTTGGCGAACAGACGCGTGCCGCTCAGCAGAATGGCGCCGCTCCTGCGCTCGCACCCGCCAACGCCAACCAAGCCCAAGTACTCAACGCAATGCAAGCGGCGCAATCCGCCGTCCCTGTGGCACCTGCTCCTCTACCTGCTCCTGCCGAGGCAGCTGGCAACCAGATACAGGCATCGGAGCTTGCCCCTGGCATGAACACCGACGGCACCTTTGATGCTGCCGCTGCTATGCACGGTATCAAGCGAGGCCTTCGACCCGAGAACCTCAAGCTGCCGCCGAACAAACGCGCCAAGAACACTCCTGGAGCCGGCAAGGCAATGAGTCCTTCTGGCGGGCTCAACGAGTCGCCCAAGGTTGCTCCGTCGCCCGCTCAGCCGGAAGACACACCCACGCCCGCAGGTTCAACGCCAGCTGGCAAAGGTGGCAAGAAGGCGGACAAGACCACCAAGAGTGGAAAAGTGACCGCCAAGAAGGGCAAGGGGGCTGCTGGTACTCCAACCTCGTCCGCTGCTGAGCCTGACAAGAAGTTCAAGACAAGCGCCGACATCATGGCCGAAGTGAAGCGAGAGATGGCCGAAGCCGAACGCAAGCGCCATGAGGGCGGCGCAGGTGGCGATGCATCTGCAACCGCCGCGAGCAACGCAGCAGCGAACGCTAAGGTGGACACTGCCAACATCAAGGCTGAGCAAGAGGCTGAGGAGAAGCGCAAGAAGGATCTCGAGCTAGCCGGCAAAGACCCGGCTGGTCTGGTAGAGTCGACATGGCAAGAGCTGTTGGCCACGGGGAACGCCAACAACGGTCTTCGTGGCCCCAACGGTGTCGCCGCCGACAGTTGGCTGCTTGGCGCTCCCAGTGCTGGACCATCTGCGCAGAACGGCTCGGATCCCAAGGCGTTGCAATCCCTCATGTCGCTACTTGGTCAGGACTCGATGCTTTCAGGCATGCCGGCGAACGGTTTCAACGTGCCATCGAAAGGTCTCGATGCAGGTCAAGGCAACGCTGGCAACGGATCGAGCTTCTTGGAGGGTGCATTGGACTCGCTGCCCTCGGCAGACGCCGATACTGGCTTGGACATCGACCTGTTCGACTTCATCGAGGCATCAGCAGCAGGACCCGACGCCTTTAACGACACGGATGTCGATCTCAGCGGCGTCTTTGGCTCGGGAGGCTTGAACGCAGCGACGCAGGAGAGCGAACCACCTATTGAGACCCCAGAGCTGGTTGCAAGTGCTCGACTTCCCGGTGGAAGCTCGAATGCATCGACGGCATCCAACTCGACATCCAACTCGCTTCGAGCCAAGATGCCAGGAGCGCTGGCAGGCAACGGGCTGGATTTTGGCTCTGCCGGACCGTCGAGCACGAGTCCGGCGGAAATGAGTAGTTGCGATGAGATTGATCTCGACAAGAGCCCGTTCGTTCATAGAATGAGACTGGATCGCATCGGCTTGACCATGGCGCCTGCTGCCCCAACAAGCGAGGGAAGCAAGTCGACCAAGGAAGCCAACCAGAGCACGGTCAAGGCTCCGGAGGAAACAGCGATCAACCAGGTTGAGCTCGGACCTGGTTCGCAGGGCATCATCGCAGGCTCGGGTGACGAGTGGTGGGATCTTGACCACTTTGCTAGCACAATGGGCGGAGGCTTCGGATCAGACGCCAATGCCGACCAGCCCTGGGCGGTTCTAAGCTGATGCAGGTAGCATCCTACTGCTGGTGGTGGTGGTGGTGTGATATCTCAGCCCTGATCGATGTGCTCTGACCCATGGAGCTCATCAATATACACACTAACAAACTGTTACACAGTCACCCGCACCCGCTTTGTCGGTAGGATCACGCATCGGCGCCATGATATCCGGGCCAACGGCCTTCTTCTCTTTTACTCTTCCATCTTCTTGTTTCTCTTGATCTTCTTCTATCACTTGCTATCTTTGCACATTTACTGTATTCATCGTCATTCGTGCCGTGCTTGTTTGCTTTTCAAGGTTTTCGGTTGGTGTGATGACCATATCTTTTCCGTATTTGCTTTTCGAGTTCAATAGCACCAGATTGACAAGCGCTTCATCGACTGCCGACTGCCAAATAGGATGTCTACTCCTTTGAGACGTATATTTTGGATTGACGCAGACTCTGAAGAACAGACCTACCGCAGCTAGCCAAGTCTACTGGAAGTGCCAACTACTGTGATCAGCCAAAGGGTCCAAAAATCTGGACGAGCAGCTCTGTTGCGTGTCATGTTGACCCGTTGGTGTTTGTCGATGGAGAGAAGCGCGCAAGGTTGCGATTTTCAAACATCTCCTTTCCCATTCGCTTAGACAAAAGAGCTGCAGTGAAGTGCCTCAAAAAAATAAAAAAAATAAAAAAAAATAAAAAATGAAAACAGGGAAATTAAACGACACGAGATCGGAATGTTTAAGCGATGCATTTTCCCGCGTGTTCAGAGCAGCAGCAGCAACAGCAGCTCTCGTCGGCTCCACTAGACTGGTGTACAGGTACACTTGACGCTCGTCAGTTTCCACAACCTAGTCAACCATTTTATATATATATTTTTTTTTTCCTTTTTAGTTCTCACGATCACAAATCTCTCGGAAAGAACTCGACGACACTTGCTATTGCCTCCACGCCTTACCTTGCTCCCATCTGCCCTAAAACCGCGTTCCTATAAAGTGATCACAGAATACGGCAAAGATGACGACTCTCAACGTCAAGACGGGGCCTATGCTCCGATATGACACCGTCGATCTCAACCAGTACATCTACCATGCTTTTGCCATGATCGTCACCGAGGATGCTACCAGTGACTACTCGATCACACCTAACATGCAGCTCAGGTGGCAGAAAGCTACGGCCCTCTCGGCAGCCACCGCAGATGGCTCCACCACTGTCTCGGAGGACAACTCGAGCAAGCAGTCTCAAGCCATCAAGCTCTACCAGTACCACGGCGCTCAGGGCTCTTTCACTTTCTGGCGTTTCAAGATCGAGATTCCTTTGGCTGATCACGAGCTCGCTGTGCACTACTCGATCGATGGCGAAGCGCATCCCACCTCTCAGTCCGAGGCTATCAAGGGTATGACTGGACACACCTTCTTCCTTCCCGCCAAGTCGCAGAACTTCCGATGGGCTGGTCACAGTTGCAACGGCTTCAGTGCCAGCGTCGACGAGTCCGATTTCAACGGCCCCAACCCTCTCTGGGACGACCTGCTCAAGGCGCACGCCTCCAAGCCATACCATGCCCTCATTGGCGGCGGTGATCAGATCTACTGTGACAAGCTCGTCCGTGAGCCCGAGATGCAAGACTGGAACAACCAAACCGACTCTAAGAAGCGTATGGCTCACCCTTTGACCGACGAAATCCGCAATTGCATCGACCGATACATGTTCAACCACTACTGCGAATGGTTCGGCGGTGGCTCTTTCGCCAAAACCATCGCACAGGTCCCCATGATTAACATGCTTGACGACCACGACTTGATCGACGGTTTCGGCACTTATCCTGACGAGCTCATGCGTGCACCTGTTTTCAACCACGTTGGCAGCCGAGGATACTTCTTCTTCCTCCTCTTCCAGCTTTTCATTAACGACGAGATTGATGGTGTCAGCGAGACCTCGCATCCTAACAGGAGTATGATTATTGGTGGTAATGGAGAGTACATTCCTTTCCGCAACCATAGTTTGTTGGCTTACCTTGGGCCCAAGCAGTGGATCTTGCTTGCTGATTGCCGATCCGAGCGCAAGATCGATCAGATTTGCAGTAAGCCCACCTACCAACGTCTCTTTGATGCCGTTCGCAACTTGCCGCCTGGTGTCGAGCACCTTATCATCCTGCTTGGTGTTCCTCTGGCTTACCCACGCATGGTCTTCTTGGAGCGCGCACTTTCGAGCTCCATAAACCCATTTGTTATGCTTGCTAAAGGTCTCTCCCCCGGCTTCACCAACAACTTCAACGGCCAAGTCGAACTTCTTGATGACTTGGGTGACCACTGGTGTGCAGGTCCACACAAGCATGAGCGCAACTGGCTTGTCGAGCGAGTTCAAGAGATTTCACTCGAGAAACATCTGCGAGTCTCATACATCAGTGGAGATGTGCACGCTGCCGGTGTCGGTGTTTTCTTCGGTTACCATCAGCACGATCCCAGTTTGGACCCCAAGTATTCGCTCGCTGTGATCACTTCGGCGATTGTCAACACTCCTCCTCCACCTGCGGTCATTTCGATGCTCAATAAGTTGGCTAGTAAGAAGCATCGTTCGTTGTTCTACTGTGGTACTAAGGAAACGATGGTTCCGCTATTTGAGACGGATTTGGAGGGGAAGGCGCAGAAAGACAAGTAGTAAGTTATCCCTCACTTCCACCGCTCAAAATCCTCTTTTTTTTTTTTTCTCTAGAAGAAGAGATTCACTGACATTCTTTCCATCCTTGCTTTGGTGGTATTGCAGCATTATCGGAGCACGCAACTGGTGTTCAGTCGAGTACCACCAGGAAACGGCAGAGCTCGAGTTCGATATTCGCGTTGAGAAGGTCAGGGGTGGTGGTGAGACAAAGTCGTATGCTGTCAAGGCTCCAGCTCCCCGTTGGGACATTGCTAAACAGCACCACCATCTTTTGCACTCGAAGAATTTCGATAAGGAGATCAGCATGCTCACGGGTCAACCCATTGCCAACTAAGTGATTTCTAGCCGGATGTCGATTAGAATTTCCTCTGTATACCCTTTTACACCTTCATACACAGAACGCGCTCTCTGATTCCGGTCTTCGGTTTTTAGAATTCGCGTGTTCTTTGCTGCTCAATATAATATCATTCCTACTTGTGCACGCTGTGGAAAGAAACGAATGAAATGCATAATGAATCCATAACTTATGCTGTCAATCCAAAAGCCCTAAACAGCCGTTGCAGCAGCCTGCTGTTGCTGCTGTTGTTGTTGCAACTGTTGAGCCAACAATCGTTGTAATTCTTCCTTCCTATTTTCCTCCAAACTATAAGCATCTGCCGTTTCTCTCGCTACTTCCAATGCTCTCTCAGCCGCTTGTCTTCGACTTATAGCTGTAGCGTGATCCAACTCTGCATCTTTGAGTTCCATACGAACAGTTCGGATCGCGGCACGTTTAGGTCCAAGGATGTGGTTGCAAATAAAGGTGTTGCGTTGAGCTTCGATCGCTTGAAGATCTGCGTCGAGGTCAGGGCAGAGTTTGTAGGCTGCACTAAAATGAACCGTAGTTGAAGTTGAAGTCGGCAGGTTGGGGGTGAGGGTGGAAGGGGAGCCTATGCCAGCGACGGCAGAGGTGGTGGTGCCGGCGGATGGACCGGTGGGAATGGCGGTGGTCGGAGTGGCTGGGGTTTGAGAGGAGGATGTGCGGGAAAGACGGGGTGCTGTGAGACCACTGCCGGGAGTCGAGGTAGAAGGTGGGAAGGCTGATGCTTCGTGTGGCGAAGAACCTGCGTGTGTAGTGCTGTAGCCTGCTCGATATGCTGCTGCTTCTTCTTCGCTGACTGCAGCCGCAAAGTGCGAGTCGTACGGATTGGTATTTCTCCTTCCACGGCTAAAACATGGGTGTCCGCCACGGTACGGGCCAGATGGGATGGGACCATCGCGCGCTGAACGAGGGAATCTGGCATTGGAAGGGCTGAGGTAGCTGCTAGCCTCACGATCACCTCGGTCTGATCCAGGCGTGTAGGGACCTGCAGAGCCTGTGCCCTCTCGACCACCACGGAAGGCCGGCGAGTGCAGAGGCGGTCCACCTCGTCGACCGTATCCTCCAGGACCTGCTCGTGGGCCCGTCGGAGGGGTTGAGCTGAATCCAGGTGTTAATGGTCCATCTACTGCTGCTGTACGTGCTGCTGGACCACGAGAGGGTCCTTGAGGCGGCGATCCGGGTTGTTCTGACGCAGCTGCATAGCGTTGAGCCTCTGGTGTATCAAGATGCGAGGCGGGTGCGGAAGGTGGTGGCGATCGTCGATGATACGCTTCGTCCGGGTATCCGCTTGCTTCCGCAACACGGTCTGCCGCAGGAGCAGCTACAAGACGGTCCAGAACTCGTTCCCTGCCTTCGGCCGAGCCGATGGAAGCTCTTCCCCACGTACCTCTCTCTGCATATCGTGGATCGTGTCCTGGGCTCCTCGAGCGTGGTCGGCGAGGGCCAAGCGGAGCATGATCAGGATGCCTTACTCGATCACGGTCGTATCCCTCTGGAGGTCCATATATCCTACCATCCGCTTCATACTCATGGTCCCACCCAGAGTGAGGGCCAGGATGACCTCGCTGGGCCTCTCTCTCCCTCTCGCGTTCCCGCTCTTCCATCCGCTGACGATACCTCTCCGCCTCCTTCGCCTCCCACGCTTCACGCTCCCTTTCAAGCTCTATCCTTTCCTGCTCGCTGCGAGGCAGTGGTCGACGAGTGTAGTCCCATGGCCTGGGTGGTGGAATAGCTTTGTGTACACGACGTGGTGGACGACCTGAGCCGTAGCCGCGCGGCTCAGCGTAGTAAGAATGTGGGTATGGGTCGCGCGGTCCGCCGTAGGGTCTTGCATTGGGCAAGTCGTGCTCGTCCCTGTGATTGCGTGGAGCATAGCGTCGCTCATCGCGAGGAGGTGGGCCTCCACGACGGTATGCTGAGCCTTGATATCTGTCTGACATCGTAGGTGATTGACGTCCAGGACAGATGTGAGAAGTTCACGGGTCGGAAGGAAGGCAGAAAGGGTCTTGTGAAGCTTTGACAATTTTGTGTGCATGCAGCGGCGGGCGGACACAGACAGAATGTCGGGATTCGGAATTCCCTGCCTTTTACATTGTTAGTTTTGTCGGCGTAGCCGTCAATATATGAAAACATGGCTGAGAACAAGGTTATGTGGTGAAGATTTGTCGACGTCGATAATGCACGCATGGTGATGCTCCCCAATGAAGCCAGCTTCATCGCCAAGAATCGAGCTGGCGTCCCTCAAAGGCTGATGAGAGCCATGTGACCGAGGTTTCCGGCGATCCGACCACGATTCAAGAAAGGTTGTTGTAGCTTGGCGTGGAAAAGCTTGCGCTCTGCTCGTTGAGCTGGCGTGAGTGGCGCTTCTCGCGGCCATTCCTACAGTACGGATCGTGTTCCGCGTGCTCGTACTGCTTCAAAGTTGAGCTCACAGAGATCATTCGGTGTCGTCTGTATGACTTGCTGATGTTGTTACGAAGGTCTGCAGCCAAGGTGTCTCTCTGGTCCGGACCGTGACAGGAGTTGCTGGAACAAAAATAAATGGAGAAGATCTGGTCGCGGTGACTTGATGGCGGCCCCACCGCCTCGTCTCTGCTTCTTTTGGTTTACGACGCCAAGATGTTCCTCGCTCAGCCCATAGCCTGAGGGCTGGTCGTGCTTTCACAGGCGGTTCCAATCCATGCTCGGCCTGCCCCTGGCTCCACCTCTGTCGGCTCCATCTCAAGGCATCGATCGATCCCAGAATCCGGCGTAACAGTCCACGATGTGAAAGGGCATGATGTGGAAGGGCACGATGTGGAAGGAGGTTTCAACGCAGCTGCTTCAGTCGGTCTTGCTCGTCGTTACCTGCCTCAGTTAAATCACAGCAATGCTGGACGGCAATACCAGGCTCAGGTTCTCGAAGGCATACCGGTGGCGAGAATTTCGCGGATGAACCAAGGCATCCGTACAGATCAAGACAGTATGCCCGTCGCCTCATCTCCCCAGATCATTCAGCCTCAGTTTGACACTCTGGTCGAGCATCAGATGGGGCCCCTTGATGAAGTCCTTTTGGGGACTGTTCCTAGACGGCTTGAACCGAAAGAGAAGGGGAAGGGTAAGCAGTCTGATCCGGTGAAGTTTTCCTTGAAGAAGCAACAAAAAGGCGCGACTCTGAAGGAGGCCTGTGCGGCGTATCAGCTCGCATCAGGCCGATTATCGCGATAGGCATCGGCATACCGGCTATCCGATGCCCAAGGAGGAGAAGATAGTTGCCCGTCATGTTTCAGCCTCGTCCACAGGGTAGCATGTTTCTGTATTGTCCACAGGGTAGACGAATAAAAACATAAGGCTTAGTTATTTCGTTCTTCATTAGTACTACATCCATCTGCTGTCTGTACATACCACTCGTTGTCGCCACACGTAATAAAACCGCGTCCTACCATTCAAGTCTGTGTCGCAAGTGACAAGCGACCACGCCTTTCGCTCCAACGGGCTCGAAGACCCACGAAAACGCCCTTGCAGACTGATGCACGAACCTTCTTGCCTCAGGATGGTCGAATACATGCTTAGAGTGTAGCTCGAGCTCAGCGACAACCTTCGCCGGTTGTGCTTAAGCACAGCACCGGCTCGTCCCCGCGTGTGGTGCGAGCCCTCCCGAACACGCTTCATTGCCGAACCAGGTCCCAGCTCATTCGAGCGAATTTGCTGCCCTAAGCGATGATGAGCCAATGGCACTCGCTCAGCATCAGGCTCGTGCCCAATATCGGGCACACTCACGAGCGGCTGAGATAGCCAAGATGGATCCTGATGCCACTTGGCAGAGTTCGACAGCGCTTGTACCTCCTCAGCGTCCGAGCCAGAATCACGCAAGTTCGAGCTTGCTCCGGCCCCACCAACATATTTCCCAACCTTGGAGCGGAATGAGCCCAGCAACTTCAGCTGTCCAGACAGAACACTATTTGAACAGTGTCGCCGCTTCAACATCGACCGAGACGCATATGAATCCATGGCGAGGGCACTCGATGCTACTAGAAAGAATGGTGATCGGAGACAACTACTGGTCACCACCTCAAAATAAAACAGAGTTGCAGGACAAGATTAACCATTCCCGCATCCTTCCAGGTAACAATCTTCTCAAGCTCCGCGAAAAAGGCGTCGCCAAGTTCTATAACGCCGCCGGAAGTCGTCCAGGAGACCAAGCCCTGATTCGATATGCGAGATTTGTAGACCTTGCAAAACAGATGCCTCTGAAGCCGCTCTCGACAGACACGCTTCATGCAGATCGAACCGTCTGGAACAAAACGGGTCTACGTATCCTACTTGCTCAGTCGCCAGTCGTGGCCTACGGCATTGCGGATGCTCAGCTGGTCAAAGATGTCTTTCCTGGTCTGTCGGCGGAGGATCAAGAGAAGCTTCCAGATGGCAGCGTGACCATGATACAGATTGAGAAACGGGGTAAGCGAGGTTACATCTATCGGCTTTACAGTGTGTTTAACCCGGAGTTCTTCAAGTTGGTATCCACATAGGTCTTCGATGTTCATGCAGTAGACGTATCGTGCGACATCTCGCATGGGGCTTCCTCGTGGTCAGCGATGCGACTCACGCTGCTCTTATTACTAGATTGCCGTCGATAGGTGTCCTTCGGTAGAGCCAAGCGTCAGTACGAATGGGATCCTTCTTTGCACATTTACGATCTTTCAGACTCATTACAATGGACGCAGTGCATGTCAGTGGCACTCCTCGAAGGCAACAGTTCACTCTGAAATATGCTCAAAACTGTGCGTAACTGTCAAATTTGTTTCAATCATAAAGATTGAGACTAGGCAACGCCTCATCTAAAGCTTACAAAGGCTTCTAGAGCTAAAGAAGTCCTTTTGGAGCTTGATTGTGCATCCCTGAGTCCACCATGCGTCGTGATGCGTCGAAATCGCCAGCTTGAAGTAAGTCGATTTCATACCGACATTCAGAACAATGACCAACAGCAGAAATATCTGACAACAGTAGAACTTTGCCCCACCTCATATCCGCCGACCCGCATAGGGGCAAATTTGGTGCTCGAAAGTACAGCAGGAGTCGATCTGCTGACTTTGTCGTAGGGTCCGGCATGGGTGGAATGAAACGGTCCGAGTGACGATCGCGTTGGTGGGCATGAAGACGCCGACAGTCATCTTCAGCACAGCCATTCAAGCAGAGTTGTCACGCTGCAAGGATTGGTGGGTTCCTGGTGCTGTATTGAGAGGGACCTCTCTTTGCTGCGTTGCGTAGCTGGTCCCGGAATGAGCTGGATGACAGAGTCACCAGCAAACATAAAGGCGCCGTTGCTCAACTACTGTTCTCCCCTCTCTCCTCGAACACATCAAACGTGCTGGACACACTCATCTCACCTCAACGGTACTAGGCTGGATCTTTCAAACATCAAAGAATCCAAAGAAAGCTTCCTGGCCATGAGTCTCAAGAACGCGCAACTTCTCTCCTTTACTTTCGCTGCCATCACGCTGGCGTGCTGGGCGACTCCTTCTATAGCTTACCAGAAACCAACTGGTCCTTTCGCAACCCATTTCTGGGACTGCTGCCGACCTGCTTTTAGCTATGCTCACCCGAAGGCCAACCTCTACGCTCCAGTTGATGCCTGTCAAAAAGACGGTAACACCCTGCTTCCGGCGAGTGCTAACGGCAAGAATGGCTGCGACGGCGGAGACCAGTTCGCTTGCAACTGCATGCAACCGTGGATCGACTCTGTGGATCCCGAGCTTGCCTACGGCTTCGGCGCATGGAATCACGTACACCCCGACGGAACGACCGAGAGCGCATGCTACCTCACAGAGTTCCTCCCCCAAGACCCAAACGGAAAGCCAATGAAGATCCGCAAAATGATCTTGCAAAACATCAACACAAGCGAAGGTATTCCCCATGATAGCTGGGACATGATGCTCGCTGGAGGAGGCGTCGGCGAATACAACAAGGGTTGTAGCAACCAGTGGGGAACTGATTGGGGCAAGCAGTACGGAGGAGTGGGAACCAAGGAAAGCTGTTGCGGTCTCCCTGAAGGTCTGCGATCTTCTTGTCTCTTCCGCTTCACTGTGTTCGGAGACAACCCTGGACTAGCTTCGACCCCTACGAGAGTCAGGTGTCCGGTGGGTATCATCGACCGCTCCGGCTCTCAGCGAGCTGATGACGCTCAAGTTGCGCCTTACAGTGGCAAGACTGATCAGACCGGTCACCCGGCTCCGGACAAGTATCCACGCAACAGAAGCATTTGTCAGAACATCGATCCTCTTGGTATCGTAAGCTCTGTTTGTGGCGGTACTCCAGCTGGTCGACTGCCAAAGGGCTCGGGTATGGTCCGACAGGATGAACCTGCTGCTCCAGTGCCGGGTGCTGAGGGGTCTGGTGGCTTGCCTGAGAGCTACGGTGTTGGTGCTGGTGCTGGTGCTGGTACTGGCGCTGGTGCTGGTACTGGCGTTGGTACTGGTGCTGGTGCTGGTGCTGGTACTGGCGCTGGTGCCGATGCTGGTACTGGTGCTGGTACTGGTGTTGGTACTGGTGCCGGTGCTGGTGCTGGTACTGGCGCTGGTGCCGATGCTGGTACTGGTGCTGGTACTGGTGCTGGTACTGGCGTTGGTACTGGTGCTGGTGCTGGTGCTGGTACTGGCGCTGGTGCCGATGCTGGTACTGGTGCTGGTACTGGTGTTGGTACTGGTGCCGGTGCTGGTGCTGGTACTGGCGCTGGTGCTGGTACTGGCGTTGGTACTGGTGCTGGTGCTGGTGCTGGTACTGGCGCTGGTGCCGATGCTGGTACTGGTGCTGGTACTGGTGTTGGTACTGGTGCCGGTGCTGGTACTGGTACTGGCGTTGGTGCTGGCGTTGGTGCTGGCGTTGGTACTGGCGTTGGTACTGGTGCTGGTGCTGGTGCTGGTGCTGGTGCTGGTACTGGCGCTGGTGGTCTAGCATCCCCTGGCGGCTATGGAACTGCCCCAGCCGCTCTCGCTGGGCATCGTCGTAGTATGTGCCTCAACAAGAGGGCTCTCTAGACACTCAACACTCAAGGTCTTAGCGACAGGTCTAACATGAAGCTGTCGTGGTTGAAGGCGCTGCTGGTCAGATGATCTGTGCTCACTCGTAAGACACTGGATTCTTCATTGCCAATGCAAAGTTCTCGACCTTTGCTCCATCGCGTCTGTAGGGCCTGCTGTCAACTGTCAAAAGCAAACGCCGTCTCGAAGAGGAAGGCAGAGGATGTCTTTCCGTCCGTGAACGGAACCCGCAATGCCAGATTGACACATTCGTACAGCTGCTCCGGTTTGGCTCCAAAGTTCGGATGCTGTCAGCTCGAAGGAGGCCAGCAACGATCCTTCCAGCCGCTGCGGTGAATCAATTGAGAAAGATCAAGCAACCTGTGTCTTCATTGTCTGGGCCCTGCCCAGCTCAGTTTGAAGTTCATTCTTGTGTGACAGCTTGATGTTGAAGTTTGGAGACGTTTGGGTCCCGATACTGGCGATCGGGGAGAGTCTAAGTACGATGTCACTGCTGGTTACAGACAGAAACAAATATACTCAATTGACTAAGTGAATATGGCGAGAGTCTAGCACTCCCAGCTTGATATATATACATATGGGTGACACATGCCGAGTGTGGGAGTTGCTATAGTTAAAGTTGAAGAGCGTCGTCGAGATCAATCGGAAGTGCGTCAAAGTCAATGATCACAAGTGTCGATTGCGATAGATGATTCTATTCTAGGTACATGTTGAATTGAGTGCTTATATATGTCTCAATCCTCCTCATGTGTGTGTGTGATACTAAGGGCCAATAAGGCAACAGCATGAGGGAGTGAGTGAGAGGTTGAGGAGGTAAATACCAGCTGCCTGATGACCGGCGTCTTGGGCTTCGACAGTCGGCCCGCACAACACACTAAGTCCAAGCGAGCAAAGTTGGCGATTGGGTGTGTGGGCTCGGCGAAGGTTGCATTTGCATGCATCAATCGCCGAGGTGTCACATGCTTCAACTGTTAATCATCCAGTCTGACAACGAAGGGGACTTTGTTGTACCCGATCTCTAGTGAGATCGGTTATCCTCGAACTCCGATCAGATCGGCTCCGCGTCATCCTTTAGCGTCGCATTGGATCGTAATCTTCAACACTTGAATGTGTATTCCGCCAATTCGCCTTCCTGCAAGGTTATCCACAGTCTTGTAATTGCCATTTCGACCCTTGGATTCGCAGAGAGAGAGAGAGACGAGAGAGAGAGACGAGAGAGAGAGAGAAAAGAGACAGAGAGAAGAGAGAGAGAGAGAGGTGCTGAAAATGACGATCCAGTAGAACACGATCTGATGATGAATCGGGGAAAGACGATCTGATCGAAGAACGGGCTGGCCGATATGATAGGGATCAGGGACTGGGTCCCGCTCGTTGACATACTCCGTCATTAAGTGGGATGCTCCCACATTCAGCCACATATCACAACTGTATATAGATACCAAGCGGAGAGCTTGAGGCTACCGCTACGTTCTTCTTTCAGGTCAATATAGTATAGTGTTTTAGCTGAATAGCGTGAACACTGTGCTTAGATTGACATCGCCCGATAAGCGTCGATAAGAGCCCAATCTTCTAACAAGAGGATGGATACGCGCACTTTTCTTCTTCGGCACGTCCCGACGCTCAGGCCAGCTGCACAAATCGTGCATTCTCACGCCTGGCATCTGAAGCGAGTCGGCAAAGCCGTCTTCTTGTATGCCAAGTCGCATCACCCGCAGCAGAATAAGCTTGTCAACGTGATCGCTTGCCGACCAAGAAGCTGAGCTGCCTCGGATACCGGTGTGATATGGCTGAGCTCTTGATCCGAACCCTCCTTTCCTTATCTCCACCATCGGCACCAAGAATCCTGCATCGTATACCTCCCTCCAGCCACTCACGCTGAACCATCAGCAGGTTCGTACCTTTGCATCCCTATGCAACGAGTTCGCAACCTGCCTCTGAGCAAGTGCACACTAAGACGATAGCAATACACGACCATGGCATCCTTCCTCAAGCACAAGGACTATGCGGTCACTGCCGCCTCCGCGGATGGACCTACGGAGGCGCAGATCAACGCTGCTCAGGCACAGGACGCATCTGAGCACGCAGCCGTCAATGCTCGTTTGAGGCAGAACGAAGCTGCCGGCGCCCGAGTTTTGGAGTTCGACGAGAATGCTACTCCCCAAGAGAAGGCAGCTCAGGCTGCCAAGGCTATGGACAAGCTTAAGCCCAAGAATGCAATGGCCACGAAGCCAGACGACGGTCATGAGTTGGCCTCAGACCTGTACGGTAAGAAGGTCGATCCTACACTCAACCTGAAAGACGTCGAGAAGCTCAACGAGAAGGAGAAGGGGGTCCCAGGTTCCCTTCCTGTCGGTCAGCCCACCAGCAACCTGCCACCGGGTACGCAAGCCGGCTGGCTAGATGTTGCCCTTGCTGCTCGAGGTCTCACTCCACAGCAAGCCGTTTCTGCAGATGATGAGGCAAAAGCCGATCTCATCAGCAGCTTCGTTAGCGATGCCTACCTCGGACAATTCTACATCAATGCCGCCATCATCATGTTTGCCGTTCTCTTCACTTACTTTGCCACAATGCTTGGCGGCGGTATCCCCTCTCTGCTCATCATCGGCGCATTCTGCTCGACCTACTACAACACTAGCATTCGGCGCACTCGCCAGCGTGCTCGAGACGACATCACTCGCGAGCTCTCCAAGAAGAAGATGATCTCGGAGCATGAATCTGCTGAATGGATCAATCACTTCCTCTCGCGCTTCTGGCTCATTTACGAACCTGTTCTGTCCGCTACCATCATTGGCATTGTCGACCAGATCTTGGTGCAGAACTGCCCGTCTTTCCTCGACTCGATCCGCATGACTACCTTCACTCTCGGCACCAAGGCGCCCCGTATCGATGCGGTTCGTACCTTCCCTCACACCGAAGAGGATATCGTCATGATGGACTGGAAGTTCAACTTTACACCCAACGATGTGCTCGATCTCACCGTCAAGCAGGCCAGTCAGAAGGTCAACCCCAAGATCGTACTGACGGTTCGAATCGGAAAGGGCTTCGTTGGTGCAGGACTTCCCATCTTGCTCGAAGACATCAACTTTGTCGGTAACATCCGCATCCGCATGAAGCTCATGAGCGCCTTCCCACATGTGCAGCTCGTCGATCTCTCCTTCATGGAGCCGCCCAAGATCGACTACGTGCTCAAGCCTATTGGAGGCAACACGTTCGGCTTCGATATCGGCAACATCCCTGGTCTTTCCGACTTCATCCAAGGCCAGATTCACGCCAACCTCGGTCCGATGATGTACCACCCCAACCTCTTCACCATCAACTTAGAGCAGATGATGTCCGGTGCCCCGCTTGACACGGCTATCGGTGTCCTACAGGTCAACATCTGGTCCGCACGCAACCTCAAGGGTGTCAAGCTTGGTGGCGGTACGCCGGACCCGTATGTTGCAATCTCTATCGATGGTCGCGAGGTGCTTGCAAAGACAGCCGTCAAAAAGGGCACTGCCAACCCTCAGTTCAAGGAGACCAAGTTCGTTCTACTCAACAACCTCAACGGCATGCTTACCATGGCACTCATGGACTTCAACGAGCACCGACCCGACTCGAACCTTGGTCAGGCTGCTTTCGACCTCAAGGAGCTCATGGAAGATGCGGAGCAAGAGAATCTCAGCACACCGGTCATCCTTGATGCAAAGGAGCGTGGGGAGGTGCAGTACTCCTTGTCTTACTATCCCGTCGTCAAGCCCGAGGTTGGAGAAGACGGCCAGCCCAAGCCGCTCCCCGAGACTCGTTCTGGTATCGTCCGCTTCACTCTTCACCAGGCAAAGGAGCTTGACAAGCGTTCTGGCTTTAGTGGCGAGCTCTGCCCCAAAGGTCGAGTCCGTCTCAATGGTCAAAAGGTCAAGGACACTTTGGTCATCAAGCGATCCACCAACCCGATCTTCGAAATGCCGACCGAATTTCTCGTCACCGACCGCAAGAAGGCCGTTATCACAGTCGAGATCTTGGACGACCGTGACCTCCGATCCGATCCTGTTGTTGCTCACGTCAGCATCCATCTTGAAGATCTTCTGCTAGCCAAGGAGAAGCAGCAGGACTGGTTCCCTCTCAAGAACTCTAAGGGTGGTCGCGTCCGCATGTCCGCTGAATGGAAGCCAGTGCAAATGTCAGGCAGCATGAATGGCAGCAGTGGCTACACACCTGCCATCGGCGCTGTCAAGTTCTGGGTCAAGCGCGCCACGGATGTCAAGAACGTCGAGGCCATGACTGGAGGCAAGTCCGACCCATACGTCCAAATCCGTGCTCGAGGCCAGACCGTCGACGCAAGCACCATCGTCAACAATAATCTCAACCCAGAATGGAACGAGATCCTGTATGCACCTGTCCACTCGCTGCGTGAGAAGATCTCGCTCGAAGTCATGGACTACCAAAACACCAGCAAAGACCGTTCCCTCGGCGCCGTCGAGATTGATGTTGCTCAGCTTGCCACCGAAGCGACTGGCACCGATCCACGCATCAGGTACGCTGGTACAGGTAAACAGGTGCACAAGGACAAGATTCACCTGGGACGTGGTGTATACAAGGGTCAGATCGAGTTTGACTGCGAATTCTTGCCAGCCGTCAACATCAAGGGCGCTGAGTTTGACGAGCGTGAGAATGAGGTAGCCGCCAAGCGCGGTGCAATTATCGAGGAAGAGGAAGAGGAAGAGGAAAAGCCAGCCGCCAACGCTTCTCTCGAGTCCACTGCCGCAAACGGAGCCAAGCAGACTAATGGCACATTTGATTCGAACGGTGCCAATGGAGCTTTGGCCAAGGGACACATGAAGAATGCAGGCTCGATCGCTTCGATCGGCAGTGTCAAGACAGCCGTCAGTGGTCGCCCATCTACGGCGACGGACAAGGCTGACGAGGGTGTAGTGATGACCAAGGAGCAGCTTCTCAACGAGCAGTCTGGTATCATTGTCTTCAACATCTTGCAGGGCTCCCTGCCCCAGCACAAGAAGCACGCTCGTCTCGAGGTGCTCTTTGATGACGGATACTGGCCTGCGTACCTGACCGAGAAGGCTCGTTCTTCCAACCACACTTGGGACGAGGTCGGAGAGTCTGTGGTCAAGGAGCTCGACTGGTCCAAGTTCCTGCTTAAGTTGCGAACAGGCGATGGCGACGATGACGTCTTTGCTGAGTTTGCCGGCAACACAAAGGATGTCCTGGAGAAGGCTCTCAACTCACAGTACGAGTTCCGACTCCTCAACAGCGCAGGTGCTCAGGTTGCCAGCGTCGTGATCGAGTGCAAGTACATCCCCATCAACTTGCATCTCGAGCCCGTTGAGAGCGTCAATAATCAGGGCTTCTTGCGTGTTGACCTTGTCCACGCCCGCAATCTGCGCGCTGCCGATCGTGGTAACAAATCAGACCCCTACTTTACCTTGGTCCTCAACGGCGAGCGCATGGCCAAGTCCAAGGTGGTCAAGAAGACACTCAATCCAGACTTCAACGAGAACTTGGGAGAGTTCAAGGTTCCATCTAGGGTTGCTGCTGAAGCCATCTTTGAGGCTTACGACTGGGAACAGGTCGGTACACCCGACAAGCTTGGTCAGACTCAGGTGGATCTTTCGGTGCTGGAGCCATTCGAGCCTTTCGAGAAGACGTATCCTCTCACTGGAAAGGGTGCGACCGAGAATTCGGAGGTGACGCTTCGATTTGTGTTCAAGCCTGACTTTGTAACCAACCGCGAACGAAAGGGAACGAGTATCAGTCGCACTTTCACGCACGGTGTTGCCGGAGTTGGACGTGCTGGAGCTGGAGGTGTGCTGGCAGTCGGCACCGGCGTCAGTAAGGCAGGGTTGGGGGTCGGTAAGGCTGGATTCGGTGTGGGAAAAGGTGTGGTCGGCATTGCTGGCAAAGGTGTTGGCGGAGCAGTCGGGATTGCCGGTAAGGGTGTCGGTGGAGCTGCGAAGGGTGTCGGCCATATCGTTCGTCCTGGTGGTCGTAAGGTTTCGGCTGCCGAGGCTGGACTGGGCGATGAGCTGATTATCGACCCTGCTACGGGCGAGGTGGTTGCACCGTACGCTGCCGAAGGCCTGCCCATTGCTTCGAGTGGCTCGGGTTTGCCTGCCAGCCTCGGCATCCCAGTCCCACCCATTCCTGAGGATAGCGCAGCGGATGCCAGCATGGACAATGATACGCGTTCGATGGCCGAGTCTCAGGGCACACCATCAAAGCGCAAGTCGAGGCTGCACAACCCGTTCAAGCGTCACAACAACTAAGCGTGGCTCACTTGACTCGTGTCGATATTACACTTGGTTCTTCTCTGTCCTTGTAGCTTGTTGAAAATACCATTCGTTTGTCGATGCCATCTGGATAAAATCCAGACTGGGGTCCGGCTCTGTTCGTGTCAATGTGGTATTGCTAAGAGACCTTCTGCTAACCTTTTGAGTATACAAAAGGATTGCGAAAATTAGATGCGACGGAAGGAAGCGATGCTGGATGTAGCCTTTGCCGCCTCTTCGGAGCGACTACCTGCAACTGGCGACTTGGGTTCAACCCTACCGAGCATGACTTCCCTGTCGGAGAGGTTTGCAAGACGGCGCGATTCGGCACGAATGAAGGTAACGATTCTGTGAAGGTGATGAGGGAAAGCTAGCTCTGGGTGGGATGCAGCTAGCGGGTCAATTGCAGGAAGGATGTTGACTGCAGCAGGCATAGTAGCAGGGTTATCCGCCTGAGGAGGCAAAGTTGAAGGATCTGCGTTGCCTCGCTCAGCAGCAAGCGAAGCAGCTGCAGCACGAGCATACGGACTAGCATTAGGTCGACTTGCAATACGAGGATCCAACGTTGCAGCATCACGAGCCAATTCAGGTTGTCCTTCAGGATCCTCCTTCTCCCCCTCTGCCAATTTGTCGACACCAGCAAGTTTACGCTTTACACCAGCAACAGTAGCCCAGCCTGCACCCCAAATGTTCCTCCACATAGCTTGAGCCAATCTGGCATCTCCACCTGCCAAACCCTCATCATAAGCCAAGATGGAACCTCGGTGCTGCATGTGCATATCACGCATGTAACCTTTGACGAGTCGAGAGGTTTGAACGCCAAATCGATCACGCATACGAGATTCGGCGTCGATGAAGAAATGGTTGATGAGCTCTTGACTGTAAGTCTTGTTGGCGGTTTTGTCAAAGGCACGGAAACGGGCGAGAAGGAGGTAGACATGGAGGTTGGTGATCTGGAACCAGGATTGGTAGGTTTCGGGTAATGCACAGTCGCCGTACCAGAAGTTACGCTCAACATGGGCTCTTTCGGCACAGCGATCGTAGAGGTCGGATGTGACACGGATAGAGGTGGAGGTGAGAGAATTGTAGCCCATCAATTTAGCGAGACCTTTGACGATGGCGACGGTGAGAGGGGAGTAGGGCTTCTCAGAGGGAGGTGGAGCGCTGGGCGAGAGCTGTGACGTGTGGAGGAGTGGGTTGGCCTTGTTCGTCGCTTTCTTGCTCGAGGACGAGGTTGCGGGTGCTGACGATGCTCGAGTCGAGGTGTATGTGCGGGTAGCAGCGACGGTGGCGGCAGTGGAGGTGCTAGGAAGCAAGACTGCATTGCGTGTGGCCGCAGCCAAGGTAGAAGTGGAAGCCTTGACGAGCATGATTGAAGCGTTCGGGTCGCGTTACTCGAAATATCGGAAAGAGAAATGATGATGGTCGGGTTGATGGACGAAAGACAAAGGTGGGCACACTCGCTGATCTGTAGAGTGGGTCCAAGCTGATGATGAGAGGCTGATGATGAGAGAGCTTGAAGCGTCGCAATGATGAATGAGACATCTTTGACAGCCTGTGCCACGGCCTCTTGACTGAGTAAATTTTCGGCTCGCTCTTGCTCTTTTTCTTTGCTAACCCAACTCGGGCTTTCTGAGCTTCTTCTTGCGCTCTGACACAGCTGTCAAAAGCGCAGATAAAACGTGGGTGGAGGTATTTCCAATCTCATCGGGCCAGTTGGGTCTCAATGCCGACGATCCCGATATGACGGCTGCTCGCCGAGTAAGGCGATACGGCTACACAATTTGAGAAAGTTTTTTTTTTTTTTTTTTTTTTTTTTTTTTTTTGAACAAAAATTTCGTATTGTATGCCAGACTGAGGTTCGGCAAACACATCTGCAACACATTTCGCCACGCACGGTGTCTGCAAAACTGAGCTTGGTCGGCTGAAGATTGGACCCTAAGCGATGAATGCATCAAGCTTTGAACTGCTTCGACCACTTGGCTTGGGGGCCCGTCTATCCCTCTATCTTGCTCTCCCTCATCGCAACGCAACCCACCGGAAGGAGCTCCTCACCACATCTAGCTCTATTCCAAGCGATGATCACGTCAGTAGGCGGAGCGGTCGCCGGACCATCGCGGATTAGAGCTGTACAATCTGCTTCCCGTGCTGTAGCGGCATCACCGTTGTCGTCTAGAGCTTCCACTAGATTGCTTCAATCAGCTTCATTCTCCAGCTCTTGCAAGGCACAGACTTCAACACGACGCTTCCAAGCATCTGCATCGCTGCTGTCGAACAGCAAAGGCAAGCAGCGAGCGCTCGAGCCATCCTTCTTCCCTTGTTCTGCAGTGACGTGCACATGTAACGCCCAGCAAAGGCGGTATCAGCAGACTTACCTCCGCACCCTGTCGCCCAATGGTGGTCAGGTACGGATCCAGCTCAAGTCGACTTGCAACGGCGTATTCGGCCTTTCGACCTCGCGAGGCACACGTGCCTACCAGGAAGACACTGCATCTGTCTCCTGCCTCCACGTCCCAGTCAACGAGTTGAGGCGCAACTACCTCAAGCTTCACTCGCTCTCTTCGTCCGCTGCAGGAGCATCAGCAGCCAATGCAGCGTTGCAATGGGATCCGGAAAAGGCTGGAGGGAAAGAGATTGCAGGTCAAGTGGTTTGGTTTGGCTGCTTCGATGGACACGGTGGTCAGCAAGTATCGAGCTTCTTGCGCGACCAGCTGCACAAGACATTTGAAAGTGTAGAGACCGATATGGTGACAGATACAGTCCAATATACTAGAGAGCATGGCGGATACTTCCGTCGCTTCACGGGTGGTATATTGGAGCGCTGGGTGAGGAAGGACAAGCTGAAGCCCGTCCGAGCTGGCCCGGCGGCTGGACGACGGTTGCCTCCAGGAGCACCTGTCAAGAAGGACGATACCAGCAAAACTGACGCTCAAGGACAAGGCTCGAAATCGGAGGGATCGGGAAAGCAAGTCGACCACCTCACAAATCCAGAAACACTGTCTAATATGTTGAGTCATGAAGGCAAGCCAGCGAGCTCAAACCAACCTTCAGGTTCGAGCAAGACCATCCTCCAGCCCACACGACAAGAAGGAGCCATCAAGCTCGGAGGCAAAATCGAACCTATTGGAAACAGCGGATCGGATCTCCCAACTCCCACTGGCAGTGCAGACTCGGGATGGGACTCGCTCATCGAACGCATCCCACCTCCGGATGGAATGGAAAAGGAGACCATGACCATGGCCGAAAGACTTACTCTCGCATGGCTTGTCGCAGATCGCCAGATCCAGTCCTCACCCAAGCTCGACGTCGGAGGCAGCACTGCTTCAGTCGCCCTCTTGCATTCGCTCGATATGCCTTGCGTTCCCTGGTATTCTTCCGAGTTTGTGGGAGTCCATGTAGCTCATGTCGGCGACACACGCGTTCTCCTCTGCGCAGCGAAAGACGGCAAAGCTGTCCCGCTCACCACCTACCATCACCCGGACGACCCGTCCGAATCAGAACGACTGCGCAAGATGGGCGCAGGTATGATCACCGATTCCTTCGGCGAGGCGAGATGGATGGGTGCACTTGCAAACACGCGTGCATTCGGCGATTCGAGGTTCAAAAAGGTCGGCATCACTGTTGAGCCCGAGATCGTCTCTCAGGTGATTAGGGGCAGTGACTACGGCTTGCTCATTGCGTTTAGTGACGGTGTCGGTAGCGTCATGTCTGATCAAGAAGTGGTGGATCTGTGCAGGAACGCAAGGCACCCGAGTCAAGCAGCCCAAAGCGTGTTGACTTTCGCGGAAGAGCTTGGCGCTCAAGACAATTGCACCGTCATGGTCATCCCGCTGAAAGGCTGGGCCCAGGTCGGAGGTCAAGACATGACGAGGGAGAGGAGGGAGATGCGTCGGTCCAAGATTGACCTGTACCGCGATAATCGTCAGTGATCAGAATGTGAACCTTCTTTTGACTAATAGACATTCCTTCATCAATCGATCACAGAAACAGAAACACTGGACCAAGTGTCGGTTCTGCAGAGGGGCGAACTGCGGGACAGAGCCCGATTTGCAAGAGATATCGGGCAGGCGAGGATCGTGATGGAATTGTGAGACGGACGCGTCTGTTGAGTGTTGCCTGACAAGACGCCGAGTTTGTGCCGCGTAAATGACAGAAAGGATATCGGCTCTAGCTCGACCACCTTGACTGGGCATCAACGAGCAGCGTACGGAGCATCTGCATACGAATATCAACAGGGAACAGCGCTGACTGTTAATGATGGAGATCTGCGCCCGCTACGGCAAAGCCAAGGCTTTGTACGAGCAAGAGGTCACGACAATAAAAACTCACCAAGTGGAGTTTGAAATGAACAGAGCCAGAAGACCGCGCCGCTGCAACGCGCTTCTTTCTTCGTGAAACATTGGTTGACTTGTCAAATAATGACAGCCCTTAACCTGGTCTTCTTAGCTGCCTCAAAGCGGCTACGATTGGCATGGCGATCCACCTGCGAGCTGCTCCATGAGGGCAAGTATTGCTTGTGCTGAGTATGTGACTAGGCTTATGAGCTCGACGAAAAGTTGTGTGCGCTTCTAGAATTGCGGAAGAGGAGCTGCCCCACCTCGAATGGAATTTTGTTTCTGGCCTCCTCGCCTCGTCTGCTCAGCTTAGGCTTTCAGTATCCCTCCTCCCCGGACCTCGTCACGCTTTCCTCCTCGGCCAAGTGACACACCCTTGCTCTTCATTTCCATTCACGTTGCTTTCCGCTTCCGCAGCTCCTCACATCTTCACTCCCGACTCCATCATCACCTCCCTCAACTTCCTTCACGCGTCGATCTACACCTCGGCTCCTCATCAGATCTGGACATCTGTCGCACATCCTCACTCGTCAAAGGCACGTGTCAACTTGCTCCTCCTCGTCCTATCGGCTCCACTGCTTCGCTCTCTCCTTTTTCGCGCCGTACTCCACACCCCTTATCGCCTTTAAGCTCACACCCCGGGGCCACATAGATCCTTCACAAGTCTCCAGCAGGCGGATCCTTTTCCAAACGTCTCTCTTTCCACACGTCTTCTTTCCACACGTCTTCTTGACCATCGCACCAACACATCTCAAGCGCATCGGTCGGTCCGCCTAAACCTTGTTGGATGCCGGAAAGACTCTAATCCGCTCTTCAACACAGCAGCCAGCCTTTGTCCCACCTCGTACTTCCACTGTCCTCTCTCCCGCAGCCGCTGACTCCGACGCGCAACCATCATGCCTCTTGTCAAGCGAAAGCCCGTCGAGCTTTTCCCCCCACCCGCGGCTTCAGGCTCGGAAGATCCCGATGTCTTCTATCTCCCCGCTACCGGCGAAGTATTTGCCGACTTCGACACATACTCGAACCGCATCAGCTTCTATAACCAAAAGATATTCCAATGCGAGCTCACCGGTCGCATCAATCTCACTTATTTCGAAGCTGTCAAGAGCGAACGTAAAGAGGCCATTGCATTGCACAAGATCTTTCCCGAACAGCTCAAAGCGCCGGTCCTGCGGTCGGTCCAGTTCCAGATCACAGGTCGAATCGATCAGCTGGTGGACCAGGTATATGATCGGTTCAAGGATCGATTCTTTTCTGGCGAAACTGTTTTCTTTGATCTGGAGGGCGATAAGTACTATGCTCGCGTGAGTGAGGTTAAGCCTGCCGCTTCTCTCACCTCCGCCGCTGCCAATGGTGAAGCCGCAGAAGCAGACGCGGCGGATGCAGAGATAAAACAAGAGCCCAACGGTCACACCGAATCTTCATCCCACTCGACACCTCGTACCTCGCCCGCACCAACACCCATCCATACAATCGGCACTAACCTCACCCTCGATCTCGAAGAAGCCACCCTGAAGGACAACCCTTCGCAGTACACCTACACAGTCGACCTGCTCGACGACCAAGATGAAGCCACCGGTGGAACGCACATCACCTCCTGCGAGAAGCTCAGTCGAGACCGTCTCGCATTCTCCAAAACCATTCTCCGCAAGTATCTGCGCGACTGCATCTTGCGCGCTGCCAACATTGGTGCTGAGTGGCGAGTCAAAGAGTGGTTAGCTATCAAGTATGGAATTCCGTTGGAACCTACGGATGAGATCTCGCAGAAGAACGAAGCGCTGAAGGATGCAAAACTTTCCAAGCGTAAGAAGTATCTTCTTACTGATGGCGAGGAATCATCCGCCTCTTCGCACAAGAAGATTAAAGGTGAGGGTGGCAAGAAATTGAGTGCTGCAGCGCAAAGAAAAGCTGATGAAGCGGAGAAAGCTGCAATCAAAAAGGCCAAGGAGGAAGAAAGGTTGCGTAAGAAGAATCTCAAGTACCCGATCGAAGATTTGGAGTTGGATCCGATTACGAAGCGAGAACTGATGGCGAAGATCCCTAACGAGCCGCTGGCGAGGCGGAAAGAGAGACCTATTCCGGGTCGAGGCGAGCATGCTTTACCTGTTCCTGCGAAGCTGTTCGAGCAGTTCATCACGACCTACTACTTCCTCATTTCGCACGGGAAACCATTGCTGCTGTCGCCGTTTACGCTGGACGACTACGAGCAAGCGCTGGAGCATAAGCTTTCCGACCCATCCTGCGCGCTCATTAACGAGATTCACCGTACGTTGATCAATCTCATCGTCCGTGACGGTGGGTCGAGTTTGGTCGCGAACGGTTCAGCCCTAGCTGCAACTCTGGACGCTTCCGCACCTGCCAGCGTCGACGGCGACGAAGAGGAAGAAAACGACGACGCTGCAAGCGAAGCCGCCTCCGACGTCGACGAACTAGACCCCTCCCCTAACGGCACCCACCCTAACGGCATCTCTCACAACAATTCCGCAGAAGCAGAAGCAATCACCTCTCTCCTCGAAGCAGCGCGAGAAATCAGTAAAGGATGGTCCACCCTCACTATCCGTCCCGACAACCGACGCGAACGATGGGAGAATTCCCTAATCGGACTCATCGCCGCGCGTGCCACTCCCGAGTCGCTACCACGGATGATTGGGATTCTTTCCCACCTTACTGCGGTCGAACACGCAGATGGATGCGTGGATGGAGAATGGGTTGCTGAGCTGTACGATTCTTCAGCACAGAGGTACCCGCTTTTGGGATTGAAAGATAAGTTGCAGATCATTTACTTTTTATGCGAACAAGCGGTGGGTGCAAAGGTGATCAAATCTTTCTACGAGGAATGTGAGGCTCAGGTGACGGAATTGAGAAAGGAGAAGATTGAGGTTAGTAGGGAGAAGAAGCGCCTTGCTGAGGCGAGAGAGGAGTTTGAGGGGAAGAACAAGGACGAAGATGAAGAAGAAGGGGAGAAGGAAGAAGGTGAAGGTGAGGAGGGTGAAGAGGAAGGCGAGGACGAAGAGGAGGAGGAGGAGGAGGAGGAGGAGGAAGATGAACTTGTCTCAGATTCCGAACCTGATACTCGCTCCGCCCGAGAAGACTCCTCTTTCTCCGATCGCAGCACCACCGGCGGTGGACGTGGTTCGGCCTCCCGCCAAGAAATCCTTCGACAAAAAGCCATCGAAAAACGAGCCCAAGAAGCAGCTCTACGTATCGAACAGGCCAAAGCTCGCGAAGCGCACAAAGCGAAACGTGCCGAAAACAAAATTCTCACCGCTCAACGTAAAAAGCTCGATGACGAGGAGGCGAAGTTGGTTAAGCGGGATGAAGCTATCGAACGAGAGTTCCGGCGGTTGTTGCATGCATCCCGTATGACTCCACTTGGTAGGGATAGGTTCGGGGATAAATATTGGTGGTTTGACGGTGTTGGGTCGTGTTCCCTTATTCAGGGTAACGAGAAAAGCACGTATCAAACCGGAAGGTTGTTCGTTCAAGCAGCGTCTGAAGCCGAAACTTTGCTGCTGATTCCTGAGGAAGAACGACCAAAACCAACCAACCCATATGCTTTACTATTCCACCAACCCATCACACCCTCCCTCATCTCTTCTCGTAAAGAATCCGAATTAGGCGGCGAAAGAGGAATCCTTCAGCCGGGAGAATGGGGGGTGTATAGCGAACCAGAACGAATCGAAGAACTTCTGTCCTGGCTCCGTACCAAAGGTCATCGAGAACTACACCTCAAAAATCAACTGCTAAAGTTTAAATACTACATGGAAAATGGGATGAGGAAGAGAAACAACGATATTAACGCCCATCTATTGCGCGGCGGTGGCATGGCAGAGGATGTAGTGAGAAGATCGAGCAGAGCTTCGAAATCGGATAGTTCGAGTACGGGGAGATTGGCTTATATGAGTTGGAAGAATACTCTCGATAAGGCCAAGTAGTTGGATAAAAGATGGGGGAAAATTGTACTTTAGACATTCAGCTATGCAAAAGCGATGCTTTTCGTCACACATGATAATCATGCTCCTGACTCAGTGAGCGGTTTTGTGAGTCTGTGTGCGACATTCCACGCCGTGGCCTCTGAAACAAGTGCGGTCTGCGATCATGCCCAAACACCCAACAAGACACTTCTGCACAAGTCAAACAAGTCTCATCCTCAGACCACACAAGGTGTGGAGATGGTCGTAACAGCAGTTAAAGTATTGTTCCAAAGTAAAGAGATTGTACAAATGCATTTCCGATCCGATCAATGTTCCTGAATGCACTTCAAAGCAGAAGTCTGTTGAACAGAAGCGTTAGGCACAGCAGTTCCATCACCCACCGCTGCATTCTGCGCCTCCTTCCCTCCACCAACAACACCAATCGCAGTGTTTGGATGCAACAATCTCCCTTGCTCCGCCCACTCTCTCTCCGCTTGTCTCTCTTCTTCTCTCAACTTCCTCTGTCTTTTCCTCATCTTTCTCAAAGCCTCCTCTTCCAACGCAATCCTTAACAACCTCTCCACTTCTTCTTTCTTCTTGGTCCTACTTCCACCCCACCAGATCAAGATACCAGCTACAGCATTGCAGCTCAACGAAAACGTAATGATCGTAGCCGTCACCGATGTGGGTCGATTCTTATAGTAAATACCCCAAGTTGTACCTCCCAACGAAGCTTGCAAGCAAGAATGACAATCGAGCAGAATGACGATTGCCATCATGAGCGAAAGCTCAAATGGTCGATGGGTGACAGTCTCGCGATAGCGGTAGAAAGTGTGAGATTCGTGGAATTTGCGTTGTTGATATTCGAGATTGGCTTGTTGTTTCGGACTGAGAACGACGATGTCTTCTGCGTCACGGGGGAGTTCGGATGCGATGGAGGGGTTGCGTTTGAGCTGACCGAGGGGGATGATGCCGTCTTTGTTGGGGTAGGTCTTGTGTGCAGTCTTACTGGATTTCGCTTCGGGTGATGCTGAGGCAGCTGGGCTGCCGCTTTCTTCTGTCGTCTGCTTTTCTTTGTCCGCCTTATCGGCATCGTTCTTCTCGTGGGAGTGATGCTTCTGCCGATGGAAGAACCGATGCTCGTGTCGCCTTTCACACTTTTCTTTGAGATCCTCAACCTTGTTTGCACTCGACCTGGACTGAGTCGCATCGAGAAAGTCCCAAGACGAATCAGCACTTCCACCTTGTCGCGGTCCGGGCTCGCTAGCACTGACATTGTTGCTGTCATCAGAAACGGCAGCACCTTCAGCATCGGGAGCCTTACCACTCTCTGTCACTTGAGCCGGTCCCTTCCTGAGCCCAGTCAAGACCATCATAGTGTTGGTCATCTGCGACATGTTGAGACGAGGCGTAGCACGAGGTAACTCGTTCTTATCTTTGAGCTCGGGAAGGTCAAGCTCTCGCCTTCGCTTGTACGTCAAAAAGTGGTAGTGCGCAATCTGAACCATGCGATACGTGTCCACGGCTCGGAACGGCGCAAAGCCCAATCCAACCGCTGCGAAGAGCGCGCACAAGATCTGATCGCAGATCTCGATCCAGTATCGTTGCCTCGCAGGGTTGCCGACATCGATCCATCTGAGCAAAAACAGGCAAATGGCTGTACCCCAGAAAGTGATGAGGAAGGCATAAGTGGTGATGATGAAACCGTGCGGTGTCTTGACGTATCGCCAGAAACCTCGAGCAGCGCGCTTGAACTTTGCCCTCTTAGTGAGCAGCTGGTGAACGTGGTCGTCGAGTTGGTTGCGCTCTTCTTCGTCCATCTCAGCCCACTCTTTGATGTGTTTGCGACGTTCTTCTTCGGTGGTGGGTGGGACCTGCTTCTTCTTTCGACCGGGAACAAGGGAAGCAACCCGGCGGATGTTGCCAAAGGCCTGACGCTTGACACCGTCGTCATCGGTGGATTGCTGCACTGAGCCCTGTCCCGCACTCGGCCTGAGACCCATCTCGATGTCCTCGCGTTGGGGCTCGTATTGTGGCGTGTTCCTGTTATTGGCAGCAACCTGTCGATTTGCAACGGCAGACGGAAGGCTGATTGTGGGTCTGCGGTTATAAAGCATTGGGATAGGAGGGAAGAAGATCGAGTTGCCGACATTTTGTAGAGCGGTTACTGTGGCGACCTCAGGATCCACAACGTCAAGGTAGTCGACCACCTCGTCCTCGTGCATATCACTGCTTTCCGATGACTCGGATGTGTAGAGGTTGTCATCAAAGCTGTTGCGGCCATTGTTGTTGTTGTCATCACTGTCACGTGAGGAGCGCATCAACTTGGCTTGTTGCTTCGGATCGACGTTGGTGACATTGTTGTCGGATCGACGCCGTGTCAAAGTGTCATACAGCCTGCGAGATTGAGCCAAGAAGCCTTCGTCTGCGACAGTGTTACGGCGTGCACGGTTCTGTCTCTGACTATTCTGCTCTTCTGGTTGGTTGGAGGAATCTGGCTGAGTGGACTGATCAGCTTGGCGGGACTGCGAGAATTGTGAGGTGCTGGTACGACTGAACTGTTCCTCTTGCACGTCAGAAAGGTTGCGGTTATGTGGTGGATGTATCGGTGCGTTTTCGCTTCTTCCTTGTGCTGTGCTGTCATCCGAAGCAGTCTGTGGCGCAGGACTTGAGCTTGAGGATGAAGATGATGTCGACACGGAACTGCGTTGTTCCCTGCGCTTTTGCCGGCGTTCTTCTTTGTGGAGTCGGTGGTGACGCATAGCAAGGCCTTCGACAGCACCCGGTCTACGACTTGCGCCTCTGGAAGGGATCTGCGGATGCAAGGACTCGTCGCTGAGTCGGATGGGTGGATAGTCGCCAGGTGGATTGGCACTGCGGCTGGGCAGTCCACGTCGTCGACGCTTTTCGCGTTGCTCTTCGTCGTGAATTGCACGCCTTGCTGCTTGCATCTCGAGACGAAGCATCTCATCGTCGTCCGGATCCTCATTACCGTCCAGATCCTCATTGTCGTCCAGATCCTCATTGTCGTCCAGATCCTCATTGTCATCTTGGGCATTGGCTTCGATGTCTGCGCCATCTGCCTTTACAGGCTGCTCTCTGTTGGGTGTGGTACGTTCAAGAAGACTTGTGGCTGGTTCACCACCTGGGGTTGACGAGGAGCCTCTGTGCGTTGCAGGAAGCGTGAAGTAGTCGGTGGATGGCTGGTCAGGTTGAGATGGAGTGCGGTTGCTTGGCTGCTCTGAGGCGGTGGCGGGGGGCTGTGGAGAGCGTCTGTTGTAGGCGTCGACGGAGGAGTAGAGGTTGTTGCGGTTTGTCTCGGACTCGGTCCTGCGAACACGGATAGAGGAGGGTATACGATGGATCGGCCGCATCTTCACTCTCGCTGCTGCTGCTGCTGCTGCTAAGGGTGAGGAAAGGTTGCGATGTGCGGAGAAATGGCTGAGCAACTACGCCACTGCCTCGGATGGACCGATGGGTGCGTCAGCGAGTGTGACTGTTGAGAGGCGAGATGGTGGCGTGCGAAAAGAGGCGTGGGAAGATGCGCTTCCAGTCGAATCGGATGTGCCGTGACGAGGGCGTGGAGACCAAGAGCAAGGCCGATAGCGTTGTGATAGTCGAAAGAGTAGGTGTGATGGAGAACGCGAAGGCCCAGTTCGAATCGTTGATGTTTTGGCAACACTGGGCGCAAGCGAGCGTCAAGACTGCAGAAGGGAACGGGTCGATCCTAGGATATTAGAGGGGCTCCGTGAGGGATGATCGTTCAGATGGACGAGGGCGGTGACAGCAAGATTGAGAAGCTAGCACGGCTGAAGGAATCGCGACTCGTCGCTGGATTGAGCTGCTCTGTAGTCACAGCATCGGCTACTGAGAACTTTTAACCCTATCAGACGCACAGCCAAGCTTCGACTCAGGCTCGACTTGAAAGGAAACCTTCTCGCCTTCAGGCCACAGTCAGATACTTCACTTCCACGGACTGCGCCAAAACATCAGTTGTAAATTCGCGCCTTCCACACACACACACACTCTCTCTCTCTTTCGGCATCCTCTCTCCGGAGGCTGCTAAAGCTTGGCTGCTTGGCTCTTCTCCTTCTCACTACTAACCCATTTCTGCTACGATCCTACTCTGCCTCTGCTTCCTACGCTGAAAGAGAGATCATCGTCTCCGCGTTCAAGAGGCGATTGAGATTTACAACCGACATTCTGCTCGCACCTCGGCAGTCTATTTTCCTCTTTCTTTTATCTATTTGTTATTTTCGTGATTCGCGATCCGGAGTGTTGGGCGCTGCTGCACTGCTTCTCCGCCGTCCATTCGGTCATCGGACATACGCATTTTTTTTCTTCTGCATTTTCTCCAACCCACGGGACACAAGACCACCGCAGATGAGGTTGCACCAAAGCCTTTGTTCAGCCATACTTTGGATTATCTCATGAGGACACGACCTAATGGCAGAGAAGGATGTTCGGGCCCTAATATTCTAGACACTTCTAATGCAAATGACATGCGGTATGCGAACAACCTAGAAGCTAGAATTGCCCAGCATGACAGCGCAAGCGAGGAGGTCAGATGTATCAACAACAGAGAGAACGAGTAATGCTATATGTGTAAGTGGTTTAGTTGAAAGCGGCTAGTGTCGCCTTGCCATCAACCTTGTCCATTGGCAATCCCTCGACGAATGCAGCGGTGCACTTGGCCATGGTTGGCGATGCGCGAGAGATGGGGTCGGTCTGGTAGAAGTTCTGGATTGGTCTCAACAGAGGAGTACCTGAAACCTTTGACTTGGCAAGCTTCGAGAGCTCCTCCACTGCCAATGGCGCAGAGGTGGTCGATGGCTCGGCAACTTCGTATCGCACCAATGTGGGCGAAATCTCGAACATGCGGTCTCGTACGTCCAAGATGTCGTTGTATGGCACCGTCGCTCCCATCACTTCGGAAAGCGCACGAACAATCTTCCAGTCCTCTCGTGCCGCGCCAGGAGGTGGCACTGCCGCTCGTGTCAACTGTGTTCGGCCCTCAGTATTGACGTAGGTGGTGGCCTTCTCCGTGTAGGCCGAACCAGGCAAGCAAACATCGGCGAACTGCGCACCGACATCACCGTGGTGACCCTGGTAGACGACAAAGGCGTCACGAGGAATGTTCTCTGGTGTGATGTCATCGGCGTTAAGCAGGTAGATGAACTTGGGTGTCGTCTTGGCGGCAGCAGGCGAAGGAGTGAAGCCAATGTCGAGAGCACCAGTGCGCGATGCCTGGCGCTGCAAAACGTTGTAGCCGTTCCACTCACCATTGAGCAACTTGCCCTTGTTGGCCTTGACAAGCTCAGCAAGATTACCGAGGATGGCCTTGCCATCAGGGTGCTCAGCAACAGCGCTACCGACGACGATCATGGGCTTCTTGGCTTCCTTGAATTTCTTGGCAAAGGCACCCTTGCCCGAGAGGAGCTCCTGCACGGCCTTAGCATCAGTGCCGACGTGGTCGTACTCGTAGGTCAAGTCGACCTTCTCGCCGATGAGACCGATGTCGAGCTCACGGTGGAGGTAAGCCTTGCGGATACGGGTGTTGACGATGGCAGCCTCGTGACGGGGGTTGGTGCCAACAAGAAGCAAGACGTCAGCCTCCTCGATACCGGGGATGGTGGTGTTGAAGGTGTAGTTGGATCGGAAGTCAGCACCGTGAATGGGAGCCTGGTCGCCGTTGATCTGGTCGGTGGCAAGGTTGTCCGAGCCGAGCTTGTTGATGAGGTCCTTGAGAACGACCATCGACTCGACATCAGCGAGCGCGCCAGCAACAGCCTTGATCTCGTCACCCTTGGCACCGGACGAAGCGAGACCCTCAGCAATGGTGGCGAGCGCTTCAGGCCACGAGGCGGGCACGAAGCGGTCGCCCTGCTTGATGAGAGGGGTGGTGAGTCGCTGGTACTTGAGACCATCGTTGGCGAATCGGGTCTTGTCGTTGATCCACTCCTCGTTTACGTCGTCGTTGGTGCGGGGAAGAATGCGCATGACCTGGACACCTCGCGAGTCGACACGAATGTTGGATCCAACGGCGTCAAGAACATCGACCGACTCGGTCTTCTTGAGCTCCCAAGGACGAGCGTGGAAGGCGTAAGGCTTCGAGGTAAGAGCACCGACGGGGCAAAGATCGATGATGTTACCGGACATCTCCGAGTTCATGGTCTTCTCAATGTAGGTGCCGATCTGAAGGTCGTTACCACGGCCGGTGGTACCCATGTCCTGAACACCGGCGACGTCGTTGGCGTAACGAACACAACGTGTGCACTGAATGCAACGGTTCATGACGGTCTTGACAAGAGGGCCAAGGTTCTTGTCCTCGACGGCACGCTTGCCCTTGATCTCGTGGAAGCGCGATCGATCGGAACCGTAGCGCATCGACTGGTCCTGCAAGTCACACTCTCCACCCCAATCGCAAACTGGGCAATCCAAGGGATGGTTGGCGAGGAGGAACTCCATCACACCCTCACGAGCCTTGGCAACGAGGGGAGTATCGGTGAAGATCTGCTGACCGGGCATAGCTGGGAAGGCGCAAGAGGCCAAGGGCTTGGGAGCACCCTTGGACTCGACAAGGCACATTCGACAGTTACCAGCGACCATGAGACGCTCGTGGTAGCAGAATCGAGGAATCTGAGCACCCGCCTTCTCGCAAGCCTGAATGAGGGCAGTGCCCTGCTCGACCTCAACCTCCTTGCCGTTGATGGTGAGCTTGACCATCTTTGGTGGGGCGGGGGCGGGTGCGGCCTGAAGACGCGAAGCAGAAGTGGCGAAAGAGGCAGTGGAAGCTGGGACGCGAGCCGCAACGCCACCACGAGGGGCAAGGCGGGCGGCTGAGCTAGAAGCGGTCAGAGAACGCAACATTGCGATATGTTGGAAGTGTGTTGGTGTGGGTGTAGGTGTGGTTGTGGACTATGTCACGATTGATCTGTGATGAAGAAGGTACCAGTGCAAGTCGAGAAGGAGGCGCAAAACAGGCGGGCGGCTGAAGGTGACAACGTGTGATGCAAACCTCGAACGAGGGCCGATGATGTGCGTCTCGCCCAATGTGTCTGTCAGGTAGTAACGTGTAGGGAGGGTGGCGGGTAGGTCAAGAGAGGATGGTGATGAGGATGATGTAGGAGGAAGTAAAGGCTTAGGCGTCTCCAAGTCGATTAGCAACTCAAAGTGCGCCAAACCCGATTTGCGATGGTCCGCGAGCGAGCGAGCAACACAAGTCTCTGTCAGGCTGAAAGGATTGGGCTACGCTGCGCTGGGGTTGCTTGACTAATTCCCAAGTGATGATCCGCTGCGATCTCTTTCTCAGCTTGCAACATCTTCCGATTTTCTCTCTCTCTCACAAAGGACAAGCTCAGAATTTCCAGGCTTGTAGCGCGCGAAACGAACGCTTGGCTTCAATCTGAATTCCAAACACAGCAAGCCCAGCGCACCTGCCAATTTCGCGATTTTCCGACCTTTTTGAGAAAGAGCATCCGGTGCTTAGCCTGCCGCCGCCCAATCAGAAGGTCGTTGATTGGTGGTCAAACTTTCGTTCCGGCTGATTTGTCGGGTCAGCTTGAGAATTTGTGATCCTGAGCGGCGTAACACTTTCGAGATAAATTGCAACAATCCTTAAGCTTCAACACTCGTAGTCTCGTTCGAGCCGTCAATTCTTCAGAACAGGCCAGAGCTCTACAGATGCTGAACCAATACAGCTGGACCATAAACAGTATGACAGATAAGCGGGCTTGCAAAGATGACTGAATTCTGCAACAAAAGTCTTTACATGTACTCTTGTCTTTTGGTGGTCTCTTAGAGCGCAGGTTATAGGATCGTTCCCAGACTGTAAGGGACAAGGTAGATGCAGAAGACGTAGCAAAAGTCAGTAAATCGGGTTCACGAGCGTGATTTTCATGACTGTCAAGGCTGAAACTTACCCCATCGACTTGAGGCCTCGGATATAGTAGGTCTCGAGGTTCTTTTCAACAATCTCTTCGTCTCCAGATGGTGCACCGCTAAGGACAAGCTCGAGTTTGGTAGAGTCACCGCCTTCAGTAAGGTTGACTGCAAGTGTACCGTAGTGACCTTCGGGGAACTGAGGTGTACGCCACTTCTGGATGAGCTGCTTAGGGGCATCGATGCTAACCACCTTTCCAGTTATGTTGCCGCCGAAGAGGGCAAAGTCGGCATCGGGCTTAGCCTCAAACTGTGCTGGTGCCCGAGTCCACATGGGGATGCGTGATGGGTTGGTGAGAAGGTCCCAGAGATCTGCAGTGCTGATGGCAAGTTCGCTGGACACACGGACGTCACTGGAGCTGGTTGAGACAGAGGGCTTGGCCTGCTTGCTAGCGAAGGAGGTTGACGATGCCGTGCCAGCTGACGCGGTGGCTTCAGCTGCTGCGGAGGAGCTGCTGTTGGTCGAAGAAGTGGCAGCGCCGGGAGTCGATGCTGGGCTGTCGTGGCCGAGATCCTTTGCATGGGCATCGATCAAGTTGGTACGGAACGAGTGGAAGACAGGTCGAAGCGAAGGCGCAAGCTCTTTGCGTACAGCATCGTAGAGCTGGTTGGTTTCCGCCGAGGACTTTGTTGACATCTCCGTCTCGAATCGGTATTCGTCGTCTTCGTCCTCAACCTCGTGGCTCACCTCTGGGAAAGTGATGGTGCCGCTCGCCTCGGTACCGTCATCGGAAGCACCAGACCAAGCATAGGTGATGGAGCAATCGTAGATGGTGATGAGCTTTCCTTTGCGGTTGCCGAGCTCGACGTCGCCCTCAAAGGAAGAGAGACGGTCGATCTTGACATGGCCGCTCTTGCCGACAGTGAGCGACTTGCCGACCGTGTTCTCGGTGATGTGGTTCTTGGCCCAAGGCGTGCAACCCTTGGTTTTCCAGTGATAGTGCTTGTTCCAGGTCGACATATTGGGGTTTGGATGGATCGAGGTCGAATGGGATTGACGGTCTGGGTATCGGATGGAGCAGAGGGAGGATGCAAGACAAGTTGATGTAGCAGCAACAGCACGGATCAGGCATCCATCAATCCCAAGCTGCGAAAAGTGAAAGCTTCCAATTCTAAACGCGCCGAAGTGGAGTTTCGAGTTCTTCCATGCGCTGTTCAACATGCTTCTCAGAATTTGCCAGAAGCACACACAGAGAACTGGTAATCACGTGATGTGATCCGTGGTCAGAGATTCTGCCAAGTCATCGCGCAGCTACAGAATGCTCTCTCCCCAATCCCCACCATTCTCGCTTCGTAGAATCTCGCCGTCTCTTCAAGTGTTTCCCCATTCTGTATTCCCCCCCTTGTCTTCATGCTCATGCCGCAATCTTAACCTCCCTTTATGCTCTCGTATTGTCGTTGCTATGGTATGAATTGATGGTTCGGAACAGACAGCTTGACAAGCGTCGTGAGAAATTTGCTCTTCCGTCTTCCGCACATGTCTTGAACTCGTGCTTGTTGCTCAGCTCCACTCTAACAGATCGCCGCTTTGCTTTCTCTCTCGTTCTTTCTCGAGCCCAGCTCAGCTGCATGTAGTCAGCGTCACCTTCGGATCAAGACTGCAAGACGAAGGGATGAGATCTATCCCTGACCGCAGTCTAAGTTATGATTGCCTTCCATCATTCCGCGGAGCGAGGCACGGGACAGAACACCGGTGTGTGTCGAAAGTGATGTAACAACTGCTGGCGTGTGAGCTGATTGACATATTGCGACTCTTGTAGGTCCAGACGGTCTGCGCATAAGGCGGGCCTAATCTAAGCGCCATCCCGCTCGCTCGTTCGTTGTCACGCCTTACACCGCCACGTGTGGACACTGAGCACAAAGCTGGACGACAGCTGCATCTCGCAAGAAGACAGTGTCCCGATCCCTCGGACATCCCAGCTCATCGAGTCCTCAATCGGAGCGTCCAAAGCTGACCGAAAGGGCGCTGGCTATTGCAGGCTGTCGATCTACAACGCCTCGTCCATACACGAAATTGGCAGGCAACGTATGCTCTCTCTCTCTCTCTCTCTCTCTTTTCCCGCTCTTCACCTCACAAGTTCCTGATGCGCGCCTTTGTGCCAGTACGTTCCCCTCTCTTTTCGAGCGTCTCTTTGTACCAGTATGATCTTGTTCTCTTTCCAATGCGTGCTGGTTCGATCTTGTATTGCTCGGGGTATCATGATTTTTGCGAGTGCGCATGACTGTACAGAGGGTTGCTTGTGGGAATGCTGTCATGACTTGGACGAGTCATCTTTCGAAGCTCGTGGTTGTGCTGATGATGCCGTTGATGTTGGTGCTGGTTTACTGCCAGCCTTTCGGCGGCGATACCCACTTCTACCGGACGGGGAACGTGGGTTTGCAAAAGGCACTGTTCCCCAGAGACTGTCGGAAGACAGCTAAGGGCCACCCAAGTCCGTCCCTCTGTCCTAGGGTAGAGTTCTACCCCAGACAGCGAGTCTGTGAATATGGAGGAAGGAACATCGTGTCCCTCCCGATTCTGCCTCTGCTCCTATGCACTTAACTTCGTTTGTCCCGCATACCCGCAAATTGGATCGAGTTGTCGCTGCCGTCGCCACTGTCGCTCGACAAAAGACTGATACCAATCATGTCGGCCCTTGCCTCCTGCTCGTCTTGTTCGCCATCGATATGTATATCATTCACCAGGTCCAGAATGCGATCCTGGAAATCCTCATCGGCTTCATCTTCGTCCTCGCTTTCTCCGACATCCTGTGAGGGATCATCGTCGTCATTGAGAGTTTGGCGACCTGCGTATCGTCCGCAGGATAAGCGTCGCGGACGCAAGAGGGCCGGAGGCTGCGTCACGGACGCTATTGCTATGAGCAAGTGATCGAAGTATAGTGTATCGTAGAAGGTATTCGAAGTCGGGATGTTGATCCCCAAGATATTCGCGAATCTTGCCATCAGACCAGCCGAGTTTCTTTAGCTCATCAATGCGATGACTACGTTTCCCTGCCTTGCGTTGTTTGTATTGTGCTGGGCTTCGCTTTCTCCGCTTCGCCACTGCTAAATGTGGTGCCGGGTGTTGAAGGCTTCTTTTTCACCACTCCTAATAGCGAAGAGTTGGCTTTTCTCTTCTTCTTTCCTCCCCAACTACCTCGCAGTTTCGCTTCATCCTTCTGCCCTTTCTCCTCCTCATCCGCCTTCTCCTCCTCCTTCTCCACCTCTTTCTTCCGTACCCGTTCCTCCTCTGTTCCCTCGCCAAACTTTACCTTTCCAGACTTCTGGGCCCTAAAGAGCTCCAATTCCTCTCTCTCCCTCCGTCTTCTCTCCTCCTCTTCCCTTTTCCTCTCCTCGGCTACACCCGCTAAAAATTCACTCTCGCTCTCATCTATCCCCCGGAACTGATTGGAAAGTTTAAACATCTCATCATACTTTGCATCCTTCACCTCCTTATTTGCTTGGAGTCGTTCGAATAGGCTTCGCGGATCATAGTCCCCGTCAGGGGCAGTAGAGGAGGAGGAACGGGCTGCTTCTAGTTCTGATTGAGAGACGAATCTAGATGCTACTGAGGTCGGCTTGATTGGTATCATTGTGCCTTTCCCAGCCGATCTGGGCTGTGCTAATAATGTTGTGGTTAACTGATGGTGGCGGTGATAGAGGGAAAATACAGTAAAGGATGTGAAGGATCGAATGTTTGAGAAGAAAGCCAAAAGACCCTGAAGAGAGAGAGCCAAGTTTCCGCCCGCGGAACAGCTAAAAAAAAAAAAAAAAAAAAAAAAAAAAAAAAAAAAAAAAAAGGTGTGGAAGTTCCACCTCAGAAACGCTCGCACGATCCAGCCTCTCACCCCGGCCCCACACACCTTCCTCAACACTTCTCAACATAAAAACAGGAAGCACACCTCACTCACTCACTCCTTTTCCTTCATTGGTGACTACGGAAGACTGAAATCGCTAAGGAACAATCGACCACATAAACATTGCTATGTGCGCTGAGCGATCTAAGCACATTGGTAATATTTCGAGACTGCACTGTTTGGCGCTAATGACGCCCCAACCCTCACCTCACCATCAATTGGGTGAAGATCAGGTGCGCCTTTGCAAACTTACCTTTTTTGAAGGGGCGGACTACAACTCTGAAAGTTGCAACCTGGTATCAATCGTTACACCCTGCCCTGACTTCGGCTTTGAGCTTCCTTTACTGCTGCATCCCATTCTGCGAGGGAGCAAAGTTAAATCCACCCTGAGGAGCGTTCAAATCGGACTGGAAAGCAAATGCACCAGTCTCATCCACCTGCGGAGCACCCAATCCAGTATCTTGGGCCTCATCATCTGGGAAGTACTTGTCCATGATATAGAAGCACTTCTTGTAGATATCCAAATTCTCATGATGCTGCAAGTTGTGAATCGAAACCATTCCACCACACTCTTCAATATGAAGCGCATACGCATTGGATGCATCACCACCAGCTGTCTCCCTATCCATCTCGCCCACCTTCAAAATGTTCTCCAATCCATCGAGCGCAACTTGGATGATCTTGTTGTCCATACTGCGGAGTAAGTCGCAGAGAGGCTTGATGCAGCCCTGCGAGACAAGGTATCGGATCTGTTGGGGATCGGAAAGACCGCCGCTGGTAGCGTTGCTGATGGCCCAGCAGGCTTCTTTTTTAGTCTTGAAATCGGCGTGTTGAAGAATTTCGATGAGAGGAGGGATGATGTTGGCGTCGATAACGGCTTGGATCTGCTGGCAAGAGCCGGCGGTGATGTTGGAGATAGTCCAGCATGCTTCCTTGCGGATACCCTCTTTGGGGGAGGAGAGGAGCGAGAGAAGTGGTGGGAGAGCACCTGAGGAAATGACGACCTGAGTCTGGTAGTCGTCACCAGTGACAATGTTACCGACGGAACGCAAAGCAGGAGTCTGAACAGCAGTGGAAGGATGAGTGAGAAGGTCTACAAGACGACGGCAGACACCAGACTCGATCACACCCTGAATCTTCTCGTTGGCGCCGTCGGAAAGGTAAGAGATGGCCCAGCAGGCGTCGATGAGGACCTCATCGTCCATCGAGTAGATGAGTTTGGTGAGAACGCTGAGAGCGGGCGAAACCATGAGCCAGTCAGGCTGAGGGTTCTTACCACGGCAAAAGTTGCTGAGAGTCCATGTTGCGTTGCGGAGCATGCTCTGCTTGTGGTTCTCGCTCAAGAGAGCAATGAGAGGGCGCATAGCACCGGCCTGGAGAACGTAATCACGGCACTTGGGGCTGTCACCGGCAATATTACCAAGAGCCCAGACAGCCTGCTCTCGAACATCGAGAACGGGAGAGGAGAGAAGCTGGATGAAGACGGGGACGGCACCCTCGTTGATGACAACCTGAGTGTGGTCGGAAGTACCGGAAGCAATGTTGGTAAGGGCCCAAGCAGCTTCAAACTGGATCATGCTGTGCGGGCTCCTGAGGAACTCGACAAAGCGAGGAACGACACCAGAAGCAATGACACGCTCGATGGGAGGGCTCTTCTCCTTGGAGAGCAACTTGCGGAACTTGGTGGTAGCATCGAGTTGTCGGTCGAGGTTGTCGCTCATAGCATCTTCGATCATCCTTGGAAGCTCGTCGGCGAGCTGTGCGTCGATAGCAGCGGATTGGGCGTCATCGTCGTCGGAATCGGCACCATCGGTATCATCGCCAACGTTGAGGTTTCTTCGCTTTGCCATGGACTCTTCACGCTTCTGACGACGAATCTCGACCTGAGCCTCCTCACGCCTACGACGAAGCTCATCCTGCTTGAAGACACCCTTTGCCTTGTAGTTGTCCTGACGACGGGACATGTCACGGGCCGACATTGTGAGTGTAGTATGGGAGAGTAGTAGTGGTGGTGTAGGAGTGGTCGGAGGATTTACGATTGGTTGCTTGTGTAGTGTTGCGGTGGTAGTAGCAGCACAAAGACGGGAAATTGAACGAGGATTAGAAGCGGCCGAAGTGTGCGGTTGATGCGACGGTCTGTAGAACGAGATGAGACCGAAAAGGAGATGACGAGGGAGAAGAAAGAAGAGAGTGTGGGATGATGATGATGTTTGGGAAGGAAGATGCGGATGAGGCAAGGGGACGAGATTGATAGTTGTTTGAAAGCTCAGCGGCGGAAGATGAACTCTGCTTCTGCTGTTGCAAATCAAAAGACGAAAAAAAGAGAAAAAGAAAAAGAAAAAAAAAACGGAGACCAACACATCAACCAACTCAGCTCGCCCTCACGCAGACCACACCAGAATTAGCGACCGGCGCAAGCCGCACACACACACACGCTCACACGCTCGCTCGCTCACCAAAGATTGTGGTCCAGGCTCACTCAAAAGACCGAAACACACCAAAAAAAAAAAAAAGAAAAAAAAGAAAAAAGAAAAAAGAAAAAAAAAGGTGCTTGCTCACCGCTTTCTTTCCTTCCTGCTGCTTTTCGGAAAGTCAGGCGCACACGCCCAGAGGAGAAGACAGGCTGCTGTGCTCTGCTGTTGCTGTTTTTGTTTCAGGCATCTGAGCACAGTCATCGTCAGTTTGAAATACACATCGACGTCAGAGCAAAGCTAGTTGTAAGTTCAAGGTTACGAATTTAGCCGTTGCAATTCAAGTCCAGCGCGTGACTAGATCTGTGATGCTCAGTCTGCCGATCAGACATCAGATCTCACCGCCGGTTTTCGGGAAGGTCGTTTGTTGTCTGAACTCGGTCTCACATCTAACATTCTCAACAACAACAAAAAAAAAGGGGAAACCAAGGCCGAAGTCCGGAGCTGGTTCGGCTTCACGGCCTTAAGCTGAAAAGAGAGCGAATCACAGCCTCAGCGTTGCCCGCCCTCGTGCGAAGTTAGTTGTAAGTCTGTCTCTTACAGCAATGTCTCCCGGTACTTGCACTCGCCCTTGTCCGAATGTCGGCGGCGTTTTGCAATGACGCTTTTCCTTCTTATCCTTCAACACCATCGTCCTTGCTTATCTCGAATAGCATTGGCTCACATCAACGCTTGGTGTCTGCAACAGCGCTACTGCGAGCACCGACACTCTAGGTTGACGCCTGTTTCAAATCAACAATCATGATGGCGGCAAACCCTCACAGCTCCGTCTCTCAAGGAGACCTCGAGCTTCTCGATGCCCTCACTTCGATGCCTTCCTCTTTCCCGCACCAGCCTGACTATGCTTCCTCAGCTACCAAACCAAGGCCGCTCTCTACGCTCGACGCTCTCCGTCGACCTCCCATCGACCCTATGGTCTTGGCTGCAAGTCTAAGCTCGGGTCCTCATGTCACTCGCCACCACTTCTACCACTCGTTCGGTAGTCATGCTGACGGTAGCAAGTCGCAACAGATGCCTGCTAGTCAGCGTAAAGCTGCTGCCACTGCCACCTCGAGTGGTAGTGGCTCTCGACCTTCCCAGCCTCGTTCTCGGAGACCTTCGGCTGCAAGTGGTTCCTACGCAAATTGCGACTTTGACGACTTTGAAGTTCCCACTCCCAACAAGGCTTCTTCTTCCGCTATCAAGATCGAACCTCCCCCCGAAGTCACCGATGAGGAAAGAGCTTTCTATGCTAGTAGACAAGCTCCTCGCAGTGTTCGACTGCAAAAACAGAGAGAGCTTGAACAACGACGAATGCAGTCCAAATCCGCCGTCCAACCCATCACCACTGCTACCGCTGCCGCTGCAGATGCAGCCGAAACCCATGCCGTAGCTCAAGCCGTTGGTGTACGTGCCTCTGGCCAACCTGCTCAACCTGATTTGCTCAATAAATCGGGTAACCAAGCACACCAAACTGTGCAGCTTCCACCTCCTGCACCTGCGACAAAGATAGCTCAGGCACTCGACGAACGCAAAGCAGCCGTAGCAGCTGTCAGTGCCTCTGCTATGCCGCTTACTCCTTTCGCCGAGACGCTGCCTGCGCAAGTTGGCACGCCGGTGGGTAAACCTGCCATTTCCTCCATCGTTCGTCCTCCACCTGTTCGTGTTAGGTGTTATGCTAGGACAAGAGTCCCGACACCTCACGGCGAGATCTTTTGTCATCTTTACAAGAACACGCACGATACAAAGGAGCATCTGGCGCTGGTTATCGATCCGTATCAAAACGACGAGGAATCTACTCAGATGGGACCTGATGGTCGACCTCTCAAGGAGTCAGACGAGTTCTACCAGCAGCATGCATTGAGAAGTAAGAGTTTGGACGAAGTATGGGGAGCAGAAGAGAGCGATATGGAACGCATCGTCCGAGGAGCATACATGGGCAGATTAGGTCCCTCATTCCAAGTGGCAAGTAAACCTTTACCACGTCATGCGCATCCTTTGCACGGTAGACAGATGAAATCTGCGGATGATGGAGAGTTGGCACCTTTGGTTCGAATCCATTCGGAATGTTTCACGGGCGAGACTATTGGTAGTCAACGTTGTGATTGTGGCGAACAGCTAGATGAGGCGATTCGGCTTATTTCAGAGGCTTACGACACGTCTAAACCTTGGCATCACTCGAAAAAGCCGAACAAGTTGGGTAGAGGTGTAATCGTCTACCTCCGCCAAGAAGGGAGAGGCATTGGCTTACTGGATAAGTTAATGGCGTATAATTTGCAGGATATGGGACATGACACTGTCTCGGCTAATGTTCTTTTGGGTCATTTGCCGGATGCGAGGAAGTACGATATTGCGTCTGCCATTTTGAGGGATCTAGGGGTGGATGAATGTAGGTTGTTAACGAATAATCCGGAGAAGATGGAAGCGTTGGAGGCTGAGGGAGTTAGGGTGACGGAGAGGGTGGGGATGGTTCCTAGGGTTTGGAAGTTTGGCAAACGGTTGAAACGCAAGAGTAAGAAGACACGTAGTGGGAGAAGCAAAAGTGAAGCTAAGATTGGGGGTGGTTCAGCCCGCAACTCTCCTCTTCGATCTACTGCGCAGGGTGGACACGGGAAGAAAGCTTCTTCTTTACTCGGTCGAATATCATTCGGAGGCATGGAAAGTAACGTGATATCCCAAGCCAGTACCTCAGACTCCGACGTCGACCCTACCACAGCTGGACTTCGACATCAAGGAGAAGACATCCTCAACCCTGGAGACCGTTTCGAATCCGACCTTGACGAACACAAAGACAGCGATGCCGCAGATGAGGGGGAGGATAGTGGTAGTGACTCAGGCGATTCTTATATCGATCATGTACTACGAAGATCAGGTACAACTATGATTGGTGCAAGTATCACCAAGGGTCCTGAATTGGAAAAGTATTTGAGGACAAAGGTGGAGAGAATGGGGCATTTGTTGGCTTTGCCTCCGGATCAAGCTGAGAAGAAAGGGGAGGAGGGGGAGGATGCGCCTGTCTCACAGCCTAATTCGGAGGATGAAGGGGAGAGATATGTTGCTGTTTAGATGCAAGTACAGTAGATGAATCAATTTTCTCACCTTTTTCTGACACTGTTCTCAAAAGCCTTGCTTGTGTGTGATGAAAAAAAAAAAAAAAAAAAAAAAAAAAGGGCGCTGGTGAGACTACGAACACAAATTGCAGCTTGAGCAGCCACATTGAATCAAACACGCACGATGGTGAACAAAGCCAAGTGAAAGAGGCGATAAAAAACAAGTGGACCATTTCAATCAAGAATGTAGTAACCTTTAGTTACGTCTGACAGTGAGAGTTGGGGGATGAGTATAGACGTGCTCGCCTATGTGGTGAGCCTGCAGTGTTTGAGGATCCGAACACCAATGAATAGCAGCGCTTCGATCTAGGTTTTCTTCTACATCTAGCAGTATCCTCCGTCGTCCAACCTAGATCTAATAGGACTGTTGACCATTCCTCGCGGGAGGGGATTGATGTTGCAAGAGACTCCTTCTCTTATTCTTCGCCATTTCCTTCTTCAACGCTGCTCCATCCAAGGGTTTCAGTAGTTCAAACGCACACAACAGATCCTCGGATACCGACATTACCGCACCAAAGTTATCAAATTCGCCACAATAGTTAGGAGCGCTGAAAATCGTAACCAAAGTCCTTTCGTTCCAGAACTCATAGCCATCTTCCACCACCATATGTGCTCTGCAGATGAGATCAAAGTCGTACTGGGCCAGGAATTGCTGGATAACCGCTTTACCGAAACAATAGGAAACACCTCGTTCGTTATCCTCCCAATCCAATGCAGTATCTGATGGATCGGACCAGAGCAGATCATTAAGCAAGCCGTAGTCGGGAACATCGGTAGGTCTTTCAATCCGACGAATATCGTCCATGTTGGAAAGCGAAGGTGAAAGACCGCCATGAACGCAAAAGATTTTGGAAGCTACAACGGCAGCGATGGGTAGTGTGTTGAAAACGTCGATGAAAGTTTTCCAGATCTTGATGTTGACACGTCGTTTGCATTCGTCGTAAAAGCCATAGACACGGGTGACGTTGGCACATTCGTGGTTGCCACGAAGAAGGAAAAAGTTTTCGGGATACTTGATCTTGTAGCACAACAACAACAAGATGGTTTCGAGCGATTGCTTGCCTCGATCAACGTAGTCGCCCAAAAAGAGGTAGTTGGCCGAGGGAGGGAATCCGCACATCTCGAACAAACGCAGAAGATCGTGGTACTGTCCGTGGGTGTCGCCTACGATCTTGACCGGTGGGCTGAGTTCGATGAGTGTGGGTTGAGAGAGGAAAATTTCGCGTGCTGCTTGGCAAACGGCTGTGATTTCTGCGTTCTTGAGTGCTGGTTTGGGGATCTTGCCAGAGTAACCTGCTTCGAGGAGACGCGAGATCATGTCGTCAATGTCGAATGTGCGAACTTGGTCTGTGCTGCCACCTGCGGCTTGCGAGCCTTTACCGAGGGAAGCTGGGAAGCCGGAACCGCTCTGTGCAAGTGGATTAGAGAGAATGGTGGCTGCTGTGGGAGCAGAAGCGCTTGCTGCAGCATCGTTGACCGACAAAGATCCAGCAGCATCGAGATCGCTTCGCCCAGCTGCGGATCTTGCGGCAGCTGGGCTACCAACTTCGCTTCCTTCTTCGGCACCTTCTAACACGTTGCGTGCAGAGGGTGATGGCGATGGCAGGGGAGACTCGTGTCTGCTGACACCGCCACGCTTCTCGATCTTGGCAGGAGCGGATGAGCCGCTGTTGATGCCGTTGCCTGCACCGTTGTCGTTGACCGCGAGCGAGTCTTTGCTCTTGGCGCGAAGGAGGTTGGAAGAGTCGGAGCCAGAGAGACCGTTGGAAGCCTCGGCAGCGTCCTCTCCGTCTTGGACCTTGGATTTGCCCTTTCGGGAAGAGCCACCAATGATCTTGCCGAATGATTTGAACATGATTGCAGTATCGTAAAGATGCAAGTAGGAGAAGGGCGTATGGTGCTTCGACTGACGGCGTGGGCAACTGGCGGCGTGGGCAAGAGTTTGAGCAATGTAAGCTAGGTGTTTTCGACCAGGTTGCAATGCAGGAACGGCGTTTAGATCTGTGCGTGTCCTCCTCGACGGCTACGAGCTATACTGAGCAGAAGAAAGAATGTGGGATCGTCAAAAGGGTGAAAGAAAGACACTTTGAGTGTCAACGTGTTGCAAGCCCGGCAGTACTTCGGATGAAACGAGAGATAAGCGTCCGAAAGAGCGACAAAGTGTAGCAGCAGTCCAATGAAGCTTTTCTTTTTTCTTTTTTTTTTTTTTTTTTTTTTTTTTTTTTTTTTTTGGATTGTAAAGGTTGCTTGCTGCCGGTGATCGAAGCTCGTATCGAAGTCAAGCTTTCCCTTTAAAGGGACGCGAGAGGAAAGCTTGCTGAGCTAATGGGGTTGCAATTGTGTTAGGATGAAAGAGAGCAACAGTTGTTCTTAGCCAGATCGAGCTTCGACGAGGCTATGGTAGAAGGAAAGAATGATCAGAGGATGGAGAATGTGGCAAGGAGAGCAAAGGAGAGCAAAGGAGAAGGATGGAGGCGAGAGTCAAGTCGAGTGGAGTGGAAGGGACGTGCGTGTCTGTGTGTGGTAAGTGAGTGAAGCAGCTGAAGAGCGGGGGAAAAGTTAGTCACTGTGCACAACTCTCTTTCTCCCAATCGAGATTGGCGAGATCAGACGACTGCCAAATTTGTCACTTCTCATTTCGCCCTGTCCCTTTTGCTCTCCTTTTGGGTTGTGCTCCGTGCATACCAGTCATCTCAGCACCGCTTCCGGTTGGTATCAATTTGAGCTTCCGCACGTTCTCCAAGCTTATTCCCGGCAAGACAGGAGCTGTTACGTTATGTCAGAGGTCTCGCACCCAAAACCTGATATCTGTAATAGAAACACATCTATTATGATTCCTGTTGAGATATGTGGTAACATGTGGTGTATTACAATTTCTATCGAGGTATGTCATAGATAAACCTCTATGACTTTTCTTGCCCAAAGATGTAATAGTTGTTTTGCTATTGCAGGTTTTGACTGACTGCTGTGGACACTCCATCCAGAGGTAGCTCAGCACAATCAATAACTTGATATGATCTGGTACTAACACCAAGGTCTGGTGTGATTGATATTGTTGATGCCACTGACACAAGTGTCCAGTGTGTCAACTGAGTGCTTGAGGTGATCCCCAGACTGCAGTGGACAACTGCCTTCAGTTCTATCTTTATCCAGACTGCTGGTTTGCTATGAACCACCTGTCATGGGCCTGGATGCTCAAGAAGCAGGAGGGTCACTGGTTCATATGGAAGGAGCACAGGTATCAAAGATCTAGTTGATACCAGTAGAGAGCATGGTCGTAGTGCAGTCTCCATGGAGACCATGGACTCCTATGGACTCACATGCAAAGGAGAACCGAGCCACATGCAAGGAGGGCCAGGCACAGCCACAAGGAGGACCAAGCTCAAGGAGCAGGCACAGCCACAAAGAGGACCAAGCTCAGATGGTTACCACTCAGGGGCTCGAGAGACAAGAGTCATAGGACACTGGCAAGCAGGTCCTGAGGAAGAGGAGCAGTGTCGAGGGAGTCGACAACAGGTCATGAGGAGGAGGAGCAGTGTCAAAGGAGTCGACACCAGGTCATGAGGAGGAGGAGCAGTGTCAAAGGAGTTGACACCACTCAAGAGGCACAGGGGTGCCAAGCAGGAGAGGCCCCTGAGCAGTACTCGATGAAGAAGGTACTCTCTGGAGAGAGAGCAGGAGCAGCATCGCTGGCGATGCTGTGAAGAGGTATATAACCATGCTTTCTCATCATCATAGGTCGAGTGGATCCTCATCCACTCTACTCACCATAACTAGTTATCACTTCAGCATAAGTATATATTAGTTTCAGTCAGCATAGCAGCAATCTATCAAGGTTGCTCCTCATTGTAGTGTGTGTGTTGTATCACCACTACCTGATGTCCGAAGGTGCCCATAGCAGGTTAGTGGTCCGGATCAAGATAGAACCAAAGGCAGTAGTCCACTGTGGTCTGGGGATCACTTCAAGCATCAAGTCAACACACTGGATGCTCGTGTTGACACCACCAACCTTATCACCAACACCATCAACCTCATTATCATCAACACCCACCAACCTTATCACCAACATCATCAACCTCATCATCATCAACACTCACACCAGACCTTGGTGTCATCATAGCTTTGATATTGATCGTGCCAAGCTACCCCTGAATGAAGTGTCCACAGAGGTCAGCCGAAACCTACGATAGTATATACAATGAACACCACCTGCTGTCACTGCACAACTTGATAGTCACTGATACCGAGACAATAGCTGTCGCACAGTTTGATAGTCACCGAGTATCTTGACAGACTGACCTGGGTTTCAGGCATGAGACCCCTGACACAGCACACCCCTCCAATCAGTGGTGCTGTTAGCCTTGGCCCATTCTAGACATTTATGCTGGTTTTTGGCTATCAGAAATGGCTTTTGGAGCACAATCCAGTGGTTAATACTGGCCCAGTATGCTGCTTTCTGGAGCTGCATAACTGGAATGCTGCCAAGCGATGCTGACAGCTGTTGCCATGATAGAAATGGGTTTTTGAGTACCTCATGCTGTATCAGTCTGAGGTAGCTGTCCAGGAGCACAGATGGCCAGATCATGCTTTTGTTTTGAAGGAACCATGCTCCTTAAAATTATGGATGGTCTTGTGAACTGCTGTTTTGGAAACACCACTTAGCTCTGCAATTCATCGAATTGGCAGCCCAGTATCATGCATTGCAATGATTGAAGCATGCTTGCTTGGAGAGAGCTCATTGCCATGGACCATATTGGTGTTTGAAGTGTTCTTGATTAGTATGATGGTAGTGCTATTGCTCAATGACAATGATGACCTGAATGTGGGGTAACTGACTAAATCAGGAAATTACCCAATTGTCCCCAAACTTATGCACAGGGACTGTACTGTCTTGGTTGCGATTGTTGGTGTTGCTGGGTGGCATGCTGACTGCAAAGTGCTGGAAGCTGCTGAGCTTCAGACTCTTAATCAGTTGTGATGTTGGAGTTTTTGCTTTGCTATGCTATGGTCTAAGTACAAGCTTGAGTCTGGAGGTCCCCAAGTCTTTCACCACTTGTGTGTGGCTGCAAAAATTTTCATTAACCGGAATTCCTACGTTGTTACATCTCCCTCAACTAAATCACATGACCGTGTATTTACCCCTAACACGCCCGCGCCACGCGTAAACTCGCACCAACACTCGTCATTGCCCACCAACGACCCCTATCTCATTCGATCACAGCATGCAGTCATACGTGCCACTTCATCTTAACACACTGACGGTAGAAGCATATATACTCTTGACATTGCTGTACTTAGTTCTCATGTAATGCTAACTATTCACCGCTCGCTATATTGCCCCGACCGTGCTTTCGTCAACATTCTTCCCATCGCCCTGCTTTGCATGGAACCACCCACACCGTTCAACATACCGTATCTAGCACACACTACCACGGTTCCGCGCCCACACACATACACACACACACACACAAGGAGGCAAGAAGGAGAATGGGATTCAACTGTCCACGTATCATTATTCTGCGGGCATGGGGTATGAGAGCAAGCGCCAGAAGGCGAGGTAAAGGCATCTGCGACATTGTATGTACAACCTGAGTCATGTTGAGACTGGAAGAGATGAGATTGTTGTTGTTGTTGTTGTTGTTGTTGTTGTTGTTGTTGTTGTTGTTGTTGTTGTTGTTGTTGTTGTTGTTGTTGTTGTTGTTGTTGTTGTTGTTGTTGTTGTTGTTGTTGTTGTTGTTGTTGTTGTTGTTTTGTATGTTTGGCAGTGTGCCAGTCTGTACTAGTTAGGCTGGTCGGGAGGTTCGAAGGTGTTGTTGATGATCGATCCAGATCTCAGGTTGGTCGCACAGTTCGACGCCTTTGCCTGCATGTTGCTGACAAGCTGGAACGATTGATCGCAACGCTGACCGACAAGGTCACTCGATCAACAGCCGTGTCAAAGTACGAGGTCGAGGTTGAGACCGCCTTACATCTCAGCCAACTGCGTCAAAGCAGCAGTATTGATCATACTCGCCTGTCTGTTGCCTCCAGACCCGGAAGCAGACGCTGCTGCTCCACTAGGCGCAATATTAGCCCCCGGGCCAGTACCACCAGGAGGCAAATCGTCGTTCTCCGAAAGAGAGTTGAGGTTCATGGGAACAAAGATGACCTTGCTGTTGGCAGTCTTTGCCATTGCCTGTAGACTCTCGAGTGCACGGATCTGCATGGCACTCTTGGAAGCCAAAATGTCGGCCGCCTGACGCATGAGTCGAGCAGCATCAACTTCAGCCTGAGCTGCAATCACTTTACTCTCACCAATCCGTCTCTGCTTTGCAGCTGAGCTGAGAGATTCTTGAAGTTCTTTGGAGAAGAGAATATCCTTGATGAGGATGGATTCGATTTGAACACCCCATCGATCGGCTACGTCTCCAACAATCTCTTGCACTTCGAGCGCCACTTGCTCTCGATCCGTGACCAAAGACTGCAAAGTTCGCCCTCCGACTACGTTTCGCAGTGTAGTTTGAGCTCGTTCTGTCAAAGCTGACTTGACATCGGCAATACCAAAGGCGGCTCGATAAGGGTTCGAGATGTGCCAGAAGACGACAGAGTCCAACGAGACTGAAACAGAGTCACGCGTGATGCACGACATCTGGGCCACACTAAGTGTTTGGATCTTTACGTCGACTCGTCGAAGAGATTCGCTACAACGGTTGACTTGAACTAGACCTGGGTCCTCACTCCTATAGAACCTCCCAAAGCGAGAGACCAGTCCGACACTTCCTTGCTCCACTTCTTTGAAAGGGTTGGGACAGCAGAAGCAAAAGGGGATCTGACCGAAGCAACCGGCGATAGCACCGATACCGTTGATCATCGAACCATAGAAGCCGTGTTCGACAGTGTCAAGGCCGAGGTTCTGCTTGTAGGAAGGTTGCATCTCGGATCGTCGCAAGGGCTGGACAGTGACGAGGCCCTTGGTGTGAGCCTGAGGCGCGGAAGAGCTGGTCATGTCGGGCCGCTTGCCCGAACCATGGCCGTTATGGGAGCTGTTCTGAAGCGTGTCGTTGCCAAGCTCGGACATGTTGGCGGCTTGCTATACGTTTAGGTGGTAGGCCTTGTGGAGGAATAGTCTGCGGGTAAGCGGTTGTGATACACTGCTTTGAGGGGGATTATTCGGGATGGTATCTTCGAATTCGAGTTGCTCTTTAGTTGTTTGATGTTGGGCCCAGTGAGGCAGGCACTTGACCGAAATGGGGGCCGAGTTGGAGGGAAACATACTTTTCTTGACGAAGCCGAGAAGCCGACAAGGGATATGCCTTTCGACGATCGTCAAAGCCGTCCATCCCTTCCGGTCGAAGCCAAGGAGGAGGAGAAGAGAGAAACAGCTGAGCTAAGTGTCGAGAGTTGGCCTCAAGCGCCAAGCCGAGTCACATGTCTGATCGGCATACCGGCTATCAGACATCCGACATAGTTTCCCCGTTACGTTTCAGCCTGATCATCCTTGTATCTTATGATATACGTAAAGAAGTTTGGGGTCCCGATACTGGTGATCGGGGATAGTCTAAGTACGATGTCACTACTCCGTTAAGGCAGAAACATATACTCAATTGACTAGTGGAGCGAGCTGAGAGCCTAGTGCTCTCAGCTTGATATACAGCATGTGCATAAACTGTCCCATAATTTTACATGTCACCATACATCACTCTAATGCTCAATAGCTATAAGTTGTATTGCCACACTGTCTGATATCATCTGAAAGCCCTGCTTCTTCTCTCCAAGACTGTGGAATTGATATTGACATTGACTAAAAAAATTGTGCTATGAAGAAGAGCTGAATTTTTTTTTATTGTGGGACAGTTTATGGAGCATGCTCCCAAATAGCAACACCACTCCATTCCTGACCTTGTGGGCTGTTGACTACAATGAAACTTGCAGTGTAACTTGGTGGGAGCCTTCATATACATCGAAAGTAGTGATGTGGAAAGTTTCAGCTCAATCAGATGACTGCAAGTAATCTGGCAGCACTTCCAGTCTGACACCATCATATCTATACCATCATGCCAAAAACCACCCCAGAGAGGTGCCAATTGGCACTCTTTCACATCCAAAATGGGGAGTCTACCCATTCAGTTGCTGAGCAACTCAGTCTGAGCAAGTCTACAGTGAATTGCATCAGCAAAAGCACCTCTGCTGATGTTCCAAAGTCAAAGGGGGGCCAGCTGAGAAAACTCCAGCCTTGTCATGTTTGCTTCCTGGATCACTATTTTGAGCTCAATTCAACCTCCACAGTCAGGAAAGCAAGTCATGCACTGCAGGAGACATTTCAAATCAAAGCATGCCCAACCACAGTAAGAAAAGCACTTCATTACTGTTGTTACAAAGCATGAAGGTTAGTGAAAAAACTGAAGCTACTCAAGAGACATTGCAAAGCCCATTTCAAATTTGCTAATGGGCACAAGGACATGACTGTTGAGGATTGGAAGAATGTGGTATGGTCTGATGAGATGAAGATCAACTTCTTTGGACTGGATGGTAAGCAGTTCTGTTGGATTAAGAACACCAGCTTCAACAGCAAGCTTGTCAGGCTGATGGTCAAGTTCAGCAGCAGCTCCATCATGATCTGGGGCTGTATGACATGGGAAGGGGTGGGAGGTATGTGCTTGGTGCTGGGTTCAATGAATTCAGACCAATACATTGATATCTTGAATGACAAGCTTTTGAAAACAATCTCAGATTTGCAGCTTCAGCATGCATACACTGACATCACATTTCAGCAAGACAATGACCTGAAACACATGTCAAAGAAGACAATAACATGGTTGGAAAGCAATAGCATTAAGGTTATGCAATGGCCAGCACAGTTGCTGGACTTAAACCTGATTGAACACCTCTGGCACCATCTCAAAATGTGACTTTCACAGTATAGTACAATTGCAAAGTCCAGGGATGAACTGCTCAAGAGATGTGAAGCTGAATGGACAGTGATCACTCCAGAGACATGTAGGACACTAATAGAGAGCATGCCAGACTGCATCAAGGCAGTTCTGAAGGCCAAAGGAGGGAATATGAAGTACTAAGGTGTTCTTGAGGAGTGCTCCATAAACTGTCCCACAATAAAAAAAAATTCAGCTCTTCTTCATAGCACAATTTTTTTAGTCAATGTCAAAGGTTATATGCTGCTCTAAGGTCTAGCTTGGTATAGATCCTTGCCTTCCTGAGTAAGAACAGCTGCTCCTCGATGAGGGGCAATGGTGCCCTGTTCGTGACAGTGATCTCATTGAGTCCACAGTAGTCCATGCAGAGTCTGAGACCTCCATCCTTCTTTGGTACGAAGAGCACTGGTGATCATGCTGGGCTCTTCGATGGTCTTATGAACCCCTTCTCGAGGTTCTCATCCAAGTACCTCCTCAACTTGGACATCTCCTTGGGTCCCTTAAGGTACAGGGGCCCCTGAGGTGGCTTACCTCCTTCTATTAACTTGAGGTGGAGATCATGCTTGGTATGATGGGGCAGTTTGTCTGCTTCCACTTCATCGAATACATCTCACAGGTGTTGATATGGCTTTGGTATGTCTGCAGCCATCACCACCTTGTCCACCTCTACCTCCATCTCTACTCCTTTGTCTGCACCTGTAGGTACAAAACCAAAGGCCAGGAGTGATGATGGTGGCTCCTCTAACAGCATGAACCCTATGGGTCCATCTTCCAGAGCTGCTCATAGTATGTGCTCTGCTGAGACAAACTCATTACCATGAAGGGTTGGTCTCCTCATGGTTAGGTCCCCTGCTCTTGCTGCTTCAGGGGGTCTCCTTGGGGGTCAGTCCTGCTCCTGAGTCTTGAACTCCAGCTGGCCCGTATCCCATTGTATGGTGGGTTTGAGCCTCCGTAGCTCAGTGAACCCCAGGATGAGGTCATAGTCAGCAGTGTCGGCCACTGAAGCTTCGACCACACCCAGATTGTGTGTACCAATAGATACCTGCATGCTCGCAGAACTATTGATGGAGAGTTGGTGTCTGGTGACACCATGGATCGATCTTGTTTTTGTGGGTTTTGTGGGTATTTGGTACTTACTAATGAAAGAGTCTGAGACTATGGACAAACCAGCACCAGTATCAGCCAGTATCTGAGCAGGATGGTCTTGAACCATTCCAGAGAGCTCCAGTACTGCTTTGCCTCCACTGGTAGAGAAACATACTTGACAATCTTGATATATACAGAGTGATGGCGAGGAGGTTTGTAGAGCAATGCATGCCATCAGTGCATCACCCCACTGACATTTCCCTCATTGTTGCCATCATCATGCTCCTCCTCATGTTCAGGGTCCATGGACTGCTGGTATGGGCTGAGGTCCATGGCCTCGGGGTCACCCATCTCGGTGCTGCCTGTGTGGCCATCTCCTGAGTCGGTGGCCTCCTTGAAGGGGTCTGCTGTGGTGACCATGACCTTTGGACCCATGGGTTGAGAGCTAAGAGGGTCTACCCTCCTGCTGGGGCAGTCTCTGGCCCAATGGCAAATACCCTTGCATACATGACAGGTGTTGGTACCTGATGGAGCAGGGCTTCCTTGCTTCGAGGTTTGGGTGGATTGATGAGGAAGGGGTCGATTAGTTGGTTGATTTAGGTTTTGGGTAGTTGCTTGTGCTGGTGATCAAGCTGGATAAGGTTGAGGGGGTTGATGTATGGGGATTGAACTTTGATTTGGCCAAGACCCAGTTCTTAGCAGAGGTGACGTGGCATTTGGGAGTGAGTGTCTAGCCGAGGACTGCTGTAGTAGCATCCTCTGTTGATCGATCTCCTCGACCTCTCGATACCACTCCCATCTCTTTCCAGGTGGATTCCTCTCGAACTTCTCCTGTATGCTACGAGTGAGACTACCTCTGAAGAGATCAATCACTAGCTCATTGTCATCTAGGTTGACCTGTCCCTCCAAGTCTCTGAACTGCTCTACATGATGTGTGGCAGCACCAGGAGCATCACTTGTGAGCCTGAGAGCCAACAGCTTGTTGTATGCCTCCATCCTAGCATTGCATGGGTTGAACTGCTCTGACAGTCACTCTGTGAAGTAGTGCCAATCATTGAACAACCTTCCTTCTCTAGCTCTATCAATATGGAGCTTGGAGGTCCACCACTCTCTTGCTGTCCCTTCTAGTTGAGCACCCATGTGGTTGATCATCCTAGTCTGCTCATACACCTGGTTGAACTTAAACCATGCTTCGGCTTCTAGAATGAAGATCTCCATGTCTCAGGGATTGAACTTTGGAAAGGGGGTGGTGATGGGCTTTGACCAGTTAAGCTCTGCCATGATGCTGGTGTCCTCCTCATGGTCCAGGGGGTAAGGGTCCATCCTGGTCCTGCTGTAGGGGTCCACCTTAGTCTTGACATATCTTGGCCCTGTAGGTGAAGCATACTTCTCGTAGTTGACATCGTCCTGCTCATCCAGCTTGAATGAGACTGATCGTCTTGGTTGTGGAGCCAGAGTAGGAGTATGTGGGTCTCCTATCATAGACTCATCTCCTCCTCCTGCTTGGTCTTCTGAGTGAGAGAGGTCAATCGTCTCCTCTCTGCTCAGATGAGCTCATTGTAATTGTTCCTCTCATTGTCCCTGCCTGGTAAGCTCTAGCTGTGCTTCCAATAGAGTGAGTAGTCTATCGAGCTTATTGTTGAGGTCTGGGTCTGTCATGGTGATCATGAGGAGCTGCTTGAACAATCCACTCTAATGTCAGGGGTCTCATGCCTGAAACCCAGGTCAGTCTGTTGAGATACTCAGTGACTATCAAACTGTGTGACAGCTATTGTCTTGGTATTGGTCTCGATGAGCTAGTTGCTTGGTGACTATCAAGTTGCATGATGACAGCAGGTGGCATTCATTGTATATACTGTCATAGGTTTTGGCTGACCTCTGTGGACACTCTGTTCAGGGGTAGCTTGGCACGATTAATAACAATATGTAGGTTATGATGACACCAAGGTCTGGTGTGAGTGTTGATGATGATGAGGTTGATGGTGTTGGTGATAAGGTTGGTGAGTGTTGATGGTAATGAGGTTGATGGTGTTGGTGATAAGGTTGGTGGCATCAACACAAG